CAAGGCATACGAGATGCCAATATCTCCATGTGCGCAGGGGCTCGCGCAGCCTGCGAGTCCCGGGGAACGATCTCAGACCCTTCTGCACGGCACTTGTTGACCCTGGCTCTCCGGTCTACTTCTGTCAGTTATAGCATGTTTCCCATGCAATAGCTCTCCGCGTTTTGAATTTCTTTAGCTGCAGATTTCTCTTCGGTCCGTATATGCAGCTATTACAACTTTCAGTTCCTGCGCCACTTGTACAAATGACTTAAGTGGCGTACATATAAGGATCCAGTTTTTGATCTGTAGACATGCAGGGGGGTATATGTGAGTGTCAAGGTAATAAAACGGTCACCTGCCGTGTGCAAACCAGCAGAAACTGCAGTAGCAACTCTGAGGTGGCAGATGTGGACCCACTGTCACCTGAAGGGATGGCAAAATAAGACAGTGATTTAAAGTGCCAATGTTGGTGGCTGTCACTCGCCAGACTCTCCGCGCTTGGGCGATTTGGTCAGTGTTACGTGAAGAATCGATAAGAAGTGGTTGAATTTTGTTGGGACTGCATGTATAGCTATCAACAGGGGTCCTAGTAGGGCAATACGAACAGTCTTTCTCGATCAGTCTCGACTCAAGTGTAGGTCGAGATTGAAGCGAGATGCTGTGGTTCTCTTTGTCTACAGAAACTGCTTGTATAGTCGAGACACCGTACTTCCCCTTGTTCAACAAAGTCGCTGAAGCGAAAACAATCAAGGGATCGTTCTACACAGCACCAAGGTGACTGACGGTGTCCAAAATACACTGATCTAGAACAGCGTAGAGGCAGAAGTTTCGAGGAGGGGTTTTGGCGAAAGCCGCTAGACTATTATCATAGGTGCAATTCTCTTCAGAGTTTCTTCAAGCGAAGGGAAATAAAATTATGTACTCAGCAAAACTTTAAAGTATTAGATAATTTATTCTCAATGGCATGCTGTAGTACATTATTTGCTATCCGTGACATTCCATTTTTCTGTTTTGCTCAGAATTGCATGTAAAAGACCCAAATAGAAATGATAAAAGAGAGAACAATGTAATGGCAGGCAGTTAGCTACAACCAAATGATTCCCCCATCGCCTTTCACATTAATGGATCGAGTATGCCATCTGGTTTACTGAATGCCCGCAACTAGGACATCAAATGGTTTTCTGGGTTTTCGCGCCTGTTGGCATGTAACTTGATACTCAGTCATGGTATGCTGAAGTATTCGTGGAGCTCTAATTTCAACAGCCCAGTATTGAATACCGTCATAGTTACGAGAATTCCTGAGACTCTTTGCTCTATGTGATACCAAACTTGACTTTTGTTCTTAGGAACTAGATATCCAGAAGAATCTTGCCACTATTTTGGGATTTGAAATGTTGCAAATGTTATTTATACGAAGGCTGTGGAAGTGATGTAAAGTTTGACTTTTTAAATGGGATAGGATTATAATTATATTGTTTTTAATATTCTTTCTTTCTGGTCATGAGTGTAGTGTAGTCTATAGTTTATAGACATAATCGTGAGAATATTGTCGTTGTCTTTTTAGGTTTCTTGATTTCATGTAGTGATAATATTCATATTGTACCAAACGACATAAGCGTTAAAACCCGTAGAGATTGAATTTTATAGACCAACTCGCATTTCAATTGACATGCAGACGAGTTTCCTATCCGCATCCGATAGCGAAAGACTACGACGATTACACATCATAGGACGTGAATGTGGGCTTGACGCAAATCATACGGCCTGCACAGTGTCTAAACAACCCAAGAATGTCCTGAGCTAGCTTGTAGATATCCCAGACTACTAACTGACATGATATGCACTTTCGATATGTACTTTACAGAAAGTTCGCAGGCACTTCAGAGAAATTCTTCTGGACACTGGTGATTTGCGTCGAGTATGTTTTTCCAATCGAGATACGAAACAGATGGTCGACTTCGTCGTTATATTTTGCAGCCCATCATTCCCGACTCGCGAAACGACGACCAGATCAAGTCTTTTATATTATATAGTACCAACTCTTTATGAATTGATTCCCTTCACTCCAGAGAAAGATTGGCGGCTGTACAATGGATGAAGCTTTGGTCGAAGACGGTATATAGACAATAGCGGAACTGGTAGGTAGCCGAAAAGTAGGTACGTAATTAGACCGCGACATGTATGGGGCTTACGGATTTAGGTGGCATATCGCCATAAAGACTGTCACCTCTTGAAAGCACATAAAATGTTGGCCAGTTCATTAAGTAGCCATCCCGTCTGGGGCCGACAGAAAACAGCGTTTTGGGAAAGTAGGTGTTGATAAGAACGTCGGAACAATTGTGAATTGGTCGTTGCTCATTTTCCTATCTCTTTACAGGCAGCCCATTGCTGTGAAAACGCCATAGTGCTCCTTCTCTTTGGTTGGACCTTATACCTTCAAGTTGCTTTGGAAGAAGTGATATCCATCCGGTGAACCTCCAATTCGTTCTACGCCCATCTGCAACTTTTGAAATAGCTCGTTATGTATTGGGTTCGAGAAATATCGTGATGATGAGCATTATCGAGGGCTCCCCCATTATGGCATTTCGATGTCGCGGGGTTATGTGCACTACGATGTCAATGGAAAGGGCCCTCGGTTTGCCATCATTCGATCACTTGTTCTGTACTGCTGCCAACAGTGGATCCACCCTTCTTACGCCTTTTGCGTTTCCTTCTCTTCAGAAACATTTCTTCCAACAAGAGCCCTTTCGACCATTAATCTGTCGCATCTTCCTCCTCTTCATACTTTGTGCTTATAATGCCTTGCATCCCATGCACTACCAACCCAATTCTCCAGGCGTGAACATGATCGGATTGAAAGCGAAAGTGAAAACCCCCCAGAAAGGAGCAGTCATGCTACCTTTATGCCACCTCGTCAAATGCACATGCTTTTTCCAGGCATCCGAAACCCAAACGAACCTCGGAGGTGTGTGTGCCTCACATGCATTAACATTGTTCCACAAATCAAACGCGAGCGCATACACAACGTTACGTTAGGCGAGCCATCGACCCCTACGAGGCTACAACATACCGACCGATTTGAAGTGTGCATTTTGAGAATATTTGAGTTGACTGCCTCCTGTAAACCTTAGCGACAGTTGAATTGACATTTTTTCTATCATCTAGAGGTCGCAGAGCATTGTAAGTAAGGCCGTTCTGAGCTACGCGTTGTTGTTTCTTGGCCGTTATCGACGGTGATTTCGCGCAACGGGGAGGGCGCCCTTGTGCGGTGGCGATCTGTAGATAATTTTAGGAGCTGCATTGGGTTGTAATTTCTTTAATAGATACAGCTGAAGTTTTGGCAGAACTTTGATCCACCAATGTCAATGTGGCGTCGCACATCGTTGTGACTTCGAGGCGGCCCAAGATGTGAATGTCCGCAGTTGTTAACGGCCCAATAACGTCACGTCCTAAGTGCCTCTCTCTCTTTCAATCTAAAGTTCGACAGACCTGCCTGTAGTTGACCGTCCTACTGAGCCTGAGTGTTATCATTGATATACTTTGTTTACTACAGCTCCGGAGCTTCCTTGAACCTCCAACTACCATTCAGCCTACCAACCATATGTTCGAGTGCGTCCCAATTCACATATCCAGGTAAGTCGTAAGGTGCTAAAATCTGTGCTTCTTTTTAGCTACTTAGGCGGACTGATAGCACTTGATTTAATAGAAGTCTTACCTGCACCATGTTGAATCATCGCGGTTTTAAATCCATCCTTGCCTGCCGGATCTCACACGTTTGACCCACAGGGAAGCACTTGTACGAGTAGCGCAAGCACCGCTTCAAGCAAGTCAGACTATTATCCTTATGCTTCTAGTGCACTAAGCTGGTCATTTTGGATTTGCATCTCGTGTACCAAAGTTGCCAGCAATACACTCTCGACCATGCCCAGCACGACAACGCCGTTCAAGCTGCCGCAGCCCTGATCAATATCAGCCTACTATTCCAATGGACTGGGTGCCAGATCATGGATTCTAAAGGATGCGCATCGTACAATCTGCCATGTCCGAGATGTAGACCAGTGACCAATTCGATAAGGCAGTCGTCTGCTTTATTGACCATCGGAGCCCATCAGGCCCGTTCAATCTTATAACAATTAAACTGCAGTCAAGCTCCTATTCCTCCATAGTATGCGATCAGCGCACATATAGTGGAGATCAGATGATGAAGCTTGGTTCACGACTTGCTGTTAGCTGTGCAAGCAGAGATAGGCACACATAAACTAGAACTTGTCCAGCCGCTCGTTTGTTCAGGTACAACTCAGCTGATTCTTTCTTAGCTTTCCTGGGCACTGTGGACTGTGCCCTTAGCAAGCTTTGCATTCCTGAGCTCCGTCTCTGGTGACCCTGGTTGGTTCTTCCATACAATGTCAGTGCCCTGCTTGAGCAGTGCCATTGCATTGAAAGAACTTGGCGATATGGCATCCTTCATACTTGAGAGCTCAGCTCCTTTATCTCTTACTACTGGCTTCTATTATCAGAGCCTTAGTGATTAAGGGAGCCGACGACGATGACCAAGTGCAAAGCCAGAATGTTGACCTTTTGTTCATCAGCACTTGCTAGCCAACCCCAGGACATGTAACCGTTTCCATATGCCACAGTCTTGTGAGCCTGAAGAAGGAGTCAGAATAACATTGCTTGATTACCTCTCCATCCCTATGATCGTGCTAGAATAAGATATCATTTAGGTTACTATTAAAAACACTAAAATATATCTGATGATGTACCCGCACAACGTGCATATGCATACTGTCCCTAATAAAACGCTAAATTTAATCCTACCACTATTATGTGACTGAACTTACTGCTCTGGGACAGAGAAGCGAGTATTGAAGACTAGTAGAGAAGCTCTCATTAGTTCACAAAACCGACTAATTATAGTTGTAAGGGTTGATTCCAAAGACTAAAATATAAATTGCTCGACTCTGAGAAGTATTAACGTCGGAGACTATTAACTTTATATATTCGTCCTTTCCAGTCATTAACCACCTTCATCACTTCCTGTCGCACGTGTCATCTCAGGTTCGCCGGGTCTCCGACGTCTGACCTCGCCCTTAGTTCCAAGTTCCCGTTGCTTTTATTCATTCTTAAGGCTCTTGAGCTATGACAAATTGCTTATCATTTAGCAAGATGTAGCTGAGTAAGGGGGGTATGCAGCGTTGATAGGTTGCACGAAGAAGATAAGGTCGGGCCATCCAACAGTGTTGCCAGAAAGATCCTGCCAGGTGTACATGCCCCAACCAGAGGCGTGGTTCTGGCAACGGTACCAGATGGCTTCCAGATTCTGCGCGAGCTCGTTGCTAATGAAGTTGCGGGTTTGGCAGGCATTCTGGTTGCGAATGACGACACGGACGTTGTTGAATTGGTAGATCCATCGGTTGAGGGGAGGAAGCGATGCGCCGGCGCGGCCAGCGTTGGCGAGCACTCGGATGACGGTAGCGACGTCGTTGATGTACGCCGTGTGGTCTACATTGACGCCGTCAATAGACCAGCACGCGTGGACATCAACCTCTTGCCAAGAGTCGAGTAAAAAACGCTTGCTGAGGCCACGCTTCTGGTTGTTGTCGTGGGAAGAAGCGTTGACGCCAGTAGTATCGAAGACCGAATCCTTAGGGATAGACACGCTCGGCACGTCGTTCTCGATGACGGCTGAAGCAAAGATGTCCTCAATGCTGAGCGGAGTAGCAGTAGCTTTGGCAACGTCGTCGGTAGCGGCAGGAAGGGCAGTGACGAGACCGCTCATGGCCTGGAGGCCGAGAAAGATGGCTTGAGTGATGCGAACCATGATGAGACTTGTTAAGAGACTTGTGGATCTGGTGATTGGCAGTGATGAGGATTATGAGTGAAGGGAAGCTGATGTCTTTATATGTTTCTTCCGCTCGCCACTTTTCTCCAGTTGACCAGGATAGAGTATGCATTCATAATTAGCAACTCAGGACATTAGGATAGACTTGACTCGTCTAGTAGCTCATTGCAAATCAGATCTTGTATCATCCCAGTATCCGTACATCCTCTAAGCATCTTTCAGCGTGCGGCGGTGTACGTCCAACATTCTCTAAGTATCGTATACCGGCATACTACGGAGCATGCTTCTACTCCCCGTACAAGATATAGCTCTCACACTTAGACTTACCGTTGATTCGTATTTCCCAAGGCACGTGTCAGGTTGGCCAACCTTTGTGGTTTGTCCTATTTCTTTAGTAGACTCGAAGCAACGGGCATTGATCGGTAACCACCACCTTTTGCCTCAGTAGCTGACAATAAGAACAACCACACAAAAACACTGCAACAAAGGTGCATTTTCATATAGTTTTGATACATTCCGCCCTACTCCTAAGTTCCCAAACCCTCCTAACCCTTTCCCCAAGTGATTTGCAAGATTGGTTTCTGTCGTCAGCTACCAAGAAAAAGTGGTGGCTACCGCGTGGTTCCACCGATCGAGAACGTGGGAACCACCGATCAATTCCCCGAAGCAACGCGCGCGGGACGTTGCGCGCGGGACGGTAGAGTTGGGTCAGAAGCACTAAGGTGCCCGGAATCTTAGGATCTGTACACAGATGCGGCAACATGCCTATATTTGCGGCAACTTGCCTATTCTGGGTTAGATGAACATATGGAATTGTACGAAACATAGGGTCTTTTCTTGCAAATTAATACGATTACGAGATGGGAAGCACCTGATATCCCAGGGTTTGTCACTACTAGGCACAAGGTCGGATTCGTAAAGCACCTGCACCTGCCCTTTCCAATCTTTCGTATGGACAAATACGAAGGATCAATGTGCCAATCTCAAATGCCCATGGCAGCACGGTAGAACATTTTGGCTGTTTTCAAACCTAGACATGTTGCAGATCACGTTTCTCTGCTTGTTATCGATAATATCGTGACCCACTGGCTCGTTAGAGATACGGCATATACCCACCTTTATTCTCGACAAAGGGCTTATTGACATAACTAACAACGGCCCACCTGCCCCTAGAGCCCTTGAAATGGAAACAAAACTCCCAGATCAGATATGAATGTTTGCGTTAGCAGGCAGCAATGGGTTCGACCATGGCTCTATGTTGCAATCTGAAGAAAGCAATTCTGCTTTTTAAGATTAAACGCATAGATATGGCCCGCGTACATAGTGACACAGATCCCTGTCCCGTTGGCACAAAGACATTGCAAAGCGGTGTACTCCGTCCGTAACTAACTGAATCAATAGAGAGTGGACGTTAATACTCCTATTAATAACGCAGACTAGTTTCGTATTGCTCGTTTCCATTCTTGTCGTTCCTGACATTCAATGATCTGATCCGCAAAGACACGTCTGTGCTTCTTTTCCATAGCAGAATTTCTATGAGAGAACGCACAGACGTCGACCCCTTAGGTACCTACGACATGCTGACTGATCTGAAGTCTGAACTTGTAGTTACTTCGAGACCCCGTATAATATACGACACGGAGGAATTTTGGTTCCAAAGGGCACACTGCGGTGTAATGATTTGATGAAGAGTTGGCTTGGGTGTGTGGCGTGATTGGCTTGCTTTGAGTGTAACGGGGCGTTGTCTTCTGTTTCTCTCAATGTTGCTTTATGCTGAATATCTCTTTTCAGATAGGAGTGCCAGTACGATCATTGAAGGCCTTAGAAGGGATCACGAAATCGAGGGATACTTGTGGCAAACGGTTGCGCAGAAACTGTCAGGAGAGCCGATTCGAGACTTTCACAATTTGGCTCCGTCTTTACTTTTTTTTGACTCCGTCTTGACAAATTCTGTTCTTCGATGCCACCAAAAATGATAAATGGAGCAATTACGATATCTATTGTACAGGGGCTTGGCATGTCGGATTGGCCCCTTGCTAGTATTTCATGCTAACAACAGTGCATTCGCGAGATTTTATCGCAAGGCGATAAGACTGTTTACTGGCTACAGCACACTCTTGATTTAGGTATGGAAGATACATGAAGCTAGCAGGTGGCCAGCCTGACGTGTCAACCCTCTGTATATTTATCAGCCGCATGCAGCTTAACACGCTGTCAAACATAGCTTGCGCCAAAGTTCTAAAGGTAAGTACTGAGGTCACTCAGTCTATTTTCGTTCCGAAAGCAGATTTGTCTCGCAAAACTGACATTGCTCATACACAATAGAATGCCATGTACGATGCAGGATAAAATAGTCCATTAATTGTAATTACCCATTTCTTATGTAGGCATTGATTTAGTAGTACAACCTAATCTCTATTCCATCAAGTAGCGTCTTATTGAAAACTGTAGAAAGATTTCGGAACAAACATCATGATCATCTTCGACTGGTTTACAGGCCGATTGCAACATCTCCTCCATAACCCCAACCATTGTCTTGTTAAATTTGCCTTGACCACTTATCCTCTCACTCCGAATCCGATCGTGAGCATTTCCACTCGTTGCTCAAACCCCCCCAAAATACAGCGAAACATATACTGGGAGAAAAGCATGCAAAACAATCATGACCCACGTTTCATGCACTTGTGAGATTGAGATGTCGCGAGAGAGGAGGTGTTTTGATGCTATTTCCGCGCCTCGACTGGAGGCGATAGGGCGACAATGGCCAGAACTACTGAGATCTAAAGACGAACGCATAGATTTTTCCATGCAGGACGTGGAGCTTTTATGTATGTTTTTAACATACATTAGTAAAAGTTGCCCTAGTTATAAATGCACAAGCCCTCGAAGTCGACATTAGATTCTATACAATTTGTTGAGAGAAGGCAGTTAAGAGTGGCGGCAACGCGACTTCTTTGGAGCACTACTTATTCAGAGTTCGCCTACACTAGCTATGAGGCAGACTACAGCCTGGGAAACTAGGTCTGTGGCTGTCATTTTTGGGCTTTCTTCTGTGAGACTACTCATGTACTTATGATTGGCAGTGGCAAACCTAGTAATTGGATTGGCGAAGTGTTATGGGATTCAACCGAGAACACCAAGAAATACAGAAGGTAAGATGGAGAACCAAGGTGGTGGGAACTCAAGAGCTACAATGGGTTGGCACGTCAGGCTGTCCACTTGCTAGCATCATGTGTCTCCTATACCTAAAGAATATATTTAAGAGTGTACTGTAGCCAGTAAACAGTCTTGAAACCTCGCCAATGCACTGTCGTGGGCATGAAATACTAGCAGCGAGCCAGCCCAACGTGCCAATCCTCTGTAGTCATCGAACATGCAGGTACATGTACATATGAAGTTAGATCGATTCTTGGTTAGCAGCGTACCTGGGGCGTTAATTGGGTGGATATCAGAGGACAAGATGGATTCTAGTGTGGAAATTCTATGGAGCATTGACAAGGAGCACTAGAGAAATCTAATTGAGAACTGAGATGGATGAAAGCTGTAGCGAGCGAGGTTTGTTACAGACTCTTGTACTTGCAGTTGGATTTGATGAATTCTGCCTCAGTACCCTGTGCGATTGGGCTATGAGGACCTATAGCGCGACTAATCGATGAGAGTTTTCATCACCAAGCGCCGATTGCATAACTTCATTGTAAAATTGACATTACTTTATATACTAGATATTGATACTATTTACATTTCTCATCATGCTCATCAAAAATCATGGATTCGTTTTCCTTCAAGCAGGGATGGGGTAGCTCTTCGCGAAAGCGGCCCTAATCTCCTCCTCAGAGTATCCCACAGTGAGCGCAAGCTGCAACAGGATCCTCGCCTTCTGGGGGTTGTAGAAACCGCTGGCAATGGTGAAGTCCTTGGGGTCAGACGGGACGAAACCGTCAGAAGAGCGGTGGCTGGCAACAATGGGGATGTGAGTTGCGTTGTACAAGGCCTCCATAGCTTGGCTGGCCTTCCTGCTGGCGCCACCGGCACCGACACCTGCGAACACGAGGCCCTGAGCGCCGAGCAAGGCGGAGGCGTTGAAGAGCTCTGGGTTCATGTCTTGGTGGGAGTAGAGGATGTCGACTTGTGCGAGGTCCTGGACTTGGGAGATGTCGAAGGTGACGCGGCCGACGGGCTCGGAGGGCGCGTAGTAGAAGTATGGGACTTGGTTGATGAAGAAACCGAGCTGGCCGGCTTCGGTGGAGAAGAAGGTGTCGAGGGAGTTGGCGTTGTTCTTGGTCGTGTAGAACGCAGAGCCGATTCTGTCGTTAAGGGTGATCATGGTTCCACGGCCAATGCCAGCTGGGGAGGCGGCAAGAGTGACAGCCTGGAGAAGGTTGAGAGGACCATCAGCACTGAGGGCAGTAGCAGGCCTCATAGCACCGACGCAAACGACGGGCTTGGTAGAGTTGACAGTTGACTCGAGGAAGAAAGCAGTCTCCTCAAGGGTGTCGGTTCCGTGGGTGATGACAACACCTGCAACGTCGTCCTTTGCTAGCTCTTCGTTGATCATATGAGCCAACTTGAGCGAGATGGTCTCGTTGACGGATCCAGAGTCCACATTGGAGATCTGATATCCTTTGATATTGGAGATATTCAGGATCTCAGGGACCGCATCGACGAGTTGTTGGACTCCAAGCCCTACGGAGTACCCGACAGTTTGGGTATTGGATGATCCTTGGCTAGCAATGGTACCTCCGGTTGCAAAGATGGTGACGTTAGGAAGGCTAGCATTGATAGGTGTCTGAATATCCTGACGAGCGATCAATGGAAAGCCGGGAAACTCGATTGGCGATGCTGCAGCTACAGCCGCTAAAAGAGACAGCGCGTTGAAGGAGACCATTTTGCAGCCGGAGAATCCCAGTAAAGATGAGGAACGATTGGAGATGAGATATTTCATTCATGGTTCTTTATCTATTCCTATATATACATAATTTTTTTCCACCTTCATAGCAGTGTTGCTATCCGCTCCGATATCTCGGATGTACATTGACCAGCAACTCCAAGACTTTCTTTATCTCCCAGCCATCGTTATCTTCGGCGCGAGTCAGCTACCGCCCGAGAGCAATCGAGAACCATCGCAATTGTTGGTGGCATTCGGCCTGACTTACAAACCAGAGAGTGGGATGTCGTATGTGAGTAAGGCCGATGAGAAGCATTTCAAGGAAACCTTCGGGCAATCGATTTCTTCTTTTATGTAACAGATGCCTTCCGATTATTGTATGTTAGGCGCCGTTATCAGTAGCCTAGACCCAAAAGGGTAAGCATGCCAAGAGCCGTTCCTCGACTATAGCGCAGAACAGTAAGGACAGTACGACATAGCACGATGTCAGCAAAGATACAGACAATGATAAACGATAAATGAATAATGAGCCGAGCTGACAATCACAATCTCAATCCTTCGGTGGCCAGTCGAGGTGGCCCCATGGGGTATTGTCGGGTGAACACGTTATAAACCCCCATCAACACGGCAACACTTACAATGGAACAAACTGTATACAAGGTGCCTTTCCTCTCCAGCCAATAGTAATCGAGCGCCACTTTCACTCTACTACGTCATTGACTTTTTGCAATTCACACTTGGCAACAGTATGACAACAATACAACGAGATCCAAGTGTGACAATGATGCATTTATCACTATTAACGACAATCCCCCTCTCAAAATGGCGGATAACTCCATCGCCAACAACCGCTCCACCTTGAAAGAGTTCTTGGCGTCCATCGCAACGATACAAGGAGACCTAAGCAACATAACCGCGCCCCCATTCGTCCTCGCACAGCAATCCACCGTAGAACTGCCGCAATACTGGGCAGACCACCCACTACTTTTCGTCGCTCCAGCGCACGGGAAGTCGCCCGAGGAGAGAGCACTCCTCGTCCTGAAATGGTTCCTTGGGTCGCTGAAGAATCAGCAATACGCTGGTCGCGATCCCTCCGAGGGCGTCAAGAAGCCTCTCAATGCATTCCTGGGCGAATTGTTCCTAGGGAGCTTCGACGATGAAGAGCTGGGAGAGACGAGGCTGGTAAGCGAGCAGGTCAGCCATCATCCACCTGTGACGGCCTGCTACCTATGGAACGACAAGCATGGGATCCGGGCGGAAGGATTCACCTGTCAAGAAATCACTTTTACAGGAAGCGTCAACATCAAGCAGAAAGGCTACGCTGTTGTCCACATTGATGAGCTCGACGAGGACTACCTAATCCCCGTTCCCAATGTTAAAGTGAAAGGAATCATAAGCGGGTCGCCGTATCCGGAATTGAGTGGGACGTATTCTATCATTTCATCAACTGGCTTTGTGTCTGAGGTCAAGTTTGAGGGGAGGGGGATCTTCTCTGGAACTAAGAACGGTGTTGAGGCGAGGGTGTTTCATGTCGACAGTCCACAGCAGAACATCTATACCGTAGATGGTCAGTGGAGCCAGTCGTTCACCATTCAAGACCAGAATGGGGAGGAGTTGCAAACCTACGATGTCGATACGCATACTCTGTCCATTCGGGTCCAGGAGGTTTCGGAGCAAGACCCATGGGAGTCGAGGAGAGCGTGGGGTGGTGTCATTGCGGCGCTGGGGCGAGGCGACGTGAAAGGCACCAGCGACTCAAAATCCGTCGTGGAAGAAGGCCAGAGGAATCTGCGGAAAGAAGAGCAGGCAAATGGAGGAGAATGGCAACGCGTATTTTTCCGACGACAGGACAGCGATCAAAGGTTCGAAAAGTTGTCTGGCATGATGAAGTCCTCGTTTGAGGTGGAGCCGAAAGGAGGCTTGTGGAGAGTCGACCGAGACGCTGTTGCCAACACTACGAAGCCTTATCATGGCGATCTTTTGCCGACTGGGGAGAGATTAAATGAGTCGACTGCTGGTGATACTTCGAGCCAAGTCAGGTCAGACGAACATCAGATCAATGGAGTCCAGACAATGCAACAAAAGACCAGCGAGGGCCAAGCGGGTCAAGTGGTCGAGGAAGATCCCAAACAAGGAGGAACCGGACCCGACGACGTCAGCAATGTTAGTGATGGCATCCTGGAGAAAGAGAAGCTGGAGAATATCCAGGTTGAAGCCTTTCTTCGTGCCAAATACAGTTCCGTCAAGAAATAATTGCATTGCAATCACGTGCACTAAAGTCTTGGCTTATATATTTATTAATCCTCATAATGTATAGTACTACCATGGAACACATTTTAAGCACATCTCAATTTTGAATCCTCATGATAAATACACCAGCATCGTCAATGTCTTTACTAATTCATTCTTTCGGATATAGTTTGTAATCAACATACTGCAAGGCTTGAAAGTTGAGCCCAAAACATCCTCGATCCAAACCGGCTTCGCGATCCGGATACATTTTGTACACACACCCATTATAAAAGTCAAATAAGAACCAAAAGAAAAAAACAAAATCGCTTCAAGTGTCCCGCCAACCGTTTTATATGCAAGCCCTTGGTATCAGTTCCTTTCTCTTCAGTTCTTCCTCCTCTTGTCCGCCTCACTGTGCATGTACACATCCGTCTGCCTCGTAATGCCGCCGGCGCCACTCAACTCCTCTTCGCTCCCATCGCCGACCTGGATCCTCCATGTCGTGAAGCCCTTCCCATCACCTCCACCAGTACTCTCATCGTCGCCGGGGATGTCGTCCCTCAGCTTTACCGGCCTCGCGCCATCCCACTTAGTCTCCTCCTCGTTCTCGTTCCTCGTGAACGTCATCAGGCTGAATGGCCCGCTTCGCTTCGCCTTCCCGCGTCCGCTGTTGAATCCAGAGTCCTGGAAGGGGGTTTCGCGGCCGGAGTCCTTGAATGGCCGAGTCGAGGGGAGGGAGAATCCAAGACGGGTAGAGATCTCACGCCATAGAGGCCGGAGCGTTGCGAGGGAGCCGGCGGCGATGGCGAGGCCTTGCTCGACGTCCGACCAGATGGCGATGTCGACGGTGTCGTACAGGAAGTCGTTGCCGCGGAAGTCCATTACGTAGGCCATGCGAACGACGACGGCGGAACTTGCACTGGGAGATGTTAGTAAGGAGATTTTTGGAACTGTTGTGGAGGCCTTCAAGTGGTTGTGGGGGATCAAGAGAGTGAGGTGAACTTACATGCAAGCCATGCCAAGAATGGGGATGAGAGCCAACTTTTCACTCTTCCGCATGTTGAGATTCCAGACCAACCACATTGGCAGTATCCCGAAAGTAAAATCTACTATGGCATTAATACCACTGTATAAAAATGTTAATGCGATTATAATATCGACGTTGACGCAAGTTCCGTTCTCGAGCTTCTTGTTCCAGAAGTAAGAAATCGGAGAGCATTGGAATAGAGTGACAAAGAAGAAGACGAGTCCGGTGAGGACGGTGAGTCCCATGACTATGTAGACGATCCATCGATGTACAGAGTTAACTGTGATTCGTAAAAGGAAGACGCCAATGGACATTTTCGCGCAGATCATAGTGATGCAGTAGGCGATGTAGCATAACCACCAGTACTGATAGCTCGGTTAGCTTCAACTATATTCGACGTAGAGTTTATTCTGACGACTCACTCTCATGGCCATGAATATACCCTCGTCGGAAAGGTCCTTGAAATGGCGTCCGGTGCCATATACAGTACCAGCGACAGCACATGTCGCGAACATGATATGAGAAAGCTACAGATCAAATAAGCTTTGGCGCCACATGCATGCACGCCCATCTGTGAAAAACTTACCATGGCGCCTACCATCAAAGCATCATCCCACCCAAAACTCCTGATAACCCGCACCCGTACATACACCCGTAGAACCATAGGCACGAATGCCAAAGACACCATCGTTAAGCATACCTGGGAACATTAGCTGTGATTCCATATATCGATTCATTGACAAAGTTGTGTACCGCTCGGAGCAGAGGCCCACGGTTTTCGACCATTATTGCTGGTGACCGGTAGGGCCGAAGTTATCTGTTGCTGAAAAGAGAACGTCTGAGAAACCCAGATGGATCCTTCGTCCGTTTTACAGGAAATCGGCCCAGGAACGTGTAGCTGGGACCAAATAGCATAAGGGAAGGGGCAAGCAGGGGAATGGAGGGGGTAATGTGGTGCCGGCCACTGTCAAGAAGCGGTAGCTATGCCGTGATTCATGCCCAACACCCTGGTAACAAGATGATTGCGTTGATGATCTGCGATATCCTAGGACTAGGCTTTGCTACCCTGCAGCACGGTACCCCTTGGATAGTTCGATTGATCGATGTGACTTTGTAAATGCGATGAACATGTGCGGTTCAGTATTCCATTGTTGTGATATTCACACTACATTCTCGCTTCCTCTACGGAGGCATCCGCCCGTTGCCCGTAGACACTGTTCTAGAGTTCGGTACATAGGCACATATGGTACCAAAATACAGTTTGTTGCGGAGCCGTTAAGGAAGCAGCCGGCACATGGTCCCATTGAAATTTTGGTTCATGGTGGCACTGGTGGTGACCGGCCACACATCGGCAAGTGGTAGAGGGCCTGACTTGATGATCGTTCAAGGAAGGACCCGTTTCGAGTACAATCGTTGAGGAACGAACTACACAAGCACGAATCAGAAAACGGCGTCCTCCGCCAAAAGAGGATGACATTGCCGCGGTCTGGCGTTGATGTCTTTTCCCCTTCTGGCCAGACATGGGCTTTTTTGAAACAGACGCTTGATGGGGCTAGGCCGCATGCGGTCTGCATGTCCTAGGCCCACGTGGAAATGTGAGGAGGATCACACTGATCCTGGGCCGTGGAGGCGACTTTTCTCAATTGCCGGCATTCAACATCCTCGCACCACTGAAATTTACTACCAGGGAGCTGAGGCGAACGGGCGAATGCTGAATCGTGGGGAAGTCCGGATGCTCTAGGAAAATGGGTCCAGGGGACACTCACAACACCAAAGAGGACCAAGAGCGACGCGAACAGAACCTGCATTGAAGGCGAATCAAACAGGCATCTCCCCACCTGCAGGAGACGTTAACGTTGAACTCGTCCTCTCGTCGGAGAATTCCGCCTACGAATGTAGACGGCGACCAATTCAGGAGTACAGACGCTAAGAAAAGCCACAATAAAAGTTCCTAGAAGAGCTGCAATGAAGATCACGCGACTAAGCCAAAATAAATCATCGATTGATCGTTATACCTACTCTTGTGAGTCTTGCCATTGTCACATTAGGTATGAAACTGTCGCATGTATCCATCGTGAGTGGATGCGAACATCCACTTCCGGGTATGCCAGTAGTTCACACATGCCGTCTCTAGATGTGTACTATCGTTTGTATGATCTTCACTCTGCTGCCCAAAGCAACAGCTCAATAGTGATGCCTTATAATTATATGTCGCTCCTTTCCAAGAAAGTCGGATCTCTGTCCAGCCGTCCCTCGAACTTGGTCCACCAAGCCTGGAATGCCTTCAGGGGAACTGTATCTCCCGTTCCCCAGCTTGTCAAAAAGTCGTAACAATTCTTGATGATCCTTTGTGCTAACACCTTTGTAGTGGCCGCATCTGGTTCCCTCCTGGTAGTGAGCACTAGGCTCGAGCCTGCGGTCGCGGAAGCAGCAGCATCCTGTGCCTTCTTCTGTTCCAGATTCGCAAGCACAGAAGCGGCAGGCTCTAATGATATTCCCAATACAACATTTGGCACTGAACCGACGATCGCGGGTTGTGGAGCATCATCTGCCATGGCATCGTCGTCCCCTAATCCCCCTCCCGCAGGCCCGCCGGGCTTGTTGTTTATCTTGAATATCGCCGACGGCTTCTCGTTCGCAATTGCGCCTAGCAGTTTGTACTCGCTCGAGCCGACCAATTGCGCGTACACAGCGGCAGCCGTGCCATCTGGAAGTGTAGTGCCTGGGAGCAGGAAGACGACGATATGCGAGAAATGCGGCTGCGAAGGTATTGGGAAGGCGAACTGTGTCTCTGAAATCACCTGAGGCTCGGTGGAGATGGGCCGGCCGGACACAATGACACCGAAAGGACTGGTCATGACGTGCTAGCAACCGACCGCAATGAAGCTTCGTAGCAAGCACAGAGGGCTGCGAGTTGCATTGACATGAGAAAAAGGTGAAGATGTGTGTAGAAGTTGTGTGAGAAGTGCGTGGGATGTTTTTCCTAGTAGCTTGGACAAAGACGACGAATTCCGTCATCGTCCGTGAGGTGCGCAATACGAGGCCCACCACCACCACTGACGTCCCCACCTACAAGCTGTAGGTATAGGGAAGACACGTGATCATCCATTCCACAACATCAACTCCATTCGACATCGACGTGTCATCGCAAGCAGTTGTTGCAATGGATCACGAAGCTCTCACCCCAATACATGACATCCAAACAAGAATGCGGGGTTCGGTTGCGCAATATAGACTGATCCATGTCAGATTTCCCACGCGTTATCATGGCTTCTCGTATCGCTGCCCATCTCGTATCGACCCGCGATCCCTCCAATTTCGCAACTGTCAACGCCCAATCCGTCCAAGACATTCTCCCTATCCTTGTGCCGCTCAAACGATCTCCTCCACACTCCAGGCGTTCATGGCAGATCGCTGCGCTTATTGCTTACTGTGTAAGTAGGCGTTGGTATGCGCTCCAGGAGTGCGGTTGATGGCGAAGCCTAAGAAGTACATCTTTTCAACGTGAACCAACACCAAAGGACCATTTGCGATATATTCGAAGGATTCTCAATACATCATCTGGATCAATGAGACCTGGAACTGCAGTGTTGATAATCGATTTGTCATGCCTGTACAGTCCGCGGTTTTTGCCTTTCGTTGCATTCCCAATATTGGTAGATTAATCCCTTGCTCACCTGCCCATTTAGCCAGGACTTGCGCATCACCGAGCCTGGTACGACTGCAAAATACAGTTACGCCCCGTGCGAACAGCGTTCCACCATGCTTGAGCATCGTGGAGAAACTTCAGAAACTTGTACGAAAGGGAGGCGGCTCATGGCCGTCAACTCGTGTAAACCGAAAAGGTTCTACTAGGTAATACCCAGGTTCGAATACTTAAATAGGAGAGAGAATGACCTCTTGAATATTGTCCAGCTTCGTCACAATACAGTTTGTTCATTTTGCACTGCTGTGAAACAAATTCTAATAATCTACCATGATGATTCCTTCAAGGTCCATATCCCTTGTGATATTTTATCTATTTTCACAACTTCTTGCTAGCCCAGTCGAAGTAAAGAATATTCGTCGACAGGGCTTCTTTCCGCCATTTATACCTTGTGCCGAATGTCTCCCCAGTAGCTGGACTCAAGGCCCTGGTAACAATAGAACCTCCCATCGAGGCAGGCTTTCAACTGATAAAACACAGAATGCAAAACCGATGGAAGCCTCCAATCGATCATCAGCAGCATACAAAACCCGTACGAGCAACTCGCAAAGTGCAAATGCTTGATGATTATACTTACTTTCGATAGTCCTCCTTCAGCTACAGCAACATACACTCCAAGCCCATGGTGCAGTGAATACCTCCGTCCAACAACATGGAGGAGTGAATTCACGACCAGTTGGGGCATCTCGACCTACACCAGCCGTGACGTGACGCACATCATCATAACCAAGACCGACTTGAAGTAAGTCCCCCAACCTCCAAGCCATCCTACTCAACACTAACCTCAGATAAGCCATCCAACTTCCACGATGTTCTGTCCATCACCATCTCCTGACATGGAGTGTGGATGGGACACGAACACAGTAGCCCCAATTGAACAGGGCGAAGATTGGTCCATTGAACACTTCATCAGTCCGGAGGAATGCCACCAAGTATGTCTGCAGCGTTCCAGCTGCAAGGCGTACAGAATAGATGGTACCGGTCCAGGAAGCTGGTACTGTGAGATATTCAATGTCGGGCTTGGGAAGAATGGTGCGAATCTAAGGAACCCAACGCCTAGTGGTAGTCAGTGGTGGGATAGGAGTTGCCCTACACATCTTCCAGTAAGCAGTCTTTTTGCATTCTTAACTTTTCGAAAATTCTGACGATTATCTTCAGGCCGGATGCAAACCAGCACAAGCACCTGAGACCACCGTTCCTATATTGACCTCCCCACCACCCACACCCTCACCAGCCTCCAAGCAAGCATCTCCCGTATCTCCCATCCCAACTCCCGCCCCTACCCTTCCTCCTCGACAAAACGCCGCCCTCGCAAAGCGAACAACCCGCCTACCAGAGTTCCTCACAGACCTAGAGTACTACTGGTCCAGCATCTTCCTCCTCCCAGCATGCACATGTATAATCTCGTCAGCATCGCCGGGGACGTTGAAGACTACGACGACCACGTTTACGAGTTGGACTGGGTCGACGACTGTGACTACGACGTTTGAGGATATTTTCACGTGGACGACAACGCCGAGGGAGACGACGGTTTATAACAGCGTGAATTAGGTGGTTGGGGGAGTTATTGGGGAGTGAGAAGTGCTGGTTGGTGTGATTGCATTAAAGTCAGCCTTTTGGTACCTGTGACTATGATTACATCGTCCTCAAACTCCTAAACCCGGCAAGTTTCCCAGGAAAGCGACGAGACACAGGGGTCCCGGCTTTTCGCGCCAACTCCATAACCTCCAGTATGTAGTACAAGAACAATTCAAACCAAGAGTTACCGCAACGCAACGAATCAGTATCGAGAAGCTGTGGTGCCAGACAAAGCATTTTCTACTTCTCGTCCTTAAAGCTCCTCTCATTTGCCTCTTTCAGTTGACGCTCGAAATCATTAGCGCGTTTCCACTGTTGGAATTCACGCTGCTCAGCTTTGTCGAGCTCCTCTCTGAGCTTGGCTATCTCGATGTCCTTCCTATTGTCTCCAGAAGTGTTTGCCTGGGCTGAAGCTTTGAGTTTGGCGTTTTCCACGTTGATTTGTTTGTTGTCTTCAAGGAGTTTAGCATTGTCTTTGCGGGGGTTATCGACTTGTTTTTGAAGATCATCGAATGTCTTCGCCATGCTGTCCAGAGCGATTTGAGCTTGTTGATGGGATGTGCCAAATTCGTCAGGCTGGTTGGATTAACGAACGAACATCGGGTTATTTGGAAAATACCAACTTACATCTGATTCCGTCTTGCGCCTCTTGTTTGATCGTCTTGCGTTGCGTCTGGAAGACGCGGTCTGCCTCGAGCTCTCGGGTTCTTCTTCGATCTCCATAGAAGCGTCGTTTTCAACTTCTTCAGTAGACTCCCGAGCCGCTTCAGCTATCCGCTGCACGGCTGGCTTGAAGTCTACCTGATAATTACGGTAGAACAGGAACTCTTGAATATGATCCGCCGCCAAAAGCGCCCATAATGCTACAGCTTTGACCTTGTACTTCGGTTTTTCCCAGATCCCCTTCCTGATGACAGCGTCGAAAGGATCCTTCCACATCACCTCGGACATGAAGTGCTCGTTGGTTGGCACTTTGAGATAGCAGCTGTTGTCTAGGAGGAGCATGAAGCCCATCGCGGTCTTTTCCCATATGTATACATAAACACGCTTGCCGTGAAGTTTCGAATGCTCGTCGTCATAGATTCCAATTTCGACAAGCGTTCTCTCTAAGCCTCTGGGCTCCGAACAGATAGGATTCTTGAAGGAATCCTGATGGGCGGTGTAATTCAGCCAGAAAGCATACGGCGAGGCACGTATGAATTTGAAAGCATGGCTGCCAGGAAGGGAAGCGAAGTCCTCAGGAAACTCCCGCTCAGCAAGTTCCACGATCCTCGCTTTGGTCCAAGGCACTGATTGCTCTTCGCCGTTCGACATTTCGAATGAATCCCCTCTTGCAGGATATGTGCGAGTGTTTTGGTGGTGGGCAAGAAGTTGGCGAAGAGGGAAGAAGAGCGCTTGTTCGCGGCTGACGCTTTTACTTGCGTTGGAGTGGCTCGCCGACGCGACGCGGAGCACAACAAATACGCCCGCAACGAGTGCCGCGAGGTGAACCTGCCAAGAAAATTGGTTGAAAGATTAGAATTACAAGGGAAGAAATTGGGTTGAGGAAGTAAAGTAGAGGAGGTGAAGGAGATGAAGTCAAGACGATAGGGCGAAGGAAATGAGGTAATGAAGGTGGGGTGGAAGAGAAGAGGCAAGGAAGATGAGGTAAAGAAGGCAAGATGACCAAGATTTAGTAAAGGAGACAGGATATCAGACTAGTTAATGAGGAACCCAGCAAATGACGGCTGCATCTGAAGAAGCCGACCATTTCATCTCATACACGGTCTACCTTACGGGACCACGAGGTAACTTCACGGATCACCACATGCATGTTCTGAATGATAAGAATACTAGATTGAGACTGAGATTACTGTCTGCTATTTTGAGTGAGCAGAACCGAGTATAGATGTTGTTGAACGGGAGGAGATTGAGAATATATCAATACTCATGTTCACGCACGCATAACAACTACTTAGGCTTATTGCCGTGTAAGCTGTTGTGTAGGCTGAATTCGGGCCGACGTCTTCTTGAATGTATAGACTGCTCTTGTCGTATGATCGTTGAAAGCTTCTAATTGTTGGACCTTTCCTTGTTCATCTCTTCTAAGAGTCTCTTCTCTTCTTCTTCTGCTTCTTTCTGGCATCGTGGGCACAACTTAAACATTTTCTTCCTGGAATCGGCTGCGTGTGGACAACGTTCAGATCGGGGGATTTGGCTTCTCCAGCAGAGAACGGACGACTGATCAAGACTCGGAAGCTCGTGGTCACACGTGTATACCCATATGTAGTATAAGCACATTGCTGCTGCGGCTGGTTTCGCTCGATGTATTGTTTCGCTCGATGTATTGTTTCGCTCGATGTATTGTTTCGCTCGATGTATTGTTTTGCTAAACGTATTGCTTTGAAGTCGATAGTCGACGATATATGGTTTCGTTTTGGACCGCGAGAATTGAGAAGGTGTTGATGCAGTAGTAAAAGTATTCCAGTAGGCTTTTATATCGAGGCTCCATAGCTTCTGACTCCTGTTCTCACGATGACTGAGCCAGTGAGTCGTTGCGTTCTAGTCGCGTGATATAGGAAACCAGTCATCATACCGATTGACTGTCCTTGAATCAGTGTTGCAGGTTTGTGAAGACTATGTCTGGAATTCGAAGGGCAGAAAATAATATGTATTGTAAACGTGTTAAATATGCCCGACTACAATAATTTAACATATTACTGGCAATAGTTTTAGCACCTTAGCTACGTGCCTTAAGAGAAGTAAAGATCCTATAGTTAAGGGTATACATGGTATTATAAGCATAGTTAAAGTAGTATAAAGTCTAACTAGCTAAACCGTGCAGCTTGTTATATTAGAAAAAGTTACAATTTAGTGCATTTCTTGCTACTGTTGTAGTGATAACAACTTCCATTGTTATCATTAATGGCTTCTAGTTTTGAGACTTTTCCTTGCCCTTCCCTTCTTCGAGTTTCTTGGCTGCTATTGCTTCAGCTTTCAAGCAGGCTCCACACTTCATTCCCGGATCCAAGTAAACCCGCTGCACTTTGCCACAATCCAAACTGTTGGGATTTTGGGAATTGCTTTGGCAGTATTCGTATGGCTTAGGAATTCTCGAGTTTGTATGGCCACACCTGTACAAGTTGATATAGAGTATGCACATTGTTGCTGCTTGTTTCGCTCGACCAGTTGGCTCTGAAGTTGATGTTCGTTTTATGTTCTTCGATGTATCGATTTGGTTGATTGTTTTGATAGAGAAGCGAAAATGTACAATAGCCCAAATGAGCTTTTATATCGTAGTTCCACGGCGTCTGACTGGGACTCCCTTTCTCACGATGACTGAGCTAGTGAGTGGTTGCATCATGAATCAGAAGTCAGTGGATGAATCTTGCGGCCCGGATTTGCTTGTCAGGTAACATAGAAGCAGTCATTATATGGATTGTCCACCGTTGTATAAATGTTTCATTCTCGTTAGAACATTGATACAGGCTCCGAGAAGAGAGGACACGATCTATTACGAACGGCTCGACCATACCCGACTCATGATCATACATGATGTTGCTAGTGGTTCTGCAGTCACCTCTACAACGCATGATGAGGTAAATAAACGTCCCATCGTTGAGGCTTATACATCTCATCTTAAGTATAGTCGAAGTGGTACAAAGTCTGACTGGTCGATCCGTGCTGTTTGGGTATCGTAACCGGTCAGAGATTGGTGCATTCGTTGCCACTGTCACTGTCATGGTCATCATGACTTCCACTGTTCAGGGCTCTGACAGTTACCCACATGATGCGATATGATTCCATAAAACGACAAGTCATTGTTTCCAAAGAGTCTTAGGCGACGAGTGACGTCGTAGAGGAGTCACAAATGATGAAGGGTCATCAGAGTCTCAATTGCGGCGAGTGGGCAAACACTGTCATAGAACAAGAGGATATGGTGAAAGCAGTAGATCTATTCCCCCGGGGATTTCACCGTCCGCCCATACAGCGATTCGAAAGTTGTGTCTGGTTTAATTTTCTTAAGTATTTTGTGGTATAGCAGGATGAATGAGGCTATTCGGGGATCACGTGTATTGGGAAAGGCACCAGGCAGGGCATAGATAGATCCATTGGGGATACTAAGAGAGATCGAGGCATCATACACCTACCTCGAGAGGCCTGTCGATAGAGGCGAATACCTACTTATCCTACCCATCTACCGATTGCGGGTTCCTGTGATGCTCCCTACTACAGAGGCTTCTATGCGCGATAATATGGTCAAGGTGTCAGAAGAGTTTGATGAAATGTTGCAAAGCAGCTTCTCTCTTGCAACAACAGAGACACCAAAGCTGGTTCGCATTCAATCGAACCATCAATTGTGCGAGTGTCGATGTGTGTGTGTCCAGCCCAATGCAAAAATAATGGAGTAAAAATAATGATAGATTGCTCAATTTTCAACCTACTGTTACGCTAATTTCCTTTCGATATCCACTACAAGGAAAGCACACAATTATCCTCTATATCCATCAACTGCGCACCTGAACGTTTGGAATATCCACCGGGACAAGAGCAAGCCAAGTACCAGGGTTCGCAGCATGCCAAATCCGGGGTACATTTCGGTCGTCGTGAAGTCGACCCTTTTAGCCATTGCCTTTCATTGGCGCGACTAACACCCCAGGTTTCAGGGCGAGGCGTTTAATTCTCCGGTGCCCCGGATTCTGCGGCACTTTGCAATATCGAAGAACCAGTCACGAGCATCATTTCATAACGAGGCGCCAGGGTGATTGTGAGCGTTTGGGCAGCGATGGGAATTTATGGAGCATGAGGACTGGTAGGGAATCGATCAACATTCATTTACGATTTCCTGGGCGTGGTCTTGGTCGCGACCTGGTTGCTGGAGCCAAGAGTAGATTGATGGCTTGTGAGGCTTGACCCAGAGCTTCTACGTCTATTTTGCAGCTTTTGAGAAGATGGCGTGGAGCTTGAGGAGAAATGATATGGATGAGTTATTGTGAACTGGGTTGATTTAGTACTAACTACTCGTGGCGTCGGTCCGATGACCATTTCTTTGGTAGATTACTCAGAACTTGTTTAAACCGAGGAATCATTTTCAATCCCCATTTGGTTCTCACCGAGCAACAACGTGGTCCCGAAAATGGTGAACACTTGATGATCTGCTGTGTTCGAGAACAATCCGCCCATGGCGAGATCTGAGTTGGGTGTTGTTCAATCTCGATATCTCCACCAATCCTTTCATCAAACAAGAACCCGGCTAGCCTCGTCTGATGTTTCTCTAGCGCATAAACAACATATTCTTCTGTGCAACTTTCAACCTGATTTCGTTGCCAATTCTAGCAAGTCTGTGCTAGGCGATGTCTTCAATATATTGTCTGTCTGCTGAGAAACTTTTGCCATCAACGCCGCGGCTTAAGGAGCAATCTGTAGATGCCTCATTGTAGACTATTTTCGATAGCGCGATGGGGAAAAATAGGAGCATCCTCATCGCCAAGGTGCTCTTTAACCGTGGGGAGAATAACTTTTGTATCTGGATCAGAAGGGCTGGAGGGCTAGAGTAGGGAAAGGAGAATGCCATGGCGGAAAAGGCAAAGTGGTGCGCCGTTACTTCTCCACCGCAGCGATATTGAAACATCTAACTTAATGTACAGCACGGGCTTGTCCTGTCACACCTTTTTCGGATGGCAGCACCAATAGGGTTACCGTGTTTCAAGAAACATAAACACTCGATTACATCCATTGGTTGAAGGTGCATGAAATTCGGTGATATATTCAACTGGTTGCCAAGTATTTCCTATTAAATCGTCATGCCGACAAGCATACGCCATCCCTTTAATGCCAAAATTCTGGTTACTGCACCGATGGAGCCCTGTCGGTTTACACTGCGGGCCGTGAGGAGCTGGGATGGAGGATATCCACCAAGATCATAGGGATAGACATCCCTGAGTTTGTATAAAAGCAGTCCAGTTCGCTCTTCGAAAAAGGATCAGCACGATCTTCCTCGGACAATCAACAAGCTGTCTTACCCATCATCACGGTAATCTCGAACAAATCAAAATGGTCTCCTTCTCATCCCTCTTCGTGGCGTGCTCTGCCATCGCCGGTACTTTCGCCGCACCTGCTGAGGTTGCTAAGCGCTCTCCTGCTGAGTTGATGGAGCGTGGAACCCCCAGCTCTACTGGAACTCATAATGGATTTTACTACTCCTTCTGGACTGATGGTGGCTCCGACGTGACCTACACCAACGGAAACGGCGGCCAGTACTCTGTGCAATGGAAGAGTGGCGGAAACTTCGTCGGTGGAAAGGGATGGAACCCAGGAAGCGCACGGTAAGAAATCCCAAAGTCTGCGTTGCTTTCATTCCATAGCTTGAGGCTGATGAGACGGTTAGAACAATCAACTACTCTGGAACCTACAACCCCAACGGCAACTCCTACCTCGCCATTTACGGCTGGACCACCAACCCACTCATCGAGTACTACATCGTTGAGAACTTCGGCACCTACGACCCGTCGTCGCAGGCCACCAACAAGGGCTCCGTCACTGTTGACGGATCCTCCTACAAGATTGCGCAGAGCACCCGCACCAACGCCCCATCCATCGAGGGCACAAGGACCTTCGAGCAGTACTGGAGCGTCCGCCAGAACAAGCGAACTGGCGGATCCGTCAACACCAAGACTCATTTCGATGCTTGGGCTTCCAAGGGCATGCGGCTCGGAACCCACAACTACCAGATTGTTGCTACTGAGGGCTACTTCTCCTCGGGATCTGCTAGCATCACTGTTCAGCAGTAGATGGTATAGGGGAGATTCTTTGGGTACCTTCTGGTTGGGAGGAGGATACTCAACATTTGTGTAAATATTTTTAGCTTTGGATAGCCTCCACATATGATGTGAATATGATATAAGGAACCAATTATGATGTTGCCAGCACGGTAGCATCGTAAACATAATTGTAGCAAGAACGTAACTGCTCATGTGATGATGTGATGACCGTTGTAATGCCGTCGAGCACACTTGAACTGGGTGGTTAAATACCGATTAGTAAAATACAACGTGTATCTGCCAATTGAATTCAGGCAGAAAACCCAGAGATCCAAATGTCACAAAATTTTGCTGCACCGTAATGTCTCTTAAAACCACAATCGCGATTCATTTGTTACTCAATCACTGGCATTGTCACCAGTCCGAGCTCTATGCGGGAAAATAAAGGAAAATTTGGCGTCTGTCGTGATATGTACAGTCCAACGGGTCTCATGTGGTGCCTCCATCTGATCGGCCTCCTCTTGATATAAATTTCTGGTTGTTCTAAGCTTTCTCCGTTCGTCCGCACTCGTATCCTCTTAGTCCTTCTTCGCATTGGGGTCGGGCAGGATACCCTCAGCTTCCAACCTTCGGCGTGCCTCCTCGAGGGCCCATGTCTGTATGCTGTGTGGGAAGTTAGCACGATGGCTACCGGATTCACATCGGATGTCATCGCCCTCATCTCTACAAAGACCTCCTCCGACGCAATTTTCGCAATTCCCTTACCTCGTATCTGGCTTGAATGCATATGCGATGATTCCAAAAGCACAGCTTCCGTAAAAACCGTAATACCAAACGTTCTCCCATCCCTCCTTCTCGTACTTCTCGCCGGGCTTAACACCAAACAGCCATCCGGTCGGAGGATCGTAGTGGCTTCCGTGATCACCACCACCGCCCTTCACAATTGTTGTCTGAGAGAAGGTTCGCTGGACTGCGGGGGTGCGGAGACTGAGTGGGTAGAAGAAAGTTGGGCGTTGGAGCGCGAGGGCCCGGCTACAGCGCGAAATCGGTGGCATTGGGTGATGTGCTTGGTCGAGACCGGTAATTCAGAGTGGAGAGTTTTCAATTCGTAGGGTGTCGACCGTGCGGTAGGTCGAAGGGGTTGTCGTGATAGAGTCGTGTCTGATGGCGATGAGTGTGAGGTCGAGGTTTGGATTGCTCTTGGCAAAGAACGGATCCCGAAAGGGCTTAGCGTGATACACCATCGGGAAGTAAAGTAATCCTACAGCTTGCTTTGACGACGTCACAGAATACTGAACTCATAAGAGTAAATTTTATTTTTATTTGAATCTGTTAATTATAGAAACACGCCTACTGATTCATGGTAGAAGCAGTCAGCAAACTGGTTCGGCGCAGTGCCTATTCAAAATTGGGTCAATCCATCTTGCGTGAAGTCTTAATGTGTGTTGTATTTGAGTTGATTTCTACGCATACTAACAGCGGATGTCGAAATATACATAAATGAGCTCCGCATGAACACCGTGCGCTATGCAAAAGGGATTGGGATATCAAATTCTTCAGTCTACCACTCATGCAGGTATTGCGGTCTTCTCTTGCTCCTTTTCTGCCTCTGGGTTGACGTCTTCTTTGAACGACATCTGCGAGAGTCGTACGGAAGTCTCCTCGACTGCCTGTTCTTCCTTTGTGTCCTTAGCAGCTTCTCTCTCCTTCTCCTTTTCCTTGCGTTGCTGTTCGGCTTGCTCCAGCTCGGCCAGCCTGGCAGCGGTCTTGGCCGCTTCTTCGGCCTCCTCCCTTTCCTTCTCTGCGCGCTCAAGGGCTTCAAACTCATCGTCAATCTCTGTCTCATCGACGGGTGCACCGGATTCGTTGATAATGGTGTTGATCTCGTCTGTAGTGTCCATCTCGGCCCTCAATGTATCGACGACCTTTGTGACACCTTCTGTGCCTCCAACGCGGTTGTTCAGACTCTTGAGAGCAACCGCACTGGCTTCCATTGCTTTAACGATCTCGACCTGATCAACAGCTTGCTGCATTTTTGCGTAGGTTTCTCCGAACTGAAGCACCAACTGCAAGCGATGTTCCAATGCGGACTCGGCCAACTTTTTGGAGCGAAGTGCGGCTTTTGCTCTGGTCATCATCTTGTTTCTCACTGCTTCTCTTGCAGTTATATCCGCCGTTGCAACCTTTTCTTCCAGAGGATGAATTTCGGAATTGAGCTTCGCAATTTGGTCTCGCAGATTTGCTATAGCGGAATCTATTTGGGTGATTGGCTGAGGCGTTTGATCGTTTTCTGACTTGAACTTGATGGTCTGAGCGTCATAGGAGATTGACTGCTTGTCCCTAGCCAAGTGTACAAGGAGGATGTTAAGGTCGTTCGGACTGAGTGAGGAGATCGGATTGAGAACGTTCGAGAATCGCTTGAGGAAATCCTTTCGGGAGAGTACGCGATCAACATCTGATGTTTGAGCAGCCATTTGCTTCAAGATCTCTTCCGCGGCAGTCTTCCCTGCTCGTTAGCACCATCTTGTCATAATTATTTGATCAGCTCACCTCCACATTGCTCAGAACCACGAAACTCCCAGTTCCGAGCTTATCACCAAACCCCGGCTGTCCCAGTACACCAAGCGTCCTTAAGCCCCATTTGACAACCGCCCAGGGCGAGGGTACCCAACTCGTCTTGTAAATGCTTTCCTGCGAGTTCAAGAAGTCCTGCAAAGGAAGGAACTCTTTCTTCGAGACGGCATCGTGGAACACGGCAGATAGACACGTTGGTTGGCCGAAATTTGGATGTTGGAGGGCTCGCGCAAGCTCCTGTCCCGTCCGGATGTTGAGTAGATCCTTTGTATTTCCTCCCTGCGAAGGGATCACACCCGCGCGCGCTGCATCTGCAAGGGCTTTCTTCCACGCCGCTATGTTTGCATGATACCCGTCTGGATTTGTGTTGAGTTGGTTGCGGAAATCTGCGTACAGCGAGGCGAGGCGGTTGCGTCTGGATGTTATGAGCTTTTCCTCAAGCTAGACGAAAAGGATGCAAAAGAAAACAAATGTATTGAGTATGTATACTTACGATTTGAAAGCTTCTTCGTAATTCAAAATGAAATCCAGGAGATTGCTCATGGTGGATGGTGTTGGAGAGATCCAGGAATATGGACTTGAGGATTTCTTTTTCTTAGTACTGAAGGGTCCGGTCCATCGTTTCGTCATCCGGGGGTTCTGGTAAACATCATCATTGTCGCGTGGGGGACGATCGCTGCCAAGACCAACAACATCATGGTCTGAGCGCTTCCTTTTAAGCATTTCGTATTGTGTTTAATAGAGGTGCAAAGAAATATATGGAGGCATAGCATGGGACGTTAATGTTTATGAGAGAGGGCTTGTATGCGTCATAATACATGTTATGTGTTTGTTTGACCTGGGGCTCTAACAGCCACTCAATGCCTAGGTAACCTAATGCTTTCACCACCTTTCACCTGTAAACGCGACGCAGCAAGTCACAACCCGGACCCTGCATTGGTGGGATGCCCCTCTTTTTCGACGCGTTACTTTTACCTACAGGTTGATTTCACTTTCACCTTCTTCGATGAACTGGATGAATGCATGTGTGGTGTTTCTCGTTGTTGACTGTTCCAGAGAGCGCAAGTTCAGACTGGCGTCTTACGCCTCGTCAGTCACCGCGGTTCTGATTTGTATATTCACCCTTGCGGTTTCCTAGTCACCTTGATACCATCGTCCTTGTCCTTCTTCTCCATGAATTTCCGCATTTCTTCTAAGTCATCCTCCATATCTTCATCGTCCGCGTCGCCACCAGATTGCTTAGGTGTTTCGTCCTCGTCCGGAAAGGTGCGTTGTTGACCGGCTTGCGCAGATGGATGAGATATATTGGCCGCAGGGCCAGCTTCCTCAGCCCAACCCTTTCGCTCTTCCTCGTCCATTTCCTCTCTCCGGTCGAGCCATCGTTCCTGGACATCTCGGGCATCCATGGTGACAGCATCCTGGCGCATTGCCATCTGCCAGACTGTATCATTTGCGCCCTCAACTCCCCCAAAGGCGTAGCCTCCTGCGCGATCAATTGCGCGGAGCAAGATCATCATGCTCTTCTTATCCTCCACAGCTAATGTCTCGAATCCTACAAGCGCAAAGTCTTCGACTAAATCCACGATTGCTTGGTTCAGTGCGGAGTACTTGGATACGGGTTCGTCTCCTTCCGCAACATCCTTTGTTGTTGCGCTTGTAGGTCCAGGTATTCCCGATGTTTGTTCCTTGTTTAGGAGTGGGAGTAGGTATGAGAGATCCTGCACTTCAGTATAGTAGTCTAGATTGAACGGTAGGTTCGGATAATTGTGGAGATTATCGATCTTTGTGAGCACATTCAAATGTGGCAAATCCATTTGCAGCATGCTCCGTAGCGCAAGCAGTAGGGAGGATACATAAAGCGAAGGGCGGGTGAGCACGATAGAATCGGTGAGGTGTAATACTACGAGCTGTTCTGTTGTTAGAGCTTGTTTCAATGAGTCGACGACCAGTAGATAATTACTCTGTACCCGAGCTTTTGAAGACGGAAGAATATGTTTCGCAATGAAGAGTGATGTGTGAAGAGCTCGACCTGACCAGGGCAGTCGAACAGAATATAGTCGTCTGCGCACCCATCAGCTTTTGTGCTTCTTCAGTGGCATTGGACTTGCGGACCTCCGAGCTCCTTCAATCCTTCCTCTAACCAGTCGAAATTATGCTCTAACTCTTCCAAAGCATACAGGACACCACCGTTTGGGCCCAAGTCCTCCTGCTCCATGATCTCGTCTATTGTGACCAGGTCACGTACATCAAGTGCGCATGGATATGATGTTTGATCGTTTGCGGGATCGAGATTCACGACGGAAACTTTTCGTTCTATGGCAGTCATAAATTGGTGCATACCATTGCAGTATGTTGACTTTCCCGAGCCAGGCGGGCCTATCACCAGCTGTGCGAACGGCATCCTAAAGAGCTGTTAGCAGCTGTCCGGCTTCAGCGGAAGAGTAAGGAATGATCGTTCAGTTAGTTAGTATCACGAATAACTATTTCTATGTAACTAGTTAGAGGGGGAGCTTCTTGAGGGGCATCGGGGCTTGGCAACGAATTTCCGCCGACGTCTAAGATCGACGTCCTATGTTTGTTGCTGGAAGCAATCACAGAGCTTCCTCACTTCCCCAATTCGCACAGCTTGTCGCGCATAATTCAAGATGAGTGGTATGTTTCACCTTCCAAAGTATATAAATGTACATAAGACTAATAATTGTAGCCCAGTTCGAGCTTGCGCAAAACCCTTCCGACGTCATCTCCGCGGTGAAATTCGCACCCGAGACATCAACACGGCTTCTCGTGTCCTCGTGGGACAACAATGTCTATCTCTACGACACACATGCAGAGCCTGGAGGCAAGCTGTTAGAGAAGTTCGAGCATCGCGCGCCCGTTCTCGATGTGTGCTTTGGACGCGACGAGAATGAGGCATTCAGCTGCGGTCTAGACTGGGAAGTGCGAAGGTAACAATCCCCCATATATGCTTCGCAACAAAATACACCCTATCTCGTGATCCAAAAACTTACCAGAGTACCCTAGAATCGACCTCTCATCTGGCGACCAGACCATTCTCTCAACCCACGACAAGCCCGCAAACCACGTCCTCTTCTCCGCCGCTCACAACCTCCTCATATCCTCGTCATGGGACTCGACATTGCATCTCCACGACCTCTCCACACCAGGCGACTTCTACACGCTCACGCTCCCCTCGAAACCCTTCTCCATGTCGATCTCGCCTACCAAGCTCGTCGTCGCAATGGCCTCCCGCCACGTCTTCATCTACGAGCTCGACGTCCTCGCAAAAGCAGCCGTGGAGTCCCCCGCCGGCGAGGTGCCTACCTGGCAGAGGAGGGAGAGCAGCATGAAGTACATGACGCGCGCGGTGGCGTGCATGCCCAATGATGCCGGTTATGCGAGCAGCTCGATAGAAGGCCGAGTGGCTGTCGAATGGTTCGATCCAAGCGAGGAATCGCAGGCGAGGAAGTACGCATTCAAGTGCCATCGACAGGCCCAGGATGGCCAGGATGTCGGTAAGTTTCACTCTCGGTCCGCCGATGAACCCAAGAGAATCGAATCCGCTAACATGTGTTATCTAGTCTACCCCGTCCACATCGTTGCCTTCCACCCCGTGCACGGAACTTTCGCGTCTGGCGGTGGAGACGGCATAGTCGCCCTCTGGGACGCAGCAGCCAAGCGAAGAATCAGACAGTACCAGCGTTTCCCATCCTCCATAGCCACCGCTGCCTTCTCTGACGACGGAAAGTACCTCGCAGTGGGCGTCAGCCCGGCCATCGAAGACGGCCAGGATGACATCGCAGATGGGGCCATCAAGGTCTTCATCCGCGAGCTCACCGAGACCGAAGCCCAAGGAAAGAAGAAATGAGCTCCTCTACCCCAAAAAGCAGGACTCTAGGCCGCGTTGGGGCGTATGGCGTTTAACAGGACAATGAAAGGAAGCATAGTACAGCCGGAAATTTTCAAAACCCGTTTGTATATATGATTCACATACCCAAGACCTTGTCTGAATAGTTTTTAGATTTGGAGAATTAAGTAAATTAAAGTAATGTCCATCCTCTGAAAGTGAGACTCGTAGCGAGGTTAGGCAACTTCTAACTTATTCTTGCTGTGCATTCTCACTACATGACAACATATTGTTGGCGGCGTTGGGCGACGCAGTGATTTTCTAGTCGTTCTCTACGTAACAGGACATTTGTTGGGAACTCGAACTTCACCAAATGTTTTCTCATCACGGCCTGCGATTTGACCTAAGAGCTATCCTCGACTCTCACTTATGATCACGTTTCCACCAGACCCTTCCTCCCTCACTAGACACAGCATGTCTGCCATGTCATGTCCGAAAATCGAAGTGCTTCGCTGGAACGCGTCGAGCGTCTACGTCAAGTGTCCGTACTGCGATGAGGAACATCGGCACGGCGTCAGTCTTCCAGGCATGCGTACTTCAGGCTGCCAACCAGGTGGCCAGTACGAGTTCATATTCCCCATCGATGAAAAGACCGGACGTGTCGGCTATGAGATTGACAAGAGTAGGGCTTGCTTCGTGAAAGCTGGCTCGCAAGCAGATCAACAGGATGAGGTTATACATTCTTCCGATCAAGATGAGCGCGTTCTAGCCGGTCTCTTTCACTACAAAATGCGTATCTCAACCACAAAGCCAAAGCCAGGGCCGGTTTTAAATCTCTATGATGATTCAAAAGAGTTCAAAACTATCAATCTTCCGAACGGGGATAGCTTCGAGCAGAAGAGGATCTTAGACGCAATTTCAGATTGCGTGCTAGGCAACTTGCCTGCAATAACTCAATATCTCAACACTTCTGCCGAGGCGAACCTTTTTCTGCATGGAAGAGGCCACGCTGGAAACACCACTCTGATCAGGGCTGCGGCAGAAAAGAGCCACGAGATGGTGTCACTTCTTCTCCAACACGGCGCAGACGCGAATGCTACCGATGAACACGGACGCAGTGCGCTCATGGAGGCAGCGCTCTGGGGCCGAACTGGCAACGTAGAAGCGCTGCTCAAGGGCAATGCGGACAAACGCCTTCGAGACAATGAGGGTCGCTGTGCCGTGGATTTAGCCCAGCCAGCTCCCAAGAATGAAGAAGAGAGATATCGGCGCTCGCAGTTTGCGGCTGCAGACAACGTGCTCGAATGTAATCGACACAGGCGATCTATCGTCGTCTTACTCGGTGACTCGAACGCCGATAAGCAGTACCAGTACACTGAACCACCTTCAGAGAGCGAACGCATCAAGTACAGTTTCAAGAAATCCCAATCCGAGATGGCGATCACGCTTCACGGACCCATTCGCAGCTACCCTGTGCCACGTATCAGTAAAACCGCCGCCGTCCTTGATAGGGGAGGCCAATTCAAACAGATCTCGGCGACCAGTGGTTGGGGCGTCGATGCCCTGCCCCCAAGCCCTACGAACAGGCCACACTGGGTCGAGCAGGTCTATCATATCGCGTCCGTAGTTGGCCATGTACTCCCAGATGCACCGAATCCAGATTGGGATCAAGATAGATCCGGACAGTACTATGCATCCCATGCGGAGAAGAAGTTAATTGCCTACTTTATCGAGAGGCATGTTTTCTTGCCTCAAGACAGACAGCCTGACAGGAATCTGGAAGACTCGATCATTGAAATAGAAGACATTATCGCAGAAGGAGAAGACTCGTTCGCAACATGGAAGAAGGTGCGTGATTTGTAGGGAAGGAAAGCAGAATTGGACCACCAGCTCTTCGAAGCAGATGATCGATTGCTGGGTGACGCTTATGATGCACGGGAAGTTGAGAGGCTGAAACATGAGATTCATGTTGTCGAAGAAGAACTGCTGAGACTTGAGTCAGACGATAAGGTGGCTGCGATGAGAGTTCAAGAGGAGAAGAGATCCACATTCTTGGAGAAAGAAAAAATGCATCAACATTTGATTGAGCTGAGTGAAGCCGCGCCCCTGCTATCTTTGAAACGGGCAGTCATACTGAGCAGCAATCCGATCTGCAAAGACTGTGATATGTTCATGGAAAGGGTGAACCGCTGGTTTCATTTGAATATCGAAATGACTTTGTGTACCTAGTCCAGGGAATGGCTTCTACATCACGTACAACATCAACAATAGTCGGCGTTAGCTAACCGTACAAAATGAGTATAGCACATCTTAAAGCGCTTGCGACTTCAAGTTCAATCTAACAAGTAATGTGAATGATATTATGACAGAGATCAATCAGCAATTTCAGCATTTAGTCGGGGCGGACTCTTAACTCATACATTGCAGAAAATCGATCTCATTGATGTGTGGCACGCATAATCACACTAGTTCATCTACCAAATCCGTGCTACGGGGTGTTGTAATTGTGCTGGCATTCCCTCAGCCCATAATGCTTACTTACTAAGAGGAAAAAGGTGGACTATCTAGAATGACATGTCATAACTGCAAAATAAGCTTCTCGTGATGAGTGGACAGACAAAATGTATCATCTTATCTCTTATTTCTCAATTAAATACCACGTTCCAGCTAGGTACAATTCGAGGAAAAGAAGAGGCAATAAAGTAAAGTACGAAATGTTTTTCTAATGCCCGCCTAAACGTACTATACTACAATGTATTTTCAACCATACGTTGTTCCTTGCCAAAATATGTCAAGCCTGCATTCAATCTAATAAGGAGAAACAGTGGCATGTTAAACGATAAGTTACCGTGAGGGCCCTCAAGGGGTCAGGATGCGGTTTCACATCCCCCCGTCCGGTTTTTTTTGTTTTAATCCTATACTGAGGTGTAGTGATATCTACAGCACAGTTCAACGTGCCGAGCGATAAAAGAAAAGAAGGAGAATCGTCGACGATGAGAGAAAGAGAACCCTTAGATACTGCTCCTCAGCGGAACATGCGTCCGACCATCCCCCGCCAGGTCCTTGATCCTCGCCTCCAACCCCTCAGCCTCAGTCTTCAGCGTGAGCAGCTCGTCCCAGACGTCGTGGCTCGCGCCGAACTGATCAACCGCCTTGCTTTTGTTGCCATCGTCGGCGATGTGCTGGACGCAGTCTTCGAGGTTGTGCTCGACCCACGCCCAGGCAGCCTCCCACTGCATCCGCTTCTCCTGGTTCGTCCTCAGAGCTGCCTGGCTCCTCTGGAGCTCAGCCTCAATGCCCGCTGGATGCGGGTTTGCGGGTACGTTGGCGGGGAGAGAGCACCGGCGCCGGTAGACGGTGCCGCTTGGGAGTTGTCCCATCCGCGGCCCGAAGGTCGGGGACTGGGGGCTGAGGTCTGCGATTTGTGTTGATTGGGGTCGTCGGGTTCGCTGGCCTCGCTCGGGAGCGTATATGGATCTGTTCGCTTTTCGACTTTCTGATATGTGTCTTGTGCTGGTGGTTGTGGATGGGTGGTCGGGTTTTGGGTGTTGCTGTTGTGCTGGTGACGGAGGGCTCGGGCGATGATGTGCCATATTGTATCTGGGGAATCTGAAGACGCCATCTTCTTTGCTCTGATGCTCTAATTCGGTTTGGGGAAGTTTGAGCTCAGCCTGCTTCTCGACGAGTGCAGGAACGAGTAGGCGCTGGTCAATTGTAGAGTTGCAATTGGTTGTCATTGTCTGGAGCTCAGTAATAGGCAGTGTATTCAAACGATCGTTGGGGATATTCTCCTGGACCTTTATAATATGCAATGGTACAGGCGACAGCGAAGGTTGTAGAGGAGCTAGTGTTGACGGTGAGACTGGAGCCATGGTAGCGGACCGCGCGGGGGATTCCATCCAGGGTCTAAGTAGGTAGAGACTAAGCGCTTGTTTGATGCTTGCGGGGGATGCGTCACGCTTTAACCTGCTCATTCTGGTAGACCGGTGGTTTGTTGGTTTCAGGATTTCTTTGTGCTCCCGAAGCCGGTTGCCAACGGGGTCCAGTGGCAACTACGGTTCGGAATGTTTTATTGATAGCAGGTCTGATGTAATGAGACACTTTTCCAATTGGCTCCCGGGCGTTTTGACTGGGCGATGTTTCTTCGCAAACGCATTAAGCTTTGTTGGCTCTTTATCGTCTGCAGCGTAGACCTGCTGCATACAACGTTGAACATCTCGCTTTCGATTGGATACGGAAGGTCTTTCCAAAGCTAGCTTGCTCATGTTTTGTTATTTCTCCGTTCCCTTACGCATTATTGACTCTAAAGTGCAATCAGTAATTGGGTTCCGACAAATCAAAGTAGTGACTTACGTGAAGTTGGTCCTAAAATTCCCGCAGCATTCCAAAGGCATCTGACCCTGCCAGAGACAACACTAAAGTGAGGCAAGCGGGATTAAGGATTGCAACACTGCCTCTCTGTCCATCCATCAAACCTCGTAGGTTCATTCACACGATAGCGTCTGTGTCCTCTATTCGCTCTCGTCATCACTCGCATCGCTCTCCTCAACCACCATCTCCTCGTCTTCCCTCCTCTTACTAGCCGCAGCCGCCCTCACGATGTCAGACACGCCAACCGTGTCCTCACCGCCTTGAGCGCGAAGAATAATGTCCTTAGCCCGTCTTATTATCTCCTCCTCCGCATGCCTAATCGTCGCAGAGACCCTGACAACCCTAATTACAACCGGTATACCTAGCTTGCCTAGCTCAGTCATGTTCGTCAGAGCAGCCCACGCCATCTGGTAATGCGCCTGCGGACATCTGACGATCGAGGTGGAGGTGGCTGTAGAATGATAATTGACTGTTTGACATGTTGTTAGCTTTGTCTTGCACTTCGCAGAAAATTGGTTGTGAATCCGTACTTTTCAGACCTTGTCCTACCATGCCCATTCCGTAGTCTCCGAAGAGTTCGGTGACTGCCTGTCTTATCGCCTGGTATAGTGCCCTGCTGTCGAATTTGTCTGGCGTTGGGCGGTGGAACTGGATGAGTTGTGGGACGGCATCGTGGGATGGATGTTTCTGGTCGGACGACGGTTCTGGGTACAGATAGTTCACTATCAGGTAGCGGTACTTGACGCGAACCATTGCGACAATTCGAGGTGAGGTCTAGTCGACTGAGGGTGGGCAGATGTTGAGTTGTCGTGAATTGACTCAGGTGCGTGGGTCTGCAGTGAAATGGCAGGGTAATGAGACATCAAACGATAAGACTCATACTCAATGCTCATACTCTTCAGACACTGACGCATATAGATGCTACAAAGCCAGCGGTGAAGGGTAAAGCTGTGCAGCGTCGTGCGCCGTGGTAACACACACAGTAGAGTATCGTAGGACGCGAGAAAGATCTCAAAATCTCAGCCCTATGAGATCGGTCGCGCGGGACTGTCTGTCGCATTAATTAAATCCTTCGCGGGTCTTGGCATCTGCCCGGTGACGTTGCCCCTTCTCTTTGTACGAGTACGAACAACAACCACCACATCACGACTACACTCTCTCTATCAACAACACTCACGATACCCCATTCTCACGCTCTCATCCTCAACTGCACACCCACGTCCCAGACAACAAAGCATCAGATCTCCAACCCGATCCCACGAAACACAGACACCCCCCGAACCTCTCCCCCGAGAAATACACCGGCCGTCCGTCAGAAACCCAGGCACCACCACCACACCCATCATCCACAATGGCCTCCTCCTCAACATCCACGCCTCTCCTCTAGTACCTCTCCCCCTCTCCCCTCTCCCCCCTCAAACCCTCCAACTAACCACCCCCTCCAGCGCCTGTATAGCCCACAACACGACCATCCTAACCGAACACACCACCTCCGCCTCCTCAGCCAGCTCCTCCCTCCCGTCGCTCATCCTCCCCAAGATCAGCCACACCTCCCCCCAGAAACTCACCTACACCCACGGCGACCACTACATCCACTACATCGCATCCGCGCCCTCTGAGCACCCGTCTTCCCAGTCCTCCGCCGGCGGCCTCACCTTCCTGACCGTCGCGGACGCCTCGCTCGGCCGCCGCATCCCCTTCGGCTTCCTCGTGACGCTGCAGAAGAAGTTCCTCGAGGAGTACGACCCCGCGACTACGGACTTCGCCGCGCTGCCGAGTTATGGCGCCGCGAGCTTTAATGCGCGGATGAAGGCGCTGATGGTGGAGCAGGGGGGCACGGAGGCGGGCCAGAAGGACGCGCTGAGGACGGCGCAGAGGGAGATCGAGGGCGTGAGGGAGATTATGACGGAGAATATTGAGAGGGTGCTTGAGAGGGGGGAGAGGATCGATTTGCTGGTTGATAAGACGGATCGGTTGGGGAGCAATGCGAGGGACTTTAGGGTGAGGAGTCGTGGGCTTAGGAGGAGGATGTGGTGGAAGAATGTTAAGCTTATGGTGCTGTTGGCGCTCGTGGTTATCTTCTTGGTCTATCTGTTCGTCGGGTTTGGATGCGGGCTGCCCGGCTGGAGCAGGTGCTTGCGCCATTGAGTTCTTTGGCACTCGCCAGTCCTTGTTTCTGAGCCATGCTTCAAGAGCACATCAAGCAAGCAGTACGATGTTTTGAAGTGGAGAGGTCACGATTGTTCTGATTGATTCCTCACATGTGTAATAATAGGCAGCGATTCATACTCGTAGTAAGCAACAACATATCAAGGCGTCTGGAGTATATATTTAAACCAGAGGCCCGAACATGCATATGCACATGTCATTGAATTCCGTCCTGCTTCGTATAAAAAACATCTGATATCTCCAATCCCACATCACCGTGGGACGTGCATTCTTTTCCATGTCATACTCATAGACCAATGTTGGTCATTCCCTTCCGACGCTTTCCTATGCAACAATGTATATGGCCTAATAGGCACAAATCGGGAAACAAGAGAAAGAAGCCTGAAAGGCTCGTAATGAAAAAAGGACGCCAACCGGTAGCGTCCCAGACGATTTGCTCATGGAATATCGTCATACCCGAAGATTCCCAGACCCTAAAATGCTTTAGACAAATCCCAATGCTTCCCAAACCGGGTATTAGAGGAACGCCCCACCCACCAAATGCGTCCGTGCACTCCCGCAAAAAACCCAAAACGACCAAACCGAGAAAAGAAAAATTGAAATAGCTTCCCCCAAACGGGGAATGGAAAAAAATGAAGTAAATAGTAGGTCGTAAAACGTAATGGTACACCGTTAGAACCCACATTGACGCCGGTCTAATGCTTTTTGGTGGGACTGTTGACTCCAGTCCTCTCTATGCTAAATGACGACGCTTTCTAATATGTAAAAAATGAATGATGAAAAGCTTTTGTTCCACTTCGGTCTGTTTTCCAACAATGTAGATCTTTGAACGCCGAAATAGAATCGCAGTCTGGGTTGACACAAAGGAATAAATGAACGCCGAGGGTATTTACGTTGAGCTTAGTTAGCCATAACCATCGCCAACAGCGCCATACGTGTGTACAATCCGTATCTCATCTGGAATGATATGTTAGAGGATGTATCGTCTTTAAAGATTGGAATACTCACCTGTCTGAAGTATGCTGCACGAGGATCAAAGTCCAACTCCTCGTGAATCTCGTTGTTTCTGGGCAGAGGGTGCATAACGATCATATTGGCCTTTGCGCCCTTCATGACACGGTTGTCCACCACGAAGGCGTCCTTGACGGCCTCATACTTGGCAACGTCGGGGAAGCGCTCCTTCTGTACACGAGTGCAGTACAGAACGTCCGACTTGGCAACGATCTCGGGCGTAAGCTCGTGCGAGACGACCGACAATTGGTTGCGAGACTTCAAAGCCTCAGTGACGGACTCGGGCATGCGAAGAGACTCAGGAGACACTAGCTGGATGGTGACATCGTAGTGCTTGAGAAGCTCGCAGAGAGAGTGCACCGTGCGTCCATACTTGAGGTCACCAACGAAGGTGATGGTGAGGCCGTTGACGGTACCAAGCTCCTCACGGATCGTGAAGATGTCGAGGAGAGCCTGAGTGGGGTGCTCGCGGCTACCATTTCCAGCATTGAGGACTGGAACGTTCGAGAACTTCGTAGCAATGTCGATAGACTCCTCAGCAGGGTGACGGAGGACGATGGCATCGCCATAGCAGCCGAGGGTGCGGATGGTGTCAGCAATCGACTCGCCCTTCTTGGTCGAAGACACATTCTCGTTCACGACGACAACCTCACCACCCAAGCGCTTCATGGCAGTATCGAAAGAAGCGGATGTGCGCGTAGATGGCTCGAAGAACATGGTGCAGAGAACCTTGCCCTTGAGGATGTCCAAGCATCCCTGGCGTTGGGCACCAAGTCTCATCTCCTGGGCGATTGTGAACAGAAGATGGAGATCGGCACGAGTGAACTGGCCGACTGAGGTAATGTGCTTCCTCTTGAAGGGTGACTTGGCCAACAGCTGGCTGAGCGAGAGCGAACCGTGGAGGTTGGACAGCTGTGAGTGTTGCTCGCGAGATCCAGGAGCAGGGAAAAATTCTTGGTAGTCGACCTTGCTGATCTCCAGATCGTAGTGTCGGGCGATAGCCTCAATCAAGAGCTTAGCGTTCTTGACGTTGGTGACCAGAGGAGTCTGGTAGTCAACAGCCATACGCCTAGTGCGGTAACCTCTGCTCATGTAGTTCGCCGGTCGTCGGAAACGGTTGCTGGATGGCAAGTTGATGTACAAGTCGATGAGGTTGTTAGACAAATGCTGGGTCAGAGAGTACTCTGGCTTCTGCTCATCCTGATCCTCGTTCGGAAGGGCTTCCAAGAACTTAACGGGAATACCGTGTTCTTGAATGTAATCCGCAGTTCCGGCTGTAGCAAACAGGTTGTAACCCATCTTGTGAAGGCGCTCAATGGAAGGCAGCATCTCGAGCTTATCCTTGAAGGATCCGATAGAGAGCAAGATGTTCTTCTTTGGCAGACGGAAACCAGTGGCGACGAGACCCTTGATGTAGGCCTCGTACTTCGTTCGACCGAAGCAAGCAACTTCACCAGTAGAAGCCATCTCAACACCAAGAACAGGGTCGGCGCCGGAGAGACGAGAGAAGGAGAACTGAGGCACCTTGACACCGACGTAATCGGCGGGAATATTGACAGGTGGGTATTCATTGACGGGAAGTCCGGCCATAGCCTTCGTGGCCATCTCGATGAGATCGACACCCATGGTCTTGGAGACGAAGGGGAAAGACCTGGAGGCTCGAACGTTACACTCAATGACCTTGATCTCATTGTCCTTGGCAATGAACTGAATGTTGTATGGACCAGTGATGTTCAGTGCGTTACCAATCTTGCGGGTGGCATCCTCGATCTGTCGAACAGTCTCGGGGTCGAGATCCTGGGGAGGGAGGATCAAGGTTGCGTCACCAGAGTGAACACCAGCGTTCTCAACATGCTCAGAGATGAAGTGACCGATCATCTGTCCATTGCGAGCGACAGCGTCCATCTCAATCTCCTTGGCGTTCTCGATGTACTTGGTGATGACTACAGGGTGGTCCCGGGAGACATCGGCTGCTTGTTGCAGGTAGTTGGCCAAGTCGTCACGCGAGTAGACTGTGTTCATGGCAGCGCCAGAGAGGACGTAGGAAGGACGGACGAGCACGGGATAGGAGACCTTCTCGCAGAACTCCGTAGCCTCATCGATACTTGTGAGCTCCTTCCATGCGGGCTGATCGACGGAGATGCGGTCAAGCATACGAGAGAATTTGTAACGGTTCTCAGCGGTGTCAATCATCTCAGGAGAAGTACCGAGAATCTTGACGTTCATTCGGTGGAGTGGTAGTGCAATGTTGTTTGGAGTCTGGCCACCCATGGAAATGATGACACCGCTGGAGTTCTCCAAAGAGTAGATGTCCAAGACAGTCTCCAGACTGATGTTCTCGAAGTAGAGACGATCAGCCTCGTCGTAATCGGTACTCACGGTCTCAGGGTTGTAGTTGACCATGACAGTCTTGAAACCCTGCTCGCGCAAAGTCCTAATGGCGCGGACGGAGCACCAATCGAACTCGACGGAAGAACCAATACGGTACACACCGGAGCCCAAGACCATAACACCACGATCGTTGAAGTTGATATCATTCTCCGTGCCGTTGTAAGTCAAATACAGGTAATTGGTTTTAGCTGGGTACTCCGCAGCGACTGTATCGATCTGCTTGACTACAGGGAAGATACCAGCATCAACCCTGGCTCGGCGGACAGCAAGCTCGTTGGTCTCCCAGAACTTGGCAAGCTGGCGATCAGAGTAACCGAGCTGCTTGGCCCTCTTGATCAGAGGTGCAGTGATGGTTGCAGTGTTGTAGTTGGACATCTGCTTCTCGAAGTTGCTGAGACCCTTTAGGCGGCTGAGGAACCATTTGTCGATCTTGGTCATCTCCCAGATCTTGTCAACACTGTAGCCAGACTTCATGGCATTGGCAATAGCGAACAGACGTTGGTCAGATGGGGTCTGGAGCTCCTGGTCAATACCCATGAGCGCAGCTGTCTCGTTAAATCCAAGGTTGTTGACATCGATGGCCCGGATGGCCTTCTGAATTGCTTCTTCGAATGTTCGTCCGATGCTCATGACTTCACCGACACTCTTCATGGAGGATCCGAGCAGCGTCGAGACGCGAAGGAATTTCTTCAAGTCCCAGCGGGGAATCTTGACGACGACATAGTCGAGGGAAGGCTCGAAGCAAGCGCAAGTGACGCGAGTCACCGAGTTGGAGATCTCGTTCAAGGGAATGCCCAAACCAAGCTTGGCGGCAACGAAAGCCAGAGGGTAACCAGTAGCCTTGGAAGCCAATGCAGAGGATCGAGAGAGACGGGCATTGACCTCGATAATGCAGTACTCGCGGGAGAAGGGGTTAAGGGCGTACTGAATGTTGCATTCACCGACGACTCCGAGATGGCGGATAACATTGACAGCCGTAGTTCGGAGCATGTTGTAGTCTTCATCGGAAAGGGTCTGAGATGGTGCGACAACAATGGAATCTCCCGTGTGGATACCGAGTGGATCAAAGTTCTCCATGTTGCAGACAGTGATGCAGTTGTCACGTGCATCTCGGACAACTTCGTACTCGATTTCCTTCCAGCCCTTCATACTCCTCTCAATGAGGACCTGGGGACTGGCAGCGAAGGCCTTGTTGCAAAGATCGAGCAATTGGGCCTCGTTGTCGGCAAATCCACTTCCAAGGCCACCAAGGGCATAGGCGGCTCGGACAATGACAGGGAAGCCAATGTCTTTCACGACGTGCATAGCTTCCTCCACATTGTTGGCAGAGGCGGACTTGGCACACTTCTCGCCGATGGATTCCATGCTACGGGCGAAGAGCTCACGATCCTCGGTGGTGATGATCGTATCGATGGGAGTACCGAGCACCTTGACGCCCAGACCCTCGAATTCGTCCTTGAGCTGGATTCCGACCTGCAGAGCGGTCTGACCTCCGAAGGTGACGTAGATACCATCGGGACGCTCCTTTTGGATGACCTTGCGGACAAAGTCGGCAGTGACAGGCAAGAAATAGACCTTGTCAGCAAGACCCTTGGAAGTCTGAATGGTCGCAATGTTGGGGTTGATGAGGATCGTGTATATGCCCTCCTCCTTCAGGGCCTTGATGGCTTGACTACCGGAGTAGTCGAACTCGCCGGCTTGACCAATGCTCAAACCTCCACTGCCAAGAACAAGAACCTTCTTCACGTGAACGCGAGGAGCCAACTGCTTGTTCTCTTCGGCGGTTCCGCCAGGGAACTTGACGGGCTTGGAAAGGACATCGGGGGTCTTGATAGCGTCCACGATGGTGTCAATGAAGACATTGAACAGATACTCAGTGTCTCGGGGTCCGGGAGTGTGCTCGGGGTGGAATTGGACACTGAAGTAAGGTCGGTGCACGTGGCGGATACCCTCGTTGCTTCCATCGTTGGAGTTGACGAAAAGCTCCTCCCAGCCGTTGGGGAGGGTCTTGGAATCGACCGCGTAACCGTGGTTTTGAGAGGTAATGTGGCATCGACCAGAGATCAAGCTGGTACACGGGATGTTGTGACCACGGTTACCAAACTTCATCTTGAGGGTGTCGGCACCAGCAGCTCTAGCAAGCAGCTGATGACCCAAGCAGATACCGAAGATGGGGGTTCTAGCCTCATCCATAGCTGCCCTGATGTGGTTCACTGTGGATTCCATCATGGCAGGGTCACCGGGACCGTTGGAAATGAAGAGACCGTCGTATTCTTTGCCAGCAAGCTTGGGGAAGTCATAGTCCCAGGGCACGACCTGGACTTCGACGCCCCTTCGGACGAGACATCTCAATTGGTTGTATTTGAGACCAACGTCAACACAGACGACGCGGACAGGGCGACCGGAAGGATGCTGGAGAGCAGTGGCGGGGTCGGGAGAATAGATCTTGGGCTCCTTGATAGACACTATTTTTGCATTAGCACGCTGAGCCTTGTATTTCTTTCAATTCGTATCTTACCTTCTGCTACCAAGTTCTTCTTGTTGGGATCAACCCAGTCGATCTGCTCGAATTGAGGTCGCCAGTCCTCCTCGACGGTCTCCTCGACGTTCTCAACGTCGTCTGCACCGTTGGTCAATGCCTTGGAGACTGGCGCAGGTGCGGGAGCAGTCCTCCTAAGCAAACGACCAAGCATGCTTCCTTCCTCTCGGATACGCTTGGTGAGAGCTCGGGTGTCAACACCAGTGATGGCAGGAACGCCCTGCTCCTTGAGCCAGGTTCCGAGAGAAGATGTGGCGAGGTAGTGGGAGTAGTCCTCGTTTGAGTAGGAGGCCACCACGAGACCTGCGATGTGTATTTGCTCGGACTCGAAGTGTGCTGGGAGGTCCTTGAGCAGGGCATCCCGCTCTTCCCTCGAAGGCACACCATAGTTGCCGACGAGAGGGAAAGTGATGACGAGGATCTGCCCTCTGTAGGAGGGGTCGGTTATGGATTCAGGATAACCGACCATACCGGTCTGGAAGACCAATTCTCCTGCAATGCTCTTGTCTGCTCCAAAGCTCTGACCGAAGCAGACATGGCCATCTTGCAGCTCGAGGGCCATGTTATCCTCGCTGGAAGTGTGGGGTGCCATGTTTGAATGGTAGAAGTGGTTTTGGGATTGGTAGACAGCTCGAGGGCCTTTTCAAGCCTTTGAGAGTCGAGTCTGTCAGACAATTGCTGAGGAGAAAGAAAAGAGAGAAGGAAGGGAGAAGAAACGAGGGTCGGAATTTTTTTCAATAGCTGGGGGAAAAAAAATTATAGGATGTTGGTGGTGAACGAATCGAAAACTCGGCACTAGCGCGGGGTCGTTCGGATCGGTGGGATTGGAGGGTGTGATTGGCTGGAGAATTGGTTCGCCTGGCCGCCGGCTCTTTCACAGACGAGGAGCAAATAGTTACAGCACAGGAATTATAGAAGAAAGATGAAGATATGATTGATATCCTCGTAGGGTATAAGACAGTACAAAGTTCTTAAGCAGGCGGGTAGTGTGTGTTTCATAGTCTATAAGTACCTAGGCACCTAGGTATGTATGAGTAGGTGGGTTGAAGAACTGAGAGTAGTGGTTAAAGTGCACATACACACACCCCTCACCTATTGATTCACTGAACCTCCCTCTATCATAATCATTCAGCTCATGGTATCAAAGCTACCACCGTCATTGGAGAGATGAATTAGTTCATCGTCGCATTGCTACGGACTGAACTGATGCTGTTATTGCTATTGGATACTCGAGAAATAACTTCAGTATACGGTGTAGAGCAACCTGAGTGTACTGTGTATGTAAGTATTTGGAGTTGGAGGTCGCTTCCTGCGTCATGCCTGTCCATGCGTGCCCTGTCTGCAAGCGAGCCCTTACCTAGTCCAGGCTAGCGCAAGAACGAAAAGACAAGGATCTGCAGCCAACCAATGGAAGCGGCATGATCAGCTCGAGGATGTCGAGATTGATTGTCCTCCAACCTTTTTCTCAAGATTACGAGGGATCCTCGAGGTTCTCTGCTGCCCACTCCACCCTACAGGTAATATGTATGGAGGACCATTCCCATCAATTTCTCACCTCCAAATCCATCTCCAGCTCCAAGAGATCCCCATAAGCTGGGTCGATCGTCTCGCCTGTCTGCCTGCGACCAGGCGCATGAGGCTTTTTACTACCACCAAATCCCGCAGTCCATCTCTGCGCGATATCTGTTCCCGACACCCAGCAGCAGCCTCGACAAAGAATTGCCCTGTCTGTTCTTCGTATGCTGACAACAGGGGGGAGGGAATTATGTAGGTTACGAGTACGGAGTCGGTAGGTAGGCGAAGGTGTAAGTACCTATAGAGTATGGGGGTCAGAAAATAAAACTTTAATGCCCGTTGATGCAGGAAGGCAAACTGCTTCAATATACGGGTCCGGTAAGCCCCTCCTTTCGAGTCCTCTAACAAAAAGAAAGGTCAGCGTGGAAGCTGGCACATGTCAGATTCTTTGCATTGCACAGTGATCTATGGCCCGTATTGCTGCACCCGACTCATGCCTCCCTAGCGCAAAGCCTGCCGTGTTACGATTCTAGTTAGAAAGGATGAATGGTGAGACTGATGGGATTTATTGGCAGCAGAAGGATGTACATAGTTGGGGGTGGTGGGTATTGATGAGAAGAGATGCGCCTGGCCATGGGATCTCATTCCCTGTCCTCTCCCTAGTCCGAATAATGTTAAGACTCCGTGTAGGTACGGAGTAGATACTACTACCCGTAGGTAGATGGTTGTATCGTAACTATCGCAATCCTCACGGATGTGATAGTGAGAGGTCCAGAATGCCATCTCCTCTGTGGAGTATGTACATGGGCATGGTTACGGGGTAGAACCCAGTAATGGTGGAATTGTTCATACCCCGTGACCTTACCATTCACCATTCCGCCCCTCCTACCCACACCGAATCCAGTGTAGACTACGAGTATTATCAGGTATCGATCAGTCGATGAGAACTAGAAACACCATCACCACTTACTACCTACTCCCCTCACCACATTGCCATATACAATAGCGATGCAGCAACAACAATGGACGAAAGAAAACCCCCCCAAACTCTCCCACCCGTTCGTTCCCTCCTTTGTGATAATTATGCCAGACTCTACTCAACTACTGCCTCTTCCCTGTCGCACATTGCGTCTTCAAGTGCATTAGCCTCACTCGCCAATGTGAGAGTGTGCAAGGGCGTTGACCTGCGATTGGTGCATCAACATGCCTCAAATCGTGGGGAAGTCCTTGCAAGAGATAACGAATTCCTCCTCATGATCATTCACCCCCCGAAAAGAGAATCACTTTCTACCTTGGTAACACCAGACTAACTTCCAGTACAAGTAACTTACCAGTACATACTCCGTACACACTACCCTCCTAACGCCATGGCGCGCGGGTGGGAATCACATCTGGGGAAGCGGTGAACGTCCTTCATCGCCAGTGACCTTGGTGGGTGGTGGTGTGTCCTACTATCATCCATCATAACTGCCACTCAACCAACTTTCTTCTTTCTCTCCCTCTTCTTCCTCTTCTTCTTCTTTAACAAGTTATTTCTTGTTCCTCTTATTCCTCTTTATATTTTTGCTGAACGGGCCAGCTCTATCCCCTTAACTAACAAAGCCCTTTATCGAGGTCAATCTCCCCCGTCTCCACTCAGTGAAACGCTCAGGTTATTGCTCCCCTCGCCTTGCTCGCACCACCAACACCAACCCTTTCCTCTCCGTCGCTGTCTCCTTCTCACCACGCAGCTCGCCGTCAGGAGGAACACAACGCGTCCCACCCTCGCGAAGGTTTCGATCTATGTTCTCCTCACTCGTGCGCTCCCGAAAAGCCCGTCAGTCGGAGCGTACGCCGCTTCTCGCTGCTCTCAGCAGGTATCGCAGCCGTTATGGCGACGGCCACCACAGCGCCTCCGAGCGCGACCACGAGAATCCCCACGACAATATGCCACACTCCGAAAGCGAAGAGGAAGATGACCATCACGACCTCGACGGCCGAAGGGCTGACCCATTACTACCTGTCTTTTCGGAATTTTTAGGTACGTGGTCGCATACTTGCTCTATTGCTTTGTTTATCTGGTCGCGTTTGCTAACTCGTCCCTCATCAATCTAGATCGAATCCCAATTTACAATACCACCCACGCCATACGCATAGTCATAATGCAAAAATGCGAGACGACGCTCTCCTGGGACCAGCTTCGATCACCTCAAGTCTCCCAATTCCTCGTGAAACCAATCCAACAGCAGATCCTGGCAAACCATTTCTCTCGGGGTACCCTCTATTGTTTGCTCGCCAATTCCCTACAATTTCGCAAGGAAGGGGAGGCAAACCCTGGAAACGTGGGAGTGAGCAAGTCTAGGGCTCTCATATGTGAATTGCTGGCTATGCGATTGTTGAAGGAGTTCTCCACCCGCGAACTCATCGACGCCTTGTCATACGACTTCGATCCCCTGCAAGGACTTATAACTCCTGGATTACCCGGCACGGCCACTCCAGGTGGAGGTTGGATGAGGCAAACTCCCCGCTCTGCCCGCATATCCACTCTTGAGGTTGCTATTCGTGCACAGTCCAAGAAATTTCTGGCGCATCCTTTGGTTGTCCAACAATTAGAGGCGATCTGGGCAGGCTCGATCGTTTTCCACTCAATAGCAGACAACCTGCATCGCAAACCAGACACTCCTACGGGACGAGCCACGCCATATGAGACTATATCGCCTGGTGGCGGTCCCTCTCGGAGACTCTCTCCAACAAAGCGACCAGGCCAGCAGCAACCCGTTCATTCGACGCGACGCACGGTCACTTTATATGATCCTCATGATGCTTCCCTTTTCAAATTATCCCGACTTCGTGTTCCGCGTTATCGGAATCTATTCTCGACAATCTCATTCGGAATCATGCTGGGCCTATTCCTTGCTGTGCTCAGCGAGAAGTCGGACGACATAACCGGCCTGGAAGTGCTCTTCTGGTTCTGGAGTGCTGGCTATATGCTCGACGAGATTGTAGGGTTCTCGGAACAGGGATTTGGACTTTACATTATGAGTGTTTGGAATGCCTTTGATCTCGGCATTCTGCTCATGTTCTTGGTATATTACGTTCTTAGGCTATATGGCATCCTTATGCCCGATGTCTCATCGAAACACAGTATAGCTCGAATGGCATACGATGTGCTCGGCGCATCTGCTGTGCTGCTGTTCCCACGCCTTTTCTCTGCCTTGGACCATTATCGATATTTCTCACAGCTCCTGATCGCCTTCCGGATGATGGCTATGGATTTGGTGGCGATCCTGGTTCTCATTGTCATTAGCTGCAGTGGATTCTTCATCGCTTTCACTTTTGCTTTTAAGAAGGACCTCGGTGCCGGCAGTGCAGCTTACGCGCTGTTCCAACTATTGATGGGTTTCACGCCTGCAGCATGGGATCTTTGGCCGGATTACAATCCTCTGGGGAGAACGCTACTAACATTGTTCCTCTTCATCTGCCACTTCCTCATTGTTACCATCCTTATAACCGTATTGACCAATAGCTTCATGGCCATCATTCAGAACGCCAACGAGGAGCACCAGTTCCTCTTTGCGGTGAACACCATCTCCATGGTCAAGTCAGATGCCTTGTTCTCCTACATCCCGCCAACCAATATCATGGGCTGGCTTGTCATACCCCTGAAATACTGCATGCCCTTCAAGACATTCATTCGCCTCAACCGAAACATCATCAAACTAACGCACATCCCGATTCTTTTCACCATATTCGTTTACGAACGTCTCGTACTCTCGCACTTTGCGTATGGTCCAACCGATCTGGTGGAGCAGCGGGGTCGGTCTAAGTCTAAGGGTCCTGTTCCTGCCTTCAGCATTCGTGGACCTGCAGATTTGTTCAGCCCGGGCACTAGGCTGAGGGAGCCCTCCATCACCACATTCCACAAAGACCGTGCTCTTGAAGAAGTGTTCCGTCGTCCTTTCCGGGATCCTAGCATCCAGGCTACTACTCAGTATCCCACCGGCAGGAGGAATTCAAGCAATGTTGTCTCAGATTGGATGAAGGGGATGGGCAATGATGGTGAGGCTTTCCCGCCTCAGGAGGACACCCGCTCGGTTCTCGATCGCCTAGAAACCCGCATACGACCTGGTTTACGCCGAACGAAGACCGCTGGGCACGTCTCTGCCAGACGCAAGCACCATCTGGCCACCACCAAGACTGCAGCATCTGATCCTGACGAATTGGGTACACCGTTGAGCCATCCAATCGCCGAGGAGCCCGAGCCTGCTACAAACATGGACGACTTGCCACAGCAGACTGATGCCGATGGAGACGACGAGCTTCTGACGAATGATGAAGACGATAAGCAGACCCCCGATCGCAACAACGGACGCAACCTCAATCAATCCAACAAGGAGAATCGGCCACGTACAGGCTATGTATCGTCAGACGAAGATGAATACTTCCGCACGCCTATGACGGCCAAGGGGCGAACACCAGTCCTAGCCAGCTCTCCGTCAGCAGCTAGCCATTCCATTGCTGCTCCGCTTTCACCCAACAAGAGATTCGTCCGCCAGAAGCCTTCTCATAACCGAAACCTCTCCACCAATACGGTTCTATTCAGCCCGACAAAGGAAACCGTTGAACATGTGTCACGCTCACCATCGCCAGTCAGACGTCCTATGACAGGTATGCGTAGCGGAACAGCGACACCGGGCCGCCTTGGCGGACATCGGACGCCCAAGCGAGCCCCAGCCGCCATTCCCGCGACACGACCCCGGCCCATTATGCCCCCTCACGATTCAAAGCGAAACTCCGCGAACCTATCCAACCTCCTCGCGCTCGACCAACGCAGACGGGGCCCCTCCTTCACCGCAATGGCGCTCGATCTCGCCTCCGATTTAGGCGACAACAGGCACGCCCCAGATTTCGGCAACCTGAACGCGCTCCCTGCATCCTTCACCACGCAGCTCGAGATGGCGGCCAGGATGAAGGCCCGCCAGGGCAGCGACGAGGAAAGCAACCGCATGAGCCGCATCATGCTCGCCCGCATGACGACGCTCGAAGAAGGCTTCCGCGACGTCCTCAAGGAGGTCAAGGGCCTGAAGAAGGGCAGCGAGGATGGGGGTGGCGGCACCAGGACGGGAACCCACAGCCCGCCTTCCCAGTACGCTTCCAACGAACCGAGCAAGAAGAAGGGAAAGCAGAAGAAACGGAGCATCAGGCGCGGGGAGATGGAACCGGGGCGCATGGGCTCGAGCTTGTGAATCGGCGAACTACCTCTATATCCCCATCCTCTCCATCATTCCATCTCGACTCTCACGCGGCACCTCACCACACCGCCGCAGAACTAAAATCCCAGCACTTAATGTCTTATATCACCCTTCCCCCTCCTCCCAAATCATCACCATCATCACCATCATCATTAATCATAGCGGGTCGGCTGCACTTCTTCTTTACTTTTCCCTTTTTTTTGCATGCATAGCTAGCGGGATCAACAACACTCGACGGCGGGCGGTTCCATTGTTCTTTTTCTCTCTCTCCTCTTACACTCAGCATCTAATGGCGTTTTTTTCCTCTCTCTCTAGGAAGAGGTCTTGTTAGGCTTCTACTTTCCTCTTTTGTTCTGTTGTGCTTGGTACAGGCAGGTCGGACGGACTTTTCTCTCGTCATCATCATTATTATCATCATCATCATCATCATCATCATTGCTTGCACACGGAGGTCAGCGGTTTTGGCTATGTGGGTTGGTGGATGGGTGGGAAGTGATGGATGAATTGAATAGTACTAGGCGTTAGTCGGCCATTCAGGCCAGTCAGCTGCCGTGTTGATGATGAAACTAAGTTCCTTTTTCCTGTTGCTGAATGAGAGGTATTGATATCGTGAGTTAAGGTGATGTGCACATACATGTGCGTGTCCGTTTCTGGAGGGGGATGTGAGAGGGGGGTTCATGTCGCACCTTTTCAACAAAACCCTCTCCCGTGTAACTGAAAGTGATGTCTTGGGTTGATAATCTGTGGTTTATTTCGCGACTTCATCTTTTTCTCTTTTGCAAGGCCCAATTTTGATTTACATCCTTTCTTTTTCCTCCAATGATGGTTAGTGAATGCAACACCTTTTTGGACGAAAGAAATATTCCACTTGTCTCAGCTCTCCATCATACAGACGAGCTAGTTTCTCGTTCTGCTAGATGTCTTCCGTCTCCGGTCTTTCACCACCCCACTCTCCTCGCTCTCTTCGCCCTCTTTCTCCTTCTTGGCCGCAGCCAAAGCATCGATCTTCTCCTGGTACTCATCCGCGTAGTAGGCATGCGTGTACTGTCCCCCAGGACCGTAATAGAACTCCTCCTCGCCGAGCTCAGCGTACAACTCCTGGGACGTCTTAGCTCCGGCGGCGAGGAGCCTGCTCTCGATCTGTTCGTAGCGGGCTTCGATGTCCGGGTAGTTTTCGTGCTTCTTGCGGTATGCCTCGCACTCTGAGTGGGACTCCTGGAGGAGCGGGAGGTCGTACAGCTTCTCGTTGTTGCGGACGAAGTCCAGGGGTGTCTTGCCTGTGTCGGAGATAGGTGAAGGACGGGCGCCGAATTTGAGGAGCAGCTTGACGCACTCGAGGTGGCCGTTGGCTGCGGCTGCGTGCAAGGCGGTCCAGCCGCTTTCGCCGTAGATGGATGCGGGTACCTTGTGCTTCAGGAAGAAGCGGACGACGTCGATTTTGCCATGCGCGGCGGCGCGGTATATCTCATGGACGTCCCTATGTCCGGTTTCTAGGATGTTGGCCCCTTTCTGCAAGAGTAGCTCGAGAACTATTGATGTCAATTAGATGATGTTTTCTGTTGTAGGACCGAGTGATAGTATACCTTCTTCGTGGCTCATGTTGGCATAAGCCATCAATGCAGTTCGCTGCAATTGGTCTTTCATCTGAACATCGGCTTTCTTCCGCAGCAGGAACTTTACCATTTCGATGTTGTTCCGGCAAGTCGCGCGGTGCAATAGTGTCTGTCCTCCATGGTCTGCTTGGTTGATGTCGACCCCATTTGCAAGGAGCAGCTCGACCGCCTGCAGGTGGTTTCGTTCTACGGCTAATATGCAAGCAGTTGTAAGGAATCCTTCCCTGTTTTGAGTGCTGCCCCCGTCTATAAATGATGACCTGGAGTACGAGGTAAAAGTAAGACTGCTTATGTTAGAGTCCACGCTCGGCCGTCGACGATACTCAAAGTTGGGGGTCATTGCGGTATCTTCCTCGGATTCACGATCAAGACTGGTTCGCTCGCTTCGTGCAGAAGGTGGTGTTTCTGGTCGAGACGGTGTTGCTGGTCTAGATGGTCTTTCTGAATAAGATCGTGTCTCTACTGAATCCTCCAAACTTTCATCATCATGTCCCGAATGGGATCTTTCTTGTATCTCAAAATGTTCAAAGTCATGGCTGAAGTCAGACAGCCTACGGTTGCTACGCTGACGGGTCTTTGGCTGCGCCTCCTCGGCCGGTTTGATGTCAATCTTTGTTGTCGCAATATATCGTGCTAACGCTCCTATGTCTCCATCATAAGCAGCGAGCAATAGCTTATAGTACTGCTTGAATTGAAGGTGCCTTGCGGAATTGTCTTTCGTGACCTCTTCCTCCTCGGAATCGATATCTTGCCTATCCTCCTTCTTTGCGTTCTCGGTCTTTGCACGATCTCGAGGCCCCAGCCACTCAGTGAACTGACGCGGAAGAAATACTAGATCAGGCTTTCCCGTCAAGATACCCACAAGATATAGCAGAATAACGACAGGACTTAGTAACCCCATGAGCAACACTTCAAATGTCCAGTCCGGCTCAGAACCAGCAGCCCGAGAGATTATAGCTCTTGCGGCCTGGTCATAGTTGATATAAGCAGCATAAAGAAGTAATGCATGCCCTCTGCGCACCGATAGGTCGACCGATGCACCCCGGCTCAACAGTAAGCCGACGATGTCGTCGAAATTATGCTTGAAAGCAATGACCAAGGATGATTGATCGTGACTATCCATTGCATCCAGATCAGGATTCTTTGATAGTTGTCGTTCGACAAGAGTAAGGGATCCCAGAAATACCGCAATATGTAAAGATGTAGCCCAGACCAATCGGCTATCGTATTCATCCCAGTACCATACCATACCTTCGTTTGGATCCAGATTGCGATCTGGCGTGTAATAACTCTTCTGGCGTCCTAACACATCGAGATAAAACTGTTTTCTGTCCTTGACCTCAATCAGGGAGTGCATCAGTTCTAGCACCTCCGAGTGTTGGATCTCAGTGTGGGAATCCTGGGACCTTCGATTTGCAGAACCATCCAGACTAGAGCTCAATCTTGTGAGATCTTTAGCTTGGTTCCGAATTGGTCTATAATGGTCACCCAACCACCTTCCTGCATACTTCGCGAAAGGATACCGTTCCAACAGTTCATCGATTGTATCCTTCTCTTCTTCGTCTTCTGAGCTGGAATAAAAATCAGAATTTGCCGGGTAGCTGCGATAACGATTGAGAACTCCAGGGCCGATCGTTTTGCATTTCGCATACCCATCGAGAGGAACGCTACACAGGTACTTGGCACACGTGAAGGTGGCGACGAGATGGAAAGACCCGAACAAAACTTCTTTATGACTTTGAAAAAACGTCTTAGCAGAGTAATGAACGAAACGGGCTTTCTGGTTGACATCTGTTACAACCAAGCCACAGCAATATGCTGAGATTTCAGTGACCGGTAGAAGGGATGATTCGGTGATTTCATTCTCGTCGAGTACATTGCTGAAAGCCAGGGCGTGGCGAAGCTCGTCCAGAGATAGGGGTTCCATTGCATATGACACCCAGGCAAGGACGTCGAACGCATATTTTCGTCTCTCTCCCGTCTTTCGCTGCATGCGCTCCACAGCTTTGCTGTAACACTCCTCTGGATCCATTGGTAGATCTTGCAGTGCAGTTTCGATGTTTGCCTCGATCTCAACTTCTTCCAACGCATCCATATGCAGTCGTGTCAATAAAAATCTAGTTGAATCAGTACATGGATCGTTGTGCAAGCTACGAGGCAATCGTGACATCTCGCGTTCGCGGCCTTTGAAAACAACTCACATCCCGTTTGATCTATTTCTTACTTCCTGCTTGACCCTTGCCTCATTTCTTTTGAGAAGAGAATTGTTCTCTAGGAAAGAATCGATGTAATCGTTGATATCGCCGCCGTCTGCTTCGATAGTATGCAGCTGAAAGCCTTGAGCTAAATCTTTTCGACCCTCAAGCAATCTCGCTGTCACTATAATCTTGAGTCCGCTCTTGATCTTCCTCAAGCTTTGCATCAGTTCCTTGCGAGTCTTGTCTCTGCACTCATCCATGGCATCTATAACAAGATAGAGTGGTCTCTCTGCCGCGACCACACAGAGGATGTTCTCAAGCTCGCCTTTGCTCGGAGGCGATAATGTTCCAGAAGGGCCAAATTCTCCATTTTTCAGGTACTTGCGAAAGATGGTGCTCACTGCGGAAGGAAGCGCACTTTGGTCCGAATAGGTTGCTAGAACCTGGCGTGCAATGGTGCCGAGCAGCAAATTTAGATCCAAGTCAACTTCGTTCGAAAGATACAGGTAGGCAACGGAAGGCCGAGTGCTATGTTCATCATTGCGCCCGATCAATTCCTGGAGGTGTCTTATGATGATTGTTCTGTCGTGAAGGAAGGTAAGTCTGTGTTTTCGAAAAGTTTGTAATGCACTGAGTCGCGACAGACACTTACGCAAGGACGCTCTTGCCAGCCCCGGCTGCAACGTATCAGTAACAAACAATAAGCTGTTCTCATGTCGGCAACTCACGCTTTCCTGTATACCAGAGCCTATCCTCATCTTGGTCTCTCCATTTGACAAATGGCTCGGATTCCAGAAGCCACCTCCCTGCTCGAGGTCTTTCGTGAACTCGGTCTATCAATTCGTTGTACTTTCCTAAGAAATCAACGCGGGACAGCCAGACAAGAAGCTCTTGCCACTTGCTGCTTATGGTAGACGATCTCTGTAAACCTTTGCGTATACCTGTGACTTCGGCAAGAGTCCACATGTTTATACTTTCGAGCAAGTCGTGTTCAATTCTTCTGAATTCTGCCAGCTCCTCGTCCGCGTCACTTTCGCCAATGAGCGTTGCCACCCATGTTTCTAAACAATTGTTAGCTCTTTGCAAGACATTCTAGATAGAATGGTTAACGGACTGAACCTGTGTTTTGGGTCTCTGATCGCAATTGCGCACATCCTAAGCGAACAGGCGAAGAGTTCGATCACGCGTCTCCGCATCACCCCTCTCTTCTCCTCCTGAAGTACTTCTCTGAGAATAGAGAGATTGTCGAACTTGTTGGCCAAGAGTTTGAAGAATTCCTCAATTTTATCAAACTTATCAGAGACCTTCGCAAAGGATTCGAATACCCAGGCTAGGGCATTGACGACCAATGATGCTGGTGCAATAACTGGGGTAGCCTGGGAGGTCGCACTTTCATTAGATCATATCCAAGTCACTCGGCGTAGGAATTGAAGAAAAGGCCATACCACTGCGGCGATTCCAATAATATAGTCCATGGCACCAATAGCGAGCTGGACATTTTCGATATGCCCACAGACTGCCTGGTAGACTTTCCCCCACTTGCTTTTTGGATGGCGAGCCTTTTGGAATGCAGCAAGCCATTTTTGGGGGTTTGGCGGGGATTCGACTGTTGATCTTCGTTCTTCAGAAGCACCAGTCGAAACATAGAAGTCGTCCTGTGCTTTTTGCCATAATTCTAAAAGAGGCCCGTCCAGGGGCACGGGTTCTGAATGTTCAGAATTCATGCTCAGCAAAGGAGAGGAAGCGCTCTAGCTGCCATGTGCGGAGCAATAATGTGTGGTTGGCATCTCCGCCTCTTTAAGGGCAGCCATAAGCCATAGGACCACGGACTCATAGAGATGGGGTGCCGTAACGCAGTGGAACATACCGCTGACAATGCAGGCCTATAGATACCTCGTAGTGCGTCAATACTGGTGAGAAAAAGCAAATCGTTGGACAAAGCTGAGTATGTACTACGCTGGATCTGTTCGTTGGCCTAATGGGCATGGATGCAGATTTAGAGCAAATGTGGATCAACGTCATACCTTGAGGGGGAGCTCAGCTGGTGTTGGTTGCAATGCAAAACACCCTCCAAAACACAAAGGTGCAACAGAACACTCAAATTAGCTACTGGATTTCTGAGCGCTTAATATTTCTACAAAGCGCAATCTTCTCTCGAGTTGTTATCAGTCAATTCCATCTGCAAAGCGAAAGCCACGAGTTGGTGACTACCTACATTTGCCCATTTTTAGAAGACCTGGGGGGCCGGAATGACAATTTTTGGCCCCCAATTCTTTCATCATGAATGGATGATAATCCGACCTATCAACGGCCATTTCTGCCATCAACACCTTCTTATACAGCCTAGCACGCGTTATCATCCAACCTACCTCTAGCAGTTAAGCTTGTGGTGGTTGTACGCATACATTTACATACATGCACTCGACAAAATCTCATGCAGTGAATACTAGTCAATCTCTACACTTTACGAGAAGGAATCTCGAAGCACTTCATAGCGACCATCGAACAAACAACGACATCTCTGCGTCGGATCTGGCAACCTCCGATGGCTACATGTTCCCCATATGATCTTCCCCATATGATCTTCCCCCGCGATCAGCCGCCCACGTCAGACCTCAGAACATCAACCGAGCCCTTAGCGCACCAGCGCATCTTTCGATCCGATCATGTGGGGTGGGCACATGGCCGCTTCCATTTTTTCGATCAGTTTTCGTAGATATATGGGTTGTAGTTGCCTTTTCTCGCGGTTGAAGGAGTTTCCTTGCGATGTGGGGTGCTTACCTCCATTCACAGATGCTTTTCATTGCGACCTGTCACACAAATCACATCATTTATTAATATTCCGAGCGGCGTTTGGACCTAAACCCTAGTGATTGACCTATTGAACACTAAGATAAATTGCTCTCAGGAAAAATTCAGCTCACATTTCTCGCGCATTAAATGGGAGCTAGAATACAGATCTTACTCGTAGCCTATGTTGTGCTATCTGCGTCCGCTTTTTCGGTCTCTAACATCCATGTCCCATTCCTACCCTCAATACCGGGATTTCTGAAGGGAACAGGCGTGAAGAGAGCGCAACAACCGTTGCAAGACGGGCTAAACGAGTGGATACAATGGGAAGAGGCAAAGGCACTTGAGAAGCTGTTGGACAACATTGCTCCAGGTGGGAGAGGATTGGAAGGCGTCGTGAACGGAAGCGTGATTGCAAGTCCATCAAGAGAGCATCCGGATTACTTTTACCAATGTAAGTAGTGTTGTCAAATATGTATTAGAAGCGGAGATCATGTTGATAAACGCATAGGGGTTCGAGATGCCGCAATCACAATCAGCACGCTCGTAGATATTTATGCAGATAATCCGTTGTTTGGTGACTCGAAAAGAATTCCCGATATTCTCGACGCATACGCTACTCTTCAGTCCACCATTCAGCATACCCATAATCCATCGGGAACATTCCAGGACTTGAATGGTCTTGGTGAGCCTAAGTTCGAGGTCGATGGTTCTGCATTTGCGGGCTCATGGGGTCGTCCTCAGCGTGATGGGCCGGCTCTCCGCGCAACAACCCTGATGTCTTATATTCGCGCCTACAACGCTTCACATCCCTCGCTATGGTCTACAGATCAGGGAAAAAGTTGGTTCGCGCGTTTTTACCAGGCAACATTACCCGCCAATAGCATCATCAAAGCAGATCTGGAGTACGTCTCTCATTCTTGGAACCAGACTGGCTTCGACTTGTGGGAGGAAGTTGATGGACTGCACTTCTTCACGGCCATAGTACAATTGAGAGCTTTACATGAAGGATCGGAAATAGCGACTGCATTCGGAGACCTGGGAGCTGCGAAGTGGTATGCGATGCAAGCTGAATACCTTGAAATATTCGTAAAGAGATTTTGGCATGATAAGAAGGGACATCTGGTTGAGACACTGGATAGTCAACGCAGTGGCCTGGACTGTGGCATTCTCCTCGGTGCGCTGCATGGTTCCCCTTCACGCGGCTCTCCTTCTACTATATCTTATACATCTTATTCCGACGAGATCCTCGTCTCCCTACTCGCTTTTATCCAGGACCAACGGACAAGATTCCCTATCAATGTCGCAAGATCCCCAGCTTCTAATAGCCAAATACTATCCGGCACTGGTCTAGGCCGTTATCCAGAAGACATTTACGATGGCTATGGCAATGACCCTAAACGCGGCGGAAACCCATGGTTCCTATGCACGTCTTCAGCGGCAGAGATCCTCTATCGTACAGCCTCACACCTCATTACCACGTCACAGCTCACCATCACAAAGCTCAATTATCCCTTCTACAAAGCTCTTGTATCGCCATTGGCCCTAGATGTTCGAGTCGACACGACGTACGGCCCTGGCAATACTGAATTCGCTCTGGTAATCGAGCGCCTGAAGACGTTGGGAGATGGGTTCCTTGGTGTTGTCAAGACGCATACGAGTTCCGAGGGCACTATGAGCGAGCAATTCGATAGGGAAACCGGCCTTGAGCGAGGCGCGAGAGATCTGACATGGAGTTATGGAGCTTTCTTGCAAGCAGTCAGGGCGAAGAAGGCTGTGATATGATTGAACTTTGCCTGGATCAAGGGCGCCTAAGTCTGTCCGAAGCGTCAGAAATACAAGCTCATAGTGTATCGACATTGTATCAAGTTGTTATGGAGCTGAAAAAGGTGAACGAGTTGTCCTGGTGAAGTAAAAGTTAATTTCTCTGACACTATGTGTACCGGTGGCTTGCGAGTGCAAGTTCTCTTATAAACATGCATCCTCCTACCCATATATATGATCTTCGTACGCCAAATCTTGATCGATTGCGCAATCGCTTCCACTACGCCATCTCACTGTAAGGCACTCCGATTTTCATTTTCCGTTCCTTATCAAGCCTGCAGCATGCACTGTCACTCCATGTACCGATCTGTGAGTGAAGGTACCGAGCCGTTGCATCCACTCCGCCGTTCGCTACCAAAGTGTTCTCAGTAATTGTGCATTAGGAATTGTGGATCCTAATGAGTGCCGTATCCCCACAATGTCAGATCCATGGGTGCCGATCGAGCTTATATAGAATTGTTGTTATCAAGCGTCAGTTTGTACTTCTTCAATTGTCGTCGTGAGAGTTGCAAGGCTATTGTCGCACAAGCCTGGCCACGGTTTAAATCAATGACTTGGCTCATATCGTCAGGGCTCGGGACAAGAGCGGACAAGACATCGCTGTGGACTGGGGGAAGAAACCCCAAGAAGCCCTGATAACTTCATAAATGAGCTTGTTCCAACCTTTCCTCAAGAGTTAACCTGGTCGCAACGACAATTGAATAGCTAAGTAAGGATACTAGAATGCATTCAAAACATCGCAACACCTGACTCCAAGTTTTCAACCATATCTCAGCGCAAAAAGCTACATTCAAAAGTTCTGATCATACCCTCTGATCAATAATGCCTAGAACATGCCTGTCATCTAGGCATGTTCTAGCCGTGCCGAATACCCACTGATGGGTGATGGACTTTCTGAACATTCGAACCTTCTCGTCTGTGGCAACGCATATCTCTAGAGGATCATTGTTTACGCACTGCATGATTATTTCGCCCAGATACAATCATTTCGCGGTGTCTTCTAAATCTCAGATTGACAGTGCCAGCATCGTACCTTAAAATGCCTGCCTGTTTCGGCTTAGCGCGCGTTGCTATACACGGTACCATTCAACACAAACTGCAATGTCGCAGGTACATAGATTGGCCGACGCATTTCTGATCGACGGTTACACTCTCATGATCACAATGGCCCTGCGTGTTGCTGCCTTTTGATCTGATGATCATGTCGTGTTTGACGGCCACACTCGATTGAAGGTTCCAATTACTCCTATTCGTTCCACGCATTTTGGATACCATCAAGATAGCGCGTATACTTTCGTTGACTGACGATCAATATGCGAATTCGCTGCAAATCTTTTCCGGATTGCTTGTTCTCCTGACTGAAGGTTGAGCTCAATCTCACTGGAAGATATTACATCTGCCGATAGACAAAGTAAACGCAGTACATGTGTGGGTACCTACTTTATAAAAAAGGGACGAAAGGACGCAAAAGACCCGGAGTTCCATCGGTATGTACAAATACCTCACTTTTGAGACGCCCAGGTATCTTGGCTTAATTTATTTCTCACCTTGGTTTTCCAGTCTCTCTTTGGGCCAGTTACACTAGATTGCCGCCGCAATATATGATCCCTGACGAGGCTCAGCAGTTGCAACGTGATTCGCTCAGCCTGAACCAACTGTGACGGAAACCTGGATCTACACCTACCAAGTACCAGTCCACTGCTCATGATCTTCATGTGAGCCTCAAGTCATAGGCACGGGGGCTTAATTATCCGCATGAGATATTGGGATTAGCCTGAAGTCCTTCCGAGGTCACCGTACACAACATCACAACGTTTCTTGCCCGAACAACCAAAAAAACTGCTACCAAGAGAAAAACAATTGATGTCAATTTTATGACGATGTGATTGTACAGTCGCTATTTTACACTGTAGGTTAGTATGAGGCAAAAATCATTTTCGAAACTCGTGCGATACCATCAAGCTCAGTTCCGCGGGACATAAGCACGAAACTAAGGTACAGAAGATGACATTATACTTGGCATACATACATATGCCCTGGTCTGCAGAGACGTGGGATGCGGATATACTAATGCAGCATTTGGGGATAGACATCCTCATGATGATTTGAAGTTCAACGTTCACTTCAAGGGACCGCACGTGCTTTCTTGGGATGGAAAAGATCCCGTCTACTCCGGAAGGCCGAATTCCATTGCCAAGATAGATGCTATCGAGCTTTTTGATGGTCGATATGTTCACCATTAAACTACAGAGCCAAATGTTCACCCGATGTGGGTACACTCTATCTTGACCCTCTAATTTGATGATCCCTTCCTGCAGTAAGATGAGACTTCGTAGATCTGGACATGAAAAGAAAGTATACTATATTGCCAGCACAGTGACCGTTGGCATCCATACCTTGCCATCAAGGCTATGGAAAAATTTTCTATCCGACTGGATGGTCCTGGAAAAGTTGTAGAAGGCGAAGTCCAGCGGTTCATATTGCGCTGATCGAACCGCCGCAACTCTCTGGGCTTGTGACTGCATGGGCACCAGGAGGCTTGGAACTAATTGCTCTGCATCACCTCCCGTAATCGGTCTAGACTCCCTTCTGGAAAGTTCCCTATTATTCCTTAGCGCGGAAGGTGAGATGCAATATGCATATACCAGGCTGTGAAACATCGCGACAGGTGAATAGAATACTCCGATCTCCATTTGCCTTGCCGAAGGGAATCGGGAAGTGTAGCCGCAAATGTACCCCAGAGTTAAGATTACTTCGCCTCTATACGATACATCAGCAAGAGTACTCAGTATGGTCATTGAGTTTTGTTCACCAAAAAGCCAGAACTAAGTCTTTTGGTACTGTGCGAGAATCGTGGATCGGGAGTTCACATGTGATACTTATTCATTGTATTCAGTGGAATATGCTCTCTCTAGGGGGTTGATTCGTTCCTCGTAGCGCCGATATTACCCAAAGTATACCCTTAAGGTCGGGAAGAGAAGGTTTCCAGACCGTCACGTTACCCGCCTGTTTCTAGCAACAGGGGAGCTATACTCGAAAGACGCACAGATCTCCGCATTTACCCCAGAGTCTCTCCACGATGGGGAGTATCTCATTTATTCTCATTACATCGTCACTAATGTTTCTCCAAATTGCTCCCGACGAGCCGTAGCCCGCCCTGGATTGGTGGCAATACCTTCATTTGCAGGCGATAATGAACACCACCCAAGTCTTACAATCGTCCAGGAGCCGGAACAATATATTGAAAGATAAGTGTGCTTGAGACGAGTTCGAGAGTATATAAAGGCTTCGTTCCATCATTCTTGCCAGTTCCTCAGCATCTCACAGTTGTCCATCACATCAGTCACAATGCAGTACAAGGCTCTCGCTCTCGCCGGTCTCTCCCTCTTTGGCGCCGCCGCCGCCCAGCAGGTTGGCAAGGAACAAACCGAAACCCACCCCAAGCTCACCTGGCAGACTTGCACTGGAACTGGTGGCAAGAGCTGCACCAACAAGAGCGGCTCCATCACTCTTGATTCCAACTGGCGCTGGACTCACGTTACCAGCGGTTACACCAACTGCTACACTGACAATGCCTGGAACGAGACTACTTGCAAGAGCGGTACCGACTGTGCTAAGAACTGTGCCATTGACGGTGCTGACTACTCTGGCACTTATGGTATCACCACCAGCAGCAATGCCTTGACCTTGAAGTTCGTCACCAAGGGATCCTTCTCGACCAACATTGGTTCCCGTACCTACCTCATGGAGAGCGACTCCAAGTACCAGATGTTCAACCTCATTGGTAACGAATTCACCTTTGATGTTGATGTCTCCAAGCTGCCCTGCGGTTTGAACGGTGCTCTCTACTTCGTCGAGATGGCCGCCGATGGTGGCATGAACAAGGGAAACAACAAGGCCGGTGCCAAGTACGGAACTGGTAAGTGAACAATGCCCAAAACACCATAGCATTTCTAATTGCACCCTAAAGGATACTGCGACGCTCAGTGCCCCCACGACATTAAGTGGATCGAGGGTGCTGCCAACTCCGAGGGCTGGAAGCCATCTGACAACGACAAGAACGCCGGTAGCGGCAAGTACGGAGCCTGCTGCCCGGAGATGGACATCTGGGAGGCAAACAGCATCTCCACTGCCTACACCCCTCATCCTTGCACCAAGAATGGTCTTACCAAGTGCTCTGGTACTGACTGCGGTGACGCTGACCAGCGTTACGATGGTATCTGCGACAAGGACGGCTGTGATTTCAACGTAAGCATACCAGCTAGAGCGCTTGTGGCATGAAGATTTTCTAACTGTGCTACAGAGCTACCGCATGGGTGTCAAAGACTTCTACGGCCCGGGAGCCACCCTTGACACCAGCAAGAAGATGACTGTCGTCACCCAGTTCGTTGGATCCGGATCCAACCTTTCTGACATCAAGCGTTTCTACGTTCAGGACGGCAAGGTCTTCAAGAACTCCGACTCCACCATCTCCGGTGTTAGCGGAAACTCCATCACCGACCAGTTCTGCAAGGACCAGAAGGCTGCCTTCGGTGACCAGACTCACTTCATCAAGGCCGGTGGTCTTAAGCAGATGGGTGCTTCCCTTGCGAAGGGACACGTCCTCGTCATGTCTCTCTGGGACGACCACGCAGTCAACATGCTCTGGCTCGACTCCACCTACCCCACTGACAAGGACCCCGAGACCCCTGGTGTCGGCCGTGGTACCTGCCCCACTGACTCTGGCAAGCCCGAGGACGTTGAGGCTAACTCCCCCGACTCCACTGTCATCTACTCCAACATCAAGTTCGGACCCATTGGCTCCACCTTCGCTGCCCCCGCATAAATTGATATCGCCGATTAGATGGTGTGTATGGGGATCTGGCTTGGTTGCGAAAGCTTCATTCAATGTCAATAGCATTTCTTCACTTCTGTACATTCTTTGGAGGACTAGAGGAAGATAGAGAACAGCACCTGTAAATGATTCAAAATTGAAAATCTATCTCTCGCTTGAATTTCTTCCTTGACTTTCAAATTGCATTAGTGAGGGCCTACACTAGATATTCACATGTTAGAACTTCAAATGTTAGAACCCTAGCTCGATATGGGAACGATCACTATAAAGTTGCTCGAATACTCGTAACCATACGATCTCACTGCTCCCGAACCTTCACTATTTTATCTCTCTCAGGCCCGATCACTTGGGGAAGTTATCCTTTCAACGTCTTCACTGCAATTGAACTTGCTCAGATTAGTTGCATTACCGTATCCCTCGCTACTGATCTGACCAGTATTGCTGTTGAGAAGCCAACATCGACCTCACTACTGCATGTTCATCACGCCCGGGCATCTCGTTGTTTGGCTACCTCTCCTTCACTCATCAAGCACCCGCGCGGAATACCACTAAGGAACCTAACCATGCCTTCCAACCAACTCTTCAACCAACAGAATCAGAAAGGCGGTTTCACAATGCTGCCGACAGGTCGTCTCTATGTTCGATCGTTGAACAAGGGCATTCGAGAGCTTTACCCGGATCATCCGACTTCTCCAGTTTCGGAACTTCCAGCTCTCCAAATCCTCGACTTTAAACTTGACAAAGAACTGAGGAATAAAGGGAAAGTAGGATGGAAGCTTATCATCGGTACACTCCACAAAGATAACGTCTATGTCCACCTTGAAGGCGACGATAACAATAAGGTGGTGTTTGTCTGGAACGACTCAAAGCTACTACAAGAACAATATTCGAGCATCAAGTTTAAGAGGCCATTCAGCCAAGTCAACGGCCAATACCCACATAGTCGACTCGGGAAATCTAGGATGGATGCATTAATCCTATACTATTATATTACCTTCTTGCAGACAAAGCAGATAAGCAAGATGATATACATTGAATTAGAGTTCTGGGCTCCGTTTCAAAAGGCTTGCGAGAGCGTGTCTTCGGAACGGAAGGCTACGAAACAGAGACTCGTACAAAAAAAGAGGCCAAAAATCACTCCTAAAGAGCTTCCGGAGGCTATATCCGCTACGGAAGGTCCGCAAACAACCGAAGTAAAAGATCAGAGTCGGCCTTCTCCTGGAGAGCATTTGCAATCCAGCTCACACCAGGTAATGACGCAGCCGATGCGCCTGCAGGATGCATTAAGGTCGAGCGAAAGTGCTAGGAGTTCAAGCATAAAACCAGAAGTGAGTGCGCCTGGTGCTCCCAATGATGCGCAAGAATTATCCACGCAACTTTCAAGGGCGGTAGAGAGACTGAAAGGCCTCGATAAAGAGAACAGGAGCTTGAAAACCAGAGTGGCGCAGTTTGAACAAGCAGTAAACGACTATCGGGATGCAGCCATCGAAAAGTCAAATCTACAACGAGATGTAGTTGAATTGACTCAGCAGCTCGAGCAATGCAAACAAAAACTGGCGATCGAGTTGGAGGCAAAAGGAAGAATTGCCTTGGAGGCTCAAAACGCACAGGCAAGCTTGAACAGTGTCAAGAAATGGTTGGAGATGAAGCCATCATGCTACTGAGCAGCAAGTCACGAACAGTGGTTTGGGAGCCGGGGGAAAACATTTAAAGGTGAAGAGGTTATCCTGAGGGCTGGGCTAATTAATGACGGCAATGGGCTGATGTCCTACGGAAGCTTTACAGAGGATCTCGAAGAGACCAAACCCCTAAAGCAACTCCACCTAGGTTGGACAGCTGGAGTTATGGTGTTTTTGTTTTATTTGTTTTTAGGGTGAGCAAAGTCTGGGTCAGTATGGTATCAAATACCATTAGCTTTGAATTGGAGATTCTGATGAAAACGCGAGATGTGACGAACAAGACAGGTTACGAGTCCCTTTGTGATTGCGATCCCACTGTTTCCCATTGGTTCCGAGGCAAGCCACAGACTTTGTTTGTCGGCAATGCCCGTGCCGTCATGCAAGGATGACGATTTTAGTTACGCGGGGCGCGTCACACTAGACGACCAGCCTCGGAAGGCGTGTATTCAGCTGTGGTTGCCAAACGCCGATAGAGGTTGAACTCTTCCAATGGAGTAGTCATTAACCTTCATCTCTTGTGCGCACCCTTCTCATTCGAATATATGAGCGTGTCGCAGAATGCGAGCAAGTTCTCGATCGCCCGATCTTACGCATCGACCCCCGGAATCAATCTCCCAGGGTACCGACGATGGCTCAGCGCACTTTACCCCTTCTGATGACGATTCAGATGATGGTATCCCCATGGTAGAAGGCCCTGATGCATACGAATTGCAACCCATCGCCAGTGATGACCAAATACATGGAAATGCAGGACAATCACGGAGGTTCTCTGCAAGCTCTGCCCAAAGCTTCGAGCTGTATACACCAGATGAAGACAGGGAAGTACGAAGAAAGCTCGATAGACGACTGGTAGCATTCATGGCTCTTTTATATTGCCTGTCTTTTTTGGATCGGTCAAGTAAGTTCTCCGTCAAATTGCCGCCCATATGAAATCGTCGCCGTGTGTATGAACAATAGGTCTATGTGATGTAAAATAGCTGATATGATAATAGACATTGGAAATGCGCGGATTGCTGGACTGGAGAAAGATCTTAAACTAGGCTTGAGAGAGTACGAGTGGTTGTTACGGGCATTTTATATCACATACAGTATGGTCAACCTGCACTTAATCTCAAAACCGCGACTAACAGGAGAGCTGCAGTTGTCTTCGAATGGATGACCTTGATGTAACGCTTTCCTAACTTACACTCTTCTACCATCATGAATTGACGCGATTCTAGGTACAAGATTGTTCCGCCACATATCTACATATCAATATGCGTCTTCTCCTGGGGCATATTTGCATCACTCCAGTCTGTAACCACCTCCTTTGGGTCTCTCCTTGTATTAAGGGCACTCCTTGGAGTTTCAGAGGCTGCATTTGGCCCTGGGGTACCATTCTATCTGTCGTTCTTCTTTCGTCGAAACGAATTAGCATTACGTACGGGGCTGTTCATCTCCGCAAGCCCGCTGTCATCATCCTTCGCTGGAGCACTAGCATGGTTGATTACAAAAGTTGGCGAAAATGGACCACTGAGCCCCTGGAGACTTCTTTTCCTGTTGGAGGGGTTTCCTAGTATCATAATAGCTGTTTGGGCATGGGACTTTATTCCAGACAGCCCAGGTACAGCAAAATGGCTTACGAACAGACAGAGAGAGGTCGCTGTCTTGAGACTGAGGCAAGAGAAGGAGGCCGCTGAACTTGAGCAATCAAGCGAGAAGTACCCCATTCAAGGCACAAGCCCGAGAGGAATCAACGTCAAAGAGATCATACAGACGCTGAAAGATCCAAAATGCTACCTGACTGCAGTAAGTGCCGACCACAAGGACTATATTCGTATCCTGATAGATCAAACTAACAGTCCTAAGTTCATGTTTTTCAGTTGCAACGTAGCGTTCAGCTCAATGCCAGTCTTTTTACCAACAATTATCAAAGACATGGGGCACAGCTCGATGAATGCTCAAGCGCTTTCTGCACCTCCGTACCTCTTCGCCTTTGTCATTGTGGTAATCACGGCCTACCTTTCTGACTTGCATCAATCCCGCTCTCTGTACATCATTCTTCATTCATTACTCGCTTCTCTCGGATACATCACTATCGCCGTGGCAGGATATTACCAGATCCCGAACAACACCATCCGCTACATTGCGCTTTATCCTGCATGCGCGGGTTTCTTTTCTGCAATCACCATCATCATCACATGGACCATCAATAACCAGGATAGTGATAGCAAGAAGGGAACTGGGATGGCCATCATGAACATTGTAGGTCAATGTGGGCCTCTGGTAGGGACGAGCATCTTTCCAAAAGATGAAGGGCCATGGTATGTGAAAGGTATGACAATATGTGCCGTTTTCATGCTGCTTGTAGGCGTACTAGCCATGATCCTACGCTTTGTTCTGAAACGTCAGAACAACAATATACGTGACAAGGCTGGAGACTATGCGGGCGTTCCTGTCGAGGAAGATGGCCAAGTAAGAGGTGAACGAAAGCATTTCACGTTCATGTTATAGTTAACAACGAAAATTCATATCTTCGTTCAATCGTCAGAATAATTACTACTAAGAATGCGAATAGTTATCGTTCACAAGTATACCATAAATCACGTGACAAATAGTGCATTGACGTCAATGCCAAGATGACCCTTCCAAAAGAGGAAAGCTCTCACTGCGCACCTCATTCACAGTGAGACTTGTGATAGAGACACCCAAACATCGACCTACAATTTAGCGAGTGAATCAGGGGATTTTGTTTGAATATAGACGTATCCCGACTGACGACTGCGCAGCCGACTTTGACAGCAGCTCTCTCGCCAACGTTGAGCTTCGTTCCTATACATCGGTCATGCAAGTCTCATAGCGTCAAGCTGGGCCACAAAAAGGCAAACAACCTATCCGATTTGGACTATTCTTGCTTTTAAAAAGCTTCATGGAGAGGTCAAAGTCAAGCTCCGATGCTCGTGAGCGTCCAGACCCGGCTATGGGCCCTCCAGGGATAGCTGAATCACCAACATCCATCGCAGCAGACATTGCCAAGGAGGAGAATGAGCGATCTTCGACTGATCTGAGAAGCCCTCAGGCTACAGTCGTAAACGAAATACCTACCAATGACTTTAAGCCAGAATCCGATGTGGAACAGGTACCAAGCATGCCGAGAGGGGAGACTGAGGAGATAGAGCTCAAAGGAGAGGAAGAGGACCCGCCCATTCCTGAGTCTTTCAAAAGGTCTTCTAGCCCTGCCGCTCTGCAGAAAACAAAAGCTGCCGCCTATGAGAAGGTAGGAGAAGAGGGTATCAATAGGATGCACAAGTTTTCGCTTTACGAGACTAGCACGCGCTTCTACCTCGTTGGTGCCGACATCATGGATCAGCATTATCGGGTACTAAAAATCGATCGTACCGCACCGCCTGGCCATCTAAACATCTTCGAGGATGACATTGTTTATGACAAAAGAGAAATGAACCAACTCCTCAATGCAATAGACGATGGCAACAAAGCCACAGGAGGCCTCAAGTTGAAGTGTAGCACCTGGGGGTTACTTGGATTCATCCGGTTCACGGAAGCTTACTACATGCTACTCATCACGAAACGGGCACAGGTTGCGATGCTCGGAGGCCATTACATATATCAAGTGGATGGCACCGAATTAATACCTCTCACAACGGGATCAACGTCTCGATTTCAGAAAGATCGCAATCCGGAAGAAGCACGGTTTCTCGGCATTCTCAATAATTTGGATTTGACCAGATCTTTCTACTTTAGCTATGCGTACAACATTACCAGAAGCCTGCAACAGAACATCATTCGCGAGCGCACCGCACTCAATGAAGGAATGCATAGACCACCTCCGGATTATCAGGACATGTTCGCTTGGAATCATTATCTCCTGGAGCCCGCCAGTACCGCGCTCAAGAATATGTATGACTGGTGCCATCCCATCATCCACGGCTACATTGATCAGTCATCTCTGAATGTTTATGGGCGACGGGTATTCATCACCATCATTGCGCGAAGATCACGATTTTTCGCTGGTGCACGATTTCTCAAGCGCGGGTCAAACGATTTGGGTTACGTAGCAAACGATGTTGAAACTGAGCAAATCGTTTCAGAAAGCTTGAACACATCTTTCCATGCTCCTGGACCTCGACTATACGCAAATCCTACATACACCTCTTATGTACAGCATCGAGGAAGCATTCCACTATACTGGACACAGGACAACACCGGTGTCACACCAAAGCCAGATATCGATCTAAACCTCATAGACCCGTTCTATAGCGCTGCAGCATTGCATTTTGATAATCTCTTTGAACGTTACGGAACGCCAGTATACGTGCTGAATTTGATCAAGGCACGTGAGCGGACACCAAGAGAATCCAAACTTTTATATGAGTATCAGCATGCCATCAACTATCTTAATCAATCGCTTCCTGCCGACAAGAAAATTATCTACGAAGCATTTGATATGGCAAGAGCATCCAAGACCCGCGGACAGGACGTCATTGGGACTCTAGAACACCTTGGTGAAAAGGTGCTTACGACGACTGGGTTCTTCCATAATGGCGACCATGACACAGGTTCTGCACAAGTTCAAAACGGAGTCGCAAGAACAAATTGCATTGACTGCTTAGATCGGACTAATGCAGCACAATTCGTAATTGGCAAAAGAGCTCTGGGTCGACAACTCCAGGCACTTGGTGTTATCAAAGGAAATACGGTAGAGTACGATTCAGACTGTGTCGACTGCTTTACTCATATGTTTCATGGCCATGGAGATGCTATTGCTATTCAGTACGGCGGTTCTCATCTTGTCAACACAATGGCGACATATCGGAAAATCAATCACTGGCAGAGCAGCTCTCGCGACATGGTCGAAAGCTTCAAACGTTACTATCACAACTCTTTCCTTGATTCGCAACGTCAAGAAGCATATAATCTGTTCCTCGGAAATTACGTCTTTGCCCAAGATGAACCAATGCTCTGGGATCTTACGACCGACTACTACCTCCACCATGAGAGCCCACGTGTATGGCTAGGGAAGGCCCGTCGCGACTACATCAATTGGTACACTCCGAGTCATCTGGAGCCTCGATCATTGCCTACTAGTACCGTGCCCTGCAAAAAGCAACTGCAACTTACCCAAAAAGGTGTCAGTCTTTACGATGATTATTGGTACGAGTACTATAGGCCACTGGCACTTTCTTCGTTCCTCAAGATATTTGCGTTCCGTATCAACAATCAGTCCGACATGACACGACAGCAAGGCATCGATAAGTTGCATGCCGATAAGCATGTAGCATTTCATACACAGGATCTTTCACCTTTCATCATTCGCAAGAAGCAGCATGACCAAGAGTCACCAAGAAAAGAGGGCAAAAAGCCTCTTCGAAAGGGCGTAACTATTGTTGACCCATCTAGCGACACTGACGCTCGCCGTCAGAGCTATCTCGCCCGCCGACGCAAAGAACAATACCCCACGATACCTGAGCTGATAACATCACCCGTCAGGGGCTCTATCTTGAGAGATCCACATTTTGAGACCGACATGCCTACTTCTGCTCCCCCTTTCCTCGGAACCTTTCCACCTCTTTCGAATTCCGAGTCTACCAGCTTTTCACAATCACGGAACCCGAAGTTAGCGGACAAATCACTGATCAATCAATGGACACTTGCCCAGTTCTACGAGCATAGCCTGGATCCTACTGTTACTTCGGCTGAGGAGGCCGAGTATTCGCGTTACGTCGAACATCCACTTAACCTTCCACTCGTAGTGAGTTCCGAAACTCCTTCTACCGACGACCCTGGAGCTCTCGAATTCTACGAATACCTATGCATGGACGAGGAGGGCGTGAAACCCGTGTCCAGCCTCGATGACCACGTATCAATCAGCGACGCCGCGCAGGTTCCCCTGCCCTCGCTTTACGATTCCGCCTTACTGGACACTGCCTCAGTCCGATCTCTCCCATTCGCACAGAACGTCGTCTACCCGGGGGCTACACTTCATTACCAACACCACGCGAACCACATCCAGCAAGCGCACAACAATTACGCGGCTCGCCCGACTTCAAGCCTTTCCCTATCGACTCCGTTCTCGCATCACCCACCGCTCCCTCCCGATCCTGTCCCCGCGGCTACGGCGAATCTCAGTACGCCGAAATTCCAGACGTCGGAAGAAGATATTGAAGAGTTTGAAGAGTTCCTCACAGTGCTAGATAACCCGCTCGATGTTCTAGAAGAAGACGGCACGAAGAAGAGATACAAGGCGTACAGGCAGTGGTTGAAAGGGAAGAGTTTCTTCAAGCAGAGCAAGGTGGATCCGGAATGGCAGAATCAGCTACCGCTCAGATGAAACCTACTGCGCCAAGATCCCTTGCTTATCGTTAGTTTCATGAAGGAGAGTAGAAGAGCAGGCTATGATTCCAGCGATGCGAGAGTAGCGATACGTCATGTCTAGAGTTGGGCCAATCATGTTTTATGTCACTTCAATTTGTCAAGTATCAATTACTCAGTATACATCAAGCGAGCGAGATCTCCACGTTAGCATTAGCGCAAGGTTGGTTTAGAAGTTAGATTTATTCGTTTCATAATTATATGAGGAGTATCCATGCATGCTAGGTAAATTTCATATATGATTTCACCTCCTGAGTCGTAAGAGTAGACTGGAGATGACGTCCCATTCCCTGCGGCGAAGCGCAATACTATGGACGATATTTGATGCAAACTCCTTAAAACCTTTCCATCCTTCATAGAAAGGGGTATCTCTTGGTAGTGGTAATCACACAAAACGCCGTGGGCGGTAAAAACTGAGACCGCCACTTGAAAAATGCTGATATAGATGATGCGAACTCCAGATTTGCGTATCACCAGAATGCCATTTTGAGTTGTGGTCACGATGGCGAAGGAGCTGAATTGATCTGCGCAGATTGAACCCCTGAGAGTAAGCTGAAAGATCAGATCAAAACGACAAAATGTTAGCGTTGACCATGATTGATCTGAAGGATTGGTTCTCCTCTGCTAATGTACCCATGAAATGTACCTCGAGCGGATGGCGCGGGGAGGTGCGACGAGTCGAACATGATCAATCCCAATCATCTGGTTCAGGCGTCCGCGAACTTCTCTTCTTTCCCTTGCTTCCATTCGGCCGACCTCGTGCTTTCTTTGGAGTGCGCTCGATTTGCGCACTGCCCTTTCTTTTCCTGTTACGCCCACTATTCGGCGTTTGCCCTCCTTTGTCGTCCTCGTCCGGAGTTTCATAGCCTTGCCCAGCCATGGAGAGCTCCTCGTTGGGATCTACGTCGTCTTCTTTGATTGCGTGTTCCTTGTCCACATTTATAATGTCGGCAAGAATTTTGCACTCTCTCACCATGGCGTCTCGACTGTCCAGAGACTTCGTGATGGCGGGAATACGTTCGAGATATTCCTTTGGCGTGACGAGGTTGTTTCTAGATGCAGGCTTTTGTAAGTCCTTTACAGTTAACTTGCCTTGAATATTGTACTGGCGCCTGATCTGTGTGCGAGTCTCCCACATCATGTGCAGAATGATTGATGCAACAGTGAGTTGCCGTAGACGATCATCGCTAATGGAGTCGTATGGATTTTCCAGCTTCGGAAGGGCGTCCTCCGTACCAGAGGTCACAAGCGGGACCTCGGGATGGTCTATTCCTGCTTGATCGAGTTTGGGTTCGATACCAGGCTGAGGGAAGTCGGTTTCAATCGAAAGGGCGACCGCTGGACCGGTTTGCTTGAGGACAATGCTCTCGATGGTCGACAAAACATGATGAACATCGTCAGTCCGTGAATAATCAAAAACTGCGAAATTTTCCAGGCAGAATTGAGCGAACTGGATAGATTCAGGCAAGGGACCTTTGATGTCCAACTTTGATAGATCAAAGTCCATTTCCCTGAACAAATTCGATACAAACTTCTTGAGCACCTTTCGGGAACCCTGTTTCAGGGCTTCAAAGAGAAGCTGCATCTTAGGTTTCATGGTTTTGTCCACGACTCCACGGTGGTCACTGAATACTTGGCCTTGGTATTTGAATGCCATCCGAACTGCTGAGACATATTCTTTCTCAAACATGGTTTCGTGATGCAAGTGAATCTTTGTATGTTCAACGGCAGCCTTTTTGGAGATGACAGGATCAGGTGAAGTGCTTAAGGCGACAAGAGGTGGGCCGCATTCCTTGGGATGAACCAAGCCTTGCCGACTGATGCTGACAATGATGTCGGTCGCGGAATGTGCCATGTCATCCGACTGTTCAAGTGCGCATCGGACGATGTTGTTGAGAAAGCTTTGAGCAAGATGCATCGTAGCCGCGTCATTATCGGTGGCAGCAAAAGAAGACTCTAGTCGTTCAGCCCCATGAATCGCTCCCTCGCCCACAGCAATCTCAGCACCTGTCTCAGATCGGCGCTCGGCGAGTGCAAGGAAATCGCGAATTTGTGTCAGCACCACGCGCATCAGTTCAAGATCTTCGTTGATGAAGGGTAACCTGAAGGTTTTGTCCACATCTGCGCGAGTAAAATGCTTTGGATAGCGTTGGCAGATTTCTCCCAAGCTTCGCAGAGCCTGAGCTCGATAAACGGATTCCCATGGCTGCCGGGCGAATGGCAGTATTATATCAAGCAAAAGAACTGCAATTGAGGAGCCCTTCCACTTGCTGAGCTTCTCGATATGCTTCGGGTTGACTTTCTTCTGCGCTATGGCGTTACGAGCTTGGGCGGCAATGATGGGTCTAAAAGCGTCTACGTGTTTGTCAAAATCACAAACTTTGCCGAAGACGCCGAGGACGATCATGAGCCAAAGGATTGTCTTCATGTTCTTTTCCTCCATCGGTATCGAACTGTATGGTTCAAGAAAAGCTGCGGTAGACGCCATTTGAGTGAACAATTTGTCTAGACCTGATTTTGATTTGCCCGGCTCTGCTTTGACGAGAGGACTGATCATCCAGAGACAGTGGGCCACATCGATCAAGGTATTCATCCACCTTGCTAGAGTCTCACTAGCATCAGTAGCTTTCATGGCGGCCGCTGCTGCTTTCGCTTGTGCGGCAGTTGCGACTTCTTGTGCTTCGTCCGCAACAGTACCATCCAGTGGAGCTGATGTCTCACGCTTTCCCAGTCTGGCCACCTCAGATGCTTCGTGAGCTTTCGCAGCTTCGGAAGTGGCTGTGGCTTCGGCAGCTTTAGCGGTCAACATAGCTGCAGCGGTATTTGGTCCAATTCTGCTCACGACCTTCTGGAGGTTGAGGTGTACCTCCTTTAGAAAGACCTCTTGCAAAGACGGGAGAGAAGGGAAAACGTAGCGGAAGATGACGATCGTTGGCTGGAAAAGAGCGAGGTCCTCAAAACTGTTGAGGTTCTTAACATATAGCTTAAGAAGCTGCACTTGCTCAGCTGTGAATAGTGCAGGCTTGATCTTGGCGAAGAAAGCCATCGCTTGCAGCATCCGAGATTGTGTCATTTCGCCAGTGGCCTGATCAATGCCAATGACGCCTTCCAGAATGTCTGCCACTAGAGCCTTGCATGTCTGGAAATTTGAGCTTGCATTTTTTGCATCAGTAGATAAAGAGCGACTGAAGAACGTTTCGAAAGCGCGAATGTGATCGGGGGTGCATTGTCGACCCTGGATTACCTGCACAGTATCCACAATGAGTGTTGCTCTGGTTTCTCGTTCCAATTTCAGTTGGCTTTGATCTGATCGAGACGATACTGCAGATGAATTAAACCAGATTTCCTCCAGTGTCTGGCGACTCAGCTCCGCAACGGCCTTCTCTTCATCGAGTATTGGCAAAAGCAAACCAGTAGCGATCGTGAGCTTTTTGTCTTTTACTGTTTTGTCTTGCCTCGTAAGCCCAACATAGATATCTCTCAAGATTTTGATGGCCTTTTTCTTTGGCTCGTTCGAGGAATCGGTCATGACAGCAAGTATGCGTTGTAAACAAAAGCGCTCAAGAGAGGGATCTTGCTCGAGACATTTCGAGAGCAGGTTGAGAGTGTTGGCGCGGACTTGGGGCGAACTGTCTGCCAGTAGTCCAGCGAAACGGCCGAACGTATTTTCGTCTAGAGTTTGTGGATCCTTATCAATCAAAGCAGAGAGACTAGTGACCGCTCGAGATTTGATCTTAGCCGATTCGCTTTTGGTGTTCTGGATGAAACGATTGATCAAGGCAGGAAGATATATACAGAAACGTTCCTGTAAAGATATAATCCCTGCTGCGAGTTTTGTTTCATTCTCTGATGCATGAAAGGTACTAACGTCAAATTAGCGTCAGTCGAATACTAGAAGCTTGACCACTTACGAATCCGCGAGCAGCACTTTACTGTCCGTGGCTATCTTCTTCAGCTGCCGCTCGATTTCATTCAGAGTGTGATCTTGTGGCTGATCATCCTGGTCGCGGGGAAATGCTTGATAAAAGGTGTTCGCCCATGAGGTAACGTAGAAGCCACTAAGTGAAAGAAGATATGGGTCGCTTTTGCCAGGATGCGACCCCTGGCCGTTGAGAAAATTTGGCAGCGATCGAAGAACTTCCGCGAACGGACCCTTCAATGATACAACATCGTGCTTGTTAATACCTGCTTTCAAGGCATCGTCTGCTAGGGGTACGAGTCTGCTTGATGTATCCGATTGGGAAACATCAAGGCCCCTTTTGACATGCTTCAAGCGGTGTTTAAAATCGAGGATACCGCTACCCATGCTTCCCATTACAGCTAATGCCATGTCCACGGCATTGACGCCATTGTCCTTCACATTATCCGCTATCTGAATCATGAGGACCAGGATTCTCTCTAGCAAGATTGATGCTGCGGGCCATTCGGGCGACCCTAGTACGTTGCAGAAATCTTGAATGAAGTAGTCCAGCAATATTCTGAAGGGTTTATCGCCAGACTTCGAGACACTGGACGCACGATTGACAAGATAACTGGCAATATACGAGGCTGTGGTGATGGCAGAATGCCATAGGTCCCGGATGGTAGCATCGAATCGTTTCTGGGGACCCTTCGGCTTTCTTGACTTTTCAGCACCCGAATCTGCTTCCTCGTCGTCCGACGACTCATCCTCTGAAACGAGATCGTGGTCAGAGTGTTCGCCATCGAGCTGGCGAGAGGTTCTACTGGCCGCAGCCTGGACAAAGCGCATAAACAATGCAGATACCAGCATGATAGGTGCATCGCGCGCAGATTTGAACTGTCTAGCACTGGCACGTTTGTCGGGAAGCTTTTCCAAATTGCTTAGGACCTCATTGTTGATAGATTCTCTTTGATCCGAATGGAAAGCGAAGATTTGGGCTAAGACATCCATAGACTTCTGTCGGAAGTTCTCGAACTTTTGCATCGCCCCCAGTGCAGAATCAGAGTCCTTCTCACTATTTTGGGCGAAGACAATACTGATGGCCACCGACTCAAGCGGACTCAACGCCATTGCCGTTAATTTGACTTTCCCGACGAGAAGCGCCAGTAAACTAAGGTTACTTCCACTTAGCTGTAGAACTTTGAGAACCTCTTTTCTTCGCTCGCGCGTAAATTCGAATATCTCCGGATCGGACGATGGCCGTGCATCAACAATTGGAAGTATGCATGATTCGAGGACCTTCTTCAATACCCTGACTATAATCTGCACTAGATCTTCTGAGCAGGTACGTCGGCTATCGTAAGATTCGGTCATGGTCTGCAAGACCAACTTGCTGGCTCGCAAACCAGCTATCGCTCTCTGGATATGGCTGAGTGTTTCCTCTGCGTCACTAGTCGCGAGATACAGCGATGAATGACTTGTTGCTGTGATCAGAGGCTCGCAGAGAGACTGGATTTGTAAGACCTGTTCCTGCGGTACCGAAGTGAAGCATCCAAGCTCAACAATGCCTGAGATAGCTTCAGAAAGTGTCGCAATAGCCTTGCTTCCTAGAACGGTCACATCTCCTTCATCGGTCGTCCAGGTGGCGAACAAGGTCGATTCGTCGGGATCATCCTTCTCAGCCGAAATCCTGTCAATCTCAATTCCAAGTTTCTGCAGCCTTCGCTCGGCGACTTCCCGCTCTTGTGGTCGCATAGCTGCTATGGTATCGTGGGATTGTAAAACCTGCTTCGACGTCGCACTGTTACCGTTTTCTATATTGTCGTAGCGCTGATGTTCTTTTTTCTTCTCTGATGGCAATTGGTTGACCACTACACTTGGTCCTACATGGCCAGATGTAGACTTGAAGGCTGGAGAAGGGGAGGGGGTAGGTTTCTGGTGCACAGGATTCAAGGCGTGCGCAACGTTCTGTGGAGTCTTAAAGCCTGCGCTAGATGGTGTTTGAGCCGAAACATGGACCGTATTTTGTCGCTGCTGAGCTCGAACCGACTGAGGGTGTGTTGATGGACGCGAGGTGCCTTGTTGGTACGCTATGTTCGTTGTATGTAGCAGCCTGGAAGCGAAAGGACTTAAGGTAGCTGTTTGAGTTGGTACAGAGCCGTTCGTAAAGTGAGACGTGGAGGTGTCGGGTGAAGGTGACGCGAAATGCTTGAGAGATTTGAAGTTACTGTATGCGCATTAGTGAGATGGCCTTCACTGCGAGAACAGTTCGACGGATTGGTAGTCCTACAATTCGGAGAGCTCATCCGGGTTCAGGAGGTGCTGGAGCTGTGCCATCGTATCATGAACATGACGAGAGGCGCCAGGATTCTCTAAACCTTTGCCCAGGGCCTCTAAGGCTCTCTTTCCTGCAGTCTGTTGCTCCGGTGTCAAAGTCGTCGGTGGAGTAGGAGGTGCCGTCGATGGGTATGGGATAACGTCTACTAGGTTATAGATTGATTAGTATATGATCATATACATGTTTACTTAAACGCCTCCCGCGCTGTGGCTCACTGGCACGTACCTGGCGAGAAGGGAATTATTGAGGTGAACGGGGAGTATGGGAGGGCCTCGTGGACGGTAGGAGGGCGAAAAGGAATCCCTCCTCCGCTGGCATTGTGCCAGTTCCCGTCGACACCGTTCATATGAGACATTTTTGTATGTAGGCCGGTGTCATTGACAGTCTACTATTCGTATGCGTTCGTCGTGGTTTTTAATGAATCGCTTCATAAGAGCAGCCGGGTAAGCGTTGCGCGGGTCAAAGGTGAAGGCGCGATCGGGACGGCGAAGGTGTGACACGGCACATGGTCAGTGAAGACGAGCAAAGGCACGACAGAACTTTCAATGGAATAAGACAGCTAGCTCTTCTGCATCTGTCACGTAGGGATACAGATGGTGGGTTGGATCAAACATGGGATTCTAGCATGGTTCCTGGTATACTTTCGCGCCCGACCGCCTGCCGCTTTCATGCAGCATTGGGTCTTGGCACGCTTTCCCGCTCGCGGTATCACGCCGTGACCTGTCACTTTTTTTTCGACAGCTCGTCGCAAGTCTATTTACACTCCTGCACTTTCCCGGCATTAACATCAAAGGAAAAACTCCAACAATGGCAGCCATTGGATCTCTCGTTTTCTGCACAGACTGTGGTAATCTCCTTGACGGCAGTGCCGGCAAACAAAATGCGATCCTACTCTGCGCGGTGTGTGGCGCGTCTTGCAAAGGTACGTCTGCGCCGGTATTCCACATCTAAATCAAGACAAATCTAATGGCTTCACCTGAAGACACTTCCTCCAAAGTTATCGTGACCCAATCGAAGCCCGACGCATTCCCTTCGCCACTTCGCGCAAAGAAGTCGGAGGTACAAACCATCAACGAGGACGACATGCAGACCAATGCTGTTATCGACGAACCGTGCCAAAAGTGCGGCAACCCACAAGTGCGCTTCTATACACAACAACTCCGCAGTGCAGACGAAGGCTCTACTGTGTTTTACGAATGCGAGAAATGTGGGCATAAGTATGGCATCTCTTCATCACTGACCATTCAATTGCGCTTACAACTATTAGATGGAATACAAATAATTGAATGTGCCGCTGTACTTTCTTTTTAGACGCATTATATCATGAACTCTATGGGTGTATCACTCCAGATCTATGCCGCTGCGATCGGGTTGCTCTCGGGCACAATCGCATATTCAACCTCGCCGTTCTTCTCGAATTCTGCCATGTCCAGAGCCACGATAACGCTATCGCGAACAACTTGCTCCGGATCGTTCAGAAACTTCCTCAGGACATCTTCGACTCCTTCTTCGTCACCAAGGCTTCCCAACGCCTCTGCGGCCTCATGGCGCACCATGCTCGCCTCTTTGGTATCACTCAGGGTCTCGACTAGGCTAGGAATGGAAGCAGGATGTGACAACTGCCCGAATACGAAAGCGATCTCATGACGAAAAAGGGCGGATGGATCGCTGAAACCTCGTGCAAGTGCCTGAACTGCTGGCACTGCAGTCGGCAGATCAGGTGGCGAAGATAGATCTCGGAGCGCAAACATGGCTCGGTAGCGATGGAACAAAGGCAAAGAAGTGTCTAGGAGGGTTTTCTCAAGCTCCGGGATGGAAGGCTTTTCGGAACTCTGTGGCAGTGGTGGTGCTGGATCGATGGATGTGAAATCGCTAGTACAAATGTCAGCGCATACGATCCTTTCCAAAATGTTGCGTTTGCGCGCCATACCTTTTCTTCAACTGTTCTTGCTTGCTCTGTAGGCCATGCTCCCACTCAATTCGATCGACGGCAATGTCACACGTCTCTCTCACCACGTCAACTTCCCCAACATCGTCTCGGAGCTGCTTGAGAAGCTCCAGGCTGTTCTTGTCTCCCAGTGCTGCCAGTGCTTCAGCGGCTTCGTGACGACACATTGCGTCCTCCTCTTTGTCTTCTAGAACATGTCGGAGTGGTGCAATCGCGGCATCGTGGCGGGACTGTCCGAGGCAGTAAGCCAACTCGTGCTTCAGGAGTGCGGAGGGCGATATGAAAGCCGCAGCGATCGCATCGATGGCGGGCACCGTTTGCTCGGTGGGAGGCTGGAGGGATGCAAGATACTTAAGAGAGAACAATGCGCGGAACCGACGTGCCAGAGGCTCTTTCTCAGAAGTTATGATCTTGCGAAGGGTAGTAACTTGAGAGTCCCCTGCGAGGGAGTCTGTGGCGGCCATCTTTGTGGTTATTCGGTGGTGTGCGAATTGTTGGGCGATTCTGGTTGTTCGATGGGGAGTACGATTTTCAAAAAATGTTCACCCCACTAGATCAGCGAGATCCATATTATCTTATCAGATTTGTGGCTCTGCACGTGACCTATTATCCCCCCGGAGGCTAACATCGTGTACAAGTAATTAAACCACACCGCCTTTCCTGATCATCACTACGCACCCCTTTTGTCCAGACCATGTATTCTATGGGGAATTCATATGTTTACCTGTTTCCTTCAACTCCTTATTGGGTAAAAATGTATAAAAAACGTTATGCCACTAGGGGGATTAGACACTCCCTGGAATAATAGTCGATGCAGGGGTAACCCCTCCTTCCCTTTAAGCGCCCAATCTACTCTAGCCATTCCCCAGCCACCTCAAGGCCTCGCCTCCTTTTCTCACGTGAACACGAGGGAATCTTGCGACAAAGGTCACAGACACCTTACTTTCACCTTCATCTTCACCTTCACTTCACCTTACGAACCACCCAGTATCCGTTCACGAATTAGACTATAACGCCGCATCGACTCATCCCTTCCGGGAGTATCTTTCCAACACAAATCCTAAACACCTTCTCCAACGCTATCCTCCCGGGCGCATTCCACGATAACCTGCTTGGCCGACCACTTTGTTCGTGTTTCTCTTTCTCCAGCGTTCTCTTTCGGAAATGGCTTTTCTGCGCGATGTCTCAACCCGGTTCTGGGAGTATGTAAGCCCGCGCAAGACGCAGCAGCGACGCGACAAGGACTTCAAAGCGAAAGTCTCCCCCTTGCCGCAAACCGCGCGAAAGCAGACTGAGCGGTACGCGCAATGGGGTTCCCCGAAAATCAAGCAGGAGCGCGCCATTCTGGAGACCCCAATTCATGATAGTTCTATGAAACCGGTAAACCTACCTCCTTCTCCTCCACACTCTCTGGATCGACGGTCCTATAGCGACCTGGAGGGTGATACGCTTTTGGATAATTGCGCTGGGTCTCCAAAATCTTACAAAGAGGAAGATGGCTGGGATGCGAATGAAGATACCTTTGTTGTCGACGATGATCGTTACGTACCGGAAGAAACAAAGGATACCGAAGAAGAGCGTTTGAGGAGGGACGAACAAGGCCAGCACCTTCGCAGCGCAGGCTGGACTGAGGATGCCATCTTTCTGTTCCAGAAACTAGGTATGAGAGGTTTCGAACCTCTTATGCCAGCCGATTGGATTGATGACTTCAAATCTTTACCATACGACCTCTTCACGAATAATCTTGACAAAGCTTTCATAAAGCCTGCTCTGGACCGCTCGGGAGCGAGCGCTGATTTCCATGGTACGTAACTCTCGCCCCATTCCAATCCACTTTCACTAACGCATCGACAGCTTTCAGGGCACTCGAGGAGCTTTTCCAGCTGGGAGGACGCGCACGTGACGCTATTCACCAGAAAGCGGAGCTGCGCACTCCCGAGATCCTCATTCGCCGAGCAATTAGGAGTTACAATAAGTGGGCCTTGAAAGATGGCGGCGTCGACAACCTGTGGGGACAGCTTTCCCTCTTCGAAGTCGTCAGCGCCAGCACCACTACCTCGTCGGTCGAGATCCAGTCCAAGATGCGCAATCGACTCGAGCTATTAGCAAACCGTTGGCACGAAGCCTACCGCTTGGCTGGGCTTCACAAAGATCCAGAAACCCCTATCAAGTCCTCCTTGGACGATTGCGCCCCTTTGCCGGACATTCCTACGCTCTACGGAATTATTGCTTCTCACACCATTATGGCATTTGTGAGCTACGATGCCTCGGTCCCACAATCTGGACTTCGCACTGTTGCGATCTTTGATTTTGGCCAGGAAGGTTACGACGTTTGGAATGCTTTGGCCATTGCGATCTTTCTAATCCACTGCCGCAACCGCCTGATGGATCTCAAAGACTACCTTCCCCACCCGGACGAACTCTCGAGCGAGAGTGACCCAGACGCGTAAACATGCTTTATGCGATGATCCGAAATTTTTCTTTTGTTTAAGGACGACGACAACTCATGAAATGCACAGATGAGTGCAGGTACGAAATGCGATGAATGATTATGCGATGGAAGATTAGCGCCCTCGGAGGATTTTATGCTTTGCGTTATACCCCTATACCCCACACCTATTCCCCAATGACGTTTTAGTAACGAGACTGCCCGACGTTCCCATGACGGAAATCCCCCTTCTGACGTCCTTTTCTTGAAATTTGCGGTCTTGCTCTATGGACCAGGCGAAGTTTCAAATGAAATCCGGAACACAGTAAATAGTAAACTGAAAAAACCAAACATAAATACACTTTGCAGAATTATATTGCACCCAGATTACATTCTTGAAAACGAGTGAAAGCGTTCTAGCGACCTAAAATGATTCATTGCAGGCCCTAAATTCTACATGGATCTTGCCTACATAATTGATCTGCATCACGCACTGTAAGCATTTAAAGTTAACAAAACTTACGGAGGACAATACGAGAAAATTTTGTGGAGACAATGTACTTTGAAGTGACGTTGCCTTTAGAATTGGAAGCATCATAGCAGAGAAAAACATTTCAAACGTTAAAGAATTTGGAGTAATTCCATTGATGTTGTGAACCGAGTACGTACTAGGTATTTGAAGTGGAAGGGCTATCAAAAGTAGCTCGAATGTTTCAGGGCGAATGATAACATGTAAAATGATAAAAGCGGATAAGCAAATAAAATTTGAACGACAGTATCTTAACAAAGATGCATCCATTCACTAACTCCATCCCAATGATTCCTCGCTACTTTACAATGGCCAATTTAATAACTACAAATCCTAATCAAAATGAATCCTCCACAACTCTCGATCGACCTGCGCCAGGAACGAACTCCTGGTGTGCATCGTGGATATATTGTCACTGACCAACAGATCACCCTTCACCCACATATGCCAGTTGCACACTCTACGGTCGTGCAGAAGCGACTCTAGAATGTCGCAGATCTCCTGGTCGCCGTTCTCGATCTCGACATGCGTCGGGTCGAACTTTGTCTTCTCTTGCGGCCATCGCTCGTGGTATCTAATGCATGGTTGATCTGTGGACGGATGCTGCTGAATCAAGGGCAAGCGCCTAATGATCGCCTGATCGAACGAAGGGGTGCTGACGGAATATGTCAAGGAGCGAAGCTGATCCACCGAGATGTGCTTTGGTAGATATTGGAAGACAAGCCTGGATGCCGAAAAGAGAGTGTAACCAGTGTCCTTGGGGCTAGAAGTCACTGCAGTGAAGAATTGGAATCTGGGTGGCTGCGGAACTAGGTCGTAGCTCCCGTCATCCCGTACATGCTTCTGAGTCTTGAACATGCCGTCGAAATGGAATGGCATCCACTCGGAACTCAGGACGTTGTTGAGTCCTTCCGTCTCAGCCCCTTGGTCTTTGACTTCTAGGACGAGTCCGAACTTCCATGGTGTTGGCTTGCCGAAATCGTATGATTTGGCAACAAACCTTTCACGATCCCTGGTTTTGGTGAAGCCACGAAGAACGACGGGTGAGTTAAGTTCTGCAAGTTCACGGATTTTGAGTGCATCGACGTCATCGATGGACGCAGACTTGGGTCCATTGGCGGGACGGACTAGGATTCCGCAAGGATACAACGGCTCGAATGTAACCGGCGTTGACTGCCAACTGTAGAGGCTTGACTTCTCGCGGAAATATGAAGGCTGCTTGTTTTCGTAGACTAACTCCATGTCATCCATTGCTTCAAATGTGGTACGATGTCCAGCTAGCAATGTTCCGTCAACTTTGAAGGCGATAGAGCAGTGCCATGGTGTTACGGTAGTAGCGACAGGAAGAACATTCACAGAGATCTTGTCTTTGCCGTTGGAAGGATGGATCGATAGGCGGACATGGTCGGGAAACCTGCTGCGTACTGCTCTTGCAAATGCGTCGCCCCGCTTCAGCATCGCCTTAGCAATTTTCGCAACGCCCTTCTTGAAACGACTTTTGGTACGCTCTTCGTCTATCGGATAGGTAGTTGCAAGATCCAGTTCAAGGAACTTGAGATATCCGCAGTATGTCGTTCGCTTGTTGTCGTCAACCTCCAGGTCCGACCCTTCAGCCCAGCTGGTGGCTCCGAATTGGTTCATCAGACTCAGGCGCATGAAAGATGCGGCAGCAGCGTACGACATGTCATCTAGCTGTTCATCTATGCTCTTCAATGCTAGTAGATTTCTGAGCTGTGCAAACTGGATGTGTTTGTATCCTCGAGAGGCAGCAAGCTCTCGTAGCTTTCTTCCATAGTTCCAAACAACGTGGTCGGGAACACCAAGGAGATCTATGCTTATTAGCATGATATAGGTCAATGAGAATCTCTCATAACATACCATTGTAGACTAACCCGTCGGAAACTATGGTCAAGATAGCACCAGGTTCGTAGATGTCCTTGATAGCAGCACATAATCCGTTGAGATGTGCGAGAGCTACATCTTCACCCTTATCGGGCGAGATCCCCAGTACCTTGTCTTTTGCATTGGGACTCTTGAACGGGAAAGCTGGCATGACCATGGGAACAGGCTGATCAGCTTTCACCGCAAGATAGATCATACCGAGAAACTTCAAAGCACCCTCATCGCTACAGTCCACGGCACCCTTTGGCAAAGGACTCCGATACCTGAGAATGGTATCGAGAATCTTGTGTGAAGTGGCCAGAACATTTACTTTCAGACTGTCAATCATTTTGATCAATTGAGAGGGCCGTCGTGTTCCAGCAAGACGGTTTGATGAGGATTGTGGTTGAGGATTATCTCTAGAGGATATATCCACAGGAAGACAAGGTAATATTTAGACGAAAGGAAAGTGATGTTCAATGAAAGACACGATGATAGGGTTTGAAGATCTATTGTCTGGAGGGGTTGCTCTCTATATATTCACGGATTCCATAGATGTTGCAAAGGGTATTGTACCATGGATGTAAACGGAATTTTCGCGCTTTGTTAAAAATTGTGAATGGTTCCTCGAGCCATCAGAACAGTTTCGTGACCAACCAAAAAACCTAGTATTTTGATATGTAATACAGCGCAGCAATTCCGTCTGCACCTTGTTGCATAGCTTAGCTATTTTTCCTCTTTCTCTCTAACCCCTTGGGTTTAAGATTATCGTCCGACATTGCAGGCATCATGGGAATACGGACTTGGCACATAAATTAGGGTGTGATGATACCATCCAGTTTCGTCGGATTCAGGTTCGGTATGCACCCCGAACTTGGCTCCGCTGAGGCCGCAATTTAGATTGGTTCGATCTAGTGGAAATCTTCAAAAGACGAGCTTTTTGGCTCCTCACGGCTGAAACAATCATTTCTCGCAATCAAGCAATCGATCGATACACATCAAAAGCAATCAAAATTCTGAATAGTTTCTCGGTCCAATACTCAATCTTTGTTCAAGATGCCGTGGCGAGAATGGATACAAGTTTCTGTAGGCTTTTCGCTGATGCTCAATACATGGTAGGTGAATTGATCCCCACTCTCATCTGGAATGACACTGACGACATTCTAGGGGTTTGGTGAACGCCTTTGGTGTCTTCCAGGAATACTACTCCGCTTTTAGCCCGCCACTTTCATCGCCCTCTTCAATCTCATGGATCGGATCTCTGCAACTGTTCTGCCTCCTAGGTTTCGGTTCCGCGACTGGAAGCTTTGTCGATAGAGGATTCGCCAGGCGTATGGCATTCGTCGGCTGCAGCTGTATCACGCTCGCAATCATATTGACCTCATTGAGTGGCGAATTCACGGCACAGAAGCGGCCTGTGTTCTACCAAGTGATCCTCTCGCAAGGTGTCTTGTCTGGAATTGGAATGAGCCTATTGCTCGTCCCCTCAACCGCCATTGTACCCACGTACTTTTCGAAAAACCGCGCATTGGCTGTCGGCATTGCCAATTCAGGAGCTTCTATCGGAGGTATCATCTATCCTATCCTCGTACGCCGGCTTCTTGTCACCATGGGGTTCAATTGGGCCATGAGGGTCACTGCCCTTGTAGTCCTTGTGACGGCCAATGCCGCTACCTTCCTGTTGCGACAGCGCCGTGAACTGACTCGAAACCCAGCCAAGAGGACTCTTTACGAATTCAGGTGTCTACTCGAACCTCAATATATCCTGTTTGTGTTGGGTGTGGCACTGTCCTTCGCCGGACTTTTTATTCCATATTTTTACATCACCACATGGGTCCGGGATACCGGGGTATCTTTGAATGGAATGCAACCTTACTACCTCATAAGTATTCTCAATGCAGGGGGCCTGGTGGGTCGCATAGCCCCCAGTATCGTGGCTGATAGACTGAAATCGGGCCCAGCCCTGGTACAGTCTGTGGCTGCCATCGGGTGCGGTGCATTGGCCGGAGGTTGGACCTATGTGGACTCTTCTTTTCCAGGATTGATTGTTTGGGCCCTTGCGTACGGCTTCCTTAGTGGAAGCGTCATCAGCCTTATACCCGCTACGGCAGCGATGCTCACACCAGATATGTCGAGGCTTGGTGGAAGAATTGGCATCGTGTTTGCCGCCAATGCCCTGGGAAGCTTGATTGGAAATCCTGTTGCCGGTGTTATCATGAAGAGTACTGAGGGAGGATGGAGAGGGTTGAGTCTGTATTGCGCGACTCTTGAATTAGCAGGAGGAAGTTTGCTATTGGTATGTTGGGGGTTGCGACGCTGCACGGAGAACAAGGGTTAAAAAAAAGGATTGACTGGGCCTCGGTAATGGCCGAACATACATTCATTACTGGTTTTGGGTGGACTCTCCATATTGTCCGGCACACAGCACTCATGAGTTTACTCCGAACCTTCCTGACACGGCGATAGTATTATATTGCTTATCTCTTGCTTATCCATTCTGTTCGAAGTAGCACCATAGAAGTATATGATGTGTATCTGATTCTGGGGGATTGACTCTACCTGTGCTCCTTTCATGCAATCTAGATCGTGGATCATCGTACTCGTAATACAGCCTGTAGCCTGTTGCCGACGATTTAGTGCCTAAATCTGCATACAATTCATTTTCCGAGCCAGTTAATGATCAGATTTGTGGTGGCCTGACTTGCGTCCAGATCAGAAAAGAGTGTCAGGAATTAGGAACCGCCGTCTCCCGCACCCGCACCCCACTCACTCTTATTTACCCGCTAGTCCTGTAAGGGCAAGTAAAGTCTCCGTTGCTAGCCAATGAGACACATTCGCAATGATCCTTGGATCTCCAGAAAGGTCGGAAAATGTTTGGGAAGATCCACATCAATATAGTAAACTTTGATCGAGTTTGCCCGTTTACAGATATCAGTAGAAATGAAATCCAAGATTAATTGAACCTATAGTCATGTAGTTGAACTAAACATTGGGTTGCGTAATGTGTACCATTTCTCTCTGATGTTCCACAATTTTTGATGTGCAGGCGATCTGGTTCTGGTGTACGATCTTGAAGCGGGTAAATCCCCGTAGTATCACAACAAGTCGTCATATCATGCACCTTTGATCTACATCTCACACTTATAACCGCTAACGATTTCCCACTCGAACTCCCTGGATAGGACATACAACAGCATTGGCGCTGCAAAGTGATGTACATATTGGAGGCATGCCATAATTTTAGTCGGACTAGATCGGACACTAAGTGAAAAAGGAACTCTCGCCGAGCCTCCTTGCATTTACGAGTATGGGGGTGCCCTGTAGTCCATGCTGGGAGACAGTCTCGGACATCCGACAGTGACCAAATTTGTGTTTCGAAAGCTCTCGGAAAATTTTTCAAAAATCTTTCGACTATAGTGGGCCAGGTGTAAACTCATGTTTACAAAGCTTACGGAATATTTCTCCAGAGTCTTTCGACTATAGTGGGCCGGATGCAAATAATGACACTTAAAAATCAGGGTTGACTGCAGCATGGGCCAGTGCAATGCGGAATGCCTCCGTACGGAGTTTCATGGCTGCATGGCGTTCTTGATGACTTTGTAGCAGATGAAAGATGGTTGATAGCCAGATATTCTTAAGAAGCATGCATCTCTTCTATTCAGTTGTCCATTTCCGTTTACTTCTTGAAGACATATATACTCAATAACACCACATCACACATAATTACTCCAGAGCTACCACAATGCCTGGCAAAACGAGTCAATGGAATAGCAATGAAATTGTTGGTGATGAGAAGCTGGTAGATGTCGTAGACTTGGCCATTGTTGGAGGTAAATTGTCACTCGCGAAGCAACACACTGCCTTGCAACTCATAACTCTCACCTATGAAACTTTCTAACACCACTATTAGCTGGTCCAACGGGTTTGCTTTCTGCCATACTGGCTCGACAACTTGGGCTCACGGTATGCATTCTCGACGCTAAGGAAGGCACAATACAGCATGGAGGCGCAGATGCTCTTAACCCACGTACTCAGCAGTATCTTGAAATTGCGGGCAATTTCGAGAAGGGCGAGCATGAGCACGAGAGTATATTGGACGATCTTCTCAAGAAAGGCATCAAATGCAACAGTACGATTTTTCTTTCTTTTCTATCGTCTTGGTCGGCAAGTACATATGAAGCTGACTTCGCCTTAGCAAGTTCAACATTCGCGAACGGTCAAGTTGCATCACGTCAAAGTGAATGGTGGAATTGTCTAACACACACCTTTTACAGCAGCCTTGTAATGATAGGGCAGCCATACATCGAGCGGCTATTCTTATCTCGTCTCGATACTCCTGTTCACTTTTCAGAGCCGGCTCTGTCGATATCTAATAAATCCTCATCCGCAGGTGTAACGATCAATACACACAAGCGAACAGTGAACGCAAAGTACTGCATCGCAGCGGATGGTGCCCGGAGCTTGATAAGAAATGAGCTTGGCATCGAATGGGAAGGTACGAAGCCGAACATGGTATGGACAGTGATAGATTGTTGGATCGAGACGACATACCCCATCGCGAAAGAGATCGTATCGCTTGAACTTGATGGGCAATGCCGCATGGCTTGGATACCACGGTAGGCTTGCAATAGGGCCACGATGGATCCTCTTCATCAATTTGACTGACTTTGCCATAGTGAACGTGGTATGCAGCGATTTTACCTTCTTATGGACGGTGATACGGATCAAGATAATGTGCTGGCAATGATTCGGAAACACATGGCTCCGCACCCCGTTGACATAACTCACGTGGAGTGGCTTAGTAAATTCGAAAGTATGTCTCGTTCATTTCACATTACTCACAATTGCTCGTTAATCTAATACCAAACCAGTCAAAGAACGAGTTGCAAGTTCGTTCGTTCATCCTTCACCGCAGGGACCCTTTATTTTAGCGGGCGACTCTGGGCATGTGTAAGGCACTCATTCTCCAAGTATTACCCTTTTTAGACACTGACCGGCTTGTTTTTCTGGTATAGACATTCGGTAAATGGTGGTCAGGGCTTGAATACCGGCCTTGCCGACGCATTCAACTTGATATGGCGCCTATCCCTACTTGTAAAAAATCCCGACCTGCCAAATGCCTCCAAAGATGCGCTACTCGGCAGCTATGAGCTGGAACGAAGGGCGACCGCAAAAGAGGTTGTCGACGTCGCCGCTCAACTTGTTCGATCGACAGTAACTGAGGCCAGAACTTACGTCGATCTCATTCACAAGAATTCCGGGTTCATTACGGGAATGGGTGTGAAGTACACTGGGCTGGATTCGCCCTTGGTCATACAGTCACAAAGAAGTATTTTTGAAGCTGGATATCGTTGCCCCGACTTATGGCTTCAGACACCAGGAGCATATGGCGCGTCCAGGTTGTACGAAAAGATCGTTTATGGGCGATTCACCTTGCTTATCATTGGAGACTCCCCGGCGTCGAGAAACATCACGAGTGGAAATATCTTGACAACGTTTCAATTGAGGCCACTGAGCAGGAAGAAGGAAGATAACGATGAGGAGTTCTTTGGGTGTGCATTGGTCAAGGAAGGCGAGTCATACGCTGTCTTAGTACGACCAGATACATACATAGCCCAAGTTGGAGAAGTGGAAGAGCTCACGGCATACATGGATGGTCTTCTGCCAGGCGTCAGAGAATAAACGCTGGGAACAACCACATGCTGAAAAATTGAATGCTAGTACGTATGATATTGTAGTATCCATGCAAATCTAGTCTTAGGCGTAAATCTTCGTTCGAGCGCATATACATATTCGATCATTTTGAATCACCGTGAGAAGTTTTAAGGCTCGGAAGGTTTCAGCGTTCTACTACAAATACGATGTATACGAGTTTCGCAAAGAGAACGAGCCCTTCAAAATAGCAGAACAGTAACCTTGAATCGCCCCAAGATCCAGGCTGTGAAGGTTTCTTGGAGTAAAGCAAGAATGTAGTCAATTGGTACCTTGTGGTCAGTAACATCACCACGGATAAGGGACAGGCATCTCAGGCTCTTGCTACTTAAGGCCGCTAGTAGCCGCGACTGGATCCAGTGCGTGTTCTAATATCCATCAAAGTAATATGGAACTGCATTCAAGACTATGTTATTAACCAACAAACAAAGGCTAGGTAACATCTATTTGATGTATGTACAGTGTATTATATGCTAGTTGATGTCATCTGATTGCCGAGTCCCCGATGTTGTGAGTGGTCACATCCAGAACAACCTGCCGACGCCGCGCGCTCGGTTTGTCGGCAGTGCTGCTCATTCGTGACAACAGTCTCGTTGTGTACAAAGAATTACGGAATGTAAGCGAAGTCGGATGCTGCATTATAGGTGAGTCACTACTTACAAGTGAGGAATCGTCATATCCTTGAAGGCTTGCAATATAAGACGTATGCCTCATCTCTCTTCAGTTGTTAATACCAGAATCTACACTTGCTAGTACGCCCCGCAACAAGGCACGCTTTCTTGCTTGAACCGTCATTCCGTCGTCTCCGAAATCTCTCTAGCAAGACAGACCCGCGTCTCCTGCAATATGTCATCTCCACAAAACGAGTTCGCAAAGACTCTCAAAGCACTCCATCAGCCTGGAAACCCGGTGGTTCTCACAAATGTTTGGGACGCAATCAGCGCCCGCACCGTAGCCTCCATCCCGGAAACTAAAGCTATCGCAACAGCGTCCTACGCCGTTGCCGCGGCCGCCGGCCTCCAAGATGAAGACCTCACACTCGAGGTCGAAATAGCTGCTGTGCGAGCTATTGCGCCTGTTGCGAGAGAGTTCAATAAGCCGCTCACCGTGGATTTCCAGGACGGGTTTGGCGAGCGCTTGGAGGAAGGACTAAGAGCTATTATCAAGGCCGGAGCGGTCGGAATTAACCTGGAAGACTATGGAAGAGAATTATCTGATGGCAAGGGTGGCCTTTATGATGTCTCCGTTGCTCAAGATCGTATCCAGCGTGTCCTAAAGATTGCGGCGGAGGAGGGTGTGCCAGACTTTGTTATTAATGCGAGGACGGATGCGCTCCTTGAAGGTCGCCCCCTTTCCGAAGCCATTGAACGCGGCAAGGCTTTCCTTGCTGCTGGAGCGCACAATGTCTTCATCTGGGGTGGCAGGGCGCGAGGTGGGTGGTCCAGGCAGGAAGTTGAAGAAGCGAGCAAAGCATTGGGTGGGAGGTTGAATGTTAGTCTGCGTAGAGTTGTCTCTGGGGGATTGACCGTTCAGGAATTGTCGGATATTGGGGTCGCTAGGATCAGTGTTGGTCCACAATTGATGCAAAGGACGCAAGCAGCGGTCGCAGAGGAGATTGCTAGCATCCTGAGGTCAGATAAAGTGTAATGCTCGACGGGTCAAGAAATGCGATGTTTTCAATTGTTACCAAATGCTTTCCAATGATCCCTTCTAATCTATATCTATCAAGCTAATTAGCCAGTCTATCGTGATGTGAGAATAATCAAATTTACATGACACCCTCGATCTGTATCTCGGGTATCGTCGAATTGGCCGCGGCCCCAAATGCACTCCATCCAGCTTGTACATATGCTTTCCTTCCCCCAACGACCAGTGCTACACTGGATACTGCGACTAAATTCAATGATTTCGCGCAGTTTCCAGTAGGACACACCTTGGCCAGAAGAGTCAGAAATATACTCGCAAGAACCTGAGGGTTCTTGAGCAAAGGCAATGCAAACAACATCACTGTCCACAGAGCCCAAAGCTTCCATGTCAGTTTGTCGCTCTTTAGATCTCTTAGCATCCAAGTTCTTCCTGCAACCAACCCTCCCAGACCCACGGTCGCAGTATAAGAGCCAATACCAAGTCCGAAGAAGGCCGGGCATACGATCGAACAGATGATTATCGGTAACGCAACGCTCAATCTGACAAGCTCATCTCCAAGCACAATCGGCGCGGATCGACGCCCTCGAGACCTATCGCCCTCTGCGTCTTTGATGTCACAGATATGTTGAGTCACAAACATTACCATTGTGACTAGTGCAATCCATTGCAGCCCTTTCGTCGTGATGGCATGTTCGGGTCCTGTCATGACGCGCAGTGCCGCGGAAGAGAAGAGTCCATAACCCACGGCGATCAAGAAGTTTCGAAGAATCCAATCTTCATCGCAACCCTGCAGGTCGTTGTACATCCATGTTGCTGTGAATAGAAGAAGTGCCTCTTGCCAACAGCCCATGGACCAGCTCAGAGCTAAGACAACCGGTATTCCGACAAGAAGAAGACGGCGCGTCGCGTCGATGGAGATTCGCCCACTAGGAAGCGGCCGGTGTGGTTTATTGATCTTGTCTTCCTCAACAGCGGCCGGCGATCGTTGATTGGAAATGTCGAAGATCAGCAAGTTGGCCCAGACTATCATAAGCGCAGCTGGAAGCTTGCTCAAGACCTCAAGAATGGACGGATTGGGGTTCGTGGTTAGAATTGGACCTGAAAGGGCACCAAAAGTTGCAAACAGCGTCGTTGGTATAGCGAAAGTGTGAAAATCATTGGCGGTGAAGAGATACAGCGTATGCATGAAAGCTCGAAGTTGACAAAGCATGTTGAACTGAAGAGGGCATGAGTTGAGGGGCTTGCATTGTGTTTTTTTCGCAAGGGACTTACTGTGAACTGAGACCACGTCTGGCTACCGCATTGTGTCGGAACGGACATTGCGTCTTTCTCGGAACGATATGTGACTTTTGCGGCGGAACCCTTGACCCCAGATGGCTTTATGAGCATGTTCTGATTAGAAGTTTCTCATCTTCAGAGGTGCCATGCCTCCTTTTATGTTTGTACACAAACGCATCAAATTGGGCGGTCAGCTTAGCTAAACCGGGCAAAAACCAATGCATTTCCATAGTGTTGATGCACGCCAACCATGTAAGCTGAGGCAAATTCTACGAAGTACATAGTCTCTTTTGGTGTTGTTCTTGCAATATAGTGGATTAAAATCGGGGTGTTCGAATCTCGAACGTGATGCTACAGAGCGTGACGGTGTAGCCCAACACACTAGGATGCGCCACCATCGTTGGCACCTCGTGTTAATGCCTGCTAACAAACGGAGCATGGCACCTGGGAGCTGAGAGTCCCAATAGGTACGAGCTAAGCAATGCGCTTACCGAGTGCGATACCAATCAGCAGAAACGTTGGCATGTCGCACCACATGGGGCAACTTGTAGGCTATTTCGAGCATACTTTAACGGCTTCTGTGGCTGGCGAAGAATGTCCAGCGGCTTCAGCCTCAGGCATTTCCAGGAGGCTCGCATACAGTTCCTTGATCTCGATCCCGTCGTCGACTATGGTCGGTGAAGAGCGTTAGACTAATCCATGGATAATAACATGGATGACTAACAGCAGGCTGTGCAGCAGTTGCTGTATTCTGCATCTATTCATTAGTTGCTTGTCACTTGAATATGCATGTATTATGTGGTGCAAATTATCAAACACACCAAGCGAAGCCTTAACAAAAATTGGATAGTTTGATGCTGTTGACCAAGTTGAAATTTCATTCACATGATTGGTAGTCGTATCGCGGCGATGATCTCTTGTATGATCACTGGGCGTTAAAAGTTGCATGTGCACCTAAGTAGTACATACGTACATAAATGCTTTACTCCGTACATGTACGCACGCGCAAGTCCAAGTACAGTGCATTCGGAGACCGCGACCTGCAATGCAGTGCAGTATGCATGCAGGCACGCTTTTGGGCCAATGACATCTATCCCACCCAATTCCTTCTTTGCGGAACAACGCCTTACCTTACTCGATACATGCGGCAACACTCGTGAATAAAATTCTTAATCATCTATGCTGGCGCACATAGTGGTTCTTGTCTAGGATGAAATGGGTTAGAAGCCGTGTTGGAACCCTAGAACATACAGAGAAGAAAGCATTATCAAACCTGTCTATCTAACTCAAATCCGTTATTTGAATGAAGATCGAACAGGACTCGGCGAATCCTGAATAACTGCAGCGCATCCATTTTATTATTAATGGCGACAACACGCGAGGCTCTCAGGGTAGGATCCTGGCGGAATCTCGCTACTGGAGAACCGTGTCGTGTGCCGCGTTCGTGATTCCTTCAGAGATAAGGCACGTACCCATCCACAGTTATCCTCACGACTATCATCTCCATACATTCGCCTGATAATCCTAACAATATCTTTGTGGAGAAGTTCGACATCCAATATAAGGCAAGAGCTTCATACCCAGCGGCTAGGTGACCAAGATTGATACATAAGACTTACGTCTCTGACGGTATTGACTCCGGATTTGTAAGGTCATTTTGCAGACACCAAAAATTTGCAGAAGGAAGCATCATGGCGCGCACCATCCTCAGATAATGAGTTTTGTGCAGTCGGTGGCGGATGATCCCAAAGGATCAGGCGTTGCATGTGGGCAAGGAGATAAAACAAGGAACAGAGTAATGTGAATATGATGCGATATTCGGGTAGGATCTAGTGTCCATTGGCATTCGTATTATATACCATTCAGGCCAACAGTTTAGAAAGGTAGAGTTTGAAGGAATGCCACTATAAGAAGACAAGAGTTATAGGTCGAATTCGAGGAACGAAGAGCTAATTTGATTACCCATGGGACTGTTTGAAGTTCGGTTTAAATGTTAAGAAGCATGTCGTGGTGCAACCTTAACTCATTGTTCTTTAGCCGTGCGACTGGAGGTTTTAAGAAAGAGTCCACCCTATATCATATCATTTTGGCATTCCTGATACACCAGTCGACATATTCTTGGAGGGATTTGGAGGTTTGACACTTCCTCAGTCGTGGCATTGGGTTTAGTAATGATTGCTACTCATGCACCTAAGCTATGCACTGCTTGGCAACCATGCAAATCGTCGTTTTGAAAACCTGCTGGGGATCGAATCGAATCCTAAAGCGAAGTGTTGGTTCCCCGGAGCCTCATTATGTGTTGAACGACCCGGGGAACGATTGGCCCGGCCAGTAACGAACTAATGCTGCAAGTCGTCTGTCCATCGAAACCCACAATTCGAACAGGGAAATACAACATTTCCAACCTGGAAATAGGAACCCCCAGTATGCATGGAACCCCGCAAAGGAGAACACTGTCAGTAGGGGGTGTTGGAGATCCATTTGGCGAAGGCTCGACTTCGCATAGATTTTCGGTGCTAGGAGTCAAAGTTCATTAGGCTTATTCCTTCGGACTTTGCATGTTCCTCCACTCCCAATCCCCTTCCGAAGTATAGCATCTATTCTTTCGCTTCTATTAGATTAGAGACTTTATTTCGCAAAGTGCTGAATGGTTGAAATTATCGTGGTCATAACGTGGTTGGTTGCTGACAGTGCAGTGCTGACAGCCTTCATGAGCGCCGGTATAGATTAACAATGACGATATTTACATCTGATGCATCTATTGATGTGTCGATGTATTAATTCAAGAGGTTTCATCATCAAACACGAAGTGCGTAGAGGTACGGTAACAATACTCTTGTAGAGCTATACCACAAGACGTCTTGAAGTAAACCGCAGTGCATGTTGAACTTGAACTTGAATTACGCAGCGCGCGATGAGATCTAGATGGGCTGTGAAGGAAACCTTTCAATGATATCGACGATAAAACCAACTAGCAGGAAGTGCCTTGATAGCTAAGGAAGAACCTTAGCCTGTCTAGGAGCTATTGTTCACGATTATTATCATCTTGGAATTTATCTTCATTGAACAATGGTGATCAGAACTATGATACTAATACTCGAGAGCTAACATATGACTTAAATTTACAAACTGGATGGCTAGACCAGAGCTCTAGAGCACCTTACGATTCATATGCCACTTCGTATATAGCTAAGACATTACCTGCAATGTCTATGTATTTTGCGTACCAACCATCTCCACGTGCGTCTGTTTTGTCTAGGCACATCTTACCACCCAGTCCAATGATTTTGTCATGCATCTATTTTTCTGGTCAGAATAACAAGAGACGTACCGAAAGCAACTTACTTCAGCAATACTGTCGACCAGAAAATAAGGGACCATGCCGATGCTTTTTGTCTCGCCTTGATTCGTGGCTGTCAAGGTATGCGAATTGACCTTGATGATTGCGCCCTCCACGTCTAAGTTCGAAGTTGGTTACCGTAAAGGGAGACAGAGTCGGGCGGCTTACATGCTGGCTCATCAATCTTGAAAAAGCTGACGAAATCCTCAGGTACATGGGCGGGATTCCCAAATTTCCATGAAGGGAAAAGAGACTTGTAGAATTCCTAATCCAGGGATATCAGCTTGGGAACTAAGTTGGGTTCAAAACGTAGTGCAAGGGTACATGAAACACGCAACCGACTTTTAGGGCCGAAACATCGTTAGCCGGTATTTCAATCCAGTTGATACCACCCTGGGCCGGACGCTCTTTAAAGGGTGATGCTATGTTCGTGTAGCGATACATTGTAGTTATGAGAACGCAATGGAAAGAAATCTTTATCTTGAATGAAAGGCCAGAGAAGCAGGCTGCCTCTACTTTATATGATTAATCCAAGGTCTACAATATGTTTTCCATTTAGTATTCACAATTCATCAGACCGTATAAACGCCTATCTACATCTTGGTCGGCAAAGTCAAATTGTCCGTTTCATCACCACAGAGGTATGGAATCTTTGTATCAATGTTTCTAAAGCGACTCTACGCTTCCCAGGCTAATGGAAGGCTGGTACCTCTTCTCTGTTCTAGCAGAGTATGTATTGGTCAGTTAACCGACAAGTGGAGTCAACCCATTTCGGACGGACAATTGTAAATGTCCGCCTCTCACGTGACAGCAGTGTCTACCCTTTTGAGCTACTCTACTCTACTCTGCTTCTGCCCAGCAGTTCTTCCTCCTCCCCACTCTCGTTTTTCATTAGTATTATATCCTCCCAGTCTTCTCTGTTATGATACGGACTTTCTCGACCCTTCCGTCCGCAACCGCCGCCTGTTGCTAATTTGTCAAAACTGTCTAACAATCATACATACATGGATCCAGTTCGGCCATCAGAGAAAGCACCCAAACTGGCCTGTAGTTCATGCCGACGACGCAAGGTGTGTATGAAGTTCGACAGGTAATGAACCAGAAGTAGTTTAGTTGCTTACACAATTGTGGAATAGGTTAGATGTGACCATTGTACACCTACCTGCGGCAACTGCCTGAAATATGGACAAGAATGCATATGGCCAAATAGACGGCAGTCTTATACCCCCCGTAAAAGGTGATCTCTCATGATGTATTCTAAGGCAGTGATTTCAAACCAACCTCTCATCATACAGGCCGTATCACAATCTGGTTGCGCGACTCGCCCAAATGGAAAGTTTAGTTCAGGAGCTTCAGAAGAATACACAACCTGAAACCCACCAATCGACTACCGAAGATGATAGCATAGCCGACCAGAGTGCGTCAACCACACCCAGTTCTGAGTCCGGTCGCAGAAGCCCAGCTCCTCTGGGAATGGGTTCAAATTCATCCCCACATTCAGGCGAACCTTTTTTCACCGGAGCTACAAGTGAGACCACGGTGGGCTCTACAGGTACTATCTCTAGTTCAAAATACTCTCTTTGAAATACTTACCCTTTACTTATTTGTCAGTAGTGGGTGCTTGTTCCATTTTCTCCCTCAAAGGCATTCGTAAGATCAATAGTCTCATTGGAGACGATACTTTTTCTAGGGTCATGCAAAGTCTCGAAATGCAAAACCTCCGACCTTATCGACAATATAGTCCATCTACTGGATTCTCTCCTGCCCCGTCAAATGAAATTGTTATGGCTTGCGTAGAAGGTACTGTCTAGAATCCGAGCGAAAGATGTATCAAAAGGTCGACTAAGTGTTTGCAGACTTTCTCACAACTCAAAACCATGACATCCGACTTTTCCAGGAGCATGAAATTCGCTCAGCCGTTCAAACATATTTTCGTCATGGGGAGTCCGACAACTCTGGAGCATACATGGCCATTAATGTCATACTTGCCCATTCACTACGAAAGGTTATTCGTACGTGTCAGATAGAAGAATACGAGAAATACATCCACAATGCAATGGGCAAGTTGTCAGAAGTTATTCTGAAAAAACCGACGCCGCTCCATATTGGCACATTGTTGTCCACAGTGAGTATCAAGCTTTGAAACGCAGCTGTAGTACTCTAATTCCTTTAGGTCCTATATTTTATATTCAGATGCGAGAATCACATTGCAATTACAGTTTTGGGAATGGCAGTACAACTGATTCTCTTATCGGGATATCACCGTATCAACAGCAAGTCCGGTCTCACGGTAGCAGAATCTCTCCACCGTCGCCGTCTTTTCTGGCATGCTTATATCGTGGACCATGACCTGATGCTACGTATGGGTAAGCCTCCACTGATCAACGAGGAGTTTCTTCTTGCGCTTCCCGAGGAGCATCCACCGGATGGCTATGGACTTTTCTATTATGGCAACAACATTACTGTCAACTTTTTCCGTCAACAAGTGTGCCTAGCTCAACTCCAGGGTAAAATCTTCTCTTCACTTTATACCAACACCAACTCTTTGTCAGTTGCAGAACTGGAAATTCGAATTGCTCAGCTTGATAAAGAACTTCAACAATGGTATAACAGCACTCCAGAGATGGTCCGCCCAGAACCCACTGAAGTACTAGTTGATGCAGACTACAGCCGATTAATGTGCTTGACCACGCTACACTTCGTATATTTTCAGCTTATAGTTGCGATCCATTCTGCTGCATTCAGGCTTTTTGCCGCGGATGAAGGAAATGATGCTGGGGAAGTGGTAATGCCAAGCGTAGCGCTGTGTGTCAGTGCTTCAAGAGCAGCTATTTCATTGCTCACATATCATCTAAGTGACCACCCGTTTGCTATGTACGTATCATTTACGTCCGGTTATTCTTTTCTCACAGTATAATCTGGCTGATTCATTCTCGTTATAGATTTCTACTCTATCAAGTGGCCTGGAGTACGGATATACTTTTCATCAGCATTATTCAAAACAAAACAACAAAGCGTGCGCACGATGATCTTCAGCTCATCAAGAGCATAGTGTCATTTTTTGAGACATATGATTCAAATCATCAGAATGTGTTCTCATACCACATCATCAGCGCTCTTGCTACTGTTGCATCCCGGGTGTTGCAAAAGGAATCAGAGCTATCCAGTGGCTCTCTCGAAAAGTCCTCGGTTGCATTGTTACAGCCAGCGTACTCGATCCCAGAGAATATGGGAACTAGTATTATGGAGGACAATTTTCTCCCAAATTTCCCGGAGCGTGCACAATCAGCAGGAAGCACATTACCGGGCGTGGGTCAAAGTCTCTTGGATGAAGCTGGCTTGACAAATGAGCATCAGTGGTTTACAGAGCTGTTAGATTGGCATATTCCGCTAGACTTCCAGTCTGAAGTTTGGAAAGATGTATCAAACCTTTAAGTATTGTGGTGTAGCAGGATAGCTGAGGCTATTCGGGGATCACGTGTCGGGGAATCATCTATCTACCTCCGGAGACCCATTAATAGAGAGAATTATCTACCTTTCCTACCTATTCACCGATTGCAGGTCGTCCTTGTGATGCTCCCTACTACAGAGGCGTCTATACACGACAGTATATAACTGTAGTAGGACTCTCTAGACTGGAAAGCCTATGTATTCTAATGCAAATAACGAAATCGACAAGCAACTCTATTTCGAAACCTCTTCCTCTTCTTCCTAGGGTTAATATTCTCATACAATAATACGTTTGAATCTATGGAATCAACCCTGCTATAAAAAACCTTGTCCATAAACCTACTTACCAAGGTAAGTCCCAGACCTATTGTTTCACTTAACCTGTCAGCCTATTACAAATACGCAAATTGTTATGTTCTATCAGCGTACACGCTTACCGGAGTGTTCTGACTACAGAGATTGCAGAACATAGTTGTAGAGGAAACATGATTCGAAACCAATAGCAATTGAAAATTTTCAACAATCTTGATTCCTGCAGTATTGTGCCAGTTTGTTGAGTCCGTATTGTTGTAAGCGCTAATTGAGACATTAGATTTATATCACAGACCAAGCCAATGAGACATTATAAACTATCCCTCTGGAATGCAGATGCGTTGAACGTTAAGGAATAAAGTATATCTTGGCCAAAAGAATCCAAATTAAAGCCCGATATAAACACCCATGCTCCCCATTACAGGATCCGGCTTTCCATTATGAAAGACCAACTGGTGAATGCTAGGATCATACTTAGCATCGGCCCAGAGAACATCGCCTTTATGAATTTCGCCACCATTCTTGCACATTCCTGCAGCTACTATATGCTGTATTGAGGCCTGATTGTTGTACAACTGTACTGACGAGCAAATTGGATCACCGTTCCTATACGCCGTCATGTTGAGCCCCCCGTCGTGCATGTGCCCCCCAACATCAACTAGCTGTCCGCTAATAGGTGACTCCCAATTTGGAGTACTATATTCGAACGCCTCGGACTCACTTTTTACCTCCACTTCGCCACGGCCGCAGCCCGTGACGTCCAACCATACAGCCCTAATCCCGCGATATTCTCTACCCTCTTCACTGTCTGCCGGCACAACTTCATATCGAACCACAATGTTGACAGTCTTCTCGGCCTGACCGTCGTTCATCAGCTCTACAACAGAATCCCAGGCATCGTTCTGGTCAATTTTATATCCCCAGGGCCCGATTGAATTCCATCGACGTGTCCATCTTTCATTGCCACCACCGTAAAACCGTTCCCCCATCTGAGGACAAACTAGGTCCGGCCGTGTAGGATTGAAGAGAATGATATGATGGAGCCAAATTCCCGAGTCCAGTAAAAGCTCTGTTCCATTGATGGCATCTTCTATAAGTGCATGAATCGCCACGATGTAACAGTCTGTACAAGGCTTTTGAATGTCAAAAAGCGTTTCTTCTGGACGTAGACTACGTGGCTGTGTCGTGAAAGGACCATAGGGGATGGATACAACAGATGCCCCGGGGGTGATTGCTTGTTCAGTAAGACGAGGCTCTACTGCTATGAGGGGTTTGCGATATTTTGCTTCTTGACGAGAATGGCTACGGCTGATGCTAAAGGGAAGCCCAATCTCAGCATGCTTGAAGAGAAAGACGGTAGCTATAAACGAAAGAATAGAAGTGAAGAGGAAGGTAAATGATATATGTGTACAATGTGAAATGTCTTTCATTGTTCATCGGCAAGCTCTTACGGAAGCTGTCAGGCGGGCGAATGCGAAATTTGTTCACCTCGAGCTCATTTTATACTTACGAGCTTTTACTATCTCCTGCAACACTAATCTTAGTATCACGGAGACCCCAGGGCAAAAAACTTGTTGGTAGCTGCTAATTTTGTTTAGACAATATCGAAAGACAATATCGGAACAAATGCAACGAGATACAAGGGGTGCCTTGAGCGGATTGGTCACGTCTGTGCATCTTTTACATGGAAATGGGCAGGATTTCCTTGAGAACGCACAGACGTGACCAACGCGTTCATGATGCCTACTATGCACACTACTCCTACCCCTGTTGTTGCGTATGAACGTCTCTATAGTAGTGGGTATCACAGGCACGGTCTGCATTCGGTGGATATGTGGGTTAGGTGGTACAATAGGTGGATAATGCATCGATCTCCCTGCGATCTCCCTCAGTTGCCCCGATCTCTCTATGCTCTGCCTAGTGCTTTACCCCTACATGTGATCTCTGAATGGCCTGCTAGTTATAGTTATACCACACTATACACGTTAAATGTAATCGTCTATATATCTGCGTTCTAAGAGAATCTAACTTTATTGCTCGAGGGCGTGATAACAGAGGCGTTAGTCGAATCCAAGTTAGTCAAAATTCGGGCAAGTGGAGCAAGATACACGCCGCTCTATACCCATTTGACATAGCATTCTACATCTCTAACTTCCGGGTATATCCAAGCTCGGTTCCCGGTGATTTTGATCACAGAAGAGATACCTGATTTCAAGTTCGTATTCATGCAGACAAGTGACTTCCGGGTTGAGACAATACGGCATGAACTGGAACTAAGTTCTACTAGTATTCTCAATCGGTAGATCTTATCACGAACATTCAGATACGCTGAACACTTGAGAACCTGCCCGCGGAGAATCTAGATTTCCTTGACTATTGATGAGATTGATGAAGCCGTGATAAGACTTCCTACGAATAAATTATTTCCTTCTGAATGTGGTCATCTCCTCCACCAATCCTTCAATTTCGATAATCTAACAAAGAAATCGGGTATAAAGTCAAGTCTTTCAGACTCGATTTTCTTCAAGCTCTCAGACTATCAATTCCCAAATCAACACTCCAACAAAGACTTACTCCAGTCAATATGCGTCTCGAACAAACCATCGTTGCGGGCGCCATTGTTGCTGCCTCGAATGCTGCGGCGATGCCTCTTCCAGCAACTGATGTTCAAGAGAGCACTGTTACGTTGAAGGCTAGGATGCCACAAGACTCTGTGAACTTGGCAAATATTCATCGTGACAATTCTGATGAGGTTGCACCCGAGTCCAAAAGTATTTTTGTCGAAAGATCTGATTTGAAAGATTTCAAGTACGTCTTGCTAAACGCAATCCTCAGATTGTGGCTAATACAAAGTAGGAGGGAGACTCCGAACAAGCCGATTCCCGGATGCATCGTCATGTAACTGAACCACAATTCAGAGCAACGTTGCACTATCTGAGAAAAATGTAAGCTGAGACAGAAGGCAAACTTGACCAGTAAGATTACTGACACATTGTAACAAGCATTTATTGGGGTTATGGACCTCCTGGTCAGTTTTGGCAGATATGTACGGAGTAATTAGGTATATAGCACAATCTGGTGGAATAGGTAGCCTAGTAATTAGAGGAGAATGATTAAAGCCCAAAAAGAGCCAAGAGCTTCTTTCACCAAACCGATTTCGAATTTCCCATTGATAAGCACGGATTTATTCGCAGCTTCATTTGAGTGTCTGAATTGGCTGTAAAACGGTATTAATTTATTGTTAACCGATGGTGGTGGGATAAGAATTTAAGGGTCCAGTGCGTGTATGGGTAACAGGGGGCGCTACAGTAGCACTTGCTGGCTGCGGCAGGCCCCGCATCCCGGTCGGCGATCACGGCGGTGCAGGCGCACGGGGCGGTTCAGGGTCGCGGCCAAGTGCTAGCCTACAAGCAATCGACCTGCCTAGTGATACATATACAGTCATACCTAAAGTACGGAGTATCTTTGTACAGTAGATAGACATCTGATAAACTGCCGAATCAATCTCCTTAATTCCCGTATCCCCCACGTCACCTTCGCCATTTGGAGTTGCCAGTGCGTACTCCTAAAAGGGGACTTCCCCCTTGAAACCAACGCGAAAGAGACGCACCCGAGAGACGTTAAGGGTTACTCCAGAACATAGAACCGAACTCCAGTGACTACACCCATACCCGACAACTGCACCGATCCCCCCGACAACTATAACTAACTACCCGACCTCGATGATTACACTCATCTTCGATACACATCAAGACTTCCTATGCCCCCATGCCATCTCCTTACGAATACGTTCAGAACACGACGTCCATGACTAGCGTCCGCCTGCCCAGAGATCACTGCCAGTTCGCCGACCACAAGACGCCACTTCAGGGTGGCACCGTATTAGCAACAACCAAATCCATACAGGGGCATTACCGCGTCAAGCACAGTTATCAGAACCCACAGAGATAGCAGGCCCCCTCACAACCCCGGAAACCCAACGTATTTCTTGCTATCTTACTATCGTGAGACGCGGAGTCGGCTTGTCTCTCCCCTAAGCGACCTTCCCCGCCACAGCTCCAATCCAGATTAGAGTCGCAGGAGCACGGGTTAGCGCCAGATAAACAAGCAAGAAGCATAGGAGCGGCTTAAGCAATCCGTGGATTGCAAAGACAGGCTAAGTGTCCGCAGGGTCAAAGTTTGTCTTCTGTAGCAGAATTGCTGGCACCAACATGCTCGCAAAAGATGGGATGGTCGGCCCGACTGTAGGGTTGGGAAACCATAGGAAGGTGATGCTTGCATGTCTTCTTTGCTGCCTCAATGTGCCTTAACATAATAAGCCTTCTCGCCCTTCCTGTAGCTCTGTGCGATAGCGCTCTCAAACTCCTCTAGGGTGGGGAAGGTTGCGCGCTTCCGCACACCAGCTGCCTTCAAACACTCGTCTATTGCCTCCGCAAAAGGTGTTAGGCCTGATCTTCATACTTAATTATATTCTTCCCTGTTGCTCATTCGAAAGTGTTCAGGATAGGTTCTGGAGGGGTAGATTAATGTTCTCAGTAGTAGGTTCACGCTGTCGGCGTGGAATGGGAGAACGATGAAATTGTGCTGGTGCTTTCCTTTTTCGGGAACAGGTAGACAGAACATTCGATCTTTGATCATGTTAGCATATTTTGTTGACATTCAGGGTGCAGCCCAGGGCAATCTGACATATCAACATCCTTCCACGCGACACTGAATTCAACACTTCCGCTTGCGCCGATGGTCCTGACGCCGCCTCCTTTACCCGACACCAACTCCAACGTCAATTTCTTGCGCTGTGGTATTGAGAAACTGACAGCCGGATCTATCTTCCATGCTTTTGTGGTAGAGTCGAAGAGAATCGCTTTATCATCTGCTGCCGGTGCTGCGCCGTTTGCCACGCCATAGCCGTTTGTGTTGTTGCTCTCGGGTTTGCGCTTCTTCGATGCAAATTCTAGGAGAGATTGCGAGGTTTAGTTTAGGATGTATGTGGAGACGTTGTGGAAGAGGGTGCTCTGCTTTGGGTTCTGGTCTGCAGGATATACGATGGCTAGCCAACGATTTCCGTATTAAAATGTTGTATGATCAGGGCAGTCTCACCTGTCGCCCGACCCTTGGCGCCCAAGGATATCCTCCTGTGGGAGTGCCCCATCGCTGTAAAACGATTAGCAATGTTATCGTTACGTGCATTAGATGAAGAAATGCAATCATCCATCCATATCTTAATCTCCATGATATATGGAGCGAATATCCAGATATATTCAGGGCTGTCCATAGGCTGGCGAGCCCAGAGAATATACCTGATTGGGTCTAAGATATCATCGTTCATGCAGTTTGTCTTGTTGACAAATCAGGGTGAATCTTATTGCTTCGGTGTTTGCATCCATAACACCATAATCTTTCAAAAATTAGAGACATGTTAATCGGCATCTTTGTCATATGGAAATATAGGAAGACTAAGTAGACCTTGTAGAGAAGAAAGCTGAATCCTCTCGCATGCAATCTGCATGGACCACCCTCATAGATCATAGAAGTCTGTGAGCAAGAATGGTATTACTATGATACTGCGGATGGAAGAACTTTGAGTGACCATTGGAGGTGAACGAGCTCGAGCCCGGGCCTGGAAGGGTGAAGGTGTCTATCACATAACTACGCGCCGTTGTTCCTTCCTCCTCTGCGGTGATGCCAGAAAGTCAACTCTTGGCGCGCCTCGCCCCGTTATTACCCTCTTCTGTTTCCTTCACTTTACTCTTCACTTCAGTTCATATCCACTCCAACTCTTCATTTGACACCTGTTCTGCGCCGTGTTACACTCAACTCTCTCTCGGAAGTTGCTCACTCTCTATCGACTTCATCCATCTCCTAAACAGTCACCTCTCCTTCAAGTCGCTTGATCAACGGAGCACTGTCACTGTTAAGGGCAAACATGGGTTGCTGGGGTCCCGGTAGGGCTTAAACATAATGATTCAACGTAAACTCACATACTGACCTAGACTCAGATCTTTTCCAATCTGATCACGACTATGATATAGTCAGTGAACTGACCCACGAAGCGGGGGTCTATGACCTTGAGAATGCAGAGCGTGCGAAAGCCTCCGCGGGGGACGAGATACATTACTCTCTCTATGCGCCTCTCTGCACCAATGTCCCTGCTGTCCGTCAGCATCTAGACGGGGGCGTGCTAGAGAAGTTGATCACCGAGAAAGAGAAGAGCCTGGCTATCGTTCCTAAGGATCCCCTTGCCAACTTCGGTCGCGATCCATGCTACGTTCTCGTCCTCCTTGGAGCTTGTGCCATGACGCTCGGGTGCAAGCTCCCGGATTCATACCTGACTTTGTTGAAAAAGGTGTACACCTAAGGTGGGCTCATGCCGGGCGCACTAAGGCAGATGAAAAAAGCTCTATTCGGATCAAATGGGTACAAGAACGGTGAGCCGTACGATTTTGAATCCAAGGATCTCGTCCAAACTGCCAACTCGATGGAAGACGAAGGCCTACCCACCATCGGTGGGTTCCAAGGTATGAACATGCCCGGACCCGGTGGCCTTTTCAGTACTGGTATGGGAGATTCGGAATCTTCCAAGATCATCAAGGAGTTCCGCGCTATCCGCAACGGCTCAAAGACCTGTGGAGGCTGTGGTGTCATTACCGGTCCGGATGGTGCGGCATTGTTGCGCTGCGGAAAGTGCAAGGAGCGTAGGTACTGCACTGTCCAGTGCCAGAAGAAGCACTGGAAGCTTCACAAGATGTGGTGTCAGACAAAGATGGACTGAACGATGGGTTTTATCATGGTCTTTTGATATCCGCGCAAGTTTCCACATGAATGCGTTCTCGCTCGCGGGTACTTCTACAGGACTAAAGGCATAGATATATCTGAACATCGTATGAAGGGAGATCATCAGGGCTTCGTAAGGCAGCATGTCGGTGGCAAGTACACAGAAGATTGTCTGAGGTACTCTGCATAACTCTGATAAATCAAATGAAATTAGTATAGTTCAGAAGCAGATATCCGATGCACAATGCTGTTAAAAATATAGATTCGATGTAGCTGACCCTTGCAGGCATTATAGGCGCCATGATCGATCCAACTCCACCATGATCGGCAACATCTCACAGTCTAATGTGCAGCTGTGCGGGCATGTCAGACACTCGACCTATGCCATTGGAGTGACGCAACGCCACTATGGGGGCTGAACACAAGGCTGAAAATTCAGTATTCCGGATCCTCCCCCACCATCTACACATAAGGCAGTAAGAACGTCCTACCAAAATCAGATCCAATGTAGCGACGACTCGAACGCCTCACTAACTCATTGTTGGCTTCGCTCGCGACCACCACGATGAGTATACGCGCAGCCTTCTTTGACTGCGTTGAACTCGACCACCGTGGCTACTCGGACGGAATCAGTCATGATCATTCCGCACCAGATGATTTGAGGTCCGCAGGACAAGACATGACTCCCCGTGTTAGCTGGCGACGGACAATGTGGACTCGCTTCAGACGATGGGATTATCCAGACTGGAAGATTGGCCTCTCCGTCGGCTTCTATACTTCTGTATTGGTCTTGCTCAGCAATATTATCCTCCTCTTTATTGGCTGTTTCTCCGCTGGGGGCATGATCGATGGTATTGGCACAGTCGCGCAGGGCAGACCTGATAGAATTCAGCGTCTAAGCACTACTTATCACATTTTCATTAACATCATGAGCACAGTACTATTGGTGTCAAGTAATTACGCAATGCAGATCCTGTGTTCGCCGACGAGGTTCGAGGTGGATGCCGCGCATGCACAGGGCATGATGCTGGATATCGGGCTTGTAAGCATGCACAATCTCAGGTTTGTGGCGAGAAGGCGAGCCATTTTATTTTGGATTCTTGCGTGCAGCTCGGTGCCACTGCATGTTTTGTGAGATTACCCTTTGCTCTGAGTGACAAAGTGTCTCGCTGACTTTATTGTGCTAGTTACAATTCAGCAGTATTTCAAGTCACAGCTGGCCAGGATTACGTCGTCGAAATGGCTTATGAAGGCGCTGAAGCGACAAAGGGATGGAAAAGGTTGGAGAATGATCAGTGGAGACATCTCTACGGCTCGCCATATGTTCCGGGCTATGGTAATCTGCGACTAGTTGTGACAGAAGTCGCCTTTGGGGTGTTTTTGCACTCCAATTTCACCTTCTCCTACGAATTACTCGACTACAAGGCTCCACGATACGAAACCTCAACCGGCCGCGACTGGAAACCAAGACCAGTGGCCAATAACAACATGATGCTATCATTCTCTATAGACCTCATCTCACAGAACTATTCGTCATTGCTGGTACAGGACTACCGCGCAACCACGACTGTCTCGCGCCTAGAAGAATTCTCACTTCCTTTATATGAACTCTCCAAACCGGAGACAGTGAGTCTTGGAGGTAGAGACGGCCCCTACCCTCTATGTTCCGATTTACCATGCGCCGACGGCGGAAAGTCATGTTCTCCAACAGCATGGTTGGTACATGAACCCCTTCGTATCGGCTACGCATTGGCACAGCCGGTTGAGCATTCAAGTAAAGTGCAGATTGGTCTTTACTTCATGTTAATTGTGATCATTGCAAATGCATTGAAATCGATTTCTATCTACTTGACAATGCGGGAGTGCGCCGATGGCCATTTAATTACCATTGGAGATGCACTTGCATCATACTTGGAAAATCCAGAGCAAGAGCCTAAAGATAATTCCATTTCGAACAGGATTGAACTGTCAAAAGTTCGTACGATGCGTCGGGGCCATCTCTGGCGTCACAAATCCACTCATGTATTCCGGCTTTTAGGCGGCGGCAGACTATGGTCCAGCCTTCTGCTGTAAGTATTTATGACCCTATTGCCGACCATCATTCAGCTGACATTAGTGTCTAGTCCGTTTCTAGCCTCTATGTGTATAGCATTGCTAGCTCTCTCCCTTCGTGACCCTGAACCCACGTTTTATTCCAGCTGGGGCACGTCCTCCCAGCTTCTGCTCCAGTTCACCCGGTCATCCTTCACTACGAAAGGTATCATCTTCACTGCCTGGTTTGCCAACACGCCCCAAGTATTGCTCTCTATCGCTTACTTCAGCATCAACCGTCTCTGCACCTCCATTTGCAGCGTTATCGAATGGAATAACTTCGGCCTCCACAGAAAAGGTCTCCGTGTTTCCTCACCTTCCCACCTCCAACGGAAAACCCACTTCCTCCAAATTCCCTGGCGCTGGTCCCTCCCACTAACCTGTACATCGGGCTTCCTACACTGGCTCCTATCGCAGACGTTATTCCTCGTCCGCTTCGAAAAGCGCAGAGTCGACGGATCGTTGTATCCTGATGAGTCGAAATGTGCATGTGGGTACTCACCGTTGAGTTTCCTCATCTTCACGCTTTGCTTTCTGGGATTGTTGCTGGTGCTGCTGTGGATTGTACTCAGGAGGGTTACGGCGTGGATGCCACCGGCGGGTCATAGCAGCTTGGTTATTAGTGCAGCGTGCCGGCCGCCTGATGAGGACATGTATGCGCACTGGGGGAAGGTCAAGTGGGGATTAGTAGTTAAGGGAGTAGGGTGCGAAGAGGAGAAGGTGTGGTGTAGCTTCACGAGCGGATCTGTCCGCCTACCTCTAGGCGTTGATGATGACTAAAAGGCAGAAGGGGAAGAATGAGGCACCCAGTCCAATGGTTCAATGAGATCAGAACAACCAATCAATCTGAATCATAGCAGACTGTATTTCACGATAGCTACTAGTGATTAGACTACGACAGCAATCGCAAGGCTGAGGGTAAGGTTGCCTAGCTACCATGTTCACCAGTCCGTGTGGCTCCTCTATCACTTTCATGGGGTTTAGCAAGCAGATCACATATCTTTTAGAGGATATGGCTTGCTCGTCGAAATGAAAGTCACTGTTGAAATTTTGTAACTGATTACTCGGTTGGAACTGTTTTATTGAGAACCTTGCTTGCCGATTTCATACATTGTGATTTGCTCCGCAAGTAAAGCGTCGGTTACTTCACAAATCATAGCTATAAGAATCGTGCATCCATTCGGAGCAGCTGTGACCACTTGGATATGTGTCTCACATTCTATGTACATGTGGTTTAGTATTTCTCTCCCACAGTCTCTGTCTTCTATTCATGCACCTCAGCATATTCCGCTAGACCACGGCTCTAAAGAATTCAAAACCGTAGAAGAGAGTAAGAAGCATACACATCACTTGGAGAGCTATCTTTAGGCGCTGCTGATGCTGCAATCAAGCCAGGCATAACGGGCAAGTGTGTAAGCAACGTATAAAATCTAATGGGACTCCAAGCAGTAGGCCCTGTGGGGTGCAGTATCGTAACCCTAGTTACCTCCTACCACAGCAAAATTGGCTTGATAGTTACTCCGCTCAACAGATCTGCTACAGCTGTGCTGTGTTCGTCCGACTGGACGGTCAGTTTTCGATCAACAATAACATGCTTCCACAACGGACCTACCAGATAGTATTTACTAAGCTTCTCGATAGGACTACGTTGTAATCTAGTCAGCGTAGTTCCTAAGAACATGAGACAAACTTACAATTTTCCTTGACGATACCACTCGATCATTTGCGGCACAAATGCTTTTGGCAGTGCATCTCCTTCGACGCAACCTCGGATCATAATGCCATACTAGGCGAGATTAGTATAGCATGTGCTTGAAGTAGTCCTCGTTTCTTACGTCTAACAGGAGTCCAAGGTCCAAGTCCAAGGTCTTCCCATGCATTAAACCCATGAGTATCAACTGGCCCTTTGCCTTTAAAGTCTTGATAGCTGCTTTGAGGAGCGGAACGACTCCGGTGGTGTCGATGATTACACTCACTCCGCCCGATGCTACCTGACGAATGGCGGCTACTAGATCGTCTATTAAAGAGGGCATGTCTGAGGTATCAACCAGGTGTGTTGCTCCAATCTCTTGTGCCAGAACTAGACGAGTCTGTACTCGATCGAGGGCAATGATTGTTGAGGCCCCTCGTATCTTGGCAGCCTTTTGAGGAATTAGCTTCTAAGTGTCTGCCTTCGAGCCAGAAGAGATTTGTGACCTACCATTATTGCAGCCATTCCGACACCCCCAAGTCCGAATACAGCGACCACATCTCCGGATTTGACATTTGCCAAATTAGTCACAGCTCCAGCACCTGTCTGATAAGCGCATCCCATTGGGGCAAGAATCTTCAGTTCATCTTCAGTCTTCACAATGTGCGATACATTCAGAGCCGACGTTCCCTTAACAATTGCCAACTGAGAAAAGCTAGATTGACCGAAGAACAGTCCGGCACCTGGCCCACTCGATGTTTCATAGACTTCAGGCACACCTAAAATGTTCCGAGGTTGAAACTCGCGGCAATATCCAGGTAAGTGATCTTTGCAAGCGCGACAATCGTTCTTGCCGCAAAAATCGAAGCTCAGTAGGACTTTATCCCCGGCTCTTAGGTGGGCGATGTTGCTTCCAACCCGCTCGACAACTCCGGCGCCCTCGTGGCCGACGACCTTTGGGTACCTAGCAGGGCCAGAAACTCCAGGTGCTAATTGGGACATGGTTATATCGGTATGGCAAATCCCAGAAGCGACGATCCTAACCAGAACTTCATCCGACAGGGGCGTACGTAGCCGGACGGTCTCTTTGCGCCACTGTAGACAGCCATCTTCTGGCGCTGCGCTCACGATAGCTGCAGTTGAAAGTAGAAAGGCAGACATTGAGGAATGGACTGAACTTTAGTCTCGGCCAAGCGCAAATCATGGAAGTACTTATTGTAGTGCGAAAAGGGCTTCTGCGGGGTTTTGTAGGGCTCGTACATCATTTGTGAATATTTCCCGCTGGCTCAATTCCGCAGACTTGCAGGCCACAATAGCGTAGGCTCAGTGAGGGAACAGTGATTCCAATTTGTCCACTGTCTAAAAATTGGAAAGAGACCAGGCCTCTCACTCATTCACGCCTGCAATCGAGAGACTTGGCAGCCTCATCCTTATCACTGGGAATGCACAATCCTCGCTATACGGAAGACATTCTCAGCCTGACTATTTACGGAATTACGAGTTATTCATCCATTCGATGAGAGTCATATTGGGTTGTCACTGTGGAGGTCTGGATATAAACAGAAAACAGCTGTTCGCACCCGTACGAATACATAGCTATATCAGAGAACAATTTGGGCACGCCAAACGAACCGGATAAGGATGTAATAAGAACACGCAACTCTTTCAAGAGACTGGTTCAATCATCCTTACGTCTGTACCTAAATAGTCACAGCAGGTTTGTATCTGTGTATGGTTTGTACCTTGCAGTAAGCAAGCAGACCTTGTTCGCCCCACTCCCCACCTAAGCCGCTTTCTTTGAGCCCTGCGAAGTACGCTTGTGGAAGAGGTTTTTCTATACTGTTAATCCATACAGTACCCGTTTCAATCCGATCAGCAAAGTGTTGTGCGCGGGCTTGGTCACTTGTCCAGATTGCTCCACCGAGACCTGTGACATCATTGTTGACCCGCTCAATGACTTCTTCGTCATCAGTCCAGGACAGCACGGGTACTATAGGACCTGAAAACTACTAAGTCTGGGAAGATAGCATCCATTAATCTTGAGCTGCTTACCAAATGCTTCGCTTGTGACTACCAATGAATTATCAGGTGGTCTGTCGACAATGATAGGGGCTATGACATAGCTTTCTGGATGGGCTTCGTCTCTGTCCCCACCAAGTGCAAATCGGTGACCGTTGGCACGCGAGTTTTCGATGATAGCCATGACCTTATTGAACTGCATCTCATTTTGTACGGGGCCAAGCGTTAAATCTCGTACGAATCCCGAGGTCGGACCCACTTTCCAAGACCGGACGGTGTCGACCATGGCTCGAAGAAATTCATCATAGATGTCCTGGTGAACATAGATGCGTTTACTAGCAACGCATAGTTGTCCAGAATTGAGGAAGGAACCCAGAGCCACCTGGGGAGCCACTACCCCAGGGTCAACGTCCGGCAGTATGATACTGGCGTTATTTCCGCCAAGTTCTAAAGTAAGACGTTTTAAGGATTGTGCACTTGATGACATAATCTTTTTACCAGTGGCTGTTGAACCAGTGAAACTGATTTTTTGTATCCTTGGATGTGCGCAGAGGTATGGCCCAAGACTGTCGTCGCCGTGTATAGCTTGCAAGACTCCTCGAGGCAGGAGAGGCTGTACCAGCTCAGTAAACTTGAGTATGCTGTATGGCGTGTAGGGCGATGGCTTGACTATCACACAATTGCCTGTGATGAGAGCTGCCCCGATTTTGGCGATAGCTAGAACAAGCGGGTAATTCCACGGGCAGATGGCGGCCACAAGGCCTATGGGCCTGTATCGTAGACTGAGATGTAGCTCATCATCGTCTTGAACGATTACATCTTGAATCTGTGCTTGTTTGGCTGCCTTTTGTTAGCTTTCACTTGACACAATAATTAGCGAACAGGTTTAGTGTCTGACATACAATTAAATTCCAAGAACCGCAACGAATGATCTACTTCCATCTCACTGAATTGAATCTGAAAAGCGGATTAGAGATATATTAGTAGGTGCTTTGATACATACGGACCGGCTTGCCCCCTTCTAAAGTGAGTAACTTCGCCATATTCTCTCGCTGTGCTTGAAGTGCGGCATGCATGAGAGACAAGACGTCTTGTCTAGCTGCCCAGGTTGTTTTAGACCAGGTCGTAAATGCATGTTGGGCCGCAAAAATTGCGTCTTCAATGTCTTGCGTACTGCCAATTGGAACAGGCCAAAGTGCTCTCTTTGTTGAGGGATCAATTGTCCGTTGAGCTTTGAGCGCTGACCTCTGATCGCCGTTTACCGTGTTGGTAAATGCTTCAAAGTCGGGTGCAACATTCATTTCTAGTACGTAGGCGTTAGCATCAATCAGCAGTGGGTACCAGCGAGACACACCGTGAGTTGATTGTCTGCAAGCTTGAAGTTTGAAAGCTGAGGAAAAAGATACACAAGCAAGTTGTCTATAATAACCGCAATCAGACCTTCTCAACTAGATCCTGTGCAGGGTACATAACAGTCTTAGACCTGGCCACGAACTGGCGGCAAAACACGCAGATCAGCATGCATAACTTTGGAGAGACGAAAGACGGGAACGGGCTACGCAGCCTCGCTTTGTGAATTGCCAAACGGAACTTTACTACTCCCAGCTAGCGTTGTGGAGATTGCCCGATCATGGCGGGAAATCCACACACCAACCGCCGCTACCTTGTCGAAGGCTTTTGCGCTAGGTTACGGATATCTTTGATGCTTGAAATTCTCGGATGAGACTCTCCAATCCACCCATAGTTGTAGTATCGTACTGCGTATCCAGGAGGTCCGCGACGAGTCCCTCTTTTCTCTGCTTGCTCAATCGATCAAGCTTGAGCTGGCTGATCAACCAAAACTCTGGCGCATGACGCATGAATCCAATTCGCCTCCAAGACGAATCATAGTCCATATTTCCTTTCTCGATTTCTTCTTGTCGTGCTGAAGATGGCCAAAACGTGTTCCAGCGTTCCAGACCATTCCGCAAAGAAGAGTCATCAACGGTAACGACGAGAGAGCTCTCAACTTGAGAAACTAGGGAGTATAAGGCTTTGGATATGGTCAGTTCGGATCCTGCTTATCATGCATATAATGACGTACCAATTATAATTGTGAACATGTTCAAAGTGCTTGCTCGAGCGAGCAAATGCTCGATCTCGCGTGACGTCTCTTCAGAGCAGATAGACCGGACTACGTCTACGAGGGTTAAAATGCGACTTGGGTACAAGCTATGCCGCCAGGACCGTAGCTCTACAAAGCATTCCTCGGCGGATCCAGCCTGGAAGCACGCTTCTGGTGTGGCCAGATCAATGACCATTTCTCGTAATAGCATGCGAGTAGGATGGTAGTAGAACAGCGCGAAGCCACCATCTAGATTGAACACATATGTACAGATCCTAGAGATGTTTGTCAGGCTCTTCCGTCGCCTACGACTGCCGGGGGAAAAGAATGCACTCACCTGACTAGTGATTCCCGCTGGATAAATTCCGTCCAGTCGAATTTCGTGACATTAGATGTGTCTACGTCTCTGAGAGTGGCCTGGTTTAAGCCTATATCGCGCAGCATCTACGTCTAATCGTCAGAGTTCTGGATAATGGTGGCGTAGTGTCGAGTTGAGTTGGGCTTTTGAAGTCCTTACGCTGATTATGGCATTGTATCTCTGTCTTCGAACACGCAGTACGTGCTCTTTGCATCCCTCCCAGGTATGGATAAGTGTGACACAATAAGCAGCTTGAATAATTTCAAGCTGCGATTGACGCTGCGCTGTATGATCGGAGTTTTGCCATGCTTGGGCTAGATCTTGTGACCAGATGTCGCTGCTGAATACCAACTCTTCAGTCGCACTGAACCACAAGGTTGCTTTGGCGCGCTCTCGCTCATCCGGTGAAAGACATGCTCCAAGAACGGTCATAGAGATCACCAGCGTTATCGAAGCCTCGGACAATCTAAACGAAGGTTTGTGTATTGCCGGCCAGTTGGGATACCAGCAAGACCAGAACAGACCCAGAAACTTGTGCAACTTGGCGAGAGAGAAGAAATCGTAAGACATAGCTTCCAATGAATCGGACCACAAAGGTTGTTTGTCGTCCTTACGTCGCGTTACGATTGTAGCATCGCGTATATTGTGTACAATACGTCGAGTAAGATCAGATTCTCCGCCTTGACCGAAGTACTCAGACACGAAATCGGGACTTGGGCCATACGTCAATATATCGGCGCCTTCGAAGAGATCCATTATCTTTGCGCTGAGCTCATACTGAGGCCTCTGAAAAGATTCGCTGCCCGTCTCGCCACTTGACGTAGCTGATTGCTGCGCAGCGATACTTCTCCATTCAGGTGTGCCACACTCAAATGACCCAACTAGCCCCGTAGTAGTAGTGAAGTTCAGCAGAAATGTGAACTTCATACATTGCTGGACATCAATCTTCGAGATTGGATTCAATATAGAAGGAGCAAGCATCATGAGGGGATTGGGTACCACGGGGGAATTCCAGTTATCGTACGGATTAAAGGATGGGGAAAATACGCTAAGCTGACTAGAAGGACCATGTTCTCCATCAGTTAACAAGTTTGGGCCATTCAACGCGCTTTCTGTCGTAGGAAAATTAAAGAATTCCCACGAGAATTCAGGCAATGGATCCGTTTGAGTCTGTGGATCGCATATGGATTGGTCACTCAGCTCGTTGCAGCCAGGTGAAGGACGTGAGTATGTGCATATTCTTCCCTTTGAAAGACAGGGTTGACAGGGCTGAGTTGATGTGCAAGCCCGTTTCCATCGGTGACAAGCGTCACACGCAGTTGGTTTACGGCCTCTGGATTTGGCCTGAGATTGTGGGATGTCCTGCTTGTCATCGATTCTGGCTTTACAGGTGATCCAATGTCTTTTAAGAGTATCGCTAATACAGATCAGTCAAACATTCAGACGTAGGAAAGGGTCACATATACATCCTGCTGAATGACTTCTGACAGAAGACACAAAGGCCAACTCCACTGTGGCGTTTCATATTGCCTAGACAATGCGCTTGAAAAACATTTATAGAAGAAAAGCAATTCAATGAATATCAGTAGCGGGACCAGCTGGCGGTTCTTTCATCAGGATGGGACGATGTTCTTGAAAAGCATATAAAACCAGGGATAATTATGAGCAAGGGGACGGGCAGGAGTGGCACGACTGGGTGGCAGGCAGTGCACATTAATGAACTTTAGAACATTGCGGGGACCCCGCACACCAGACCTATCCTGACTTAGCGTTTACATCCTGCTGCAGATGATTCATGTAAATATCGCTCTCTAATTACTAATCTACAACTTCCACTCCTGCTTATTATACTGTTTTGGCCAAACTCCTGACTTCCCAGGAGCAATGATTCCATTTGGATCAATCGCATTCTTGAGGACTTCGTTGAATTTCAGCAGAATGTTATCATTCCATGAATAAGTCGACATAATCTGATCCATGACAGCAAGGTGCGTACGATATTCACCCCAGCCATGTGCCGCACAATCATCAATAAGCGTCCTAATAAGCCAATGCGCTTTTCGTTTCTCTTTTGCAGATGTTTTGTCAAAGACAATACACACAATGTGGTCTATATTCGAACGTTAGTCCTCACGTATGAAATTGAAAATGGAGTGTTCTTACGCATTTCCCTCAGGCCTACGGTGAATGTACCAAGAAAGTCTAGACCAGCCTCCTGGCATCGCTTCTTCGTAATGCTATACTGCATCATGGCATCATCTCCTGCGCACTTCGCAATTGGTGAGAAGAAGAGATGAGCCCCGTTTGGAACCCAGTCGATCCACTTAAGTTCATCGTATGTCGGAATACCCTGCAGTGTCTTGTCTCGGACACGCAGAACCGAGTCGTCTGGTGTATCTTCAGGGAAAAAGAACTGCGCTCCCGGAATTTGACTAAATGCTTGCTTGATCTCACTCCAAAGAGCTGCTCGGATCGGGTCAGGTCCATACAAAGCTCCATAGAAGTTCCATCTACCCAGATTCAGGTCCTTCGCGATGCCATCCATGTCCTCGTCGGAGAGTGGTTCCGACTTTGCCGAATACTTAGTCTTGTTTCCCAGAACCGCAGCATCCAACAGGATATGCCTGAGCGTTGGTACGTTCTGGAGTACCATGGACAGGCGAAGTGGCCTGATAATGTCAACAGCTTGTTGCAAGTCTTCGTCTCGAGGGATCGTAATGAGGTACGACTGATATCCACCGGGGTTGGGGAAAAGGCTCATGCCGATCTTTGTCACTATACCCAGGTTTGATTGACTAAAGAGCCCGTCGATATATGGACCGAAGCCATACGGAAAGAGCTGAGCAGTCTTATTGAATGGCTGATCTTCCGGTTTCAGTCCCATAGTTTCCGGTACCCTGGGCGCAGGAAGTGCACCCATGCCTGTCCGAAGCAGTTCCCCAGAAGGCAGTACAACTTCCATACCACTGTGCATCATCCAGTGATCTATTAGGGCATGTTTAGCTTAACCTTTACGCGCCGATCACGGTCAAGCTTACCTCCATAAGGAGTATATCCGACACCACGTTCTAAAGTATTCCCAAGGATTGAGCCACCCCCTAGGTCAGGAACGTCAATCCAGAGCTTGTCCCGAAGATTGTTTTCGACGAGATAATTGTGCATGTCTGTGAAGGTCACACCTACACGAGAAACTTAGCGGACGTTACTTCGGGCAATTGAATTCACCTACCAGGCTCCACAACACAGTATGCGCCCTCAACATTCACCTCCAGTATCTTATTCAGATGTTTTCCCATGTTTATCACAACACTACCAGTAACACGGGGAGCGCCGCCTCCATACCCAGAATTTCTGCCAATGGATATTGGCCACAGAGGTATTGGTAGTGCGTTTGCATATCGGAGGATGTTCTGAACATCGGAGACGTTGCGTGGTGCGACGATTGAAGATGCTAAGAAAAAGTCTTGCTCAAGGACATGGTGTGGATCATGAGTATATGTTGGATGTTGGTACGACCCGTCATCGAGATTATCTTTTGAAGTGACAATTTGAACATTTTCGGCGCCGATCAAGTCGGAGACTTGTCGAATGAATTTGTCGAAGATATCGGGGGTGACATTGGGAGGAAGAACCGCTGGTCGGTGCTGAATGACACAATCATCTTTGCTGCTCGTACCTGATTGCAGAGGAACTATTTTCGTTGGAGACATGATGAACAAATTGAATGACAGATTGAAGTACTCGGATACATCTAGCAGGAAAGGACTTTAGTACACTCATATAGATATATATAGAAAGGAGCTTCATTCATGATGTGGCCAAGCAATCCAATAGCGTGGCTGACCCGCGGATCATTCGAGTTTGCGGGAATTTGCCGGTGTTGCAAGTGAGCGAAATTGGGCGGGTTATTCCGCACACCAGCTGTGTTGGTCACCCCCCTTTTGAGCCATCTACTGATCTTCCGACAAAGGAGTGGCAAGAATCAACGTGACTGAATATTTCGATCTCCTCGGTTATAGGCATTTGTTGATGATCAGGTGACTGTAGGGTTTCACCTCACACCTGTCGCATTTAACGACTTTAGAGTGTTTCTCCTCACAGGTGATTTGGAACAGAGAATCTTATATCTTCACATAATTGAATCGCAGGGATGGTAGATGCTGATACGTTGCTGTCAGCTTCTACGATCAGCAGCTCTATCAGCCACAACTTCGTTTGTGCGATATTGAAAGCAGGATTTTTGTGCATCAAGCTTGCGGTTTGCAATAGCAATAACCAATTCATATTTCAAGTAGCACGCTAAAAGATGGAACATAAATTAGGGACAGGAAACATGATTCTTTTGACACTCGACCTGTTTTCATTTCTCAACCCCTCCACCTGAGACACAAGTGTCACGGAGCCGCAAACGAACTTTGAAATCACGCTGAAAAGAGAACCATTGTGACCTAGTCTTCCAAGGCTCACTCATATCGAGCAATTCTGCGTCGAAGGTACGGAAGAATTGCGCTACATATTTATACATCTCGATGGTGGCAAGGTTCTTACCCACGCAGCTTCGGCTTCCCGTACCAAACTAATCAAACAAAAGTTAGAATCGACTCAACATGAGGGTCAATGAGATACAGCCATGGAAACGTACCGTTGTCAGCATTGAGTTACAGTATTTGATACGTTCATCGTCTTCCTTGCTCTGCGAGATCCATCTCTCGGGCCGGAAGCTTCCTGCATCGGCACCAAATGCTTTTTTGGATCGATTCGTACTCCTGCAGCTAATGCCGCACACAGTGCCCTCAGGAAGAAAGTATGGACCTATTTGTACGCCGCCTGCGGGGACATATCTGGGTAGCTGATACTGTATCGAAGGATGTAGCCTGGTACTCTCTTTGATGATTGCGGACAGCCAAGGCAAATTTTGAGCGTCAGTAAATTTGATATGTTCTCGTGAAGAATCGAGACCGAGTTGTTGATAGGCGTGGTCAATCTCGTCCCGTAGCCGTGGGATGTACTCGGGGTGCTTCAACAGAGCCCCTACGCATGCAAGTATGCCTATAGCGGTGGTGTCCGCCCCAGCACCAAGAATGTTCACTCCCTCAATCATGACATCCGCCTTCTTGACAGGGTTTTTATCCATGTCCTTTGCTTCTATAAAATGTTGAAGCATATCCCATCTGGGCATGCCGTCTTTGTTGTTCATTCTCTGCTCCACACGAATGTCAAGCCATTCCACGAAGTCGTCGAATGCATTCAGCCTTTTGATTCCAAGGACTCGCACCAACCTCTTAATGATAGGATTGTTGAACCAGAACATCTGTAGAGGTATATTGCCCATATTTGCCATTAGCCAAAAACCGTCGTGTATGGACCGGATAATTCCGTTGACGTCAAGTCCTTGTTGAATGAAACCAATCGTACCGCCCATCGCGAGCTGTCCGACGATATCGAATGTCAAATAGTTCGCCCACTTGTCCAAAGCTATGACCTCCCCGGAACGGGCGAAGCATTCGAACCTTGACCAGTTGGCATCAAGGACTTCCTGTAACAGTGGCTCCATAGTAAGTAATGATGTTGTTGTGTATGCACCCTGGACTCTGGATCTGAGGTGACGGTGAGTCGCCAAATCGGTCGCTGCGAAGAAACTAATGGTCATGCCTGGAACTTTCCAGGTGTCGTACCACTTTGTCTAGTGTTACGGTCAGCTTTGCGCCCAAGAATTCGCCAGTTGGATCAAATCAAACCTTCTTGATAGATTTCCCATAGCCATACAGCGTTCTCAGTCCTTCTTCATCTACAAAGCTGATCTCATTTGGTGCGATGCGAACCACCGGACCAAACTGCTCGTGAACCTGGAGGATGTCGTCGTGCCATGTTCCGCGGAAGTACCTAACGTTTCGCCAGACTTGACTAGTTCGTGCCAGAAACGGCCCAGGGATGTTGCGAAGAGGGTGAAAGAACAAACGATAGACTATGGCAACGACCCAGTAACTAGCTAGCACAGCGATTGTCGCCTTGGCGGCAGAAATTGCATCGAGTCGATGGACGGAAATGTTGGATAGAAGGTCTGTTACAAGCGTCATTTTCGCGTAGATTAGTGATTCATAAGACTTACCAACAAGTCATATATATATACAGCGTCATGTATGTATACAGCACGCTACTCTCGTCAATAGGCCTAGTCTTGGTGATCGATGTGGAGAATTGCCGACATCAGAAATGTACCGCTTTCTCTGGAGATCTCAACTCAAATACGCCAACGTTACTAAAGAACGTCTTGAACTGTGGGGTAATTGCGCAGCCATTTGCATAGGGCACAGTGTGATCGCGGTCATTCCACACAGGGTGGTACACATCCTTCCATCTCCGCACAAACCATTGAATTCAGACTTCTACAATCGACTTCTTGTCACGATCTCGTACCAAGTGAAACGATCAACCAAACTTCAACACTTAGCGACTCAGTAGCGAATGCTACAGCGGTTACTTCAACTCTCTACTCTCAAGAAAAATCAAGAAAAGTTCTAACTTCCTGTTATGACTTTAGAAGACGTCACTGTGCTATACCAACTGAGCTGCTGCGGAAGGGCAGTATCTGGGAACTATTTTGCAAACCTGACCAATAGGTAACCCATTAAAGTTATGAGTACGAGCAAGCTAATCATACTCAAGGACGGTCGTTCCCGATGTACCCATTGTGGCTCCGGCGATTTCTCGATGCGGGGTTTAGAGTGGGAGTTTGCCGCAATCTCCATTTGGTCTAATTTCGGCGGTGGTACCGTTAATTTGCCGAAGTAGGTTCCCCAATGTACAGAGGTGATAATGGTAACTAGGCACGGTATGGAATTAGTTTTCGTCCATGAGTAGCCTCCCGTAGGGTGCAAGGGCGTTTCTAGAGTGTGCTGCTGATGTGCATACCTTTCCAGTCTCCATCTTCCTCCCTGCGAGTGACAACGGAGATGAAATCTCGTCGCGTACAATGTACATAGGTTAGGCACGTCGGGTCGTACACCTACAAGTATCATGTACACTTTAACCTTAATCAGCTACCTTACAGCAAGTAAGAGGCTGTAAATGCATGTATCATACCTTTGTGTCGGCTAAAAACGCTAGCAGGTGTACGACCCAACGTGCCTACCTTCTGGACCCCTCGTACAAGGTAATGGGTATAAACTTCATAGGTGGGGTATAAAAGCAATTGAAGTTGCGCGATCGTTTCTCAGAGCGTTTCTCGCACATCACCCACCGAAACAATGGGCACTCCCCTTCATCACGCGACTGTGTCGACCTACGTTTACAAAACCACGAATGGTCTTACTCTGTCTCTGGACGTGTGGCGACCCACACCACCTGCAAATTCCACCTCCAACGATGATGCCAATGTCGCCTTGGTACATTTCCATGGAGGTTTTCTGGTAAGTGGCGCCTGCTCTTTCAAACAAGCCCAAACAATCGATACGGATCGCTAAATGTGTGTGATGGCAGATGGTCGGAGAAAAGACTACCTTTCCCCCCTACTGGTTAATCAATGCGTGCCTGCGCCGCGGCTGGACTTATATCACACCCGCATACCGTCTCTTGCCCGAGACCCCTGGTTTAGACATCATCGACGATGCACTCGACGCTGCGCAGTGGGTTGCGAAGAATGTATCTGAGCGTTTGGTGATCGCAGGATCTAGCGCCGGAGGCTTCTTAGCATTGTCAGTCGCAACCAGGTTGATCGAACCCAAACCTGTTGCAACTCTATGCGTATACGGCATACTCGACCTGACTGCAGCGCGATACACTAATCCGGGTAAACCGGTTTTAGGAAGTCAACTCATGCCTAACGTAAGCACAATTCTCCATGAGATGGAAGCTGCGCGTGATGGCGATGAGCTGGACGGATACGCCTTCCCCGATGATCTCTTGGCCGATAAGCGTATGTCTTGGATAAATGCTGCACATCAAGAAGCGATATACCCAGACCTTTTATCTAGAAGTCAAGGTCTCGCTGCGATGATACGCACTAGCGGACCCACAAGCATACCCGAAGCTTATCGCGCTCTGTTTCCAAGCACTTTCGGAGCGAGCAAGGATATGCCTCCGGTAGCATTCCTACATGGAGGGCAGGATGACCTTGTCGACGCCAGTCAAAGTATCCAAGTGTCAGAACACCTGCAACGGCTTGGCGTTGATACTATTTGTGCAGTGGTCCCAGGCAAAGGACATGGCTTTGACGTAGAAATAGCTGCGGAGGTTGATGTCGAAGAAGCGCAGGGTGTTCACAACCCCGCGTATACCGAACTGAAAAGTGTTCTCGGATTTATTGACAATGCTGTTAGAGGTAGTAGTAAATAGATGTATGTCAAGCGAGCTCGTTGACCAAGTCGACAGCTCTATCAAACTCTTAGGCCTTAAACCTTATGCCAGCAAAGAAAGTCTTGTGACTTCTCTCATGTGCGCGGGTGCCCTTCAGGAGTTGGGTACTGGCTGTCTTTACAATCACAACTTGACTGTCATCACCACCTGAAAGTCGTCCACGGAGACAGGTTGCCTCATACCTCAACATGATGTATAATACTCCCAACACTTGCGCATTTTACACTGTAACGCAGTTGAGTATTGCCTCCAGCCTGAATACACGTACAACATGTATGAGAACAATTCGATGATTTTTGTTTGTGGTAGAAGCATTGTTTGGTAGAAAGTAGTTCAAACAGTCACTTCAGATGGTAATCATAAGGGAGTGACGTTGCTCGCTAGCTATCAATACCGTACATAGAGTACAGTGTATGCCCATGAACCCCACACCCCCGCAAGTATCCCACTCGCTTAGACGAGATTCTCGTCTACGTTAACCGTCAGACAAGACAAGAGTGCAAGATTCTAGTAGAGCAGATCATAGGCATGTATAATCTACACTGTGTACTGAAAAATGCATACAAAGTAAACAGTTACTACAAGTAATATCATCCCGAATCACAACGGCGGCCTCTAGTGCTAACATATGCATTTCCAATATCCATTACCTCAGGGCAGTAATTGTGTCGCTCGCGCTTGAAGTTAAGGTCACGCGGTTGGCTAGACGCGCAGAGTTGCCTCAACTCATATTGGAGACTTTCAGTCAACTCAGAGGCATAACGCCGAGGTATTGGGGTCGTTGCCCCAAATGCTTCTCGAATGATTCCCGGCCAGTCGGCTCTGCTGTCTCCTAGCTTAAACGGGCGATGAATCTCGCGCACTGGTCGAAATCACGAGCTGCGGATGGTCAATCCTATAGCTAAACTCATTAGGTAGGTTCTAGTGATGCCCTGGGTACAAGGTACGGTCTCACTGGACTGTCCGAGGCGGGCTTTGGCCCATATCGGCTGTCACTTAAGCACTGATTTCCGGTTCTTAACTGATCAACTAGATCACTCTATTGTCTAATGACAATTATTCCTCTCGTTCAAGGTTTTCAAACAAAACTCCTACACGTAAACACTACAAAAACTTGTGACCGCCACGCCACCGGAAACGATTTTGCTTAAGCTGGTAAATTCTTTGAGATATCCAGCACAAGCATCTGTATTCGTAGCCAGGTCACGCTCCATCAGGCGATTCCGGCTGTGTTTCCGGCTCGCTTTCAACTCATAGCACATTGAGACTTTCCACTTTCATTCGGCTCGCCATCTGAGTGTATCCGTCGGGCCAAACCTTTACGTACTCGGCGAAGCGAATGAACTCAAGAATTCAAGGCACCACGCTATCACCAATACAATTTGTCCCACCTTCAGCACAAGCGGTATTTTCTTGGAGACCTACGAATACGCTGTACCATTATGACAAGACATATGAATGACTCCCGAGCAGCACGTCCAAAAGGATCACGCATAGATGCCGACAAGGTCAGAGATGGACTTGCCAGGAGGTCAAAAAGCAGATCAAGGGGAGAAACTCCAGGTGAGACTCGTGTCGATGTGAGTATATCGTCATAGACTACAAGTCAATCACTTCGCAGTTGTCGTACAGCATGCCCCTCACATCCGATGCCCTCAATACCAAAGACTTACATCTGCCTCTAGCGACGTCGTGTGCAACTTCGAATTGCTCAACGAACTTTTCGACAGCGTCAGGAACAGATGATCACTTCCTTGGAGAGTAAAAATGCACATTTGAAATGTGTCATCGATCAACTTGATCAAACACTTTCGAGATTTAACGAAACTGTTTCGAGATTAGAAGACATCCAAGCAGACTCGGAATTTAAAAGGGAATTGAAGGAAGTACAGAAAACCTTCGTCTCTCTTACCAAAAGCGCCATCGAAGAGGAGGAGAACGCCGAGGAGCCATCTGGTAAAGGACTAGAAGTTGGAGGCGATTTTACCGAGGAGTTCCTCGGCGGTACATCTACACACCAAACTGCAACATCAATTACAACCAACGATCCATTTATAGACTCGCGGCACCCATCAGCGCTCGGTACAATTGCTTCGCAATCGACTTCCGGTCTTTTACCGAATCAGAGTAGCACCACCATGGAAACGTCCTGCCCTGTTTTGCCATCGTCAATATCAGATTCCTCCTCAGTTCCTTTTGAGGAGCCCCCATCAACAGTTAACCATGTATCGGGTCAAACTGAATTACAAGATGACGAGGTCTCGGAGCTGCTACCATTTGGTCTCATCATATTTATGCCATCGAACCCTGGCCCTTACAGTGCCTGAAAGATTTGTACCTGCGAGGCACTGTCTGCGCACACCACTGTATTAGCTAGCCTTTGTTTCTATTGAAGAATGCTTGCGGAGCAATTTGGCTTAGTGACCTTCCGATCCAAAGTCCAGCAAATACTAAAAATCGAAATGAATGACTATGTGAAGCGCCTTAAGTTCACTTCGCACACGTCATCCTCGCCCCTGCCTATGATCTCTGACGAGGGAATATGAGTTCTAACGAAATAAGATCCCTCCCTCGCTTTACGACAGGTAGATTCTATATGCTCTATCAAGATCAAGACTTCCAACATAGATTTCACAGAGACCGAATTCTAGCAGAACAAGTTCTCTACGAGCACTTTGCGTTTATCAAGTTAGTGTTGACCAGCGAATGTTCCGACCATTTGTGGTGAGCTATGCTACTGATACGTTTTGGGGCTCAAGCACGGACGAAATATATGGACTAATCAATTGCGCGTCATTGTTTTTTGAGCCTCACAACATGCCTCTGCAATTTTCCTGGTCAAGGAACCGAAGACCTCGATTCGGATTTCTTGCTATACATGATAGGTCCAATTGTTCAAAGTGCCCACAATACCGGGCTATAATGGATTTTGTCTGTGCGTGGAGATCAATTCTGTGTTAAAGTCGGATTTGCAGGAAATGTACGCCGAGGTACCGAAGGTGATGCTCCTTAGCTCCGAGGATTGGTCGCAAGCTCTACCTGATCCGTATTTAAGCTCTTCTGAATTCCAGTCATGCATGAGTAGCGGCGGCTCATAATACACTAATAAACCTTCAATGCTCTTGAATGGCCGATCTGTTCTCAATCGCTCGCTGTCGGTTAACGAACAGATTACAACAAAGATTAAGGATATTTGAGTAGCGACATCGAAGACGATGTGGACGCGCCAGTGCAGACCGAGTTGAAAATCATTGACGTATTAATTACAGTATTCGTCCAATTGGTCACTTGGGGCTCTTTAAGCTCCGATCCCATGCTGCAGGTACCGAGCATCACATGTCAAATATGCTATACACTGCTAAAGAATTACTGGAGCCGTTATCTATATCGAGTCCCAGCAGGCAAATGGTCTGGAGTGTCTCCATCCAGATGTGCTCTGTATCGGCAATAGAGAGATGGTTATAATGTTTCACTTTTCGCCTTTCTTTACGACAACCATCTAGATGCAATGCAATTGTCGCCATGCTTATGGAAGACGTATGCGGAATCTTACCTCGATAAGGGTATCATGCTATCATAACATCACGCAGGCGCTCACCCGTGCGCCAGACTGCCAAGTGTAAGACGTACTTAAACCAGTGTTCGTATTACAGTCTAAAGACAGATGCCTCGGGACTTTTACTTCGAGCACTCAAATTTAGCTCAAGTTTAATAATCATTTCGAGGTTCACGACCAACAGATTATGATATATACATTTATATGCCCCAGGCCTAGGGTTTCTACAATCTCACGACGCCGAACTCGATACACATCGCTCAACATTCGAGATGGATTGGACTACGCTCCTACCTGGGAGCAAACTCGTTAAAATCTTGCTTGTTGTATTCGCTATCTTCAACGTCAAAAATCTACCCTTTATATGGCATGTATGTGAATGCATACAGTGTGGACAAAATTCTTCGTACTAAATCTTGTTAGTACCGTATATTTCGCACTATATATGCGCGCATCAACGTCAAGCCTCGCCGTCATGCAGATCCGAATTGCCTATTCCTACCTGCCATAACCACATCACATGCGCCCTTGCTGGAGATAGACTTTAACATGCACAAATCCAACTCCACCTACCTTACTGACGCTGACAATGCTCGCATCAACTGTGCGCTGTTCCTTATGGGTGACGAGCTCGCTCTCACCCCTTGGTCTACGAAACCACGACTTGTACTGGGCGGAACACAATGCGCATTCAGGAAGGAGATCAAAGCGTACAAGTCCTATGAGATGTGGACTCGCTTAATCGCTTGGGATGATAAATGGCTCTATGCTATAACCCATTTTGTCGAAAAGGGAAAATTCAAACCTGTTTCTTACCTACACATCGAGAATGAGGAGGAATTGGAGCCTTTGCTGGCGCTATCTGCTGAACAGAAGGCTGAACATGCGGAAACTAATCGGAAGGCTGTGTTTGCTTCCGTTGCTACGCGTGCTGTCTTTAAGCAGGGCTGGCAAACCGTAAAGCCGGAGGAGATGTTTCGTCGCGCAGGTCTTTTGCCTGATGATGAGGAGGGCAGGGAGAGGATTGAGGGTATTCGGAAGCGAAATTTGGCTATATTTGAAGCGGAAGGCAACAGTTGGGACAGTTTGCATGCTACATTCTTCGATGAAACAAGTTTGGCGCTGGCACGCTATACCGATTTGTTTACGCGTGGTTAAGATTTTTGGATGAGAGGAGAGCTTCGAGCAACCTCAGGGAGCCTCCATCATACCGGGAAACGCCTATCTTTAGCCATAGATAAAAGCAGATTTCAAGACTGCTTTACACGGCGAGATCGTTTGGATGCCTCGAAAAGGTTAAGCACAAGGTCGTTGAAGCGAAACTAAATGATGTTACAGATCTTTGATAATGAATAAAGTAATAACCCTCTTCTTGTTCTTCATATGTAGTTCTTAAATTTAGTCCCTACATTGGAACCAAACCGGATGTTCATAGGCCCCGAAATATCCAGAATGATAGTCTAGGCTGAAGTACAGATAGTTACAAGTGCTTCGGACTTCACAGCATCCCTCATTTTCCCTATGTCAAAAATGCGATGCTGTGTCTAGACTACCGTTGTTTGATTCACTAGGATAACAGAACAACTAGTTGTGCCTTGATGAAGGTAGACAATTTTGCCGAGGCATTCGGGTAGCTAGCATCGTTGCCTTGGACTCCGAGGTGTTCTCCCTACATGAACATTCTCCATAGCCTTTAACATCTAGCATTGGGAAACGTTCTACTCGCTCACTTTAATCCACATGCAGCGCCCATCAGGCGACAGCGCAGAGACTCCTAGTTCAAGGCGTGGAAGACGTATAAATGCTGCTTGCAAAGCTTGTCATGCGCGCAAAGTAAGATGCAGCCTTGCGCAGACCGGTTCACCATGCATGAACTGCACATTAGACCGGCTGCAGTGCGAGCCAAGAGTGGCTAAACGACGAAGGTTGGTGACGACTTGGGGCAAAATATACAAGTAATGAAGCTGAATTTTTGCTTGTATCAGTCAGAGGAATGAGCTGCCCGCGGCGCCGCCTCAGCGGCAGAGGGACGAGCCTCAATCTGCCAGCGTCCTTCCCACGGCGCCGAGGGCAGATTCGCATAACCAGATATCCCCACCCTCAGAGAGCACACAAGAGCGCCAAAATCTTAGTGAAGCTGTACCTACTCCACTTGATGCCGAACGCGAAGAGCAAAGAACACCCTACCGTCCCTTTGCCGAACATTTTAGCCATCATCCTGGACAGAGTGGTTCAAGTCCTTTTCCCTTAGATGACGATGCCTCGGAGCATCGTTGTTCGCCCGTATACGGTGAGCCAAACATCTTTGGGATATTGTTGAGGGGTGAAGACTTCAGCCACTAACCTACAGTATCCAGGTGATCCTCATGGGGTCGGTCTTGTCGCAGACATATGTGAGCCTGGGCGGAAGGAAAAGAGTGGCCATTTCCTCGTGCCACAGATCAAATCTAGTCATATAGACCCTCAGACGATAGATTTCTTGCGTCTCAGGGGTGCTTTTGATCTACCCGTCTTAGAAGTTTGCGACATGCTAATACAGGCGTATTTCCACCATGTGCATCCCTTTTTTCCAGTAGTAGAACCTCGAGGTTTCCTCGAGAAGTTTCATAGCGAACATCGCTTTGAGATTAGTACGCACCTACTTTGGAGTATGTTTCTGGCAGCTGCCAATGTAAGCTGATCAATGTATTGCCTCATGAGTTGCAAGTTAACTTGCGCTAGTTCGCGGATAGCAAAACCCTGAAGACGGCCCAATTTCCATCTCGTAAAGAAATGAAACGTTCAATGTACACGAAAGCAAAGGTAGAAGACTTCAACCATGATCTGCTGAATGACAAGCTAAAGGATCTGCTGTTTATAGGCTCTTTATGACGCAGAGTACGAGCGAGACAAGGTCACACTGATCCAGGCCGTTCTTCTGATGGGTTTTTGGTATGCTGATACTGAAGATCGCACAGGACCTTGGCACTGGAACGGAGTAGCGATCAGCCTATGTCAGACAATTGGATTGCATCGGGATCCAGACAGTAGCTTAGGTCATGCGAGATCTTTATCTGTCTATAATAGAAGACTCTGGAGGCAGCTCTGGTGGAGCTGCTTCTACCGAGAGGCTTGGTTCTCCGCCGGCATGGGCAGACCAATGCGCATCCAACTTACTGACTGTAGCTCTACAATGCCAACGGTACAAGATCTTGAGGACCGAGTTGCAGAAATAAGCTGTACTCTCCGGGAAAAGTATCTGCCGGATGATATGAGAAGATTGTCCATGCTGTGGATACATCTGTTGGAGCTTACCGTTGCGTTATCGAATATTTTGTTGGGGCAACACCGAGCAAATCGCGTGCTACCAACAGAAAACGAGATAGAACAGATTGAGAGTCAGATCCGGGCTTGTTTCGACAAATACTCTAACATCATGAGATTAGGCAGGCAAAGTCGCCTCGTATTGTTGTATGCTTATCACTTTGAAATATATATCGAGTATGTAGGAGCTCGATTCCGGCCCTGGCGAAACCCTGTCGAAGACTAAATTAATTACCAGATCTGTTTCTATCATCCTCTACCGACCATTCCTTCTCATGAACCCAACCGAGTCCTTCTCTCAGGAATGGAAATCGATCGTCGAGCGGAAGACGAGATCTGCAGCTGCTTCCGTCAACATGAGCCTCAGTAACATGATCGGCACTGATATGATCAATGATTGCCAATCAATGATGTATGTTTTTGCTATGATTAACGAGTAAGGGAAGCAAACTAAACCACGGGTAGCTGTATCGCCTTGGTGCCTGCATTGCAAGTCCATCTTCTTGATTATTCGTCACATAAAAACATGATTCATCGAATGGGATCCAAACACCTTGAGATATGCATGATCGTAGTTGAGGAGTTGAAAGAGACATTTTTTGGGGCCGAGATCTTGTACAGAATGTTCTCCAAGGCCCAAAAGCAGATATTGAGTCGGAGAATTGCAGCACTTTCCGAAACCGAGACCGCTCCAAATGTTGATACAATGACACCGTCAAATTCAATCGCTCCCGATATGTGGACAGATGTATCGGTGGCGCCGCATCAAGTTCATGATGATGAGTTCGATACATTATCTGCGATTCGAAGATCTTATGATGGTTCTATGCCATTTGATTTTTTTGCTGACATTGGGTAAGTTTCATACTCATTGGCTGTTTGTTATATTACTGACATTCAGTTTTTCAGTTTTGACTTCAACCTACTCGACACATAATCTGGTTGAGACCCGTCATTCGGATCGTCAGGCTAGTCAATCCAAATTGTATAACTTTAGCAGCAATAATGTTTTTTGAGGACTGTTCAAGCTATTCTGATCAGGCTTCCATGCCATTGCCAGGTCTCAGGTTACAATTTGTGTTTCTTCTCACCAGTGACGATCTTCTTCATCTCCGCTTGCGGAATACCCTCAGCGAAACGATTGACACCGGTAAACAATTCATCCAATGCCAGGCTCTCTTGTTCCCGAATAAGCGATCGTCGCATGATCCGCTTTATTTCTATGACACTCGAAGGGACCAGGTGTGCCCCAAAGGAGTTTCGAATATCCTCTAGAACCAAGGCCCTGAAGTCCGAATCATCCTTTCCTTCCACGACGGTATTAACAAAGCCCGCTGCTTTCAGCTCATCAAGTCTGATTTTTCTGCCCTTCAGCAGTGCCTCGTTAGCCAGACCAAATCCCAACCTCCGTATAAACGCAGCGCTAGCGCCACCTTCGGAAGCAAGGCCCAAAGACCCAAAGGGGGTGAGCAGATATGCTCCTGGAGCAGCATAGATGAAGTCCGAGTGTGAGACAAGAGCAGCTGACAACCCAAGGACGGGCCCGTTCAGAGCACAAATGAGAATCTTCGAGTGTGTGAAGAACGCGCTGGGAACATCGATTGTATTGTTGACAAGTGCAGAGAGCCAGGCTTTCCGTGGTTCATCCTCGGTGGAGCTCGCTGCAGTTGCAGGGCGGGCTTGTAGATCCGCACCTCTAGTGAATGTTAGCTTTGGTCCTATTCAATGTAAGACTGGGGCGGCTACGCTGAGAAGACTCTACCTGTGCCAATGATCAAGGTCACAAGGGTGTCTGGGTGTGCATCTGCTTGTCTTACCAGACTTCCTAATCGATAGTAGAGGGGTTGAGTAAGTGCGTTGAGCTTTTTGGTAAATTCAGGGTGATGATGCAGATATTCACAGCAACCTCAAGCGTAAGGGCAGTGTCATTAGACATCGTGGCGGGTAAGGATGTGCTTTTCAGCAAAACGTCGATTCAACGAATGTCCAGGCAACTTGCACACAGATAGTCACTAGACAGACATGTATTTGTATTGCACCACTATTCTACCACCGAGGCCTTTCGGTAATACATAATCTTGGCGTTTCAAATTCACTGGACTGCTACACCGAGGTGAATGCATATATGAAGTGCGATTAGGCGCCTCGGCATCCTCATTTCTTGCCAGATACCTCGGCGTGCTGAGTGAACATCAAATTGGAACATGGTCATGCGCGTGATGTCTGAACCAGATGACAGGTCAGGGACTCGTATATCTTCACGACAATCTCTCCTACTCTGTAGCGGTTCGCCGCTTCCCAGAAGAATTCCCCACCATGTTCAAACTCCCGTTTGGAAAAGATGGCCTCTTTGACTGCTCTTCCCCTGAAACCGGGATCTACGTACTGAATTTCTCTTCCGGATCACAAAATCAGGTTACCACCTCATTCCTCGAAGCATTTTTGGATGCCCTTGACAAGGTCGAGCGCGAGAACAAAACCGGTGTTCTAGTATTCACAAGCTCAAATCCCAAATTCTTCAGTAACGGATTCGATCTCGACCATGTGGGTTCGCATCCTAAAATTATGGAAGAAGCTATGTTTCCACTCCTTGAACGACTTCTCACGTAAATATTCTCTTCGTGTCCAGATGTCTCTTCAGAGTCTGATCTACCCAGATTTCCGTTGCCAACCATAGCTCTCATTAACGGCCATGCGTATGGGGCTGGTGTCTTCATTGCTATGGCGAGTGATTATCGCATTCAGAATAGCTCACGAGGATTTCTTTGTCTACCCGAAGTAGACATGGGCCTCAGGATTCCTCCGCCTATTGCCATGATGATTCAGCACAAGATGTCCGGGTCTCAGGCATATCGAACAGCAGTGCTGGAAGGCAAACGAATGAAAGGAGAAGAGACATTGAAGCTCGGGATTGTGGATGCGCTAGGCGGTCGTCCGGAATGCATTGCACTCATAAATGAAAGGAACTTGGTCTCAAAATCGGAGAGTGGAGTCTATGGTGTCCTTAAAGAGGACGCCCATAAAAATATTTTGGCAGGTTTCAAAGCAGGGTTGCAGCACAAACCGAGAATGTAGATATATCATTGACGCGTGTAGCTACGAAGATGCACTACCTGATCCCACATAGGAGATTCTTCAACGATACAAGTTCTGTTTTGCATGTGTAAAAAGCTTGATCTATTCGCATTTCTGTCTTCGAGAGGGCAGATAAGAAAATAAAGTATTGATTTTGAACTATCCGACTGTTATTTAAAAAAGCAACAAAAAAACTTATCAAAAGAGAATTATCTGCCAAAGTCGTGATGCTACCTACGACCATGAGGTGAAGCCATCCATTCAAGCGCCGCCTCAACCCCACAACTGCACTACACTATACTATCTACCCACTCCACCCACTTATTACCAAGACGATCGATCTGAAGGAGCAAAAGAAGCAAAAAAACATACAACAGCGGGGATTCGCTGATGGTCACCCACTCAACTACTAGTCCGCCGGTACTATGCTTAAGTATGGCTGAGCGAACGGGAAGCCCTGTTTTCATAGTCCAATGGTCGTATGTGCAAGTCTTACCATTGAGGGCGTATATATAGCAAACATTGAGGGTGCATATATCTGGAAATACGATATGCCTCTGGTTCAAATATAGGACGCACGCAGGCACGCAGGATACAAACACTCGAGATCATCACAGATGGTACATCACTAGGGCCGCGCATACAAAGATTTACTAAATTAAGAACCACAAGTGTTGAACAATAAACATTACACAGGGATTTGTTCAAGTAAGTATTAGCCTCAAGGATCTAAATCAAAGGAGTTACTCGTACCATACAACGTCACCTGTTGACCTTGGGATGGAGGGAGTGCACCAAATCGTATGGGTACCCGCGAATGACGTATTGGCAATATCAGTATTAGGGAGTCAACATGATAGAGAAGGACAATGTTGATTCAGGGGAAATCTCAACGTTTGTTATATTCTGCAAGAAGTCATGTTATCAGCCACAATATCTTGATAGTTGATCTCTTGCCCACTGTCACAGAAGTTGTTCCTGCATTCAAAGATGCTTTTAAGTAGTAGAAGTCTTTTGGGCGTGTTCATGTGTGCTATATATCGATGGCCTGTAGCAGTATATAGGTAATCAAAACCTTCCGATCACTATCAACCGTCTTCTACCTCAGTAGTGTATCAAGATCTTTGAAAGGTTTTCAGACTAAAGTCTGTTCCTCTAATGCTCTTTACCGCTCTCTTCGTTAGAAAATATATCCTTATTCCGACACAAGTCTTGGACCGAACCAACTTCAGCAATCATCGTCGCCTGCCGTGTAGTGTATTAATTTTGGTATAATTGAGCAATGAGAAGTAATTGGAGTCGTGGGAGGCGCTGAAGTATACGCGAAAGAATGTGTTCACCCTGTCCCTGACAAAATGCTAACCCTAATTGGACCTGTACGACTCCAATTGCCACCCGGCATAGAGAGTAGATTACTGCATAGATTTCGTGGATCTTTGCAACAGCTTTTGAGCAAAGTCTTTCCAGGGGGATTCAGTCCATGCTGGGAAATCTTTAGGGAAGCCAGCCAAGTCGTATTGTGCACCGCCATCAGTTTGACCCTTATACTTCTCGCTGTTGAACGTTCGATTCGTGGGTTCAAGCAAATGTTCCGCGTAAAAGCTGTCGTCGTTTTTCACAAATGGACCTGGAACACGTGCCCTTGATTGGCGACCAGGGAAGGAGCACCAGCCTATAATTTGGTCCATTGGGATGCCTCCCTTGGCTGCAAACTCCAACTGTACTGGATATTTATTGTATTGCTTCAAGGTTTTTTGGGTATCGACGAAGTTGTGGGAAGTCTTAATCTTGTAGAGATAACCTCCGTTATTAAAACCTTTGAGTATTTCTTCGCCAGCTTCTTTTAAGAAACTTGTAGCGACATAGCCAGAAACTTCTCCAACTGATTCAGGATAGAGTACATCCTGGGTAGGAACTTCACCTAGAATATGTCTGTATAGACTATCGTTAGGCGTCCCATCCTTCAATTGAAAACCATTTGCTGGAGCAATTTCGGAGGGCGAACGTCTATCACCACGCCATACCTCCGTAACTTTATCAGGACGCTCAGAGGATGGCTCATGAGTTATCGGATCGACCCAACGTCCAACATCAATGCGTGGTTTTGGACGAATGAGACCTGCATTGCTAAAGGTAATGAATGTCTCTAGGAGGAGCAAAAGCGTGAAATAAAGCATATTTTTCAAGAACTTTGCAATACAAAAGCTAAAGGTAAATGAATGAGACAAATGAATGAATGAGGGGAGACAGGAAATTTCGAAGAACACGAATGAGTGATGTAGGTAAAGGACTTAAGCTAGGCTAAAGGGGCCCTTTTATCTTTTCAACTCCGATCCTAATTTTTAAGTTGGGGAGACAGACTGTTCGGCACTTCGGAATCCTGAGACATATTGTGTTGTTACTCACGCGCAATAGGGTATGTTGATCAGACAAAACTTTGTATTGGGTTGCAGGGTGCATCTAATGTCCGACAATATAATGTATAACAGTTACTAAGTAAAGTTCAGCAAGTAATATATGGGGACTAGCATCTCCAGAAAGCAGCAAAGAAGTGCAGAACGGAACGAACCATTCTTTAGAGCGGGATGGTTGTTTTGTCAAATGTGGTCCAAGGCGGAAATGCCTGGTTCACCATCCCAAGATCCGAGATGTGCACCTAGCCCTATCGCAACTGTGTTGCCTGTAGTAGATCACTAGAGCTACGCACACAAAGATTTACCTAATTGAGAAATACAAGTGTTCAACAAGAAACATTACACGGAAAATTGTTAATTCTTCCTTTGTTGGTATGATTTATACATCGTGGGTATTATGTACATCTCTTTGGTGTTGTAGTTTTTGCCTACTGATCATGCAAGTGTAGACAGGCTGACTGCACTGTGCGACATGATCTGAATCCCTGCAATACCAAAACTTCAATTCCGCAAGTAGAGCCCGTATAAAACAGTACTTTAATACCTTGGGCTAGCTCCATAATTGATCGAAGTTGTATATAGCCGCCCGCTAATGTAGAAAACGTAATGACGATCATGAGAATACATAGCCAGAAGGCTTTAGAAAATGGGGTATCGTAAAATGCAAACGCTGACGTGATTCCGAGAGGGGAGCAATCAATAAAAACCAGATCTGTTACGATACTCGCTAGGTGCCGCAGAGTAGCGAATTTGGCGGTTGACTGGCTCAAAATGGTCGTATTGGGGGGCTGATCTCTCAGCATATGCAAGTACGCGATTGGCTTGGGCGCCGTAGGAATTAGAAACGTATGGCCGACCACGAAGTGCATACGTATGTGAAGGGTCAGTATCAAAGAGTCGATCTCTGTCTGAACGCCTATATGGGCTGGAGTTCAGGTCAACGTCGATACGTGGAGGGGCTGGTCCGTGAGACAGCTGCCTCCCGGACCGATTATATGTGTCATCCAGAGGTAGTCGGGTATGTGAGCGATTCAGAATAGATTGGGGAGGTGGCGGTGGCAATGGAGCACTATGGTCTAGGGGCCTGAGGCGTTTGTGCTGAGGTTCATACGGACGAGGGTCTTCGCGAATGATGGGTGCGAAAGCTTTCCTTTTGGGTGTATGCACAATGGGATGATGACTTCCCATGGGAGCAGAGCCGTGGTCATCGATAGGGATCAAACCTTCAGGGTAGCGCCTTGGAGATACTACAATCCCGGTCTCTTGCTCAATAGATGGGAGCACAATTTCTTCTCTTGATGAACGCCCCGAGTTGCCCAGGTGCGCTGATCTCATTCCATGGGTGTCTTGTGAGTCGACTTGTCTTGGGCTTTGCACGCGCCCATTGCTATGATGAAAGACAGAAGACGGCGGAGGGGGGTACTCTACCGTATGAGAAGCATACTCTGCTGCCCTTGTTGGTACCAGGCCGGGTTCATCAATTGGTTCAAGCTGTGAGAGTTAGCTATATCCACCGGAAGAGCCTGCTGGAATCAGCCCCCCGATAGCATCGTCCCGAAGTACTCACGTTATACCATTTCCCATCCGAGGCCTGTACCAGGCCCGCACGTGGAGCAGGTCGAACTCCTCGTCTATGTAATTTAGCTGTGTTCAGAAAAACATCGCGTGGAAACCTACACTTCTGTCTGTCGTTTGATGTGTGGGATGGAAGGGTAATTATGGCTCAAAGGCACTTGCTGCATATAAGATGGTTGCGCAGGGACTCTGACGAGCGGTCTGGGTGATCCAGGAACAGAGATGACACCCCTGTGCGCAGGCTCTAGATATATCATCCGCCTTCTGTGACCAACGGGGCGCACGTCTAGAGAAAACATATCTGCTGGATTATTAGGGCGCAGTTCGCCCGCAGTCGCCTGGCTAGATATGATTTCCATGCTAGCTTCACTTCCATCGAACGAGGTATCATCAGTCTCACTCTCATCATCGCTTTCATCATCGTCGAGAACGATGATCTCACGAAATGTTTCTTCTAGCTCATTGCCAGCGTCACCCTCGTCGCGCCATTCTTTCAACTTGCCATAAGTGATCGACTGTACTTGGGATCGTGCTTCGGGCCAAGTTCCTCCAGTCTTTAGGATGGTGTCATAATTTGTGTACTGGTGACGAATATACGCTCCAACGGCAAGTTGCACACGGCGCGCAAGGGTTAGATCTTTAGCATTACCTACTCTGTTCGTTCCCTACGAGTTGTTAAGATCTCCGTTTAATCCTGACGGTACATAATATTACTCACCTCTTCGAAAGCATGGCTTACGACTCCGTCAAGGTCTGATGAAGGAATCTTTGGAAATACTTCCAAGATTGCGCCGCGGATCTGATCTTTCGTTTCTTTTTCAGTCATGGGTCGACCATGGAGACGCATACGGTGTCCATAATCCCGCAGCGTCCTGGCTAACCTTGTCTCTTCATAATTTCTTGAGCTTTTATGAAACGTTCCGTTTCGCCATATGTATCCCAGTACATCGCAAGCTTCGTCTATGATTTGATTGGGGAAATGGTGCCCTATCCTTTGGGTGTCGATACGAGGCGCGTGGTCGTTATCCTTTTCAGGATCGGAATTCTTCCTTGCCTTTGGTTGTGCCTGTGATGATATGTTAATGCTGGCTCGATTAACTGAGAACAAGAACGCACAGTTACAATATGGGCTTCCAGATTACGCTGTCTACATCGTTCTTTGCAATATTCTGTGAGTTCTGGGTGACCCAAGGGCACAAAGGTGTATCCTGGTGGTGATTCTGCGGAGTATGCCATCTATTTACAAGTTAGGTTTCCGAAATTGAGATAATCAAGTGAGTCTACGGACAACAGAGCGAAGTTTCTTCTTTTCTTGCGTGACGACCTCCATCACGACTTTGTATGGTTTCTTTTTCCGTGCGGCTTTGGCGCGATCAACTGTAGATAGACTAGAACCTACGGCATGCCGCGATCCATGCCGTGATCCATGATGGTTCACAGGAACACGAGCCATGCTGCCCGGAATCGAGAGAACTCCGTCAGATCTTTGGGCAATAGAGGCAAAAGCCTAAGTCCTGTAACGTATGATTTGTTAGTAGCAAGTGGAACGAGAAGAGTTGAAGTGGCGATAGCCGAAAGCAACACTGTCGGTAATCAGTTCTGGCGGGACTATGTGGTGTTCACCGCTCCAGCGACTCTACAACCCTGCCGCCAGTCAATCCTCTTGACAGCGGCACGATGGGAAGTTGGTCTGCTGCAAAACAAGGAACACGTTGAAGTACGAGTATAATGACCGTTTGGCCCTTCTACAAACTCGACCTTGGGCGAGCGTAAATACAGGTAGGTTGGAGTGTGTGTGTGAAAGAGCGAGAGAGAGGGCGGGCAGCGAAAGTGAGGCAAGTCATCAAAATGCCAAGAGTGGTAAAAGGCTTGGCATCAAGCGGCCACATCTGCGCTCTTATTGGTTGGCTCCTCCTGATTATTCAGATTGCCCATCTGCCTGGATTATCATACAAACAACAACATCTTCAGGCCATGGCGCAGCAAGAGATCATACACGCGTATCGACATCTCTATCGGCACTCCCTCCGCGCCATATTATACTCAAAACCAGCGAGATACACTCTTCGATCACGCATCCGCCTCGCGTTCCGCAAAAGCCCTCCTGAAGCGTACGACCCTCAAAGGGTTGCCAACACCATCGAATTCCTGCAGTACGCTGCACGCGAAAATGGTCTAGAACACAAGATAGTGAAGAATCTCCTTCTTGTATGGTGGAACCAAGATCTCGGTGGATACAACAGGGCAGCTCGCAATACAACCAGAATTTCGAATGAAGGGACGGAAATCAAAACGACGGCATATGACACATTCAACCATAGTATTATGATGTTAAATGAGAGTATGGGCATGTGTCTGCCACACATGACTACTCGAGATCCGATTTGAAATGCCTGAACAAGACACCCTAATCAAAGAGTCTGTTCTGCTAGAAATAATAAGGTGGCCCTATTCAACAAAGATGGCTTGCAGGGCCTGCAAGTGCTGCTTGATAACATCAACCAGCCGCTAACTCTTCATAATCATCAGGCCTAGGCCTCCTATGGGGTGAACGAAGGTCCTAAGCATGGGGCCGGTCTAACGTCGCCTTCGCATTACATGAAATCATCGAGGAAATCTTCGTCCCGATCTTGATTACTGGATTGCGCGACATTGTCCTCGGCCATCAGATCATCATACATATGATCCCTTTGCCAGGCCTTTTCTTTGCGCTCTTTAGCGACGCGAGCTTCTTCCTTGCGCTATAAAGTAATCAGCAACCTCAAGCACAAGGCCTGAGCCATTTGAAGAATGGCACTACGGATGGAGTGGAAGGATGATGCTTGGGAGAGCGAGGGGGATAATTGAGTAAGGAAGTTGATCAAGGAAGTTGATATGGCATAGTTGATAAACGATTCAGCAAAGTAACATACCCTAGTCTGTTGAGCATCTCTATCTTTCTTCCTAAGCTCCTTGAGTCGATTCTCCTTCTCCATTGCCAGGTCAGGGAACTTCTCGACTTTAGTTTTGTTCAGCCGATTCACAATCGGATTCTCGCGCTGCGCGACGTGCACACGTTTGACCTGTCACAAACATCTCATTTAGCCACATCAAATAAGTACAACAATAGATGACTGTAGTTTACCTTGCGGTTGTCCTTGAAACCAACTTGGCCGACCGCCATGCTGCCATCTTTTTTCAGATTCGACCACGGCGTGTAGATGACAGTGATGTTGTCCTTCTTGTTACCTGCATGTGGAGTCAGCCAAAACTATGTGATGGAATCATCTGGGAAACAGGACTATAATTTACCCTCGATACTGTTGGCTTTGGTCAACTGGGCGCAATCGATCAGGAGATTCTGTTCGATATCTTCCCATGCCTGGCCGTCGGGGAGTCTCAAGTAAATATGGGCGGACGAGAGATTGTCAACGTGGAACCAGACGTCTTCCTCGAAGCCATATTTGATAAGCTCCTCATCTGTAGATAGTCAGAAGAAGTTTAACGAACGAAATTTTGATTCGCTGAGATATTTTAATTGGCCTATGGTTTATATTGATTTGTTTCCGATGAAGAATAGTGAATGTTGGGGTGGAAAATCATACTTTCAACCTTGTCTTTGCCAACGTAGATGAAGGCTGATGGAGACACCGTATTAGAGGTGAAATAGTAGACCATCTTGAGCGGCGCTCTCCCGATGATGGGGGCGTTGACACACTTGATACTCGAAAGGTGAAGCGCGTAATCAGGTAGTCGCTGAGCGGTGAATTTCGGTGCACGTGGTGGGGAATTTAGGTAGATGGTGGGGTACGCCACACTAAGACAGCACAGGACCATTCCCTGGGTTAAATGTTTTTAATCCCATTCTTTATTCTACACACAAATTCCAATCGTGTCTAGCGCCAGCCAGTGGTATCGAATAGACAATACGCATCCTCATGATCAAAAACGCCAATTGCCTAAATGCAATGCATTCGCTCCGATTCCCATGCTTGAAAAATGAAAACTACTATCGGCATGCTACATACTAGAATCACAAAGGCAGCTGTCCGCGTACTTCCTACTACGACTTTGAAGAAGAGAAGAAGTGATGTTTCTTCTTCTTTTTCTCTTTCTCTCCATCTTTTGTAAGCTTGCCTGTCTGAAGGTGACTTCCGGGGCCACTCTGTGCTTTCCCGGAATTCAGGGTCATCTGAGCCAAACCAGCGGTGGGTGGGCCGCCTCCTGGTCTGGATGGCAAACCACCTTGCATATTCGGCGCCGGTGCTCCTGCTGGCATTGGTCGTGGCGGAGCAGGTTTTGGTGCGACTGGTTTCGGTGGCTCCGGCTTCTCGAACAGATGGGCGGGCGCCTTGGGCTGAGGGCCGTCCACAGGCAGATGCAGCTGCCGGCGACTTACGCTCAAATCCCCAACCTGCCGTAGATAGAGACTCGGGTTAACCATATGAGAGCTTACAAGGAAGACATCTCTGGAAGTTTTCTGAGACACCTCGTAACAAGCACGAGACTCTGAGTAGGTCGCTCCACCAGCTACAAATACGATCACTCGCTGTCGAGGCTCGACACTGTTAAGACGAGTCTTTGCCCACGTCGGCTTCGCGGATCTAAGGGATGCGGCCGATACATTGTCTTGGGTAGAAGGATATGCTTCTTCGGCCTGTGGTTTGGTGTATGGGAACACATCTTGAGGTAAAGTACCACGGATATGCTCTTCCAGCAGGCTCTGTACTCCGTTCACATATCTTGACAATGCATACTCTTCAGCATTGGGAGGAGGTGTCGTGTTTGGAGGAAACAGAGGGGGTGGCGGGTCACGCTTTTCTTTCAAAGCTTTGGAGGTGCGCGCACCGAGGAGATCCAGGTTTCGGATGACGGAACCATCTTGAGGTGGAAGTTGAGAATGAAGGAGAAGCTTCTGGAGATCTGCAGGGAGAATTCCATCCTTGAACAGAACGTAGAGTGCAATGAGGCGCAAACGGTCGGCTGGGGTGACGGCTTCTTCATCCAAAGTTCGAACAACTTGATCGGCCATGTTCTTTGCTTTGCGATAATCCTCGTCAAGCCCTGTCGCCAAACACTACCACAATGTTAGTTTCAAAAGCAAGAGGTTCTATGGGCATGCTTACCTGTTCTACAGAGGCCAAGTCTGGAAGTTTTTGCCTTTGGAATATATTCATGCATTCTTGAGCCATAGTCAGGTGCAACGAATATGCCTCTTTCATCTCCTGGAACTGAGGGAGGCCGGCCATCATATCTTTGATCGCATTCAGTCCATTCATCCCAGAGGCGTTTGCACTGTCCTGCTTGGTAAAGTGTGGGTTATCGGCTATAAATCTTTGGAAGTCTCCCATCAACTTGTCGATGGTATCCTTCATGTGACGATGGCGGTTCTCTACCCAAATCTTATCCTTATCGCTGATTTCCATATCCTTCTCCTCTGCCCCTGGTTCGTCTTCGTTTATAACAGTCCTATAGGTTACTTTATCCCCATCTTGTATCTTCAGTAGATCATGAGCCATTGCTTGGTATGTGAACTCGTGAAGGAGTGGCGCGAACAAGTCCATGGAACGGTCGGTGATATATAGTGCGCCGCGTGGTCTGTTTGACTGTGGTGGGAAGTCTGGGTTGAATTGCGCATACATATCGAGTTTCTCTTGTACGAATCGCGCCAAGTGGGAACATAGTACGCTTGCCTCGTGCGTGGGATTGCGAGGTCGATGGTACCGAATAGTCGGATACTCACCAAGGGCGACACAAACACCGGTCAGCTAAGTTCAGTCAGCATAATTCCACTTCATGTGAAATATCAATCGCTACCTTCTCTGCAATGTCCTCCATATGCCCACGAACAAGATTGTTGCAGTCAGGGTGGAATAGGACAGGAAAACTCCATGGATCCTTGAACACCACAAGATGCGATTCTCGTGGATGAAAGTCTATAGACATGACTTTGAACATGCGGATTTGTTGCTGCGCCATCTGTGAATTATCGAGACGTTGCCGCAGATTTGCTGCAGGGACTATGTCTTTCATCAGCGGTTGCAAATATAACAGGGGACATTCTAGGTAGATTTACGGCTTGTCCAGATCAGAAATGTTCCTCTGTATTTCCGCCTCTCGAAGTCGGCCATGACGCAATCAACAATGTGGGGATCTGGTGTGAGGAAGTAGACGGCATCCGTTTCTTTTTGGTCTGGTCTTCGATCTTCGATGCGCTCGATGTCTGCCAAAGCCGTTAGGAAGGTATGTGGAGAGATTATATGTGAGGGGGCGCACTTGTGATATTTTGATTGAGAACGTCATCCTCCTTAACGACATTGTTCATGAGCTTCTGGCTCTTCTCGTCCACGACTAAGACTTTCCACTGCGCACGGGGTTAGAACATCGTCGAGAGTCGTGAAGGGAAAGTAGAGCTTACGTCGCCGCGGGTGGTACCTCGAATGGTGTTTATGATGACTATCAGAATGATTAGTATCTTGTAGCTCGAGGCATATACACACGAAAGGGAGAGAGCGCATACGGTCACGCTGGACATCGATGATTGAGACGCCCATGACGGCGGATTGGCGGGGTGGAACGTCAGATCCCGTCCAACAGCAGATAGATTGTATTTGGTGGAGCTCTCTCGAAGGTTAAATATGTAGAGTCTGAAGATCGTATCGCGTGGAGACAGTGGAGGGCGAAATTGGGCGGGTTGGCAGGCTGGAATGAAGGTGGATTCGAGGGGAAGCTTGTGACGGAGGTGGTTGTGGTGGTGCAAGATGACAGCAAGTGGTAGGTGGGTGGTGGAGGTCGGCGTTTCGCTTTCCGTTCGGGGGTGCCTGGCCTGACGTCCTCGACTGACGTTGGGAGCTTTTTTGGACGTGGGTAGGCTTTTTTTTGAAGAAGCTTTGCTACAATCAGCGACCACTTCCCCCCAGCGCCAACCAATGCAATGTTCATTATGCGCTACCATATTCGCCACTGTTAACGCTTCCGATGCCATTCTACGATAGACGACAACCCTGAGCATTCCCCACGAAGGAACATTCTGCCCGCCTGCAATGCCTACATTGGCAACGCGGCGTCCGTCGCTGTGTCTATTCTGTCAACACATCTTCAAGTCCACTCCTCGACCCCGGCATCCTCTACCGCATACCCCTTCCGCATACTTTTCTGGACGACATGTGAAGGAAAGATTTGAAAGGAGGTCACCGGGAAAACCAGCGAAGCCTCGAGACCTCTCTAAGTTTGGCCAATGGGTACCTTCCACCAGCTCTTGCGGTACCATGATAGCGATCGCTAATCATTTGCCAGAGTTTCAATCCACTCAGAAAACCTCAAAAGGACCCTATCACCCTTGCCCAGCAGGCATTGTCCTCCATCAGAAAGGAATTCGAGCACGCCGATTATCTCGATAGCCTCAACCTTACCCACGATCAATTTTTAGAGCAATGGAACAAATTCATCCGTTACGTTCAAGTTTGGATAAAGAGGGACGCACCGGAGCTTGGGGGTGGACCATCTGCGGCTTCTGAACGAATACTCCAGGCCAAGTTAAAGCAATTATTCTTCGCGCAAGTCTACGGAGGTCGATTTACAAAGGCTGAGCTAGAGAATCAGAAGGGTCTGGCAAACTTACGCTATCCTGCTGAATGGTATCCCGCGACCAGAGAGATTTCGCGTACGGTGCATTTACATGTGGGTCCGACTAATTCTGGAAAGACGTACCACGCTCTTAAGCGTCTCGAAGAATCGAAGCGGGGGATATATCTGGGACCATTGCGTCTCTTGGCGCACGAAGTTTACACACGTTTGAATGCAAAGGGGAAGCCATGTGCGCTTATCACTGGTGAGGAGCAGCGGATACCTAGTGAAGACGTAACCATGTGGAGTTGCACAGTAGAGATGGCTCCGCTGAATACCGAGCTAGAAATAGCTGTCATAGACGAGATCCAGATGATCAATCACCAGGAAAGAGGATGGGCGTGGACGCAAGCGTTCCTTGGGGTCCAGGCCAAAGAACTCCACCTGTGTGGTGAAGCACGTACCGTGCCACTGATCAAGCAGCTATGCGCCATTACTGGGGATAAAGTTGTAGTACACAACTACGAGCGACTCAGCCCTTTGAGAGTTGCAAATAGAAGCTTGAAGGGGAAACTTAATTCTCTGGAAAAGGGCGACTGCATCGTCACCTTCTCAGTTCTGGGCATCCATGCACTGAGACGCCAAATTGAAGGGAAAACCGGGAAAAAGTGTGCAATTGTTTATGGCAGCCTACCTCCCGAGACACGAGCCCAGCAAGCCCGGTTGTTTAATGACCCGGATAATGAGTATGACTTTCTGGTCGCAAGCGACGCTGTGGGCATGGGCTTGAACCTGTAAGTTATTCCATAGGCGGATCATAAAACACAAGGCTAATTGCAATTGTAGGAGCATTAAACGCGTCATCTTTGAAACAACTGTAAAGAACGACGGGCAAAACTACAAGTCATTAGACATATCAGATGTGAAGCAGATAGCTGGTAGGGCCGGTCGCTATAGGAGCGCTCACCAAGCCATCACACAGGATAGCAAAGATGCCGCATCGCAAGCTGTTGCTAATCCTAACATCGGCCTCGATGACGCGAAGCCGACTGAAAAGCCACCGGGTCCACCAAAAGAAGAGACTGTGGGTTATGCCACGACGCTTGAAGACGTAGACTTTCAGTATCTGAAAACAACCATGGAGCGCGATCCTCCTATCATCCGGACTGCAGGCCTTTTCCCGCCATCCGTCGTTGTGGAGAGATTCGCCAATTACTTCCCACCCGGCACTCCGTTCAGCTATATCATGCTGCGTTTACACGAGATCTCGAATACCACTGGTCGATTTCATCTGTGCACGCTTAAAGACCAACTCGCGATTGCAGACGTAATACATCCAATAAGAGGACTGACGATCCAAGACCGCATTCTGCTGTGTGCAGCTCCGACAAATGCCCGCGACGCAAATGAAAAGGAGTTTCTACAGGAACTCGCACGGTGCATCGCTGACAAGAAGACCGGAGACCTTCTTGAGCTACCCATCCCGCTCGAACTCTTAGACGAGAAACCTTCGGGAGGGAGGCCGTTCCTTTTCCGCCTGGAACAACTCCACAAGATGCTGGTCCTGTATCTGTGGGTCAGCTACAGATTCCCTAATGTGTTCACAACAAGGGCACTTGCCAATCACACAAAGCAGCTGGTGGAAGATGCTATCGAGCATGTATTGAGCGAATTCAATTTCACCGAAGCCTCACGTGTCAAGCTGGCCAAACAGCGACAAAGAGCTGTCAAGCGAGGGCTGGAGTACGGGAAACGCGAGGGACTCGAGGATATTGGATCGTCCGGAGAGGAACAGCTGCACATAGACAGCGTCAAACCGAAAACCTTTCAAATTCGACGGGTCAGCAGTAATTAGTACTGCCATGGACCCCAAATGGACGATGGTAGATATAGGTTTGGACCCAGACACAAGATCTTTTATTTCAAGATAAATGTATTAGATAAATGTACAACATTATAGCTAAATGTAAGCAGAGCACTTACATCGGGCATGCATATACTTGCAGGGTATATAGCAAAAGATCGATGAAAATAAACTTTTACGAATTCCATGCCTATTCAAGAAACGCAAGCAATGTTTACAGACATCAAGAACACCTCGTCTTCGCCAGCATTTCTCTCTCCCTCCAACCCCCAACGTCTACACAAAACACATCACCACCATCGCATAATCCCCAAAGAAACCCAACCCTCTCAATTCGACCCTCCCACGAAAACCGAGCCCCCATTAGCCGCAACCACACTCCCCGTCTGCCACCTACTCTTCTCACTAACCAACCACCCCACAACATCCGCGACATCCTCCGGAAACCCCATCCTGCCTCCTTCAACAACCTTCACCTTCGCCATCCATTCGTCGATGACCGCCTGCTGCCGCTCCCTCGGGTAGCTCCTAAACAGTGGCGTGTCCGTCATCCCCACACTCACCGCATTCGCCGTCGTGCCAGGGAACTTCAGCGGCAGTTCGATCGCCCAAGTGCGCACCAACGCCTCCAATCCCGCCTTCGACACCGCGTAGAGCGAGAATCCCGGGCGCGGCAGACGCAGGCGGTCGCTAGAGATGACGACGATGCGGGCGTTGGGGTTGAAGAGGTTGTCGCGGGTTAGCGTTTCGACGAGCTGGGTCGGCCAGTGGAGGTTTGCGATCAGGGTTTTGGATATGTCGTCCGGGGTTGCGGTGCCGAGGGGTGGGTGTACGTTGTAGCTTGCATTGAGGACGAGGGTGTCGAGTTTTGGGGTGGGAAAGGTTTGGAGGGCGTCAAGGACGGTGTCGATGCTGGTGAGAGAGGTTATGTCTGCGGGAATGCCTTTGAGGAGGGGAGTTGTGGGTGTTGGAGAGGATGATGTTGAGTTGTAGATGGAGGTAATGGTGTGGGATAGAGTGTCGAAGTTGTGGGCGGATTGTGAGGATGTGTAGGTTCCTAGGATGGAGGCACCCCGCGTTGCGAGGTCTATTGCTATGGCACGGCCGATTCCTTTGGTTGCGCCTCTGAGGTTTGAATTAGATTGGGTATGCGTATATGGGTGCATGTGTGTTTTGATATAATGGATGAAGACCATTCCATGGGTATTGGTACGTAAGCCAGAACCTAAAGATACTATGAAAAGAGGAGTACTGAAACATATGCATTTATTCCAAACATAACAGAACAGTTCTTACGTTATAAGGGCTACCTTTCCCTTCAAATCTTGCTGCTGAACCTGAGGTGCCTGTGGTCTATAGTCGGCCATCTCTAAGTGGGTGGTAGATATTTATGGAAGAGTGACCTCAAATTCGCAAACGAGTGTTAAAAGGTTTGAGAGCTTTGGGTCTTGTAAATTCCACTCCATAGAGAACGCCGGCTAGTAGATATATGGAACTGCGATGATCAATAGGATAATGGGGCCATGCATGCTGCATGTGCTGGTCGGCAGTCAACATATAGCTGCAAGACTGGCGTCATGCTGTCTTGTTATCGTCCCAAGTGACTCGCACTTCCCAACAGGCTTAAGATGGAACTCGAACATACTGCCTTGTAGTACAGCATTTATCTGGTCGTCGTTTGTATTGTCCATAGAGCGGAATCATCCTAATATCTTTGTTGGCACCACATGTTGTGTATGAATGGATGAGGGGCACGACAGAAGTCTGATGTAGTGATACGGGATACGGGATACGAAGCGAATACGGCCTGTAGCGAATAACGTGTGCCTGAGTCGCGTCTGAGGATGTCTACCACGCATAGTTATGAGTGTTGTTGTACAAAGTTGGTATTAATTACTGAAGGATTCATACCATGTCGTCACCATCTGTTGTCCTCTACTAATAATAATAATCATCCAGCAGTCTGCGCCCCAATGAGAGATGAGAGGCTACGTACTTTTTCCATTCTGTTGAAAGGGGCTTAGTAACTTGTCCCTCCCACCCGGCGCTTCCGCAACAAAATGAGCCTGACCTCTTATATCTATTACCCATAATCCTCCTACTCTTCCTTCTCTACCTAATTACTTCTACTTCGTGGAGGCTTACCTATACCCTCTCACTTTCACTCCAGGTTCCCTTCTTCACCACCACGTTTCTCTGACATTCCTCAACCTCCAGGCGACTCCACGCGCAAGCGCTGCATCCTGCATTCCAGCCCTATCAAGCCTCAATCAAGAGAAATTGCGCGCAGAGAGCACAGGCCATCATGGCACCCTCCCTTGGCCTCCTCGACCTCCCACGACCAAAAGTATGTCTCATTATTCCCACCGTCTCTGTTTTGCGCAGACATCACCACTCCTCTGAACCTCTTCAAGCATCATGGCTGATTCTGACTTCTCCGCGCCGCAGACGTTCTTGCGTTCCATGTCCTTGCGCACCGGCGCCGAGATCATCACTTTCCTCCAGGTCATCAACAAGGTCTCCGGTCTCTATGGCATGCTCGCTCTCCTGACCGGAGCGCACCTCTCTGGCCTCCAACTGTCCATGTACCTTTATTCGACCATTGTCCTCGTCCTCACCGTATTCCTTTACAAGCACATCAGAATCCAGAGCCCCTTCGAGACTCTGGTTCTTGCCCACGTCTATGCGCTCGACTCGGTAGTTAACGCCTGCTACACTGCTTTCTTTGGCCTCGCATGGTTCTACGTCCTCGCACAACACCCCGAAACCGCTGGAACACCCGGTGCCGCAGGAATTTCTGAGAATGCCGGCTTCACGAGCCCCAAGTACAACGTCTCTAAGGTCGACATCGTCGCCGAGCCCGCAGGTGGATTGCAGCCAGGACAGAACGCCGTCGCTGTTGGACAGCCCGCCGCCAATGCCGGCCTCGGAAACGCCATCTTCCAGAGCGGAAGCATTATGAGTGTCTCGCTCATCGCCGGATTCTGGGCCCTCAGGGTGTACTTCGTCTTCATCATGCTCGCTTTCGCGCGCCAGTGCTTGCGCCAACACATCGCCACCAATTCCTCATCCGCCGCCTGGCAATCCACTCAGCCCAGCAATCTCGCCGAGAACCCATTCGAGGAGGGTAAAGAGGAGGGCGAGGGATACAAGGGCAAGATCGGCAGACTCATGATGAAGTGCGCTCCCACGTACTGGCTCGGCGCTGATGAGGGAGAGGATTGGATGCGTGGCGTCGGCGGAAAGTTCAGGAAGAACATCAGCCTCAACCCTGCACCCGTAGGCGTGAACGAGCGCGAGAGGAGACGCAGGAGCGGAACCGGCCCACCAGCTCCTCCACGAGAACTCGTCGCACCACAGTTGGCGGATCTCCAAGAAGTGAGGTAGAAGAAGTTTTGCATATCATCGCTACGAATCTTCATCTATTCCATCTTGATTGCGGACGCTTTCGTCTTGTCGTCCGCAAATTTGTGTGCTTGGGCATCTCAAGGGCGTCTAATCAATATAGCGTTGAATATCGCGTTGACTAAACTCATTTCTCGAGGGGAGCAAGCAATTGAGCTTGCGGAGTGGTGGCCTAGAAATACGATCTAATAATGGGAATGGTCTACAATGTATTATAAACATCGACGGCGAGGATATCCAGCATTTTTGGGACTCTGGAGTTCAACAGGAGCAGTAGAACAGGACCATGGTGTGTCCTTTCGTTTTTACTTGCCTAATAGCACAGTGTAGCGTTTTCCTGCTCATAACTTATTTACTACCATATCCAATCATCTTTTGATTCTTCGTGTGAGGGGTTCTCAACCTGGGCCTGACTTTTGAATATGAGGTGAACACTGAGAAGTAAGCGATGGTAGTTTAAACGAATGAGTCTCAGTCCACTATACATTCGTTTCGAGGCAAAACATTTCATCTGACAAACATATGAAAGGGGCACAATGACCAGTACACAGCACCGTCTGCATGAAATATAACGGACAGAGCTTCCATCAATTAGATTGAACAGAATAGCGAACGAGTAGTACAGACTGATATAAATCAGGGCTTCGACACAATGCAAGACCAACTCTAGTATAGTCAACAAAGCCCTCTCGCCAGCACACAATGTTCAAGAGCTGATTGTGCCTAGACACACAACTACCGATCTCCTCGACACACCATTACGGAATGATGCATGCAAACTCGACGGGTTCTTCCTTCAAACTCTATCAATTGCTCTACGAATCGCCTTCCAACCTATACGAGAATTTCTCCCGTATCTCCTTTGCGAGCTGGAGGCACTCCCTCCTCCCTTTCCTACTTGCCACGATGATGTATCCCACAGCCAACAACTCCTTCGAGTCCGGGCCCTCCACGAACTCGCCCTTCTTCCTTAGTACCTGATGATGCACAACATGTTCCCGCAAACCAGGATTCTCCACCAGAAAGTCCCCCACAGCGTCGCTCGACGCCATGATGCCCGCCCTGGTCGGCGGAAGAACAACGACGCCCAGGACATATTGCGGCTTTCCATTCAGGAACGGCTGGGAGAGTAACCTCACTCGATCATTCTCTCGAGAACCTAGGCTTAGGAGGAGTCTAACGGCGTAGTAGTCGACACCGTATGCGAGGAGAGCAGCCACGCAATTAATGTACCCGGGTGATCGCGCGTTGACTTCGTGGAGATAGCATGTTGGACTTGACGTCCCTTCGACATGATCTGCTACATGCAGGTCCACAATTCCGTCATCATCCCTCTGATATTGTGTGCGGGAGTCTCTGACACGCGCTTCGCAGTGAAATATGCCGGAGCGGAAACCAAGACGAGAGATACTTTTCGTCAACGACTCCCTGAGCATTTCCTTTTCCTCAGCGGGCAACGCCGTCGGTACATCCATGAGCGTTTCCATGAAGTTCGCCGCTCCCGCAATGCCTGTCTCCCCGTCCCCTGAGCATGGGAAGTCATCTGAGATATCGCAGAACAGCACCTTGCCATCCAGAACGATGAAATTAGCATCGATCTCCGGACCATCGATATACGGCTCCACAACCACCTTCGTACTGCTACTCGGCGACTTCGCATGCCTCGTCGACGCCCTCAGCACCGCCTCGCGAAGCTCATCGACATTCCCAACCTTCGCCACGCAATCGCTATTCCAGCCACTACACGGCTTCACCACCAACGGAAACCTCAATCCACTCCCCTCCCTCTCCAACCACCCCTCCACTTCATCCGCACCCCCAAGCACCACCCCATCCCTTCTCCCCGCCGCCGCATCCTCAAGCTCCCTCGTCCTCCCCTTATCCCCCGCAACCCAATACGCCTCCGCCGCCTCCGTCGGCAGTCCCAGGGTCTCGCAGGCCGCCGCCACAAACGGCAACCGCACATCGCTGATCGTCACGATCCCATCCACCTTCTCCGGATACGCCCTCACGGCGTCGACGATCCGTGCCGTGAGACCCGCGTCGCCGTCGACGCTCACGGGGATGAAGGCTTCGCGGTAGTGTGCATAGGGTCCGGTGGGGGATTCGAGCCAGTGGCCCGGTTGGTCGAGGACGACGAGGGTTATGCCGAGGGCGCGGGCTGCGGTGTAGAATTGGATGCTGGATTCGATGTCTGCGCGGCCTTGGACCCAGAAGATGCGGGAGCGGATTGGTGGTGTGGGGAGGATGAAGGGGATAGAGAGGCGGGCTGTGAGGGCGTGGGAGAGGTCGTCGAGGAGGGTGGGGGATGGGGTTGAGGGGCGGAGGACGATGGCGCCGATGGAGTTGGTGAAGAGGGTTGAGAAGTCTATTTGCTTTGGGTTTATGGCTTGGATTTTGGATAGAGGGGATAGGAATGATAGGGCGAGAGTGACGTGAGGCGTTCCCTTTAGTCGATATTCGAGGAAATCGGAACGTGCTGCAAAGCCTGAGGTTTTGCTGAATACGAGTCGAAGTATGGTTGGAAGGGCGTCGGTATCATTATGTCCATTCGAGGAACCATCTGCTGTGAGAGTGTCGAAGAGATTCGCGAACGTCTCCGCGAGTTCCTCAGAACTTGGGTCCAGGATGAGTGCTGACGTATCTCTGTGGTCTGGGGGGTCGTCATGGCTTGAAGTGAAGACTTCGAGGTCCAGAAACCACAAAGAATCTATGGTTTGCTGCTCGGGAGGCAACGAGCTGAGTGGTTTGAGAAAGACTAGGAAAGTGTCAAATGGTGTCCGGGTATGGACAAGGAAACGAACAATGTATGCACGATTGAATTTTCTGGATCGTTCAATGGGCAGAACTTACCTGTTTTTGAATCATGTCGCCATGACAAGATCGTGGGTTCCAGATACAACACTATCGATTGAGATCAGATCGTTAGATATCAGTATAGAAATGCAAGATGGGCTCAACTAACCCATGTCTAATAATCACTTTGCTTTAGATCAAGCCAATCGCATAAGAGCTCTTCAAATACAACAAGTCAAGACAATTGTATGTCCTCGACAAACTCGTTCGTCAAAATTCTTCTCCAGTACGTCGGACAGGTGATCGGATCCAAGTTAGCATGCGTTATAATTTCCATTCCTACCACCATCGTTCTTTTCTTGGCAACCATGAAACCGTGCATACTACGGCCCGATCAACGGAGTTAGTTATCGCAAGTGCTCATAACTAGTACACCTCGTGATGATGCCAGATCACGAACACGCAAATCCAACGCAGCGTGGAAGCATGCATATGCCGAGAGACGGTAGGTAGCAGGGGCTTTGGCAATGCGGCAGCAGTCGTGATCAAACCTGAACTCGGGGTAATAAGCTAATAGAATGGCGCGAGCGTGGAAGAGTATTGGTCAATTAGCATCGAAACCATACCGTGCAGTATTGAAGCATTCCAGTAGGAATTAGCTCAAGTGGAACACAATGCCAAGATTGTGTATGCAGATGATGGTGATTGAGTGCGGTGGTTTGCGCACATTTTCCTAAGCGACATGGGTTGTGTGCATATTGCAGCGGAAACTTTCCCATTATTACCTTCCCTTTTGTTTTGACCTTTTTTGGTTGTCTTATAGTGAATGGGTCTAATTACGTACGCTGTCTTCTTCATGGTTTCAACTTCCCGGAGGATTGTCAGGATCATGGGAGCTTTGGTGTAGTGCTTGCGAGGTAGCATTCACTATCCAACCTTCGCACTTTCCGGATCCAAGTCTGTACACATGCAATGATTTTAAAGATATGCAGCCAAGACTCAAGCTAGGGAGAGGTGGAAAGAAATGCGTTGATCATTTACCATCTGCCTCACTGTAGCACACCAAGGCACTGCCGCTGACGTTCGATCAAGGCAGCCGGAGCTCGCACACTTCTCGGTGTGCTCTCCGCTAGGAGTTCCAAAGGGGCCAATGTAATATCAATGTGCTGCTGACTGTTGGTGATACTCATGCTGCAGATTATAAAAAAGCACGCTGCTCTCAGACTCGATGTAGGATTTCCATTGTTGTGACGTCGACGCATCTTCGCTATGGCGATCTCAACTCTCAATGTCTTTCGTGGCCCGGAGTCCGTGGCTCAGTATTTTGATCCTGATTACAATCCTCCTCTGCCTTTGATTGAGATTCCCGATCGTCTCAATCCGCTTAGGGGGGACAATGTTCGGATTTATGCTAAGATGCTTACTTGTCTGCCGGCCCAGAATGTCAAGTCATTGCCAGGTATGTCTTGAAGTTTCCTTTCAAGAAAGAATGACGCGAAATAGAAATAATCTCCTCGCATACATGACTTTGTGGATTACTGGAGATTGCTAACAGTCCGGCCAGCCTTACACATGTTGCGCAATGAACCCAAAGCCAGGGATTTGAAGATAGCGGAGGCGAGTTCAGGGTCTACAATCTTGTCTTTAGGTATCATTGCTCGAGTGTTGTGGGGAAAAGAGGACGTGGAAGCACATGTTACAAACAAAAAGTCCCCCGAGTCATTGAATCTATTGCGATTCTTTGGTATAAAACCGTAAGTTACCCTAGACCCTGTTAGACGTTGGTAAAGAGCTAATAATGTGGTTATATCAGATGTTTATTTGGCGGACTGGCTCAGCAGGAACCCACTGATCCAGCAGGCATAATGGAACGGTTGCGAAGAAAAGCCGAGGAAAGAGACGATATGGTTTATTTGGGCCAATATCACAATGACAACAATTGGAAAGCACATGAAGCGTGGACTGGCCCGCAAATACTCCGACAGCTTCCAGAAATCAACGTCTTTAGTACCACAGTTGGGACAGGAGGTTCGTGATCTTTCCTATTCATCTGTCTTAAAAACGAAGGAGGAATTGATTAGCCTTCAAAAATACCGTGCTGATCTATCTTGATAGGTTGTATAGCCGGCACTGGAGTGTATCTGAAATCGCAGAAACCATCGACCCAAGTTCTAGGGTAAGGCCAACATACATCAACCATGTAACAAGTTAAACCAATGCTGACACGATGGTCTACTGGTAGTGTCTTCAACGTTGCCGGAGATCCTGTACCAGGTCCAAGATACTACGAAGGATTTCAAAGCTCCCCTTTTCCATGGCAAGGTACGATCGATTCACGCGTGGAAGTGACATCAGCAAGCGCGTATCGCCTATCAATGAGACTCTCACGAGAAGGCCTTATATGTGGCCCATCTTCGGGCGAAGCACTACAGGGTTTGTTGCAATATCTCATTGAAAGAAAACAATCTGGTACTCTGGGAGAGTTAGTTGATGAAAAGACCAAGGAGATATCTTGCGTTTTCACCTGCTCCGACCTGCCATACCAGTACCTCCCAGCATATTTTGAGAAACTTGGCGACGAGGAGTTTCCTTCGATCGAGAATGAGGTGAGTGGTCACGATATCAAGCTACATTGCCGTTCAGCGCTAATGTTTCTCCTCTCCTAGATATTATTGCAATGCGACCAGGACAAACATGATTTACGGTGGATATTGAACAGCAGGCAGGCAGCTGCATTGCTCAATGCTAATTCTGATGCCATACTGGAGAAGGACCAAGAACTCGAAATCACAGTTCAACCGTGTAGCACGCCTCGTACAGATGTCACTGATGAGCCTACCCGGCGTGGTGGAATATCACGATATCTCGGTGGTTTCTGCGGCTTTTGGCGCATTCGCAAACAAGCACCTCGACTCGAAAAAGCGTTGCCAGTACAGCCACAACTACTGCCAATGGATTCGACGATGATTTTAGATCTTCGTCGCGATATTGATTTCAAGCAAGGCCACGTATCCGCATCGACCTCGGCACCTTTATCGGGTCTTGTTCCAGATCTAGCGGGCGGAGACCTGTTTGGAGATCCAAACGCCGTCCATATGGTTTGGACGCAAACACAAGAATGGCTTCGAGGTTCCAGACTCTCGAAGGTCCTATTTAGTGCTGCAAGGAACCAACAGAGAGTCCTCGTAGTTTGCTATGATGGTTTTGCGTCCCAAATAGTCTGCTCGGCCCTGAGGAAAAAGGGACTGGAGGCGTTCAGTGTGGAGGGAGGTTTCCCAGCGCTCTGGGGCCAGTTCCGTAGACAGGAAAATGAGTGAATTCTACGGCTTCATTTGCCAGACCATAATTCGAAAAGGGCAATGATCCGTTACCGAACTATCAGAGTTCCCGAAACGCCCGTCTCCACCGAGCCGCCGTCACGATAATCGGCATATATTTGCTCAAGGAACAAAATTCGGCCATACTAATTGCTATTGCGCAATATTGCGAGGCGCACACCATGTATGTACTTGGTTTGGTCATCTGAGACCTTCAGACCACTGCGTCTTTACCCGCAGAATCAATTGTATGTAGTCTGAAAATAAGTGCAAGTGGGGATCGCGCGGGCCGCGCCGAACCCTTTGAATCTAATCAAAGTCTAAACTCCACATCGCATGATCATCACGAACGCTAGCCATTCATAGTAAATTCTTAGCTCATGGTAGAATGGCAGGAAAACGGGCACCTCGTACAAGTCAGCCACCCGAGTATGTCTCCAGTACGGGTCTACAAGCGAGAGAGTAAGCGCATAGAGTGACATGCACATGCTAAAGCTGCAGTAGACACTACATGTGCTTGTAGTGGAGTTTTGTCTTGGTAGCGACCATGAGCGTCCGGTATAGCTAAGATTGTATTTAATGAGACTGTTTGAGCTGGTTTTTTGTCTGCCTTGCACGGCTTCAAGTTCTTGGCTGAGATGCCGTCAGATGCACTGAAGAAAAGAAAAGATTGCAGGAACAGCGACTCTGGCGATGTGGAAGTTACAAAAGCTTATGCTTAGCTTTCTTTCTCATGCTCTTGTGTTCGTTACGATCTATCATCTTGTACCTGATTAGAAGATAACTAAGTTTTCTCGTTGCATTTGTCAAGTTAAAGCAGAGCAGCGCTGTCACAATGACAACAGCATCCGGCAAGAAGAAGCAATATGACGAGATGGCACCAGAATACAACGCGTATGAAGACATTCCTATCGCACGACTAGAGGCCGAACTTATCACTACCGCCCTCGGCGATTGCACGGGATACAACATTCTGGACCTCGGTGGTGGGTCTGGCGTTTACGCTCGCGAAGCAGTTAGGCTGGGTGCGAAACGGGTCGATGTCGTCGACATATCAGACTCTATGATGAAGATTGGTAGAGACATTGAATCGAAATCTCGAGGAAAGAGTCGAATCCGCTGGCTCCTCGGCGATGCATCTAAACCTATGGAGGACCAAGAAGTCGACATCCTTCCTCCAGGCGAGTACGACATCACGATGGCAAATTGGATATTCGATCATGCCTACACAGTAAACGACCTTCGTGGAATGTGGGAGAGCATTGCCAAAAGTCTGAAGCCTGGCGGCAAGTTCATTGGCGTTCGTGCAATTGCTCCCGGCTGCTTTGCCCCACATAACGTTACTACGGGCAAGTACGGCTGCCTGCGATCAGACATCAAGATGATTCCCGGGGGATTCCAATGCAAAGCTACACTCCTGACTAAGAAGCCCTTTTCTGTTGGCTGCACGCTCATGGAGGATAGCTATAATTTGGTCGACGCTATTCCGCGGGAGTTCGGCTTGACGGATTTCGAAATAGTCCCAGATGCCGAGTCTGAGACTGTGAATAAAGATCGGAAGTTTTGGCAGGAGCACGTAGATGATCCATGCTTTGCCGTTGTGACGGCGACGAAGATCTAAATGGTAGCATCGATGGGAGGGAAAATTAGATAGTTCGAGAGATGTCCATCTAGAGTACAAGAGTTCAAGGGATTCTCGTTCAATACATCACAACACATTCTTATGAAGTTCAATCATCTATCTTGATGAAAAAATAACTATCCGTGAATGGATGAGCCTTCCAGCGACTTAGGCATGCAGAAACACTGGTGTTAGTGCAAACAGAACAGCCGCACTATTTGCTGCAACTATGCAGAACGGCCAACCGTTGTACACGAGTGACATCCAAAGTGTACGGTGAGCAAAACAACTAGTCACCGGTGAATGGAGCGATACACAATCACTAATTGTTGCAATTCCGCACCAAAGTCGCCCCTTGTATCAATTGGGCTACGGGATTCAGACCAAGCAGCGGGCTTGTGGGTGAGCAGATTATTGAAACTCGAGTCACGGTGCGCCATTGCTAAGATACAAGATTCTAAAAACATACAATGTTCATACGGATATCGGCCCCAAATACTGTTTTAATCTATCCCCACACTTCCAAGACTCTGCTGAGTATTTCTGCTCCTTTGTTGTGACCCGCATCCTTCCAATGCTGGATAGAAATCATTTAAAAAGCGTGTGAAGGTGCATAGACAATATCGGAAACGGTATCCGTCCGTATGTATACCGACCTTAGTATGTGTGATATGCGGGGAATCTTATTGTTCAATACGGTTCCCTTATTGAAGGTTATTCGGGTGCCAGATTAGAACCAGTAATTAACACTTTCTAGAAAGAAATTCAGGATGTACGGACCTATCAACCCTCTTGGTAAGCGACTTAACTTTTCTTCTGTACAAGCCGAAGTAGATTGATTTTCTTCCGATTTTCCCTGCAACGAGAAACAATGTTGATATTACCGATGCTTGGAATCTTCTTGGCTTCATCCTTGGCTGCATGGCTCAGAGTGAATTTGAGCTAGATATAAGCTTTTCGGGTTGCATCCCTGCGAAAACCACAATTTGCTCAAGAGATGAATTCCAGGACTTCGGGGCGGTCGACTTCAACACCGGATAAATCAAATGTCGAGCTTCAATCACTGTGGCGTTGCGGTGCCTAGGACATGGCGCGCTGGGGGCTTTGCGTGGCGTGTCATTTTCTATCTCTATTCCACTCACGGTGCTTCCATTTCTAACCTCAAGAATCCTTCTGAGCTCATTACATGAGCTTCTCTGATGTGGCACAGTTACAAGAGTCAGGGCTCATAAGGCGGGAAGAACTTCTTTGTAGGTACAAGAACCAGTACTGTTGCACTTTGTAACTACTTGGTATCACGAAACGTTCCTACCACATCCACAAAGGAGATCGAGACATACAATCAGAGACTGAAATCAAGATTTCGACGATGGTGCAGATCAGACTTTGGCTCTTATCCAGCCTGGTCACTGTGTTGCAGTATGCATCCAATGTCGAAGCAGACGGCACCGGTCTTCTTGGATACGGCAAAACTCTCTACAATCCAACATGCGCTTTCGCCTGTCGAAGTGTCATTCGAAAACAAACGCTGTCATGCACACCCACGGATTCGCACCAAAACCACGGAACCGCACACAATCCAGTGTCCACACCGGCGAAATGTTTCGTAAAGGATCCCACATTCCTGAAGACGATGGCTCTCTGCATCGACACCTATTGTTCACTGAGCGACAAACCTAAGATCTCGTTGCTTGAGGATTACTGGGCCTCTCACTTGGGAACTGGAACACTGGGAGATTATCAATACGTGCCTGTGATGAGCTACAAAGACGCTTTGGCTGCGGCACGGGAAGATGAGAACAATGCAACAACGGCAACAGGTCTCGGCATCACATCTGCTTCAGTTCCCAAGGGACTTACGCCATACAAGGTATCCAGTTCATTGCCAATTACGACTGGCGGTAGTGGCTCTCTGAACAAGACATCTTTGGTTGCCCCTGTGCAATGGCAATTGCAATTCAATTACCTCTCAGACTTCGAGATCAACGAAAAGGGCCACAGTACAATGACGTGAGTACAAAAGTTTTCCAAGAAAATCGAACCAAGATTGACTCGAAACAGGATTGTGATCGTGGTTGTAGCAATAGCTGTGCCTATTCTACTTTCATTAACACAGTTTATCCCAGCAACAACAGTCAATTCTGGCTGGAGTCGCTTGAAGGCGGTTCTAATAGATGCACCAGTCTTTGGAAGATACCATCGCACTCCAGTTCTCGGAGGGTTGGTTCCCACACGAGGACATAGTCTCTACATCTTCCTAATCAGCCTGCTCAATCTCGTCCTGCTCGTGGCTCCATATACCATCAAACAGCCCCAGGCCAGCTTCACCACAAAGGGCAAACAACTCCTCAGTATCATCGGCAACCGTGCTGGAACAATGGCCATGGGTAACGCGGTGGCCTTAATTCTCTTCTCCTCTCGAAACAGCTTCTTGCTCTACCTTACCGACTGGAGCTACAGCACCTACCTACTTTTACACCGTTGGCTCGGATACTGGACCGTTCTTCACACGATCATTCACTCTGCGATGCTCTGCAGCTACTACGTCCAAGCCGGCTCGTACTCCGCCGAGATCTTGCGCCTATATTGGCAATGGGGAATCGTCGGCACGGTCGCAGTATGTGCTATAATTCCCTTCTCTCTCCTTGTGATTCGACAAAAGCTCTACGAGTTCTTCATCGTCTCGCACATCGTCCTGTCTCTCCTCTTCCTGCTCGGCTACTACTACCACATCTGGTACGTCTATACGTACAACTGGGGCTACGAGATCTGGATGTTCATAGCCGCAGCGGTATGGGCAGTGGAGCGATTGGCCCGACTCATTCGGATGGCCGTGCAAGGTAGCAACACTGCGGTCGTCACTGTGCTACGAGACGGAGACGACGAGTACATTCGAATTGATATCGAGGGCAAGGACTACAAGGAGGGTGTTGCGTATCTCTGCTTCCCATCCCTCAGCTGGCGTTTCTGGGAGACGCACCCCTTCTCCGTGTGCTATTCCAGCTCCGACTTTCCCCAAGCATCTTCATTGCACTCCCACTCAGACGCAGAGTCCAACACCAGTTCCCGGCCGAATCCCGACCCGGAAAAGGGTCCTAATGGAAACGTCACTTCTGTGGAAGCGAGGGGCGTCGACATTCGAAACCGTACGTCAGGCACGACATTCTATGCCCGCACTCGCAGTGGCGTCACCAAAGCTCTCTTGAACAAAGCTGCTGCATCAGAAGGCAGACAAGTCCGTCTGCGGATCCTAGTCGACGGCCCGTACAACCACTCCGGACGCGTCCATTCGCAGCTTGAGCGGTGTAGCAGCATCCTATGCATCACAGGTGGCGTGGGTATCACGGCATGTCTTGCGTTTTTGAGGGACAGCAAAGCGAAAGATATCCATCTGTTCTGGTCGAGTCGAAAATCGGGACTTGTCGCAGATTTGACGCCCACTTTGAACGCACTTCCCTCGAATGTCAAGGTAGAGACGCTCGTCGGTCAGCGACACGATTTGGATTCCATCATCCGTCAGGCGCTGTTGAATGATACTGGTAGTGGTCCTCTGGCAATTTTGGTCTCGGGTCCTCCGGGCCTAGCGGATGATGTACGAGTCAAGGTTGTGCAAACTGTGGGTAGTTCGAAGCAAAGTAGACCTTATTTGTTGTTGGATGAGGCTTTCAGCTGGTAGAGGCTTCTATATTCGATACTTGTGCGATGTTGAGTACCGCGAATCAAGACTGATTTGCACGCGTTGCATGGAGCATTTCATATAATTGGTAAATATTAATTGATAGTCATTCACTCTAAACGTACTCCATACAATGCTATGAATACTTCAATGATCAAAACGTTCTATTTTCAAATACCTAATTTCTAAGGAGCACTCTTATCCAACGTACATATAATCTCCGTACAAATCAACAGCCTCCACGCATCATCAGCATCAATGAACTTCCGCATCTCCTCCCTCATTTTCTCCACCCTCTCATCCGGATACCCAAATTTCACCGCAGCACGACGATACTCTGAAGACTCATCCGCTAGAATATTCAACATCGATCCCGCATACGCCTTTCTCTCCCTTTCCGTAATATTCGATAGCACGCTCGCCGACGCCACTATCTGATCTCTCCTGAACCCAGCCTCCAGCGCCTTCGCGACGAGCCGCCGGCCCGTCTGCGTGTCTAAGCCGTTCATTTGGTAGATGCGCTCCTGCAGCTCTGCAGTCTCAGGACACGCGGGGAAGACTACTTGGGAATGCGTGTCGCCGTCTCTGCAGGCCACGATGCCGCCGTTCGGGTTGGCGAGAAGATGCATTTGCCGCAGCACTGGTGCGTTCTCTGGTATGCAGATCAGCGTGGTGTGCTCGTGCACGACGTCGAAGTGTTTGGCGTCTCCAGGCTTTAGGAAGGTTTCTGGACGCAGGATGTCGCCTGTGCGAAACTCCAGCAGCGATCCAGGTGCGAGGGTGTCGACTTTTGAATTGTTGCGCTCGATGATGGTGGCATCTTGGTCCAGGCCGATGATTTTGGCTCGAGGGAACCGTCGGGCTAAGTCGAAGGTTATGCTACCTGGACCGCATCCTATGTCGAGGAGAGTGAAGTCTGGTGGTAGTGCTTGCAATGTTGAAAAGAGGTATTGGAGACACGTTGTCACATTCCGGAGCTCAAAATTTTGGACTGTTGAGTCGTTGTAATCGATGTGAAATTTTGCTGGAGCTGTATTGGATGCCATTGGAGCAGACTTAAACACAACTCAAGGTATGTCGGGCAATTGGGGAAATGCGTGCTCATTGAGAACCGTCCACTTGTAAGGGGAAGCCATTTGCACTAATTTTTCTAGTATCTTGCCACGTTTTCGACAATTGTGTCTTTTTGGGACGAAATAGCAATAGATTTGGAGGGAAAAAAGAAAAAGGAAGGTTTACAGCAAAGTGCATGGTCGAGCACTTTTGAGGCAGTTTCTCGGTATCCTGGTCCCTTGGCAATGAGACTGGAAGTACTGTAGATGCCAAGTGTCATACACTCACATGCATGCAGCAATGGAAGTTATAGTAATAGTGCAAGTGGATTGCGAATCCACACTGTTGGGTCGTTTTGCATGTGCATGCAGGTGACATCGCGTAATTGTTGTCGGACTTTACGCTGCGAAGTAGACAGGCAGCACGAAGCATGTAGTTGGGCGAATGATCCAAGTTCCCCTTGTCATCGCCCTCATATCTTCAGTTGCCAATTCGAACGCCATCAAAACGCCTCTTTCAAGCATGAGCAGTACAACCAACAACCTTGAAAAGGGTTCAGTAGAGCCGGTGTCACCCATTGAAGTACTCGTATCAGAACCTCGTGAGGCCACCGAAGCCGAGCAACGAGACCTCCCTCATGTTATCGACCATGTACCCGCCATAGCATGGACAGCAGCCATAATTGGAGCTACAGAAAGGTTTGGATATTACTCCACAGTCATCACTTTGCGTGAGTGAATTGTTTCCAGCGGTTTGATTTTCGAGTTCCGTTTTGGCTGATTCGAATTCGAGATAGAGAATTACATGCAAAATGAGCGTGGTGTACCGAGTGTACCGGGAGCGCTTGGTCTTGGACAGTCAATTGCAACGACCATATCCAATGTCTTCTTCGTTGTCCAATTCCTGACGCCGCTTTTGTTCGGTGTGATTTCAGACACCTGGCTGGGACGTTATAGGACGCTACTTCTCGGTTTGTGGTATGGTTGATGTAGAACTGCATATATGTCAGTTCGCGCATAACTAACCTTGTGTACTTAGCCTGTCGTTATGTGGCAATCTCGTTATGCTCACAACTTCGTTACCTGTCGCCCTCGATAGAGGAGCAGGCCTGCCAGGTCTAATTGTAGCAATGTTCCTGATTGCATCGGGCGTCGGAGCTACCAAGGCAACAGTTTCGCCTTTTATAGGTGTGACTTATATCATAAGATGATGATTCATAATCTTTACTGATAGCTAACCCCAGGCGATCAATTACCGAAAAAGAAACCTCACGTTGCTAGGCAGAAGAACAGAAATTTGGCCATCGTGGACGGTGCGCGTACTTTGCAGCTTCTGTATAATGCGTTCTATTGGTGAGTAAAGTTATACAGACCGATGTATGGAGTTGGAGTATGTGTGATCTAACAATCAAAGGCTCACGAATATTGCTTCACTCTCTTCGATTCCTGCCACATTCTTAGAGCGCTATGTCGGATTCTGGACCTCGTACCTAATGGCTACTGGATCCTTGCTCATTGCAACGGCGCTGCTCATTCTCTTTGGATCCAAACTAGGTAAGTTCGACTCTCCAATGCCGAAGTACCATTTATCAACGGAGGAGTCCTATAGTAAAAGTAACCCCAGGGAGGAATTGCTTGCCCCAAGCTTCACGCGTTCTAAAGCTGGCAGCACTGAGCGGATTCAAGTTAGACCACACGAAGCCAGAATACCAGCAGCAAGTCCGTGGAGTCCAAGTCTCATGGGACGACAACTTCGTAGACGAGCTCAAGAAAGGACTACTTGCTTGCCGCGTCATGTACGTATTCGCCTCCCCTCTCCCTAAAATGTGCCGTGAATACTAAACCAAACAGCTTCACATTCGCCTTCTTCTACCTCGCCATAATGCAAATGCACAACAACCTCATCTCCCAAGCCGGGCAGATGAACCTCCACGGCGTACCCAACGACATGATCCAAGCAATGGCAGGCGTCGCATGCGTCGTCTTCGGCCCTGTCATCCAAGCCCTCTACGACCTCCTCGCCCGCCGCCGCATCGCCTTTGGACCCATGAAGCGCATCACCGCCGCCTTCGTGATCTGCGGTGCCGCAATGGCGTACGCGTCGGGGCTCCAGAAAATCATTTACAGCACGGGGCCGTGCTACGAGGCGCCCCTTGCCTGCGAGGCGGCGGATGGAGGAAGAGTACCGAATGACGTTAATGTGTGGACGCAGCTTCCCGTGTATGTTGCACTGGCGATCGCGGAGATCTTCGGGCTGGTGACGGTGAGTGAGTATTCGTATAGCAATGCGCCAAAGGATATGAGGAGCGTCGTACAGGCTATGGTGCAGCTCAGTGCATGTTTTGGGTCAGTTATGGGCATTGCGATCAGTCCCGCAGCAAGAGACCCATGGCTAGTAGTGGTTTATGCTTCTATTGCTGGCGCGTTAGCCGTTTGCTCTGTGGGGTTTTGGTTCTGCTTTCGCAAGCATGATAAAACTGGGACTGCTCACATTGATTGATTCGACATCGGACTACAGGCCTGGGGAAGAGCTCGTTCCTGGTGTCGATTGTAACCCAGGTTCTTTTGTAGTGTTGGAGAAGTGTATTGAAACATGGGAACGAACTGAACCTGAGCCAGGTTCTAATCAAACTCAACATCCAAACCCAAACTACTCCTCTTAAGTTTCAAACCCCTAATCTTCCCATTCCAATCAGCATATATCAATTTTCACGTTCCATTACTCACACATACATACACAATCATGGCCACTCCGAAGCTCACACAAGCTCTTTGAACGGCATGCCTACCTTCTAAAAGACAACACACCAGTCACGAGCAACAAAACGTCTCTATGATAATATAAATTCAAGCCAACGTCTTTTCTCCACTGACGTTATCACTCAAAGAGAAGCATGGCTGTTTCCAATATCATACAACCAGATCATACTATAGAAACATGATTGCTGTAGTAATGCCACTACTCCCTATCTTGTTAGTCTGAGTGAGAGTCTCCCTTATCCTTGAGCGCGACATGCTCTATCTACGGAGTACATGTACATACACTGCACACGTTGTCATTAGAACCAAACGGACGGAGTCCAGTTCTCAAATGTTTACAATGCTCGGGGAACGTTCTGAGATCGATAATGAGCTGAAATACTCCGTACGCCGTAGGCAATGTCTCGATTCAAGCGTCTTGATAAACGTTACACGACGCGATAAGCCATCAAACCTGTACGACAGAGATACGAACGAAAGACATGAGGTCAACCAAGGGCGCCGCACGGACCGGAGCTTATACGAATAGTGTGACACCAGTGGCGAATACCCCGCGATTCCATCTGGTCACTCCAGTCTAGTACGGAGTAGTTACTCCTAAGTTGTACGATAACCAGCTAGATGCAACGAGCATGCATGTCAATCACACCACGAAAAGGACCGATCGATCGATTGTCGGTTGTGACACTTCAGATTAATTTGGAGTGCATGGGATCGCGATGGATAACGAGATTCAGCTCAATACATGCATGCATAGACAGATGGTAATGAACATATGCCATTGTTTGAGTGGATATGAATAAAGAAAATAGGCAGAAAACCAATTCGCATGCATCCATGCATGTAGGACATGTATTTCATGTTGTAAAATCAAACTCCATCATCCTACAGAGCCGATCCACCTTTTCTCCCAAGGACGGTGGCTGCTGCGGAATCCGATAAACAGAACATCAAGCCCCCAGATACAGAAAAGAAACGGCGGTCATCATTCGTACTCAGTTCGTACGCAGTTCACTCATCTTCCCAATCGCTCGCCTGCGACGATGAAAGGTGGGTCGACGACATTTACTTGGACCAGCCCTACGTGAACAAAATGTTAGTTCAGGGTCGATGCATTCGTGACTAGCCAAGAGGCAGTTTTGAGTCCAACGTACCTTCTCCTTGAGCTTGTCGTGGTATGCCTTATCCCGATCGCTACCCTTTACGTGGCCATCTCTTGAGCTGGGAGTTGCGTAGATGCTTCCCTTGCGGCGTTGGAACTGTGAGGGTGGGACTTTGGCAGCGTCCCATTCCCTGCTCTCACGGCGGTCCTTTGAAGGTGGGGAAGACGATAGAGCCATGTCATCGCTGCCGGAGAGATGAGCAAGCTTCTCGTCGGGGTTTTGCGTGTGGATGTTGGTGTTGGGGGTGGCATCGATGCCTGTTATATTGTAAGTAGGGGTCTGATGCATGAAGGGAGTCGATCCAGAGTCCGCACTCTCTCCTTCTTGAATCGAAGCTCCCTTCTGTAGGCCCTCAGGCTCAGTTGTCGACAACGTACCAGTGGCCGCGTTGTTAGACATGGTCAGCAATGGATGTATCGGCCGACGCTAAGGTGCAGACGTATTGCGTTCTGTCTCGACGAGGTAGGGGAGTGGGTATGTTTAGAGGTCACGTAACTGTGAATGAGATCGTGGCTGATCTAATGAGATGAGATCTTGAAATTTGAGATGAATAGGAGGGGAAGAAATTGTTGCAGTACTCAAAGGGAAGAGTAGGTATGACTGAGAGGAGAAGGAGAGGGGGGAATGCGTCCAAGATATACGAGTAGGAAGGCATCAAAGAACCGTCCGTACAAGCAGAAAGGGTAGGCGAGAAGGGCGAACGAAGCACACCTCTACCATGCTGTAGGGTAGGGCTGGGTTTGCCCCCTCACGCGTCACTGCCAGTTAGAAAGCTGGAGCGTTCTACACAATCTTGAGACATTACTGGCTCAAGGATTGGGGAACAATAATGCACAGCACATGATGCATCATCCAGAGACCGACCGACCAACCCATCCCATCTTGCCGCGATGGTCGCGGATACGACCGACCAGTCAGATTGCACCGAGGATTTGGGCGCAGCAATCCCTTCCCCAAGATACAAGTGCTAACCCAAGAGAAGCTGATGAACCATTAGTAGATCACTGCTGATCACTGCCTACTGACGCCAGGTGCTACTCCGGGGGCATACAAAGCATGTACCAGGAACTGGGCCGTCTGGGTACTGGCTGTGATTATGGCACCCTCGTAGCGGTTATGGTTGTGTTTGTAGTTGCTTGCTGGGTGTTTTAGGAGGTGGAGGTTCTTTCTTTTACCCCTCCGAACGAACGCAGATATGGACATTACGTCAATTGGTAACTAGAGATGCCAGGGATGGAGGGGGAGAGCCCTCGGGGGTTTGTCATGAAAGCGGAGAACGCAGATAGAGGAGAAGAGAGATTATTGTTGGGCATGGGGGGGAAGAGAGCACTGCCTCATTCAAATCTCCGGGAACAAGTGGCTTGTCATGTTGAAGAAAGAGGCCAGAGATTATTGGGTTAGATGATTATTGTTCAATGATGGATGTGATTGATGTGCACTCCGATGATGTCGAGTGGATGTGAATGATTGGAATGATGGAGATGCCGAGAGATGGAACGATTGGTCTATGGATCGAGTGGCTGAAGGGGGAAGACGCATTTCTTAGCCCGCACCAAGCCGATAAGAACGACAATAGAGAGGAGAAGAGGAGAGTATGTCTTACGAGTACGAGATAAGTTGAATAATAGGTACTCAAAGCATAGCACACAGCAATAAGAGCAGAATAAGAGTAGAGGAAGGGAAAGGAGAGGCCGGGCCAGACTCAATCCCCAGAAAAAGGTTGGATGCAATCATGACGATGCTCGTACTCGTAACCCTGTCCTGTCTCCCGTCCTTGTTCGACTTGGTCCTGGTGAGTATTATTCACCCCACATTCTTTAGATCCATAGACCGTTGGAAAGGGGAGATTCCCTCTGTTCTCTATCCTCTAATTCTCCATTCTCCACTATCGAGCTTGTACTGACTCCACTCTCCGCTCTTCCCCCCAGCCCACTTACACTACTCGTACCACACGCTACACAATCTACACTAGATCTCAAACTACTCCTACTGAAAGCAGCCGTTCTTGAACGACTAAAAAGACGCCTCTAAGCCTCAAAATGACGCCCCTGGTGGTCACATGCGATGTTGAAAGAATGGTCTCAAACCCTTTCCAAGACAACTAGTCCAAGTAGTAGCGAGGGGTAAACTACATTATCCAGTACTTGTACGAGGTATCTACTAATGATACCAGTCCAATTATGCCGCCGAGAAAGGCAGACATAATGACAGATAAAAGCAAAAAAAGTAAACATCAATTAGGCCAGAAGCTGAAGGAATAATGGTTGTTTGTCCAAGACGTTGTTGCAGTATTATTACGTGTAACTGGGACCCGAGGGAGGCGACATGCTTGCTTGCTTTGCATCCATCCAACCATTCTACCAACCATCGCAACCATCACAACCTCCAAATGCATCCAACCCATCCGTTCCGCTACTCAGCTCTCTTTGCCTATGCAACTCGCATTAGCTTACATCTTGGCCGTTTCTTGACTCTTCCCACCGTGCCACCTTCCTCCATACAGCACTTGTCCTCATACTCGTGGATTCTCCAGCTCCTCCTGCTTGATGGCAACCATCCCATCCACCAAAGTTACTCAATAGAATTCAACTCGCAGCCCCCCTCACGAAGCACAATATCTGCTGCCAACAACCCAAGCTCACCGTCAAGAAATCCGTCCCAGACCGCTACCCGAAGCTTGATCTTTCGCTCCAGCAAACTCCCGTTTCCCTTCCCTGGACATAGGACATCACTGATCTACGCTTTTAAATCACATTACCTCACCTCACCTCACACTCCCTTGCATTGATAGACATTTAATCACATCCTACACCAATGCTCTTCGTATATCTGATCTTCTCCTGCATACTCGGATTGCATCGCATTAGGTATCCATCATCGTCATCGCTTCGCTTCGGCTTCGCTTCGCGCCCCCGGTGCCATCATACCTCATACCCTCATCATCCACATCGTCATTGTGCAATCCCACATGCAAATCTCACTATCGGGCATATTACCCCAATCCCCGCCCCTGCCCCTGCCATTCGAGCGCCTCTCTCCCTTAGGTTAGCCGGATTCCCGACTCGGGAGTTGCAAAGTGTAACGGGGTCGAGATTGATAGGCAGGACGATGGGCAAAGGATCTCGTAAACACAAAACTCTATTATCCGTTATCCAAAACCATAGATGCATATCTTGTCATTCTCGTGCCGTCTTTTCGTTGCCATTGCTCCCGATCCCGAGACTTCTCGCGCGCACCGGAATCGTTATCTGTCATATCTGCTGCGGCGTTTCGCATGTCTGTATTGCATTGTAAACACCTCAGATACACCACATCACTCTTCTCCAGCACAGCCTCCTCGCGGAGACTAAATCTTGTCTATCTGTCCTAGATTAACGAAAAAATCGCCCGTATCTAATGAGTACCCGCTGCCCAGTATCTAGTTCGCAGTGCCAGCTCCGTTTCACATAATCTCTCACGTATCATCATCGGCAATTCATCGCCATCACCAAGAAATGTAAAATCACTCATATACCCACTCACACCACCCTTCCTCGTCTGAGTAAATCTCCGACGTTATCAAACAATAGGCAAATGGTCACACGTGTGCAGTAACTACTAGACAAGAAGACGAAGGGCAATGAGAAAAAACCACGCTTTGAGATCCACAATGCGCGGAGGGGCGCAGTGCGTGCGTGCGTGGATTGTTGCGATTTTGCCCCCCCATCAATCGTCCCTTCTCGCATCATCGTCTCCTCCGCCGTCACGATTTGGTATACTGTAGATGGTATAGGTAAATATCTAGTTCATGAGTGAATTATGATTTCAATCTTCGGCGATGTTGTTCAAAAGAAGGAATTGAGCCATTTTATAAGCTTCTTTTCTTTTTCTTTTGATGTCTGAGTTAGTCGCTTCAAGATGATGTAGTAAATGCCTCGTTTTTGGTTGATAAAATCCATTCATGTCTCATGGATCTAGAAAAGTTGAACATTTCTTGATCAATACCTACTCCTAGCAAGAAATCCCCTACCAGAGATTCTCCAAAACAACGTGGTGGAGAATAGGTGCGCCATTGGACCCCTAACCCCGTTATCTATCAACAACCACCGCGCGCGTATAGAAATCCGGGGTAGATCGTCGCCATCACACCGCTTGCCTGTAGTCTATGGTAGAATACCAAAACCGAGAAAAAGAAACATAGTTGTGAGTAGGTACGATGGCCGATCAGGTCGTATCCAGCAACCCCACGCGGGCTGGTTCTGATGCGAGCTTCCTTGCCGAGCGCCATAATCAATGAGGCCCTCAGGCACGACCATCATCTCCTATCTGACATCTGTGACCTCGGTGCTTATTTCCAGTGCATAGCCGGATGAGCCGTGCAGAAAGGTAGTGCCGAGAAGGAGAATTCTAGTGTTTACGGGGATGATATTTTTCTCAGACTATTTTTTCGAGGGGCTGTTTTTATTTTACTTTATGTGTCGGGGATAGATTGAAACAGATGAAAGGTATAGAGTATCCAAAGAGGACATCTTTTGAGTGAAAGGAAATGTACCGTCCCGTCCCTGCATCGTGCAGGTCTCGTTGGCTCCTCCATCTGTGAATTGCCGGCCCTTTTTTTTCTCCTCCCTCCTACACAGCCTGTCCGCCACTGCCGACCCGACCCGCGCACGGCGAAATAAGAAACATCTCATCACCGAAGCGATAGTGCATGCAAGTAGTTGCAGTCTGATTTGCATTGAGACATCCACCACACGCGTCACGTCTGGGTCCGGGCCTCGCTGTATCGCCATTTTCCATTCTGACAAAAGCCCGCTTTCATTCCACGAGATCGCACTGGTCTCAAGTGGTCACACCAGAAATCCGAAAGGTCAACGCCGAATATGCAAGGATGGTCGTCCAGGTATCCTGACCATCTCAAAAAACATATGAAAAAGATACAAAGTGAAGATACTAGAGAGGAAAAAATCGCATTTACACAGGGAAGAAAAGGAAGTATGGGGTTGGTGGGGTCCACAAACGCCAGGTGAATGCACAGAAAACCCTCCGCCTGATTCCCATCGTATCATCATAGATCGTCGTCGAGGTCAATGGCGTCGGGATTGGCCGGTGGGGCTTGTTCAACTGGTTTGATGTTTCCGCCTTGGGGACCGGTACTGGCAGCGACGAAACCTTGAGGTGCTCTTGCCTGTCGCTCGAGCGCGGCCATCGCGTCATCGTCGTGGGCGTCAGCGTCTCCATTTTGTTGTGCTCTCGAAATGGCTTGAGAGGCGATAAAGTTGACATCGGTACTAATCATGGTTAGCAGCTTACTACAAAGTTGGATTAGAGAGGGGCCATACTTGTACTGAGCTTGAACACTTCGCTTGATCCGAAGCATTTCTTTGAAGGTGTCTTCATTGCCGTGCTGAACTTCAAATTGCTCCCACTTCTTCCAGAAGTCGGGGCTTGTCCTCGGATCGCAGAACTGACTCGCGTGTCCATAGATAGCTCTTGCTCGATCAATTTCACCCAATCGCCTCTCCATTTCCGCGAACTTGAGGCACATGTCCTTGGCCTCGCTGTCGGGAAGTGCAGCGATAGCGCGTTCGTAAATGGGTCTTGTAGACGTGAGGCCAAAGTTGGAGGCAGACTTAGTGATGTAGAAGTTGAACATCTCTGAACGGTCTTCGTCAGCTACGGCGCGGGTGGCACGCTCGTAGATTCGCATGGCGTGTCGAGCAAGACCACGATCCTCCTCGAGTGCGCCGTACATGAGGTAAAGATGTTTGGCGAATTTGGGTGGGCAACCTTCCACGGCTTGCTCAAAGAGATCCCTCAACCGTTCCATGCCAATCTTGCGGTCGACGGCCTTGGTAAGGTAAAGATTCCATATTTCGAAAGCGACAGGATAGCTGAAAAGGTCCAGACCACGCTCGTATACTTTGAATGAGTCCTCGTAGTACTGGTTCTCCTCGAGCAAGTTGGCATAATTCACAACAGTCTGTGGTGTGGCGATGCGAAGTTCGAATATCCGCTCGTACACCTTCTTCGTCTCATCCAGCGTACTAACACTCTCCACAAGGTCGACATAGAAACTCCACAATTTCCAACTCTTATGTACACGCTGTTGAGGGCTTAGGGAGTCGTCGAAGTAGTCGACGGTGGATCGTTTCGGTGCCTGTGTAGATTTGGCCATAATTTCCACTGCTTTGTCGAAGTTTTCATTGCGCAGTTCCATCTCGGCCCATTCACACCACATCTCCGCCAATTCCGAGACCGATTTGAATGGGACCTTGACAGCTTTTTCCATGATGACGCGAGCGTTGTTGAGGTCGCCGGCGCTTTCGTAGAACTTAGCATAGTTGGTCCACAACTGATAGAAGTTACCAGTTGCCTTTTTGGGGTTGATGGAGGCGATGGCATCGGTATATGTCTGAACGACTTCTTTCTTATTGTCTCCCCATAGAGCAACACGCTTCTCCCATTCGATTACGTTGTGTGGATTCTGACGCAACAGAACATCGTTCAGGAGGAATGGCCTCCGCTGCATCAGGGATTCGAATCGCGACATACGAATGTCCAAGTCAGCATCAGCAGCATCATCGATCTTTCCTTTGTCAGAACGGACGGCAGCGTCCTGCAGTTTGATGCTGATCAAAGTTTCTTCGGCTTCGACGTATGTGTCGAAGACGACGGAGAAATCTCGGACGGTCATCACAGTTGTGATGCCCTCTTCAAAGACGTCTCTGGCCTTCTCGTACTCGCCCTTGTGCATCCAGTAACGAGCGAGACCGACCCACAAGACTCCTCGTTGATCAGGGAACCTGGTGATGCCGCTTCGGATGATTTTCTCGACATCTATACCGCTATCGTCACCGGTTTCGATCTCCTTGGCGTGATCGATCATTAGATCGACCAATTCGGTGAAGAAATTGAAGGGTCCCTTCGCTTCCTTGCTCTTGAACCGGGGATTGTTGATGATTTCCAGATACTTCTTGACGGCTTCTGTGTATTTGCGCATGTCTTTGAGTAGCTCGATGAATTCTTCCGCGTTTTCGGGGTGAATTTGCATATATCTGCGCCAGATCTTAACCGCCGTTTCCCCCGACGCGGAACTCGCGAACGGTCGATAGAGGGCCCAGATTCTGTAGTGTTGAGTGAGAGGAAGAGCGCGAAGCGCGCGATCGAACGTCCGTCGTGTGGTTGTAACGAGGGGCTGTTGCATGAGAAACGCGAGATATTTTTCCCAAAGCGCGGGCATCTTGTTGAGCAAGATCAAGGACCGTTCGAACAAAGCGTTGACCTTGATGTAATGCGGCGCGTACTTTGCCGGATTCTTCTTCTCAAGATGCTTCGTACGAAGCTCGAGGTACAGCTTCCAGAGCTTGTACGAGCGCGGGAGGGTATTGCAGGCGCGTTCAAGTACGAATGCCTGCTCGAGGACGGTTCCTCGCGACTTTTTGAAGCTGTAGTACTCGAGCCATGGCTTGACGCTCCCAGGATTCCGCTGGATATCCTGCTCGTAGACGACATCCTGGTCTGTAATGAGGAAGAGGTCAGTTGGACGGTCCATTTTCTCGGCATTCCGTTTACTGGGTCGCGCGAGGCTCGCCGTAACGGTGCGAATGAGCTCCCCAGGCATTGTTGCGCGGGTGCCCGCGGTGGGCACGAGAATCCAAGTGGTGATCGATGGAGGATGAGGATCGAAAGGCGGACGGCTGGGAGAAGAAGTCGAGGTAAAAAGAGATGGGAGCGAAACTGTACGACTTGGTTATCCGGGACTGGCGGTCACGGTGCGACTGGCCAATGAGGGGAGCTCAAATCATTAGTGTGGACCCACAGCAAACACTGGCACGACTGGCGCCACCGAAAGAGACACGAAGGCAGCGGGTAAGAAAAGTGGCCCGTGCACAACATATTGTCTCTAAGCCCAATCAGGAATGGTCGTATTACCAAGTAACTCCCGCTTCGAAGCTCTGACGACGGCAGAAGAAACGACGACGTACGGCCATGCATGCGTGCAGTTGTTACGGGTAATACCATCACTTACCACCACCTCTCAACCCCTCGTATCTGTGTCCTGTAGGTAACCTGACCCGACTACCTGTGGATGAGCTCAGTCGCGTGGAAACCCGCCTAAAGCTACCTTCCTACCTACCTACCTACCTACCTACCTACCATATCTCGGCCATAATCAACTAACTAGCCAACCAAGCCCAGCCCCAGCCCAGAGAGACACATTCACTATCAATAGAAACACTCTTCTCTCCTACTGGCTGACGGCACCAGCCCCAACCATCCACGCCCCTGCTTCATCTTCCACTTTGTTCCACCGTTGCTTTCTCGAACTCTTTCAGTGATCCCACCATCGGCCCAGTCTTGCGCGTCTTGCAATGTCTGGCAGCGGGGTACGTTTCGAAGCTGTCCTCGCTATGCGGCAGATGTCCGACCCGACCACTAACACCACCATCAGGCGAGGGAAGCCGTCTTCCCCACGCGGCAATCGCTGGGTTTGATGAAGAGCAAGCTCAAGGGTGCTCAGATCGGCCATGACTTGCTGAAGCGAAAGAGTGAGGCCCTCACAAAGTATGCTTCCCATCCATATCTCCTCCTTGAAGCTTTCGCTAACCTTTCGCCTTCCTGTCCAGACGTTTCCGAGGTGCGCCCTATTGTCTACCTGTCCTCCACCTGTGCCTGTTGAGCTGAAACAACGTTTAGAAATAACTCGCCGCATCGATGAGGCGAAGCGAAAGATGGGCAGGGTCATGCAGATCGCTGCATTTTCCCTTGCTGAGGTCACTTATGCCGTAGGCGGTGACATCGGATACCAAGTCCAGGAATCCGCAAAGCAGGCACGATTCCGCGTACGCACCAAGCAAGAGAACGTATCAGGTGTCTTCCTACCACAATTCGAGAGCTTCACCGTCGAAAGCAATAATGATTTCGGCTTGACCGGTCTCGGAAAGGGAGGTCAACAAGTGCAGAGGTCGCGGGAAACATATGCGAGAGCAGTAGAGACACTGGTGGAATTGGCCAGTCTCCAAACTGCCTTCGTCATTCTTGACGAGGTCATCAAGGTCGTCAATCGTCGAGTCAATGCCATGTACGACTCCACCGAGTGCATTTATTTGAGTACGTCTAATGCTAATTGATTCAGCGAGCATGTCATCATACCCCGAACCGAGAACACCATCAAATATATTAACTCAGAACTCGACGAACTCGACCGTGAAGAGTTCTACCGCTTGAAGAAGGTCTCCGGAAAGAAACAAAGAGATGCTGCCGCGGATGAGTTAGAGAGAAGTTCAGCAAAAGAGAACAAACCAGAGGAGGAGAAGCATAACCTAGCTGAGGAGGCCGCCGAATCACAAGACTTGCTAGGAGATAAGGACAACGAGGACGTAATCTTTTAAGGGAAAGGAACGATGTTGATCTAAGACAGACGGAGAGAGACTGTATCATACCTACGCTATTTGAATTTCCAATCCGACGGCCAAGTCGTCACTCAATATCTTCAAGCATAAATGCCTTCCACCTTGACATTGCTGAAGACTTCATCATCTTACTATTTCGCCTGTTACCTGCGCAGAGCTTCCTCATAAGTTTCTGCAATGACGCACACTTGCTCAAAGTCTTCATCGTATGCCTAAAAAGGCTAGCACAGGCACGGTCATCGTCAACTGCGACATTGATATCAAAGTGGGGTTGGTATTGCTACTACCAAAATGAGGATTATACTGTAGACTCTTAAATCCTAGCTGAGACCTTTGGTCTTTCTTCCTGGTACGTGATGATGCAGTCAAATCAAGGTTTCATCCCTGGGCCCCTGCATAGGCCTTTCTATGCCGCAGCGACCTCATACGCTGTGGTCTGCATTACTATGCGCCTACTGGCGTTGATAAGTGACCTTCATGATCTTGCCCTCCGCGCCAACAGGCTTGTTGGCCATAGCCTCCTTAGCCGTGATGGCAAATTGTTCATTCTCAAACTCTGCAAAACCGACAGCGCGGATCGCAACAAAACGGACTTCCTTAAAGCCCGGGAATGCCTCGAAGATAGCAGTAAGGTCGTCCGCGTCGACATCCTTGGGGATGTTTTGCAAGAACAGAACCTTGTTGGGGCGGACGTATTCGTCGGGGATAGCGGCGGCGCCTGTCTTGGGGATGCGAGGCTTGTCGGCGGGATGGGGGAGTTTCTTCGCTTTGCTGGCTTCTTCGGCGAGTTTTCGTTCTGCGGAGTCATTGTCAGTCAGGAACGAGGATTGCAGCTCACGGAGAAATGTACCCTTCAGAGTGAGACGCTCCCGCTTGTGCTGATCGAGCTGATCACTGGCTTTGCGCTCGATCGTCGCATCGCTATGCGTCTTCGCCATCTGCACCTTCATGCTCTTTCCGTACAGCTCGAATCCGGTCATCTCCTCAACTGCCTCGAGCGCAGACTTCTGGCTGTCAAAGACAATGAATGCCTGGCCCTTGCGCTTCACGCTTGTCTTCGCAATGATGTCGACGATTGTACCATAATGGGAAAAGATGGCCCTCAAAGCCTCTTTCAACGTCTCGACCTTCACGCGCTCCTCGAGATTGTTGACCTGAAATCATTAGTCCTGCTTCAGCTAGACGCCACGGGGTGCAATGTGAGCGCCAGCTGGGTTAGCTCTTTCACGAACGTACATATATACTATAGCAAGAAGTTAGCTGGTTGCGCAGAGAGACAAAAGAATGATGAACAGTACGTCTCAATTGGAACTGGGTATCTGGATGGATCGACTGGTCCTGAGACCACTCCCTCCATCTTGTCCATGGTGGGCGGCGAGTGTGGGGTTGTCAAGTGCAGCTGCTACGTCGTCGCGTTCGTTGAATGGACTTTTGGAGTCGGAAGTAGGTGAAGCTTAGTTCCGACAGCCTGGACTCACCTAATGCGTACTAGCGGTATACTGTCACACGTGATTTGTGCACCCATCACAACGTTTCGATAATACACAATGCCATGGTACCACCTCCATGATTAATGTCTCAGGAGTGAAATGTTGAGAATGCTACGGGAAGACCAAAAGCTATCATTGGTGCACATGTCATCAAAAATTGTTCAAAGCACAAGCCCAGTGCATCGCACCTGCTCTGTTCATTCTTAGTGAACTAAGGTACGGGGTAGACCCAACTTATTATTCAGCGTTCCAGCAACCTAGGACCTTTTTGCAACATTTTGATACAATACTTAACGACCTACGCTGCCACAACCTGGCCAGTTCCAATTCTCAACATGGTCTAAAAGTTCAACTCATTGCCCTTGACCTTGTGATTGCGTACCCTCCAACACGAAAGAGAGAAACTCGGGCACTCGCAAAAATATGACGGATCAACAATCGTCTTCGGACGTTGCATCTAACGGCAGCTTACTACACAGCACGGATTCCTGTCATTCGAATGCTCCAATTGGTCTGAAATGGCGATCAAATACTCTGTTCATCTGCCTGACAGTGGGCATCGGAGCATTTACAGACATGTTCCTTTATGGTCTCATCGTACCGGTACTCCCGTTCATGCTCCAGGACCGTGTCAAACTCCCCGAGTCTGAGATTCAAACAACGATATCTAATCTGTTAGCGATCTATGCGGCAGCATCATGTGTAGCATCACCTCTTGCTGGTGTTATGGCAGATCGATTTGCTTCCTCTCGGCAATTCCCTTTCCTGATCGGTCTGATCTTGCTGCTGGCATCCACTGTTCTTCTTGCCTTGGGGAGTTCCATTCCGGTACTGGCCCTTGCACGAGCTCTTCAAGGTGCATCAGGTGGATTCGTTTGGACGATCGGTTTGGCACTACTCATTGAGACAGTCGGACAGGAGAATCTTGGAAAGGCGCTTGGAACAGTCTTCAGCTTCTGTTCGGTGGCGGGACTTTTTGCGCCATTGGTCGGTGGCATCCTCTATGCGAAATCTGGATATTTTGGTGTTTTTGGTCTCGGGATCGCTTTCATCGCCATCGATTTCTTCATGCGGATCTTCATGATCGAGAAGAAGCAGGCAGAAAAATATATCACTCCCTGTGATTCATACACTGGTTCATCAGACGTTATCGCCGACGAGAACACGCCTCTCCTAGCAAGCTCATCTACCCCTGATTGCAATAGTAAATACCGCCTTCCAGAACCAGCGTCTCGGATCACGAAGGAATTTCCCATCCTGTTGCTCCTCCATTATCCAGCCCTAGTCACCGCCTTCTTCATTGGTCTCATCCAGGCGTTATTGCTAGGCGCATACGACGCAACCGTCCCACTCGTCGCTTCTTCCTTCTACGGATTCGACAGCCTCAAGGTTGGCCTACTCTTCCTGCCACTAGGTGGGTCGGACTTTTTCCTCGGACCCGTCTTCGGGTGGTGTGTGGATCGCTGGGGCACTAGGATCATCGCAGTGATCGGTTTCACCTTTCTCATCCCCGCGCTTGCCCTCCTCCGACTCACCGAAGTCGTAACGGAGATCGATCTCGGCCGCCAAATTGCCATGTATGCGAGCTTGCTCGCACTCAACGGCATTGGACTCGCCATGATCGGCCCCGTCTCAATGGTCGAGTCCGGCAACATCATTGACAAGTACTACAAGGCGAATACGGAGCTTTTTGGCGGGCGAGCACCATACGCACAACTTTATGGTATCAGCAGCATGATGTGGTGTCTAGGCTTAACCGTGGGCCCGCTCATGGCTGGCGCACTAAAGGAAAAGATTGGGTACGGAAACATGAACGCTGTCCTTGCAGGAATCTGCGGGTTCACAGCGATTCTCTCAGGTATCTTTCTGCGAGGTAGAGGGAAGGCGAAGCGCGCAGCTATTGAGGATGACTACTAGACGTGGCATCTTCGTTGTTGACCAAAATGCTTGACAGGCGTTTGTCGTTCATGTTGGCGCGCCACAGCTATCATCGATTCTTCCACACCACTCCAAAAATTATTATACCCTTACTATGCTATCAGTTACCAATCAGTACTAATCACTCAATTCTCTCCCAATACCTACACGTTGAAACAAAACACAAGTGAAGAATTTTGACTAATTACGTCCGCCGCCTTTCCTCCGCCCTTCCACTCTCTCCCAACCCCAACATCAGCAACCCTTGCATCCCCCCCCCCCCCCATCTCCCATATTCACATTACTCTTTCATCAAGTACAAATAATCAAATATTCATACCACATCTCAAGGAAAGTAGCAAATACCAATAAGCAACATTATATGCCAACTTCAAATTACCCCCTGTGGGGTGAGTGCGTTGCCCGGTCATTAATTTGGCCCCTGTCCTTTTTGCTTGGACTTGAAGGGCGGTGCTTAGGGGAAGGGGGTTCGAGTACAGTTTGTGGATGCTTTTTGGATTCTTTTTTTGCATGCGAGAGTAATGGCATTCAGAACTTTTGGTTATGGTGAGGATAGATTTATTTGTTAGGCGCATTTAGTGGCAGTGGGGTGAATGTCATGTCACAAGTTGTTTGAAGGACATTTGATGTCATGTCATTATCATGTCTACGTAAAATCCATCCCAATCTCTTGTCCGAGACACATTGTCATAATGTGCTCGAAGTTCCAGCATGGTATAGTCCCTTGGCCCGCTTGACTGCAAAGTTCGTCGAGGTAATGTCCATCCGACCCCTGATGGCGAACTCGACGTCTGCACTTGAACATTCATCTCATATGCTTATTCACCATTCTTGTCGGCCTTGTTTATCTCCAAGTCTCCCATTCCATTCGTGATGTCATTTTCCCGATTGACATTACAGTCACACCCATATTTCTGGCGGAACTCGAAAGGCGGTAGTCCCTCCAGTGCCTCTAATGCTTTCTTGCATGCCCTAGGTTTCGCATATCGCGTGCTGTCACCCTGCGAATCGAAATAGACATTGTAGTGAATGAGAACCATACAAATGACCCTTCTCGTGCTGCCAGGCGTGCCACTCTCTATGTCACGACTTCCGACCAGCATCTCGCTGCAGCCGAAGTTCTCTTGGAACAGTCTGACAAGCCGGTTGAACGGCTGGTTACCTGCGAAGTCGTCGTAAAGTGACATGTTGGTGAAGTACTTTTTGAGGTGGAGGTCGTAGAAATTCTGCACGACGGAGAAGTCGAAGGCTGAATCGACGAACATTGCACCAACGTACGCTTCGACGATGTCGGCGAGACACTTGGGTGGATTGGAGACGACGGTCCAATAAGACCAGTAATCATCTTTGCCACGGGCCTCCTGTTCCACGCGATGCAGCTCCTCGACATACTCTTGGATCTGGTATGTAAGGCCAGAATGATTGTGGCGAATATACTTATACCACCCCAATTGAACACAGACTGCACCGAGAAACATGTTCGATACCATAGGCATTTTGTGTTCGGTAAGCCACTGTGGACCTCTGTCTGGGAACCGGTAAAAGATATCCATGATGAATACCTGATCGAGGAGAGAGTCCCCAAGGAATTCAAGGCGCTGGTAATTCGGGATCTTCTCCCAAATATATGCTTGGGAAGGGTGAATGAATGCAGATCGAAGGAGCCGAGGATGAATGAAATGATATGGGTTTGTCTTCTCAACCTTTGCAGCAAGGTCAATCTGGGATGCTGTTGCTTCGGCTGTCTGATACTTTGGCTTTACGTATGCCGAGTAGTAGTCGGAGAAAGTCGCCATCTGATGATCCTCGCTATCGACGAGCAGCTTGACAGCTCGCACGGCCTGATTCCACTTTGAATAATCCCAATGGCCATTCCTATTATCTTCTATGAAGGCAGCACCAATGAGCGCCTCACAAACATCGGCGATTGATTTGTCACCTAAAGCGTGCTTGATCTCTTGCGGTCCATTTCGATTGGCGCCTTTGCCCCAGATCAACTTGAGCCCTTCCGGATACCAAGTTCGCCTACTTCATTAGTTGTAATTCTTGGAAACGAAAAATCCTGCTTACCGTGAAAATGCCATTGTGCGAACATATTCATACAGCTTGTAATATAAAGCTGTCCTTAGAAGGTTACTGTTGGTAAGCATACGTTTGCGGCGTTCGTGAAGGTCTCCTTCATTCTCAAATGGCTCCAAGACGAATGTTGATATTGTCGTCACCATCTTCAGGAAACAATCCCCCATAAACTCAAGTCTTTCGTAGTTAGGCCCCATGCCACTCTTAAAGTTAGGCGTGTCGTCACCTTCTTCATCGGTGATGTCAGAATCCTTCGTCACGGCTTCTAGAGCAAGGGCCGGGCTAACACGAAGACCTAGCAGGTGGCAGGCATCAAGTGCGGTTAGATAAGCTTCAAAGCGATGAATGATCGCGGGGAAGATGTAGCACATAGCCACGAATTTGGTTGATAACTATGCTCTGTCAGTTCGATAGAATTAGACCATAGTCGAACAATCACTCACTGTGGATATCAACATTGGCTGCGGGCAAACGTAAGCAGTTGCTTTCGTCTTCACATCTGCTTCATCGTCTTCTACGGTTGCAAGAAGGTTTCGACGGAAAGGGATTTTCTCCACTTCTACTACCGGCTGTGACAGATCCATTTGCGACATGTGTGCTGCCCGATTCTTCCTCCAAAGACTGACCGAATAGTCAAGAATGCTATCTGTCCACTTGTGGGACGGCGCAAAGTCAGGTACAGGATCAAGTGCTTTTGCACCTGGGCGCACGGCCACTGAGTAGAAACGTCGTCCACCATCATGCGGATCGACGAAATACCGGTCTTTCAGGAAATCATGAGCCATATCAGATGTCCAGAGGTATCGTTCATTTTGATTGATCTCAGTGATTTGTTCCCAGTCAATGAGATCTCTCGGATTAGATGAGGATGCAGATGCAGACGCATTAGTATGAAGAGGAACAAGCCAGTAGGACATTTTGGAGATATCATTCTCGAACTTCTTCGCGAATATGTGGAAATAAATCTGTAACGTAACTGTGTTGAAGAGTTGTGTCGTTTCTGCATTGGTGGCCAAAGGTGTTCGCAATGGTGTAGAGAGCACTTGAATAGCCTTGCCATTGGTAAGATAGATCGGAAATGCGGGAAACTGAGGCAGTGTTTGTCTGGTGAGTAGTCCGAGAGGTTGGTGTGGCCGTTCCAGTCCCGCGCTGACATCGATTACTGTCATGTACAAGAGCTCTGGAACCGACCCGTAGCCAAGGTCCCAGAACTCAGGTTTGACTCGCATTTTGTACATGTCCTTCTTCTTGGAATCGACTGCTGTTATTGTGTTCTTTGCTGACACTTGCTTTGTGTATGTCGGTAACAGGTTATCGTTGAGATAACCCTTCCGAAGCAATTCAAGACACATCTCATAAGCTGCTGAGCACCTCGCAACAGCTTTCTTTCGCTGGAGTACACCCCGCATCGATATGCAGGGAGAGCATTCTGGAAGGATAACCTCACATAAATATCCATCCGGCTGGCGATCAACCACGTAATTCGGCTGTAGACAGATCTCTTCGCTCTGGTTAGTGGGCAGGCTTGCTACGAAATGGGCAAGGATAGATAAACTAGATCTGAAAGTTAATTTGGCGCCTGAGGATGGAATGATATGGGTAGGGAATTTTTCGTCAGCAATAAAGAGCTGATCCATATCATCATCAACCTCGTCAATGATACGATCCTTGGGCAGACTATTGCAGAAGTCTCGCATGATACGTTCTGCTTGCTTGGCACGGCGAACCAATGCGACATGATTCGGATTCCCAGCCTCTACCATATGTAGGTACTTTGAGTTTCTGTGTCGCGCGCGGCCCCGAGATTGGACATAAGAAATCATCGTTCGGTATAAGTCGAACCGCACTACGAGGTTGCATTGAGGAATATCGAGGCCCTCTTCCGCAACTTTCGTAGCGAAGAGGCAATTTGTATCTCCACGTCGAAATTTAGCTAGAGTGAGAAACTGGGTCCTCAGCGAAGTTCGTTGGTCCCCAATACTTGAATTGTTTCCAATGAGAATATCGCAGTGCAGGTTTGGTCCGCTGATTTGCTGGAATATAAGATTGAGGAGTCGTGCGGTATAGCGCCTCTCGACGAAGACGATACACCGAGCATCACCAGTTCTCTCATAGTAAAGCTCGAGCCAATCTTGGTGTAACAAAAGGACCTTCGAGCTGAGGTCTGGTACAGATAGCGAAGGTGAACCGAAATCATGTTTAGCTACGAATTCAGCCGCTTCTCTGAGTTGACTGATCTCTTTATCCAGTTCCGCGATGGTGGTCTTATTCTTCTTGTTGAAGGTACGCTCTTGTCGAATCTCTGTCTTCTTGGCCTCTTCTTCAGAAAATGCGAATGACCAATAGATATCGGAGGCCCATCGACCCAGCTCAGAGCCGTAGAGTTTTGAATCATTAAACAGTTTCCCAAATGGCTTGAGGTCCCCATAACGAGCTTTCAACTCCTGGAAGAATGGTGTTTCCACATAATTTTCCAGTTGAGAATATTGACCCACATGCTCAACGGGTTTGGTGATGTTGTTTTGCAGAAGGGTCAGGTCGGATGCGGTTGCAATCTTGCAATAGAGCAGTGTCTCTAAACTCTGGATTGCTTCCTTAATGTCAGTATTGGCATCTACGGGGGATGCTGTCATCCCGAATATTCTCGGCCGTTTTGAAAGTACTGGCTCGCAAACGTAATAGTCTTTCATAATCCTTGCATATGGGTGGTTGTTCTTCGCGTGATGCGCCTCGTCGAAGATCAGGAGACTCGTTTGGCTCATTTTCACAAAAGAGTGCATCATGCAATCTAAGAGCACTTGCGCCGTGCATACGATGACCATGTTTCCGGCGAACAGCTTGTCCCATGTCGACTTTTGCCAGAGCATTGCGCCCATAGCACCACATATACCCTCGACGTTCTGGTCTAGCCCGCATTTGAGGACATTTGCCTGCTGGAACACGAGATTGACAGAATCTACCAGGAAGAAGGCTGTCTTGGGAGGTAGGCCGGCCGCCCTACGTTCTAATTCCTGATCAAGGGTATGGCGCAAAAGCATTGTAGCTATGTGGGTTTTCCCTGAGCCTGTGTCCAGCACAGCTATGATGTTTTCTTCTTTGGCTTTTTGGAAGAGCTCTGTCTGGTAGTCGCGTGGACTGTGAATTTTTGTGCCAGAGTCATCCTTGGCAAGCAGGGCTTTGACCGATAATTGAGTGTCATCAGTCTTTCGAAGTGCCTCCTGTCTATCTTCTTCGGTGACTTCCCCCCCCTTCTGAGCGGCGAACGCCTTGAATATGGCATGTTGCACCCTTCGCTTCTCGTCGGTGGATGAGGGAATATGAGTATGTGTCATATCTGCATCCGCACCTCCAACTGACGCATCTGGCTCCCCATTCTCCTGGTCGTTTCCCTCTTCATCATCCGTGGAATCAGAGTAATCCGATTGGGCCTCGTCGATGTTATCACTCCAATTCATGATTGGCTCAGTAAGTAGGATATAACAATACGTTGCCCGGTGAGGAAGATGATCCTCGGATAAAACCCACAAATAAAATCAAGCGTCAATCAACTGATGGTTAGAGCTTTCACCGAGTGATAACTTGTGGGAGTGAGAGGAAATGGTCTATCACAGGATGGAGATAGTTGGTTTGGCGAAGTATACTCAGTTTCACTTTGTTTGCGCGGGGCAAGCGTGCCGGCCGCGCTCAGGCCGACCTGCGCAAACGAGAGGGGATCCAGTGGCCGCAATGGGTGCAGCCATCTCGCAGTCTTACAATCGCCCTCCCATGACAGTAGTGAAATGGTGAAGCCATTTTTGCTGTATAATATGCTTGATTGAAAATGCAAGTGAAGCTGAATCACACGTCGTTGGTTTGCCACCCTGAAACTTGTGTAGTGTCACGAATCACGATGTATACATGCGCCACCTCTCGGCTAATTCTTGCGCTAAACGCGTGTTCACATGAGCGTAATGGACGGAGGCGTGGGATATCCATCTCCCTTGTCAACCTTTCATCTTCGTCTCTTTCCATCGATCAACTTCTCATCCCGATTCTTCCAACATGTCAGAAAAGCCCAGGAGCATACGAGCGCTGTTTCTAGAAGCCGAGCACTCGCGCAAAGATCTCTCCAACAGTTACGATTCGAACAGTTCATCCTTCCAGGAAAAGCTTCGCAACACCATTGCCACCTACGAGGAATGTCTTCAGCTTTCCGAACAGGCCTCACTTTTCAGTCCGAACGAGACGCTCGATGACATCTCATCTACCGATTTACAGTAAGTCCGGACAAGGGTTTCCGCCTGGTACCCCACCAGCCCCGCGCAAATCAAGTCCCATGTCTCACAATAAAAATATAGGTATATGGCTGTATCTTACCATATAGCCGATCTCAAACAGAAGATCACCGGAGATGTAGCTTCAAGAAAAGAGAATATACTCCAGGCACGGGGTCTCTACGAGCGATTCCTCAAGCTTCTGGACTCATATGATATTCTTGGCAAAAGCGACGCCCGACTTCTCGAAACTTATCTTGACGATAGGAACTCCTTCTCCACAGCAAGCACCAAAGATGCTTCCGCTAGAAGAGATGCGAAAATCGCCAGATTCCGCGAGGAAAAAGAACTGAAGAAAAAGCTAGAGGTATGTCCGCTTGGCCACCGTCTGAATGAATGAATGCTTATATAATCCACACAGTACCTACAGCAGAACCCAAAGCTTGCAGAAAGTGACGAGCAAGTCGTGAGGGAGCTGAACCTGACGAACTTAGCATTCATGGTTTTCCAAACTTTCCAATCTCTGGAATCCATCGGACAAGAGCTGCACATTATTTCCCTGGCCCCACCTGCACCGCCACCATCTCAAGGACCTGCACAAGACTCTCGAGAGGATGGTAGGGTTAGTGACGGTTATTCTGAGCGACTCGACGGTCATAAGCCCGGTTTGAGATATACTGGACCTATTCTTAGCAGGGATGGAAAGCCTATGAGACCGTTTACACTACTCGACAACCGCTCCAGACTTCAACAGGGCGTGTTCAGACCCGACCACAGTCTGCCTACGATGACCATCGACGAGTACCTCGAGGAGGAGAAGCGAAGAGGTGGAATCATTGAAGGCGGGGGTGAGCAATCAGGCATCCGACCAGAACCTGACGAGGATGACCTCGTGAAGGCGGACGAGGAAACGATGAAAGCACGTGCATGGGACGAGTTCAAGGAAGATAACCCCAAGGGCTCAGGAAACACGATCAATCGTGGATAGACATTTTTATAGACGAAAGAAAATCTAAGATACCCCCTCACAATTCTTCATCTCATTCGGGTCACCCAGGGAATCTCAAGGTATACCGCTCGATAGACGCACCGTGATCAGGCTCCTACGGCGTCAGGTGCCAGCTCCGGCCATTTCTCTGAGATCAGATCAAGAAGACCATTTGACAGGAGATCATATGCCTGACCCAACGTTAGCACCATATAACTCAACAAACCCACAGCCCAAGAATACTTCAACGTGCATACGTACCCGACCGTCGAAATGCAATCCATCCGTGAAATACCCTTTCTCGAACGCCTTCGCCGTCTTCAATCCTGAACCGGGCGACTTATCCTCATGGTAAGCGTCCTCATCGCCCAAGATCCCCTGATCCTTCAGCGCCGAATCGCACAGCAACTTCCACAAGTTCACCGCAGCAACCCTCCCCGTCTCATCCCCATACTCCTTGGCAATCTCCATGATCTTCTCCGCATACGTCTTCTTCGACATGTACGTCTTCCACTTCATCGTCTCCTTGTACCACTCCATGTCCTGGGTCTGTGGAGGGTTGGGGATGTTGATTGGCGGTGGCGTGATCAGCACGATCTTCGTATCCGGCATGTTGTCTTGGGTCAAGATGGTCTCCACGAAGTAGCGCATGTTCTCTTCGTATCTTTTGAGGGGCACATAGGGTCCTGATGGGAGAATGGCTGCGTCGTTTGCGCCGACGAAGATGGTGAACAGCAACGTGCGTGGTGCGGATGGCTCTACAGAGCGCTCAATGATGCGCTTGAAGTTGGGGATCAGCATCGTGGATGTGTAGCTTGTTTTGTTAGGAAACGGTCCCAGGACACAAACAAAGTCGGGAAGATTTGTGTTTACCCAGCTTCACCTAGGTTCATTTATTAGTCTCTCGATCAAGGTATTCTGAGAAGGGGCAATCATATTGCCGACTAGATAAACATACCTTCGTTCAAGACCTCAGCCTTGTCGTGGTACTTTTGCGTGAGCACCCATCCGAATCCACGGTTGTCCTCTTCGAATGCCCATTGTGTGAGCGAAGCCCCGAAAAGAATGATTTTGGGCAACTTGTTGTTATTCTATATGGGGTTTGCATACCGTCAAATGACCATTCTGTTAGGGAATCTCCGAAGAGTATTACCTTTGGTGGTGCAGCCCCACTCATGGCTGTTCCGCGCTTATGTGGTGTAAGGAACCTTAGTTTGGAGAAATTCGAGGTGGTTTTGGAGGAGGATTCTACTTTTCGACACTTTCAAATGATAGTAGAAAATGGAGAGTTGGAACAGAAAGTTAGAAGAAAGCAAATATAAAACTTTAAGTCGATGTGACTGTGGCACGTAAATGGTAGCCTAGTCCCCCTGTGCGACGTGCAGTCGTGGACAGGGCGCTAAACTGACCTTGACATCCCCGGGCATCTCAACAGTAGACACCATTGACACCCAAACAAACAAAGACCTAGCAGACAAAAAATAATTGAGCGAAATCTACTCTTACACAGAGACTTTCCTAGGTTCAGGCGGCAATAGACAGTGCGAATTGCCCCGTGACGAAATTACTCAGCTTGAACACAACACAGTGTATCTCACTTAACTACTGGACGATTTGTCTTCTCTAGCAGGTGCGAGCAACATCATCTTGGTTAGATATAAGGCAATCTCGGACAGCAGCCTCGATAAATGTTCGCCTATTGCTGCTCTTTTTGTTTCAACAATCCTGTCGGGATCGACCATACCGAGGCACTTTAAGCGCCGGGGCTCATTTTGGGTGCAAGATTCTACGCTCCCGCTTGCCAATCTATATTTCATACAACTCCAACGTTGCAACAATCGACTCGGTCATTGGGAAAGCCATTGATCTGATCCACCCTGCTAAGCTTCGTTGCACATCTCAGGCTCCATATCTGACCCAGACATGGCTGAACGAAACAGCAATGTGCAACTGCTTGCAGTCTCCGCCGATTGGGGCGATGTCGAAGACAGCGAGTACCGCTTCCTCGTCGATGGCAAGGACGTAAAGTACGTTACAACAGCACCAGGAATCTTTCCAAAAGATGATCGGACATTTGCACCGATCCTCATTCCCCTGTTACCACAATTCCCGCCCGGCGATTGGAACGAAGGCCATGTAACCAAGAACGACATCACTGGTGAACTTGAATTCGCCAGAGCCACCACCGCCATCCTCCCCGGCGTGGAAAACAACTGGCACCCAGTAAAAGTCGGCCACTTGGAACTCGTCAAGCTCGAGCGCTTTCATCAGAACATTGACAAGGTCACCCACCCCCGATTTTCCCATCCTGTGGTTGTCAAGTTTGCAGAGTTCCCCTGGAAAATACCGCAGATAGAGCTTGAGACTACGGCTTACCAACATATCGATGGTTCCGGCATTGGTCCCAATTTTCCTGGGACATGTCACCGAGGCGGGCAGGACAATCGGCTTTTTGATAGACTCCGTGGAGGGTTCACGCACCGCTGCGGGGAAAGAAGACCTAGCTGGCTGTCAACGTATTCTGGTAAAACTGCATGGACTGGGCTTTAAACATGGGGATATCAATAAGCATAATTTTCTGGTGGGAAACGAGGGCGTGCTGATGATTGACTTCGAGACGACGAAGAAGTGTGAAGTGAAAGAGGAGCTGGATGAGGAGTATAGCAGGCTTGAGGAATCGCTGATGGATCCTTCGTATCGAGGCATCGGTCCGAGTACAATCGGTACTTCACCATGAAACCTAATTGCTGTCTTAATTGTGCGTGTTTCTACTCCAGAAAGCAGTACTTGGAGCTTGAAGTTTCCAGACCATGTACACAGTATACTGATCCAATCGAATCAAACTACACATTGTCAAATTAAAATGACTACCTAACACATGTAACTTAAGTCTTCCATCAAAACAACATCCTCCTCGATGGAGAATCTTGTGATTCTAAGCACAAGTCGCAATAGATCGGCATCAGAACACAGGATTTGCAAATTTGTGATACTTCCAACTCATGTCGTAGCCAAATAGATAATTGAACAAAGGTCTAACGCAGCGTTTTGTTCGGTCTATTTCTTTGTCTGCGATCACTCTTGGGGTGTACAATATAGTTTTCAGGATTTTTAAGCGTTAGAATCTAGCAAAGGGGTATGTTATTGTACAGGTGGTTTCTCGTTGGTCAGAAGAGTCTCTAAATATAGAAGTAGCGGAGTGGTGTATGAATAGGTCTGCAGGTAGGATACTTCGAGGATTTAATGGAACTCAGAGGCTAGGTGGGGTGAGGACTTTACTGTAGGGGCAGTAGTCTTGTAAATTACATGTAGTACTATATAGAGAGATAGAATGCTACGAGTAGTGACATCGATACCGCCATCAACGATCTGTTGTTACGAATAGTCTTCCGCTGAACTGGCAAAGGATGATTGAAGACGAAAGATGGAGTACAGGCATAGCCCGAGGATAGTGAGACATTCCCGCCTACGCCATGTGAATTACAGATGGAGATGTCTTGGGAATGAATTCAATTAATGCCCGAGACCAGTTAGTTTTCCGGAGATTTGAAGGTGCTATGCGATTCTGCGGGCATCAACCGCCGTGTCAACAACATCGACACATTTGAGAAGAAATCAGATCGTGGTGCCCTCTTTCCGAGGACATCAATATCCTGCCCTCATTTCCGCTGTCCGTGTCTGCAGTATATGGATTGCAACTGTCATGTTGGTAGTATTAGTACAAGAATAGTATCATGTGAGTAGACTAGGTGGAGTTCTACAGCTTATCGAAAAAGCGACAAGTCGGACACTGAAGCCTATTCTCGTTCTCCGGTGGTCATATGTGAGACAAATGCAGTGGTACATATACTGCATACGGAGTACTATGGATGAGTTCCAAAAATGCGTATATACGTACCAGCAACACGAGCTGATAACGGATCTACACATTGCAAAATTGAATCATGTCAAGTCTTTGGCCACAAGAGGAAGGATATGTCACGGACTGTCTTTGGATAGAAGTTGCCTTTTTGGAACGTCAGACTGCATTCGTGCGGTGGTACACAGTTGGATATGACCGAATGAGCTCCTGGATACTTCTATGAGGCACAGCTCACATGCTGAATGGGGAACGAGGTGCATAGAGAAAGTCAGAAGGGAAACTCGGGAATCCGACAAAGCAATACCATCGGGCATTGACTCCTCGAGAAGCTCACTGGTCCCAGAAACCGTCGTCCAGAGGTCAACCCCTGGAGACATGCACAAAGGTATAGGCCAAGCCAATGGAGCATGTGAAGGAACACTGTGTTGCAACGGTTTCGAAACAATCGGCCCATACTGTAGTCGGCTGTACAGAGCACACTGCAACCTTTGATGAATGCATGAGAGCAACTCCTGTTCCTGGTCACCGTTATGAAAGCTGTTCCCCGCCTTGGGTGAATCATGGGGGTTCCAGTGGATGGACAGTTGGCGGCGTAAATGGAAGTTGAGCGTGGGGAGGTTGTCAGGGCCCGGGTCCCCCCTTCCCCCCCCTCGCGATGGCGTTCGTCAAGCATCCACCCACGCGAGGCCGGCCAGACCAGGGACCATCAATTGGGAGAGTTTCCATACTCCATACCTAGTCCATACGACCACACACGACGTAGGTGTGTATACCGACTACTGCAGTGCTTATGCGCCCAGGGGGAAGCCGGAGAGGATAATAAGGCTGTCAGCATGCCGTCCCACTGGACTTGCTCGGAGACTTGGATGCGATTGGCAGCTGCGACAACGTGTGAGCCCGTGAGAGCCCTGTGCCAATCGAATCTGTTCGTAGTCTTCCTCGTAAAGGATGAATGCAGCAGTGCAGTACTCCGTACTGTGTACAGTCCCAATGGTAAGGATAACCGTTTGATTGTGCATTGCATGGCATGGATGTCGACGTCGAGGGATGCGATAGATGCTCCCACTCCAGTCTAGGCGAGCACGCACGGGCCCGGATTAACATTATATTCGAGTAACGGGTAGAGATAGGGCGCGGACGGCGCAAATGGGAGACAGGAGCATGTAAGAGGCCGGACAGAGGAGTAGTAAAAAGCAACAAGACCGCAGAGTGTCCGGCCGTTTGGGGGAATTGAGGGAGAGTAAGTGGCTCAAGGTTGAGATTCGAGGTCAGAGGTTAAGCCCAATCGGGTGGGAGAAACGTTCGTCCCGCTTCAAACACAACTGATAACTTCGAGAAAACAGACTAAAATATGATGAAGATGATGAAGATTGTGAACAAGATATCATTCCACTCCACTCCTGGCAAGTAATCCGACCAAAACTCCTGCTATCTCCATTGATAGGTTACCCACCCCATGTCAGTGGTGTAAACTGTAAAGTACCCTCGCCGCCTGTCCCATCCTATCGACCGACGCCCACCCTGGCATCTACTCCGGTCTTGGAAAAACTGATCCTCACCCATATCCATGTCCATGTCCATTGCATTGTAACTAGCATCGTGCGAAGAGTTCCGCCAATACCGATATCTCCTTTATTTATTTTTTTGCTGCTATTGCTTTTGGGCGCCGTGTCTGGGCGAGCAGAGAGAAGAAATACCCAAGTACCAAGTCATGGTCCAACTGCCGTCATAGCTTGTGAACTCTCCACCGCCGGCCGACTCACCCCACGCTCTTCCGCTGCTGTCAAAAGATTGGAACTACACACAATACGCTACATATCACACGCCTTCGACAAGAGAGGAGTGGCACCTCGCCTCCAGTCGCCCACATCACGCCGTGAACACTGAATACTGATAACCTCGGACCGCTTCTTGGTCGCCTGCGTCAAAAACCCAATCCCTTCCTTCCCTTGACTGTTCCATTGCGACTGGGCCTGCGGAAGGCCTCCATGACTACAACCACTTCCTGCGTTTCCCAGTGCACGCGACAGCTACATATGAAATGGCTTCAGGGTAGGCGCAAAGCTCATTCTTGATTTCGCTCCTTTCCTACCGCATGTTGGCTGGATATAGCTTCCTCTAACATCATTCCTCATAGATCCATGCGCGAGACCATCAAGGTCCTGAATTCCACCTTCTCCGCACCCACCGCCCCATATCCCTTGCCCGACGAGATCATAGAGGCTATCGAGACCTTCCTAGAAAAATACAGTGAAATCGAAGACCACGATTCCCAGCGCTTCCATGACGATCTCCTCCCGATATACACAAAGCATGTTGCTCCAAACCCGGATAAACTGGGATCCTTCCTCAGTGTGCTACGACTTGTGCGACCGGCTCTGACCGGGGAGACTCGACTGGAGGACTGGTGGCGATTGGTATTGCAGCCGACGATAGACAATGCAGCGCATAAGAGGAGGGAGATTGACGACGTGCGGCAGATCATCCAACATATTCTGATCTATGATGCGGACGAGGATAAAGATGGGGCACATTCGCGGCTGTCGGGACACTTTCTCAAAAGGCTCATTGATGCATATCTCTCGAGAACGAAACTACCATCGTCACCGGAAGAAACAATATCTCTGGAAGACGACCTTATTTCCCATGAACTCGAGACAATCCTGGTAGCATATGGCCGGAGCAAGCCGAAAGAACTTCTTCTTGTCGTGGACCGTCTCTTTGTGCAACGGCAGTATCGTATCCAGGCCTTGAACCTTCTCAGTGCCTTCGTCCGACTGCAGCCACCCCACCTCTACTTGGTTCTGGAAACACCCCTCATCCAACATCTTGAAAAATGTCTGCTTATCGATACATCCGAAACTGTCATTGAGATGGCGCTGATGACATTGATCATGTTTCTTCCCCACATAGCGGGATCGCTACCTACTGACCATCATCTCGCCAAATTATTCCTCGTCTACAGCAGACTTATCTGCTGGGACAAGTACGACGTACCACTGAACGCAGAAAACAAGGAACATGATGGAGAGATGACGGAAGACGAGTACTCGGATGAAGAGGAAATAGACCAATCGTGGGAGAAAGCAACGCACGCCGAAGGTCACTCCGGCCGGTCATTGACAATCCTTCTACACTACTTTACCTTCCTCTATGGCCTCTACCCTCTGAACTTCATGAGCTTCACTCGAAAGGCAAGGAAGTATCTCAAATCACTAGACTTCCCGGGAGCAGATGACTTTGAACTCGACCAAGATCTTATTCACAGCAGGACAGAACAATATCGACGAGTGCACCTGCTGCACCCGAACATGTTCACTACTACCATAGAGGACGAGCTAAAAGAGAACCGATGGCTCAAGAGTGATCCTGCCGACATCGTCACCGAATGCATGGACCTCTGCATCGCTGTCTCGACGACACTCGACGATCCCGGTCCACCTCCCAGTACGAGGCTACCAGACCTTCCTGTACCTCCGCCGGTGCCAGGCACGGATGTTCCGTCCACCGAAGATACAGGAAACGAAGCAGCCGTTAGTTGGAGGAACACCCAATCGACAATGTTCGCCCCGTCTGCCACGGGTCCTCCTGAAGACGCTGACATGCCGCCGAAGCCGAAATCAGTCAAATCTTCAAAGTCGGCATCTCCGTTGCTTAAAGGTGCGGACATCATGGACTCACCGACACTTCCGCCAGTAAAGGAGAAGCAAGACTTCCTCGGTACCAGTCTGCTTCCTCCCCACCATCTCGGGTCTTCTCCCCCTCGAATTGGAGCGCTAGCTCACGTGCTCGGGTCTGGGTCCGTCTCACCCACGCATTCCGAATACCAGAACCAAAGTATGGCGTCCCTGCAACGGGAGATTATGCTCCTGCGCAACGACCTAAACTTCGAGCGGTACCTCAAGCAGCAGCATTTGGTCCACATCGGGCAATTGCAGAGAAAGCATATCAAAGAGGCGACAGCCGAGGCAGAGACACAGAACCTCATCAACACCAACCGCACCCTAAAGGCCCGGCTCGCAAAGGCGAATGAGCTGTATGCGCAGCTTAAGAAGGAGACCCTCACGAGCCGGAGCCAATCGAAGAAGTGGGAGGGCGAACTGAGCGCAAAAGTCAGATCGTACCGGGACGAGCAAAAGGCGTGGCAGTCAGACGAGGGAAACCTTCGCCACGAGCTCACAAAGTCGCAACAAGACTGCGAACATTTGAAGAAGATGATTGAGAAGGCCGAGGCAGAACGACTACAGGCCCAGCAGCGCGCGCGTGCTCTCGAGGCCGAACTAGAAGACTATGGCAATCTCAGGCATCAGCTCGAGGTTGTGCAGGAGAAAGTCATCTCCTACGAGGGTCAGACGAAGGACTTGGCCGCATTGATGCGCGAGCGGAACCAGCTGCGGAATGATCTCGAGGTCGCCAACTTACGTCTAAACAGTAGGGAGCTAGAGCGGGAACGTTCGTTCAAAGCGTACGAGAGACACATCGGCGACTTGGAAAAACGTCTCCAGGCAGCCGAGAAAACAACCTCGAAATCCGGCCAACTCCCGCCCTCCGTCCAGCAAATGCTTGACTCCACCATGGCAGCCAACAACGCGAAGCTCCAACAGATGAAGAACACACACTACCGCCTCCTGGACCGCTACACCGACCTAGAAATGAAATATCACGACCTAGAAGCCGAGCGACAAGCCGAGCTCGGCCGCGTCCACGCCGAACGACAACTCTCCCACCCCGAATCACCAGAATCCCAAGTCCAAGGCCTCGGCCTGAGCCGCAACTTCAGCCTCCGCCAATCCAGCATCTACACTTCCAAATACCCACCCCTCTCCACGACCGAAGAATCCCCCATCGTCCCAGAGGACTACGACTACTACCCAGACTACCACTCCCCGACCTCGATGCCCAGCCCCACGACGCCCGCGTCGCCGCCCCGCCCCGTACGCATGGAGTCCCTACCTACCAGCACTAGCTCGAACCACCACTACCCCCGGATTATGGTCAGGGACACCGTGCCGACCGTGGGGCTCGGCCACGACTTCTCGGCCGCATACGACGCGAGCCTCAACGCGCACCTGCAAGCCGCGCCGGCGTCCGCGCCCCCAGAGGCTAATTCCAGCGGCAAGAGCACCTTCTCGCTCGACACGAACAGCAGCAAGGGTGACAGCAAGAAGGACAAGGTGGTTCCCAAGTCGGAGGTCAGGGTCTACGGTCGTGGTAAGTCTAATCTAATTCTTCCCTTTTTCATCCCCCTCCCTCCCTGTTCATGACATATCATGGCTTTTCATGGCATGTTGTTCCTACACAATAAAGATAGTAAACTGACGTGTTGACATCACAGGCGGCGCGCAAAACATCGGCAAGAAGGTCAAGGAGGACAAGGAGAAGGACAAGGCGAAGAAATCGGGCTCGACAGCCAAGCCGTCGACGTTCCGCGGTCTTAGGTTGGGTGGATGAACGACCGATGAGAGAAAGGCAGTGGAGTTAATTACCATTTAACATAAGAAAGAAAGAAAGACCTTCTCACACCCTGGGATCTTTTGCACGAGAGAGGAAAAGGAAAAAGGAAGAGGGGAAACGGAAAAGAAAGGAAGTGACATCCATCATTTATCGTGCCTTGAAAAAAGAAGTGTACCACAGTTATATATCCCCATTTACTATGTTCTCAAGCGCGGTTTCGATAACTCGACGTGATGTGAGTGATGTTGATGATAAGAGGTGTTTCAACATCTATTTTCTTTTCTTTTTTTTTTTCCCTCATTTCTGCGCAGTTTCTCGAACTTCCGATCACCAACCAGGGCTGTTCGTGTTTGCCTTGCTCGTGCAGGCGGACCTTCCACACAGACAAATATATATACGTACATACATAACTACATTTATCCATTTATGTATATCATGAGCTGGGGATGTGAAGAATCGTAACATCGAAAGAAAATTTGCATGTGTACATTTTTTGAACCCTTGAGAATAATTTTACATTTATCTACTCATACATACCTAGGTATCATCTATCCCACCCAATTTTCTTACCATCGAGGATTTAAGACATTTTATTTTATTTTATTGCTCTTTCCTCGTCACGGGGCCTCTCTCAACGAAGTCTACTGTTTTTCTGTTCATTTCTACCCTGAGCCTGATCGCGATTGAAACTCCATCTTGATCTGATCAGGTAGGAAATCCTGATATCTTATCTAGCGAAGGTTTTTGGCATGGATGTACACATCGATTGATTAATTGACACGACACGATGATATCGTACACCCGACCATCATCTTTATCGAATTTAACAACCCCTTAGCCTACTCTACATCGACATTCTCCATGCTTACGGTTTCAGCCCTATCACTTCAATCGAGCAACTTCACCCATCGAAACAACGTATGTATGCATGTTAATCGTAACACAGCATACCGCTCGTCGGGCCAACACCACCCATGTTAACCACGCGAATTCGATCCTTCCGCCGACATATAATACCATCGAAAAGGCTATCTCTAAGCCTCCTCTCGGAGGAGATGTGGCCAACCAATGTCAGGACATGCAAGCGCTCGCTGTTCGATTGATAGTTTCGAAACGGTAAGCTGAAATATCGGACGAGGGGCCAGATTCTTGGCGAGGAGGGGGAAGGCGTCAAGATTCGGACAGTTCTGTTTTTGGTGACGATTGGTTAGGAGCTGACGGGGCCAGGTGTTCGGACCTGAGGCATGCTATGTTGGTTGTTGAAGATACATCTGGATGCGGCGGAGTTGAGGCGGAGACTGGGAGGTGCCAATCAGCGAGCAGGACGAGACAGGGGCTGACATCGAGGCCTGGGGCAAACATACACCCTCTCCTACTGATAAGGTTACGTGATGGATGCTGTCCCCGTAAAATAAGCAATTAGGCGGGCAATTTGTTGCACAAATGTACAGGATACAAACAGATAGATCAGAGATCCTGACAGATCAGGCAACGAGGCACCCGAAGAGAGGTTGATATCCAATATTGCTGGCAAAACGTTTGGTATTATGTATTACAAGTGATGTAAGGAGGAATGTAGTGAAAATACATGTAGATGAAGTAGAAGAAGAAGGTATATGACTTGAGTTTTGCCAGTTTATTCCTGTTGTTTTGAATTTTTTGTTCGCGGTTGTGTTATGCTGCTTTCGCAGAACCAGCGATTGGTAGATGGTTTGATGGTTGCATATAGAATGCGTATGTGACCCGACTGAGCATTTGCGCTCTTGCGCTCGACCGCCTCCAGTCTGTCTATAAAAAAGGTATCATGGCCCGTGACCGAAAGTGACTATGCAACTCCACGGAAATGCGATAGATGCGAAAGAAGACAACTCGAAAACAAAGGGAAACGAGACATAGGAAACAGCCATAACGTGTCAACATGCCCGAGAGGCAGGGGATTGATAGCTGGAAGAAAACGCCGATTTTTGGGCCACCATTTGGCCAGATCCAACAGAAAAGGAAATCGAAAAGAAAACAACCCAGGGTATCATGCAAAAAGCCGTCAAGTTATAGTAATCATGCAGCGAACAGCGAAAGAAAGAAATGTGACTCCAGTGAGGAACGAAGAATCAAGGGCATTCTTCTTTTGGCCCTATCGGTAATTTCTCGTTGAAGTTGATTATCGGGAGGTTTGGTTTGTTTTTGTGGGCTTGTATTGCGCTGATTGCGAGAGTAAGGAGAGTGACGATTTCGGCGGAGGCTGCGCCTGCTGCGAGGTAGAATGCCATGCCCTGTTGTACTGTTAGTTTTTGTTTCCTTGACGCGTACTTGCAAGATGCGAAATAGAGGGGTACATCGTACCTGTTCGGAGCACACGGCGCGGTACTGGAACCTGCCATTGCTCATGATGTTCCGGTTGCTACACGCGTAATGACCTAAGCTAGCTTTGCTGGCCTTGTCGAGGAGTGTGAAAACAACGAGGGCGGTTGCCCAGAGGATGACACCAAAGCTTCCGGCAATGATGCGATAGGCGTCGCGCGAGCGAATTGGTCGGCGGAAGGAGCGTTTGAAGGAAAGGGAAAGAATGGCGACGGACGCGATGAAGTTGGCTGCGGCGATGAAGAAGAGAACGAGGGTCGGTGCGAGATTGGTCCTCGCAGGCCAGGTCATGGGCAATTCTCCTTTGCGCAGGTCGAGAGAGATGTTGCCGCGGTAGATCTGCATGGTGTGGACAAGCATGCCGGTGACGGAGCCGCTGAGGACGATGATGAGGAGTCGCAAGAAGGACCTCAGGCTGCTGAGCCAGTGAGGCGGGCTGGGGATCTCGGTGTGCATGTAGGCGGTACTGTACGAGCGACCTGGCCTGGTACCGGTGGGCTTGTCCGACTTGTCCGTCGACGAGGAAGAATAGGCTGAAGGGATAGAAATGGAGAAAGGGAGTGACTTGAAGGAAGTCACGGACGAGAAGGGACGATTGGCATTGATGGTGAAGGCCGGTCGGCTCGTATACATATAAGCTTTGGCGGGAGCCATGATGGGTGGTAGAAGTGGCCGTCTTCGGGGTAGCGCGAGGTACTATGAGGCCAGTTTGTATGGTACTCGGAAGGGCATCAAAGGAACAGCGTGTGCGGAGACACCTAATTCGGAGGAGGATAGGTGGTGGTAGTAGGTGAGAAGGATCTAGGTCGATGGTGAGACCCCTGAGCGAGCGTAAAGGAGGGCGTGAATGCGTGAGGAGGTGCGTGAGGTATTGTTGACGACGGAGGCGAAGGCGAAGGCGAAGACGACAACGACGACCACGACGACCACGACGAGGATGTTGATGTCCAAGGTTGGAGGGGAAAGAAGAGAGAGTGTGTGGAAGAGAAGAAGGAGAAGGAGAAGAAGAAGAACTGGAGAAGAGAGATTAGGTGGATTAGGTAGATTGTAGAGGATTAGGAAGGAAGGATTGAGAAGGATGGAAGGAGCGAATGTGTAGGTATACAGACAAGTGTATACAATTATTACTATGGGGGGAGGTGTAGAGTCTGGGAGAGGCAGAGGAGAGTGGACTCAGTAGAGTTAGAGAGTAGAAGGAGGGCGGAGGCGACGCGGCGCAGGAGAGAGCATACCGGATTCTAATACCTGGGCGGTTTAGCAGCAGGGGGGGACGAAGGAGACGAAGGAAGGAAGGGGCTACCCGCCATCAATACCGTAATCTAATTCAATAATACCATAGCTCAAGCACCAAGTACCTACCCTACCTAGGTACCTACTACCATCTATGAATCCTCCCCTCAAGACAGTTAGTCAGTTCATGACTCAGTATCTACACAATCGACTACTATTTAAAAGTGAGCAACAAATTGGTCGATTGATTGACTGACTTTGCTCATGACTGGACTGCTGGACAGTTGTGTAAAATACAAAGCTGTGTACTCCGTAGGGGGAGTATAGAGTATAGAGTACTAAATCGAGAAGGCTGTGAGGCTGAGCAAGCTGCAAGAGTGTGGGTGGATGGGTGGATGGGGCGGGCGGCGGGCGGCGTAGCGTAACTGTTCAGTCTACGGTAGCAGTAGCGTCCCCCTGTTATGCCTCTGCCTCTTTTTGATCCTCCTTTTCCTTCTCCTACACAGTAACAGTATCTTACCTACACGGCACAGTAGACAATAGTTACATAGTTTACTACGGGATAATAAGCCGAAGAGTCCCCCCGTCCCCCCGTCCCCTTCACCTTCTCCTCTTTCTTGGTCGAGGCTTGGTGGAGTCGGTGGAGGGAGTGGAGGGAGTGGAGGGAGTTACTGTTACTGGAGTGGATGGCCTAACTGGACAGGCACCCACCCTTTTCCGTCTTTGCCAATCCCTCCATCCCGTCCTAATCACGTCTAGCCCAGACGAGGTCTACGTAAGCTTCTCTCCCTCCACCTTTTTTTTTTTCTTATTTTCTGTTAATAATTCAAGCTTGGTAGTTACACCTCTTACAATTTGACGGGTTGAAACTTGTAGATCGTGTAACAGGTAGGTCTTACGTTTGCTTGTTGCTCGTAGTGCAGAGCACGGGGGAGGGAGATTGTTATAGTTCGTGTGCGATATGTTAATGTACCGTAGGTAGTTGCTGGATAATGCTGGTTAATCCCATATGCGAACAGGTTACTGCAATGAAGATTACTGCCACGATCTATTATTACCACCTCAAAATGCGGGTGGACGTGGGCTGCACGCCAGGTCATTGGCTGACCTCCCACAATTGGAAAACTGTTGAGATCAATATATCCTGTCTTCCTTATGTCTGCAGCCATCGCCCTGAACATTCATGATCTATCTCTGATGATGATATGATGCGCACATTGTTGGATGGAGGATAGCAATGGTTTTTGTAGGGGATATGTTCCAAAGACAAGGGAACTGTTTCCGGACATGGAGACTACACAGTAATTGGTGATAACTGAAGATGGGATGATGGGACGACGGTGGACCAGTGGGGGAGATGAGGTTGGACGGATTGGGATTGGTTCCATAGACCACAGACAGGGCTAGACATCTAGGCAGCCAAGGCGTACTCGGGTCTCTCTTGTCTCGTCTCGTATGTACTCGATTCGATTCACCGATTCATTCGTTAATTCTATTCGCACTGTTGGCTACTCCTTTGCTTCTACTACTGACAAAGAGACAATTCATAGAAGAGAGCAAAGACAACAGATGACGAGACTGATCTGATGGCAAAAAGGACGACTAAGGGGGGTGGGTGAGAATAGGATTCGGATTAAAGCTCATCAGCCAAGACCTCTTGTGATTGGTCCGGCGTTTTGAAACCGCCCCAGCACGTGCGATCCACTCCCATCCATGGCCGGGGGGTATACCAATCCAATATCAGCTAGTCCCGATCTGTCCTCACCCAGTGAACAACCAACATGGGAATCCTAGGAAGCAGGAAAAAGGCCATCCAACTATCGCCATCATCTTCAATTTACCCATCATCTCTATTCTATCTGGATAACTACAGAAACAGGATACAGGATACAGGATACAGGTTGCTGGTGATGCAAGATAGAACTTCAATCGTCTAACTGAGACCACATTATGCCTCTGGACAATGTATTATCCGATATCCATCCTGCTTGAATTCTTCTACTCCGTAACTTCTACTCCGCAACCCAGTCACAACCCTGGTCTGTCGCAACATCTCTCTCGTCGCGTCTCATCTCCCCGGTCCGACGATCCTCTTCGTACTGCGACGTAGTATCTGTTCTGTCCATCTATCTTTACTCCACTACTCCACCCGCTGCAAACTCCCGTCATCGTCATCGCCATCGTCATCGGGCATTTCACTTCCCTGTTCTCTCTCTTAACCATCTCCCTCGCAACTTTTCAATCTACAAGTGGGTAGTCTGGTATCGCGAAAATCTTATCAACACGTTGTGCACCCCCAAAGAACCCAAAAGGATCACAATCACTACGGCAACAGCATCTGTCGTGCAACTCCTTGTGTCTCCAACAACAGTTGCTACAACTCCGCATCGTGATTATGATCATGAATCTGAACGTAACAACATGCAATACTCTGCGCATAACAGAACAATAGAACAGGTAAACTATAGCTGTCGCACGGCACTCACCCCTCCTCAGATCCGCTCTCCTCCCAAAACCAACCATCTGTCCTCGTTATCATTCGTTCCTCGCACACAATAACAGCCACCACTGAGTGTTGGTGTCCGCCCACTACTGCAACCCACACCACAGCTAGTTACAGTACAATAGTTGACTACAACCTGCGGCTGGACTACACCTACCCATGAGTACAGCTTGCTTGACAGCAGCTGCAACAGCTCTCCAAGTCCGCGTTTCCGCTTGGCTTTCTTCTGCCATCGCTGCCCTGCGTCGCCTGCAGCGCATGCCAGCGCCCCAGCCACTGCAAAACCCACCTAATCCCGCCAACCTACTGCATTCACCTCCTCGTAGCAGCAACTGCTGCCGCAATAACTCCCACACGCAGGGTGCCGGTCGTCTGCCATCATCCATCGCCCGAAACCCACCAAGAATACCGGTGAACGCTGGTACAGGACAGAACACTCGGCCTGGCAAGGTTGCTGCTCCTGTACATACGGCCCTCCATTCCTAGATCAACGAGGCACAGCTGTGCTTGTAGTAAAGTTAACGTCTTCGTTGATTTCATTAGATTACATCTATCGCAGGTATTGTAATCATAACACATGCTCTCTCGCTCTTCTAGGTAATTAACCTCACAATGCTGGGCATCCATCTATCACCACCAACAAACACCGAGTATCGCCTTTGGCTATGCAGAGCCGGCCATATTTAGTATCTCTCTCGCTCCGCTGCGTTTTGCTTCACAATGATGATGTTATATCGTTTCAATGCTCTGCCATGGCATGCTATGCCCTTCAGCCTCGATCCCTTCAGGCATACTGTCTATGGATCAAATCACCAGACCGAGCCCATCAAAGGATGAAAACAAAATTGAACGTCGTAGCAATGGACTTGAAGACGTGTCTGGCCACTCCTCCATTCCCACTCCCATTCCCTCTTCGCCCCACTCACCGCACGCGCCTCAGAAACCGCAGTCACAATACTCGACAGAGCATCGTAGTTGACGAATAAATATTTTGATACAAAAGTCCACGCCCGCATGAACACTATGAAAGCCGTCCGCACCTCAGCGCAACAGAAGCGCGCGGATTTCCCAACTTCTACA